TCAATATTTGATGTGACTATTTGAACACTACTTTCAGAATCAGCGGAAACAACAAGTTCACCAGTTTCACTAGAAATAGATTGAGTTGACGAAGAATTTTCAATTTCTTCAGCGGATGAAGTAGTATGTTTAATACCTTCAGAATATGTGGAAGAAACAACTTTATCAGTTTCATAAGTAATTGATTCGTCAGATTGAGTTGATAATGAAGTCTCAGGCTCTTCCACGAGGGAAGTCGTAGTTTGAAGATTACCTTCAACGTCTGTTGAAATAATTACTTCACCAGTTTCTGTGGTAATAGAACCATCAGATAAAGTACTTGTAAATGTTGTAATATAAGTAGTTTCTTGGTTGGCTAAGACGGAACTACTGAGTAGCGTATTAGTAGTATCGGCTATAGTAGATGAAAACTCGAAGGAACTTGAACTCAATGACGTGCTCGAGCTATTTTGGTACTGTGGAACGGAGAAAGTACTTTCTGATGTTATTTCTGGCGAAGAAGAAACTCTTAAGTCTATTGTAGATGTAGAATCAAAGCCCTCTGAATCTTCATTAGACTTTTCAAGAATAGATGTGGTAGTATGAACACTTCCTTCTGAATCCGTAGAAAATAAGATTTCTTCAGTACCAGTAGTAACTGACCCATCAGGATTAGTTAACGTAAACGTGGTCGTATAATCGGTTTCTAAGTAAATAGTAGAAGTGGTAGTCTCAACATTTCCATGAGAATCTGTAGAAAATAAAACTGCTTCAGTTCTTGTTGAAACTGATCCATCCAGGTTTGTGGAAGTGAAGGTAACTGTGAAATCATGTCTTGCAAACATGATATAAGTATAAGTGTAAACATTACCCACTGTATCAGTCGAGAAAGTTACTTGTTTAGTTGCTGTAATAACTAAACCATCTGTTTCAGTTGCAGTATAGGTTGTGGTATACTCAGTTTCTGGATATATGATAGAAGTAATAGTGTGACCTACACCATCTGAGTCAGTTGAGAATAAGACTTCTTCAGTACCAGTAGAGACCGAACCATCTGAATTGGTGGTAGTGAAAGTAGTAATGTAGTCAGTTTCAGGATAGATGATTTCGGTGGTAGTGTGAACTACACCATCTGAGTCAGTTGAGAATAAGACTTCTTCAGTACCAGTAGAGACCGAACCATCTGAATTGGTGGTAGTGAAAGTAGTAATGTAGTCAGTTTCAGGATAGATGATTTCGGTGGTAGTGTGAACTACACCATCTGAGTCAGTTGAGAATAAGACTTCTTCAGTACCAGTAGAGACTGAACCATCTGAATTAGTTGTGGTAAATGTTGTGACATAATCAGTTTCAGGATAGACGATTTCGGTGGTAGTGTGAACTACACCATCTGAGTCAGTTGAGAATAAGACTTCTTCAGTACCAGTAGAGAAAGAACCATCTGAATTGGTGGTAGTGAAAGTAGTAATGTAGTCAGTTTCAGGATAGATGATTTCGGTGGTAGTGTGAACTACACCATCTGAGTCAGTTGAGAATAAGACTTCTTCAGTACCAGTAGAGACTGAACCATCTGAATTAGTTGTGGTAAATGTTGTGACATAATCAGTTTCAGGATAGACGATTTCGGTGGTAGTGTGAACTACACCATCTGAGTCAGTTGAGAATAAGACTTCTTCAGTACCAGTAGAGACCGAACCATCTGAATTGGTGGTAGTGAAAGTAGTAATGTAGTCAGTTTCAGGATAGATGATTTCGGTGGTAGTGTGAACTACACCATCTGAGTCAGTTGAGAATAAGACTTCTTCAGTACCAGTAGAGACTGAACCATCTGAGTAAGTGCTGGTATACGTGGTTGTGTAGTCGGTTAATGGATAAATTATTGAAGTTTCAGTATAGAAGATATTATCTGAATTTGTTGATATAACAACTTCTCCAGAACCTGTACTAACATCTCCATTCTTGTCAGTGGTGGTAAAAGTGGTTGTATAAGTAGTTGGTTGAGGGTGAGTTATTGTGTAGGTTGTGATTAAACTGTTTGAATCTGTAGTAACAATGACAATGTCAGTGACTATTACTTCCTTACCGTCTATCATAGTAGTATATACGATATCACTGGAAGTCATAGTAAAATAAGCACTTTCACCAGTTGAACTAGGAGTAACCCAATCAGGATTTGGAGGTGCAAAATTGGAGGTGGATGTACAGGAAATAGCAGATAAACTCAGAGTACAAAGTCTTCTTCCGACCACAGTAGTTTGTGCCGCAGCAGTATTAGTTATACTAACATCAAGGAAAAGTAAAGGAGTATATCCAGAAGGAACATTTCCGAATGTTACTGCAACAGTAGTAGCACCACAACTGATATCGGCTTCTAATTCTTCAAAAGTTTCTGGAAATTCAAAGTCATTGAATTGATTTGACATACCAAATGCAACGGTATCACAATTAAATCTACTTCTGGCATGTCTGTAGGTAAGAACACCTGATTGATAACCTTCAGAACAAGATGCTGGTGTCAAATATAACATAAATCTTCTTAACACACCAGGAGTTGGCATCCAATTTCTGAAAAAATTCATCTGACATGGTGACTCTAAAGAAGGACCACCAGCTTCGAAATCAGCAATGGCAGATATATAATTAACACCATCATTAAATATAACGTCGTTTTCTCCACCTTTCCAACGGTTTGCACATTCCAATTCGTATGGTGAACTACTACCCCCAACATTAATTCTGATAGGAAGATAAATTGAACCAAGAACATATGTTGAAGGTTGAACATTATCAGTCATAGTACATGATAAACTTGATTCACCATCAGTAAATCCATAAGTTAATTGACAAGATGCGAAAACAGTTCCACCAACTTCAAGATTTATAACGTCGAAAATAGAGACTGTTGAAAACAGGTGAACGCAAGGAAGATATAAATTGAATGTGTCACCAGGAGCATGTTCTGTTCCTAAAATTTTCCAGGAAACAACTGCTGTCCAAGCTCTTGCTTGGGGCCATGAATTTTCGGCCGAACCCCAGGGATATACATGTTCCATATCATGGAACACACCTGTAAGTTGTTTTGAAACTACTAGTTTTATTAGTATTATAAGATAGAATAACTGTAGTAGCATATTTGATTTGATTTGATTTGATTTGATTTGATTTGATTTGATTTGATTTGAATATTGATATAGAGTAATTGAATTATACTAAGACTGAAAAATCTGGAAATTATCCTTGATAAATAATTAAGCATGGAAGGCTTAGTCCAAAAATAAGAGCATTCATTTTTCAGTATAAGCCAAGTAAAGTAATAATGGAAAAGATCGACTTGTCTTCCGAGTGAATGTTCTTTCGATGGATGGATAATCGCATGATTGCAAAATGGAAAAACAAGCCCATTGACTCATTCAGTTTAACATTGATCTTCGGAAAATCTCATTCGATTGCAAAAACCATCATTGAAATTAAAGTTGCAGAAAAAAAATTTTAATTTTCATTTAAAGGCGCATGACGTCAATGGGGGTACTTATAATATAAGATGAATTTGGAGGAATTATAAATGTAATATGTACCATATTAGGACGTTTGTCTAAGTACGTTAAGTGGTACACAGCAGCCATACCCATTACCAATGATTGAAAGAATACAGAAAGGAAAGAGATGCAATGATTTGACTCTATAGTCGTGGTGGTTGAACAAATAGTGAACTTTAATTAGACCTAAAAGATATTATATTTGGTTTTATGCTAGTAATTAGGCCTTCTTAGTGAGAGTTGAAATCCCTTTTAGTAACTAATATTGATTCTCACTAGTAGTAGGCCAGGTTTGAAACTTTGAAAATTGTACATGGTTAGCTTTACATCACACTGAAATTCAAACTTCAGTATAGTGTCCGATTGTTGAAATAGTTTAAATTCGCTTCAATTTTCGTAATTGTTGGACCCTAATGCTATGCAATTTTTCCATCTTGGCATTTGTAATTAGAATTATAATCCGCAGTTAGTTAGTCAGCTATTCAGTAAGACAGTAAGACAGTCAGTCAATCAGTTTAGTATATGCTGATTTTTCCAAACATAAAATGTCTTAATATGTAGATCTTAGAACTAATAGTCATCGCTATGGAAATAAAATACTACACCAGACCTGTTTATATATTGGTTATGATAATCCATTTGGCTTTAAATGGTTAATCATTTTCTTTACATACAGGAATAAGGTTGCAATTAAAATATTTTTTGTTTTTGCGGTCAGTACAAGCAAAGAGTTGTGTTGATATTCAGTAACTATCTTATAAGGTCAACCGAGTCACAATTTAAAGACTTCTCTATTAATTATATGATAGAAAACACTCATCTATTATTCCAATGGTATTTATAACATTCCCTTCAATAATAGACTGTATTCTGGTCGTGTTAATCTCACATAAACCAAATGTTAACTCTTTAATTTGACATACCTCCAACTGCAAAATCATCGGCTTTTGAAATAATTAAATTCAAGGGTGATATAAACGATGACTATTTGACCTAGTCAATAGTTAAATTTTTTTTCAATTCATGTCCCCAGCTTAGTATGCTTACCCACATATCGTATAGTGCTAATGAGCAAAGTAAGATTTATTGCATTATTTTAATTAAAAGATAGCAAGAGGTCCTTAGAGACCTACTTCATGCTAGACCATAGAGGTTAATTAAAAGGACTGTGAATCTGATCCTCTAGCATAACGTTATAGGAACATATTGAGTTTGATTTACATTAGACACACGCCATTTTGTGACTTGGATAGAGCCTTCAACTGTATAATAGAAAATTGGAAGTATATTCCAGCCATCAACACGGTAATAATAAAGATGATCTTGATCCCTAAGTCCAAAAGTTCTATCCAAATGCCATCAAGTATCTGTGTATATGGTCAGATATAATTATTGTCTTAACTTGCCAATCCGAAGTCTAAAGAGAAATTTATATACAGGATAAGAAATTTAGTCACATGACTTGAAAATAAATAAATAAAACTTTAAATCTATATTGAATAATATTCTAATTAGCATAGAGGTATAACCTGGTAGTTATTATTAAACTATTTTAACAATGACAAACATTTACTAGGGCATAGATTTGATTGCGAAAAATTTGAATTTGAAGCGTTCAGGGAGAAATAGAATTCTTTAACTGTCCCTTTTGGATTATTTTCTGGTTTATTTACCTATTTCCTAATTAGGAAGTCTAATTGAATTTATTTGCAAGCAAATTTAAATTAATATAACTTTTTTGAACCAGTACTTTTCAGAAACCAGCTTTTACAAATCGAAAAGGGGTTCTTCTATATATTTAGGAACACATATATATAATCTTCAGATAAACCAAAATGCTGAGTTTCCGACCTTACGGTACGGAGGAAACCAGAGTAGTAAGTGATCTATCAAGGTTTGATTTTGAACAAGTTACAAGAAGTCGATCACGAAATACAACCCCAACGTCATTAGATGAAGGTGACGATAAAAGCAGTCAATTTACATTAGACAACATCATACCGTACTACAATTCAACTCAAAGGTCGGATAGACCTCAATACCGTTACCCTGATCAACATCAACAACAACCTTCTCTGAAGACATTACTTCAAATAGCAGAAGAGCATCCTGACTTATATCATTCTAAGATAAGACCACCTCCACCCCCCAAAGATCAAATGGGGAGATCAAAATCAACTAAATCATTTTCACCATACCCACCATCTGTATTTATGAGTGTACCATATGAGAGAACTAAATTCAGAGATGACTTACCTCCTGAAATGGAACCAACTGAATATATAAATCAACAACAGAATGATAATAATAATAATAATAATATACAGGGAATTGAGAGACCTAATGATGATTTACAAAGCATAAATGCAAAACTGAAACAGTTAGAAGAAGATTTAGTACGTAGAGTTATGAATCAACCCTTATATACTTTCCCTGGTTACGAATTAGGGATTCCAAAATATGAAAATAGAGATGTCATGATATCAGTGAATGAAGTTGTATATTTCATTCAGATGATATTCAATATCATAGTCATAGTGTTAGCATCAATCTTATCTAATATTGATCATGATATTTCAGCTGGGTTTTATAGATATTTCATTGCTGATTCAATTTTATCATTATTAGTATGTTTCATGTTCATTGCCAATATAATTAATTTTGAAAAAAGAAATGGTAGTTTCTATTGTTTAACGGCATTATTGATGAACTTAGCATCATTCATCATGGTTCTTTCTTATATCATACCGAAAAGACATTGTCCTAGTACTTCAATATGTAATATGAGATATGCAAGTTCATCATTCATAATATTTTCCACTTTAATCTGGTTATGCGAAATGGTGGTATTCTTAACTACATTATATATATCAAGACTTAATTTATTGGACGAAATCAATTTTGATTTCAGTAATCAAGGAATAAGTAGAAATTACAATAACAATCAAAGAAACTTATCCCAAGATACTTTAATTCAAGAGAGTACACCCAAAGAATTAAGACAACGACAACGTGAACGAGAAAAGCAACAAAGAAAAGAAGAGGAAATGGCAGTTAAAGAACCTCCTTTGAAAGAATATTACCTCAATGAGAAAGGAGAAATGTATGAATTACTGAATGAGCAAGAGAAGGAACAACATAAAGGTAAAAATAAGATCTTGGTATATACGTTTTAGATATATAGAAACCATTTAGAATAAATGTTGCAACCCTCGGCGGCAAAAAAAAAAAGAGAAAAATAAATATTGCAAAAAATGTAAACAAAAAACATTTCTCCCTATTTTTAGAATTTGTAGATATCATTATCTTCATCTATATAGATCTGAGTGAAGTCAATCATCATCAACAAGTTTAAAAAAATGTTGTTTAAAAGTGTTATATGGTCATTGTTTGCCATTGTCGTGGTGAACGGTTTAGTTTTAAGACCTCAATTGGAAATAACTGGTGCAGCGTTAAAATTGACTATTCAAGGATTAAGAGAAACTAAACATCGGTTGAAAACAGAATTACAATTGTTGATGGCTCCATTAAATGCAAAAGAAGGTAAACAACCCCTTCTAGAAGAAACTGATATCCTTCTCCCTGTTCCTGCTGCTGCTCCAGTTGAAAATAATTTAGAAGTTAAGGAAGAAAATGATGAAGGTAATGAAGAAGTTTATGAAGCTCAATCATATGGAGCTGAAGATGTTGAAGGTGAAAGTGAAGGACAAATTGAGAATGAAGAAGAATCTACAGATGGTGTTGAACCACCACCACAAGTCAATCCACATCCTGATGAATTACTTATTCTTGCCAAAGATTTATTAAATTCAAAGATTTTCCAAAAGATTGGTTTACAAAAATTAGTTGATGATGGTTATTTTTATAATTTCACTATTGGAAAAGATTTAATTCATAATAATTTATTAGTTCCTAAAGATAGTAAGAATTTATTCCTTTTCAATACTAGTGATCCTTTAAGTATTCCCAAAAAATTAAAGAATAACTTTGCTAACTTTATTGATAATTCACCTCCATTTACATTACCTACATTCTTAAGTTTAATTGATTATTATTTAGTTATTCCAAAGAGTTATCTTGAACAACATTTAGATGATTATAATCAAATTGATTTTAGTTCTATTTATTCAAAAACTATTTTAAAATTTGAAACTGAAAAATTACCATTATTTAGAAAATGTATTAATGAAGGTAAACCATTATTAGTATTTATGTTTAATGGAGCTGCTACTAATGAAGGATTAAATACTATTATGAATATTAAAAATTATTTACCCATTAATGGTCAATTGACTAGTTTTTCAACATTTTTTGATACTTTTGCCAAAGATTGGATTGCCAATGTTAATTATGAAAGTTTAATTAAATCAATCTTTTGTACAACTAATGTGGATTCATTAGAAGAAAGTTATTGCTTAAGAATTAAAGATAATAAATCATTACATATCTTCCCTGCCTTTTATGATATTACCAAATTTATTGCTGATAAGGCCAATAAACATTTACAAAAATTAAAGACTGCAAATACCAATCCAGGGGTTTCAAAAAGAGAAGTTGTAAATGATGATGAAAATTCAGAAATTGAAAGTCAAGCATTTAGACAAATTCATAATAGGTTATCTAATGTTGCTGATCATGTTGGTGAAGTAACCTTTGAATTATCTACTGATCCCAAACCAGTGTTTGAAAGATTAGATGAAAGAATCGATCAAAAACTTGATTCTGCTTTTGAAAAGATTAATGCTTATCCTAATCGATTAAATGCCAAAAAGGATTCTCTAAAGGAAAGAATAGATGCTAAAAAGGATAATATTAAAGAAGAATTTGATTTATCAAAAATGGTTTTAGATGAAAAGAAGACAAATTTTGAAAATAAGCTTAGACAAGCTTTTACATCAAGATTAAAGAAGTATAAATTTAAACCTCATATTTTTGAAAAAGTTAAACAACAAATGCAAGACTCTGATGATTTTTCAGATGATTATTATTATCAACAATTACATCAACTTGAGTTAGAGCATCAACAAGAAGATGAACAAGAAACACATCAATTAGATCAACAACAACAACAAGAGGAAGAAGAAGAAGAGCTTCATAGATATGAAAATGATCCTGATCATGATTATGTTAGTAAAAGAAGTACTTTTTTTGAAATCGAACAAGATAATTTAAAACATAAACATATTGAAGGAGGTTTAGTATTACCATTATCATTAATTAAAATTCAAGAAAGGTTTATTGAATCACCAAGAAATAAAAGATTTAGTCAAATTGTATTTGATATTAAAGATGATCCATCTCATGAATTTGAATCTAATCAAAGATCTGATTTAAAACGAGTTTTCCATAAACGAGATTCAATTTATAGTGAAGATGAAGATTGTCAAAAGATTACTTGGTATAATATTTTTCATTATAGTATATTTGGTAAACCCAAATTTTGTATTAATCAATAGTTATTATATTGCTTGGAAATAAAAATATGTATATGTATTTTTTTTATGAACTAGAATAAATTTGTAGAATACAGATTTGATGAAACAAGAGAAGGAAGACTAATCTAAAAAACGTTAGATGTCTATAAAACAATAAATATATAAAAAATAAAAGGTAAGCATAGCTAAAAAGCAAAAAAAGTATAAGGTTATATCACGAATTAAAAGTAAAAATGATGTTATTGATGTTGAAGTTTTGAATCAGAAAATGTTTCTTATATAAAGTTTGAACGACTTCCATTACCTTCATAACTTTGAGTATTACTATAGGAAGTATTAGCTTGATACGGAGTTGAAGTTGAAGGTTGATAATTACTTCTTGGATTATAAGATGTATTGAAACCAGTTGTGCCTGAGCCATGAATGGTTGAAGAAGGTTGGGTTGGTTCGACATTTTCGAAATAATATGAGTTACGAGCTGAGTTTGATTCATTATTAGTATTTCCTGAACCATTATTAAAATTGAAATTTGAATTTGATTTGGAATTGGATGTATTTGAATTTGAATTGTTTAAAGGGTGGGATGATGGTCTTTGATAATCGTAATCATCATCATAAGTTGATTCTTCTTCAAATGGTTTTCCCCCGATATTACGAGAAGGACTTTCATCATCTTCATCTTCATCAACTGGTGGAATACCTCCATGTTCATGACCTTTCATAGCGGTTTGACCTAAGGCCATTAATTCCAAATCTTCATCAGCTTCATTTCCTTCACCAGTTTTATTATCAAATCTAGGTAAGAATGATACTCTATCATCTTTCATTGGTTTATATCTTGTATCTGGATTCTTATAAACCAAAGCCAATACACAGGTAACAATGGTAAAGATTAATAAGAATAAGGCAAAAACAGCATTCAATACGAAATAAACCACTCCCATTACGGAACCAACAATATGAGGTTGTTTAAAGATATAAGAGAAGAACATAAAGAATAAAGCATTAAGGGTATTAACCACGGTAACGGCGATATTAAACGCATTAGTTCTTTTATCCATGAATGGTCTAATGACACAAACAGCCACACAATAGAATAATTCAATAGCGAACACAATGACGGATTGAATAGTACCATGACGTTGTAATAAAGCAACAAAGATTGATTTTAAAAGGATATAAATCAAACTTACTAAGATGAAATAATAACAATCAGCACGATATTGAACATAAAGGAAACCGAATTTATTTAAAAAGTTTGCATCACCAAATAAAAGATAAGCAGGATTATGGAAATTTTTAACAGAACGTTTGCCAAATAAGATAACTCTTGTAGTAGCTTGGAATAATAAGATAACGGCAAATACTAATAAAAATACAGCAACCACTACGGCCCCAGCTGAATCACGTTCCCATAATTGCCAAACACACATGACAACAATTTGAGGGAAAGCTAATACTAATAAACGATATAATGACCCTTTAATGATTAAAGACCATTGTTTTCTATATTCACCGAATTTACCTTCATTCATGATTTTAGCACGAGTTAAGATTTCAATAATAGCTTTAAATAATCCTAAACATACTACCATTACAAAGGCAAAGAATAATAAAAAGATAATGGTTGTCATGAAAAGATTGGTGATTTCAATACCTGCTAAATATGCCACTCTTTGAATACCTCTTAAAACTAAAATTCTGGTACCGATATTACCCTTTTCATCAGTAGTATATAAAGTTGGATCTAAAGCATCAGTATATCCGAAATCTTCGGAATCAAGACTAATGGCTCTTTTTGATAATTTTTGAACTGGTTCAAATACTTGAGAATCATATAATTCTTGTAAATATTCAAATGAACGTTTAACTTTCTTTTGAACTGAGATTGATAAATAATTAGCTTCTAAAATATCAGTTGGAGTTCCACCCGTGGCTTGAATATACCAATTAGCAATATCTTGTACAAACCCAACTCTAACGATACCTACTGACCACATGAAATTTTGAGCCCAAGCAGCTGCAATAGGAGGAACTTTAGCAACAGCCATCATAGCAGTAATAGCTAAAGATTGGAAATAAATAAATAATGACATGGAATTGGAAGCAATATGTGCAGCGGTATTAGAATGTCCAATGACGGAGACTACTCCTGAAGTAATAACCCCTAACCCTGCAATAGCAGCAATGGGCCAAGCAGCATATTTAGTTTGAACAGTTTTACCATTAGTTACTGAAGCTTCTACACAAGCATAAGCTTCGAAAGAATCTAAATCATAGATTAATACCCTGACGGTAGCATCTAAGTTTGGAATACCATAAGCCACACCTGGGATTTGAGTTGTTACATCATCAGATACGGTATATTGAGAAGATAAATCCAAATGACCTGAAGTCATTGGACAAACTTCAGGATAATTAATATCACATAAGGAGATATTTTTTGTGATGGCATTTATACCATAAGCAATTAATTGAACATAAGCACCAACTTTGGCATTTATATTTGATAAGGCAGTAACATCGAAATAAACGGTATTATTATGAGGATAAAATTCGACATCAAAGAATGAAGCGGTGAATTGAGAATTATCCATACAAGTTAATAAGGAGGATGATTTAAGGTAAGATAATCCAGATACTACTTGGAGGAGGTATAAGGATAATATTATATGTAAATTGAACTTCATTTTGAATTATATGTGTATGATGGATGAGGAGGGGAAGCACAATGATGAGAATAAAGTGATAGATCTGAAGTATTGGTGGTGGGTAGATGGATGGATGGTGGTGTTAGATGGGTGTGGTAATACTATATGATATATAGCAAAGGGATAGGTTGGAGGGATATATATTAATAATAATAATAATATGAACCCAGCCTTGATTCAAGTTACGAAACGAAACGAAGTTGAAAATGAATCAAAAGGAAAAAAAAAAAGCTTGATTCAAAGGAAGAAAGATCAAGACAGACAGGAAATAGACTAGCTAACGAATGAGTTGATGATGGGAGGAGGAGGAGGAGGAGGAGTGATTAGTAGTGATTGGGAGGATGATCACTAATGGATAGGTTGTCGATGGATGGATTGGTTGATGGATGGATGGTTAAACAGATAGATTAATTAAATTTTTGGCAGCAGTGATAAAATTTAAATCTGGGTTAGACCAGTCTGTTCTGTTCTGTTCTGTTCGTTCTAGAGCCCTTTTCAGTTCAATCCCCTTTAAATAAAAAAAAGAAATCAAAAAAAAAAAAATTAAAAAATTAAAAAATTAAAATTTCTGATTTGATCACAAAGACACGACTTCTTAAAAAGAAATTTTTTGATCTGAAGTTAAAGGTAAACAAATTACTGGTGGTACACTGAATTACTATTTAAAGGGATATGGCTTACGAGTAGTACAGAGAAAGACAAGTTCATTTGATGATGATTACTATGAATCATTTAACTCAACAAATTACTTAAAGATGTTAACACATATACATCTACACAAATTGACACATTTACACATCCCTTAATCTATAAATTAAGATGAACTGAACTGAATTGACAATGTGGGTACTCTTCATAATGTATGGGAGTGTTTAAAAATAGAATTTTGAACAGGCTATATACAGGACACATTATATACAGGAAATCATTACGTCACAGGATCTTACTTAACATTTCATTTCCTTCGAGGCTATACTCTTGTTTACTTATATGTCTTATTTCTTTTATTAGTATGTATGTCAAACGTATCACCCTAAGTGATCACTTGTTAATAATTTATTGTTTACATTTTATAACTTGTATGAGGCTAATACAAACTGTTTTATATATGTCGTGTATGGTCCAAATTGCAAATATTTACAACTTCTATACTAACTCCTCCTCCACCTCTTTCAAAGCCAAGTCAATTCAATTCAATTGAATTGATCAGGATTAATATCACTTCTATTAACTTCTTAATCAATTCTCTAAACAATTATTCAAAGCCAATCAAGGACATCATTTGAAATTCTCCTAAATTCAACCCATTCCAGTCCACGGCACCTTTCCTTTTCTCCTAAAAATGTGGAAATACCATTTGATTAATCCACTTTGACGGTTGTTGAAATGATTGATCGAGAACTAAATAGAGCTTTTCGGTTTAATAATATTACAATGGAAGAAATCATCCCAATAATACATGGAATAGTAACTAATGCTTTAACTAATATAGAACTTTCACCATAACCTAAGTACCATCCACTTAACCCACCAATGAATTAAGTATATATCACGAACAAAGGTAAACTTAAATCAAATACAGTATTTAATTTCGAGGCTGAAAGTTGATTCGATCGCCAATACCAAATTCGAACTCCAATTACGCACCATATGAAAACACTCGTCAGTGATATTGATTCAATTGCATGATTGAATTCGATTGGAATATAGGGTTTTAAAGTGTAGAATGTTATGACTGATAGTATAAAACATACATTGAATGTGATATCGATAGGTATCATATTTGAATAGTTTTGCTGGGATTAAGATAAACTTATATCAGTAAAAATTAGGGGAATTTCATGAAATATGGTTATTTATATATGTAAATATCTAACCAACCTTGAAATATATACTTTTAGTTAAGGAACGACCATTGTATACTTCTAAGGCGGTTAGGAGCATATTAAGAAAGGCTAAAACAGAATTACACTTACTTTTCTTCTAAATAAATAATCACTGTCAATTAAAAGTTTAACTATTAAACTGAATCACTAAAACTAATTATAAATGAACTAAATAAAAATGAAAATAAATAAATGAAAGTCAACAACTACAAAACTAATAGGGAATACCATTGGTAAGTCTTTGGAATTCATCATACCCTTTGGTATAGAAACTTTCCATTGATTTCTTAATTAATCCTCTAAAAAATTGTCCTGCTTCTCTTTCTGATTTACCAGGGACAAATCTTTGTCTTAATTTCTTCACGGTATTTTCTTTAAAACATGGTAATCCACTTTCTAACATTGGATTCACACATCTAACAATGGTTTCCATATATGGTCTACATGCTAAATAACCTTTAACACATAATTCTTCAAACCATTTAAATGCTTGAGTATCATCTCTACCTCCTAATACTAAAATCATTTCATGTGTTAACTTAAATGGAGCAACTTCAAATTTAACTCCACCTGGAACAATATCAAAACAAAATCCAAAATCAATATGTAATACATGTCCTTGATCATCATACATAATATTCCCATTATGACGATCTTTAAATTGTAATAAATAGGATATGATTGAATATGCTGCTAACGATTTAATTAAATTATTTCTAGCTTGTTGAAATTCAATCGAATTCTCCGGTCCAAATTTAGTAATGAAATATTCATATAATCCATTAACAGCTTCTCTACCTAACATATCTCTACTTGTAGCATTGGGTAATACATCAATCACCCCACATCCAGGAGCTGTAGCGGTAACTCTATATGGGAACACATAAAGATCTAAACCAGCATTAGTCCAAATCGTTCTAAATATCGATATCAATTGGATTGCTAAAACATCTTGACGACAATCATCCCCAACTTTGAAAATTGCCCCTTGCCATTTTTCAATGGGGATAATGGTTGGTTCACCAAATTCATCAATATCATGGATTTCCTTTCTGATTTTAAATGTGGCCATGAATGGAGCTTTAGCATGAGATTGTAATGGACGACCTGATTTACGATTAATATCAATCACGGTACCATCTGGATTACTAGGTAAATAAACTCCAGCTTTAACTTTAATCTTAAACATTTCTTCATCGATTTTTTCCTTCTTTTCAGCTTTAGATTTCTTAATATATGGTTTTAATTTTCCAGAAATAGATGTAACTTCAGCAAAGAATCCAAATTCTCGTTCATAAAATTTCAAATCTCGTTCATTAAAACTTGATGTCATTTTTTGTTGAATACGATCCAAGATAGGTTTAATTGAATCTGGTTCTTGACTCTCATCATCCTTATAACTATTAGCCAACATATTCCAAATGATTTGATGTGAAAATAATTGGGATACTTGAGCAGTTTCTAAAATAAATCTTTCCACATATCCTTTAGCATCATATCTTAAACTTTGAACAATTTGAGGAACATAAAAGAAAGTGATATTAACATCATGACTTTCTAATGATCTCATGGTATATTGTAACACATAAGGATTATTACCAAATGGAGGTAAGAATAATGTAATACAATCAATAGGGGATAATGGTTCCCAAAATAATAAATGATAATGAGGTTGTAAACTACTTTTTTCGGCATTTATACCAATATAATATTGAACAGCTTCAGGATAATAAATTGCTGCCAAGGTATTATTGGAAATTAAGGATTGTAAAGTTTCATCAAGATTCTTAATTTTATATCTTAATGATAAATTAATAGCTAAGATTGGATCAATAGCATAACTTTTGGCTAAAATATTACTACTGATTTGAGATTGATTACTAATGAATGATCCTTTAGTTTCACTTGAACTTAATGGATCCAACCACACAGAAATCTTGGAAATTTCATCATCTAAGAAATATAAAAGAATAGTCTTTTTATACGATAATGATTCGGATTTATAAGTTGGTGATTGTTGAACTAATTTAGCCACATCCTTTAATAATCCATAATCTCCTTTAATCTTTAAAAGATTACCTCCATAAGGATAATTTGCTCTACCTTTAAACCAAGATAATGCAGCATCAAAGATTAATTCAGTTAAATATAAAATACTTCTTGATCCCAATTTATTATGATAATTCAAAACATCAAAGGAATATTTAATTAATTCAAATCTAATAAATCTTGAATATGGATGTAAACTAGCAATTAAAAGATTCTTTAACCCAATTTCAATAAATCTAGTGAATAATTTTAATAAATGATCACTTTGGTTTAATGTAGCTTCGAAATTAGATGAAAATAATTTAATCAAATGTAAATGAATATCAAATGATCGTTCGGTAATTTGAGATAACTTATTAACTGCTTTTCTATCACTTGGAGCATATTCCATTTTATCAAATTCCGGATTTTCAATATCAAATGCAGTGGAGAATAATCCTTTCTTTAATTCAATTGATGTTTCCCATTTCTTGGCGATTTCACTTAATAACAATCCTGATAAATTAGGTCTATCCTTCATGATGGTAAACCAAATACCAATTGCAATATTCATAATATTACTATCAAATAACATAAAGGGGATTTCAACTAAATATCTTAAAGTTTCAGCTTCACTTTGTTCTTGAAGTAATGTAAAACCAGCAATATCAGTTAATAATTTAATATATTCTTGAGGATCATTTTGTTGTTGTTTAATTAATAAATTCTTTTGAGATTGATCAGAAGGCTTTTGATGATAAAAGGTACTAAATAAAGTCAGTTTAAATTCTTCAACTCTTGAACGAATACTAAATAAATCATCGACATTATTTAATTTATTAGCATCTTTTAAATCACTTATAAATGCACTTCTCCAACTTAATTGAGCTACAAATGATGGTAATGTATTAACATCACGAGCAGTAATACGTGACATAGATGATAATTGACGGTCATTACCTAATACACTTCCTGCCATTTCTAAAGCAAATGAAACCCCATATTCAACCTTTTTACCAGATTGGAATCCATTCACATCAGTAACATAGGTTTGAATTAAACTCTTAACATCAACATTACTCTTTAGTAAAATCAATCTAACCCAATGTTTTGATTTTTCATTAAAACGTTTAAAGGTTTCATCTCTCCAAGTATACGAATCACTTAATAATAATTGAATACCGGTTCTATCAGCAGTAAATGAAGTAGTTGGTTCATATTGATTAGTTTCAGCATCAACAATACTATCAAATAATAACGTTAAAAGATCAAATAATGAAAATAAACTTAGACTATGACATAATGATGATGGAACTTTATTAATTAATAAATCACAACATTGAATAGCAGCATCTTGTAAATCTTCTAATCTATGACAACACAAAGCTAACATATTAGTTAATTGTTCAGAAATATTATCAGAACTAAATTGTTTATTAGCACCATTATTAATTAAAATAATATAATCACGAACAATCTTGAATGCAATATAACCAATATATTTTTCAATTCCACTGGTTTTGATAGATGGATCTGAATAATAATGTAAGATAGTTGAACAATCACCTGATTTAACTCTAAGAGATTCCACAAATACAGTGGCGGCTAAAAACATTAATTTTTGATAAGACATAGTTCTATGAACTTCAAAAATATCACCAATAATATGTCTATGATCTTTCACATTACTATTTGAAGAACCTCTTCTTAAAACGGTATTTAATTCCAAGGTAGTTTCAGTTCTATCCCATGATAATTCAGATGCTAATGGAGGAGAATTGTAAGCGATTCTTTCTAATTCTTTAATATGACGTTTTGAATTAGGAGCATTAATGGAATAACCATGAACCACCATATTAAACCAAATATTTCTAAAAAGATTAATGGTTTCTGTGTTTTTAATTTCTAATGGTTTTTCATTCTTATTCACATCCGGTAATAATTCTGACAATGGTTTTAAATAAATAGCAATTTGATCACCAATTTCACTAATTTCATTATGAGATCTATGATGATCTAATACTTGAACATCACCACGAGATATGATGGCTTGTAAAATCTCATGTAAATAAACTTGGAATAATGGATTTTCAGGAGTTAATTTATGAGATAACGAAACTCTGGCATTTGTTAAATTGGCTAATAAATGATGATTTTTCTTTTCTAATGCTTCTAATGATAATCTATTTAAAAGTTTCAGTAATATAATGAATTCACGTTCAGGTAAGAATGGTGCGCATGATACTAAACCCTTTAATAATAATTCTCCAATCGGTGAATCTACTTTGGTGATCTTTTGCGATAAAATAGTCACAGCTAAAGTAGGGATTGTTTCATCATTACAAGCCTGAGCAATTTCAATAACGGCTGATACAGCGTTTTGACAAACTTTATTATAATCATTTTCATCATATTCACCAGCAATACTTCTAACTGAAAGATTAGATCTACTACCGTTATTAGGGAATGATGAAATAGATGTACGTCTTGATAATGATAAGAATTCTCCTGCTGCGGTACCATTAGTGCTAGCACCACCATTCTTAAATTGAGGAGGACCAAGTTTTCTAATTGAATTTCTTGATTGTAATTGTAAACCATCATTGCCCACGAATACTAAATTGGTTAAAGCATAAATGGTAGTAACAATGGAATCTTGAGTTAAAACTTTTGATGCTAACCCAACACATTTGGATGCTTCTATACTATAATCAGATTTAACTTTTGGATTCGCAATTAATGAAGTGAAACCTCTTGTTAATGAAGGGCCAACTTTATCGTCTTTAAAGACCAATAAAGCACCTAATTGAAGTACACTCAAACCTAAATCAGGATCCAACATGACTTGTTTAATTTGTAAACAGTTTTTAAAGAATTTTTTGGCAATTTTAATATCAACAATATCAGTAAACATACCACAACTTAAAATTTGAATATTATGAGCTTTAGCTAAATATCCATGCTTTAAACGTTCATAACTGGAATAAACAATATAAGTTTCACCTCTATCTAAGAATTCCATCTTTGAAATAGCATTATGAGATAAATTTTTAATAATTTCCATATGTTGCTGAGAAATATCCAAGTTTTCTTTAGCTAATGAAAATCCATTTTCATCAACAACTTCTTCTTCCGCTTCTTCTTCATTTGCTAAATATTTGGCTGATGCTTTATCTAAGATGTAATTGATTAATGGACCACTTTTATTTCCAAGAATTGAATTCAAGATTGATGTCATTAAGTAACTGATTTTTTCAATATAAAGGATTGGTGAGAATGAAGCCATATACAGATGATCTAAAAGTTCAGTGTAATCATTGTCTTCTTTATGAACTGCACTAGAATAGAATTCAATATCATTTAAGAATTCAACATTATCAATGCATGCATCTAAAGTGGTAAATAATTTAAATGATTTTGGAGTCTGAATTAAAATTTGAGAATTTTGAGTTAAACCTTCAATATAACCTAAGATAGTAAAGAAATCAGTCAATTCTCTTTCATCATAAGCCTTAGCAAAGAATTTATCGGTGAATTCAGTGAACACGTTAATCACATCATCTTGAAATTGATGATTGAATTGGCGAGATATATTACATAAAGCCGTGGTTAAATGTTGAGCAAGATTTGCCCAAGGAGAAATCTTATTTGATTTGGTAGCAATTGAATAACTAAACTTTTGATGTTGTAAGTCTAACAAATAAACTCTGAACTTTTTAATTAATAACTTAGCTTGATTAGTAAATTTAAGATCAACCGTTGATTCACAAAGGGCGATCAACACTTCATATTCACGAATACTGATTGATTCAACAGCTAAATCCTTATCATCCACATCAGTTTCTTTCCCACACCATGTCAAAACCTTATTGAAGTCTTCGTTGGATGCTGGATTTGGTATGGTTTCATTTGATGATAATTGTTGTACCGATAACTTTGATAACTTCCGAAGTGATTCTGCTCTTATAGAGCCTCGTGATATACCGTTAAAGTCCATCTTGAAACCACTCACCTATCTAACAATTGAGCTGATTACAACCTTTGTATGTTCAGTCCTTTGAAATGATACTCAGATGATACCTTTATCGATGATTAACAAGAAGAAGAAAGACAAGTTGTCCAAGATGATGGTTTGACCGTCAGTTTTCGTTTAACCAAATTGAAACAAGAAATTCCTGCACATGTTACTCCTATAATTTTTTTTTTCAGTGTCAGTTTTGTTTTGTGGAGGGGTTTCAAACTGACGCTGTGATATTTAACAATTACTTTCCCAAATAGGAAATTTTGATAACGAAATATTATATAGAAGTTACACATTGATTTAATTACTTAACCAGATAATCCATGGATATATATATTAACAGTCTTATGATAATATAACAGATCTACGATAAAAAAAATCTAAAAAATCAAAAAAAATAATAGTTAAAATTAACATGTGTGTTACAGATGAATGGGTATAACCAGTGAATTGAATTCAGATTATTGCTAATATACAGAACCAGATCAGATTCCCAATTATATGAGGCTGGGAATTGATAACAAATGATGATGACCTCAATGAGGAAGACCAAAGATGCAAAGATATAATATGATGAGTGAATAATTATCAACGAACAGAACAGCAAATAGTTAGAACATGAATATGAATATGAATTACAACTCTAGTATAGGAATCAGATCCATTGATGACTTTTAGTTATGTCATTAATCATTATTTTATTTCTTGAGTTGAAAATCAAACTTATGAATAAGTTTCAATCAAGGTATCTCTTAAGTTTCCAGAAATAGCATCTGGTTGAGCATCTTGTAATCTGAAAATAGATTCTATCACAGATAATTCTGGAGCAGTAGTATCTAAACCAGCAACGGCTAACCAATCATTAACAACCATACCGGCACCAACAACTGAAGAACCTCTATTCACAGTACCAGCCACTAATGGAACTTGTAATAATGATGATAATTCTTCTTGATCTTGAATGGAGGTTTGAGGATGGACAATACCACCTTGATTTGATAATGAACAGTATGATCCAACTAATACATTTCCAGCAATAGTTTGACGGAAAACTTCTACACCTAATACATCAGCTATTAATTCTTCAGTTTCTCTTTCAATATCTGGATGGACTAAAGCAACATAATCATTACAACAAATAACATTACCTAAAGCTGATAATCTTTCTTCAACTCTTTGAATCTTAACTGAGTCTGGTAAGGAATTTCTTAAATGCATTAATTCTTGATCAGTAGTTTGAGTAGGAACTAATAACCCACGTCTGTTACCAGCAGTCATTCTACCCACAATTCTAGTACCAGAAATAGTAGTATGAACAATAGGAACCACATCACCTAATTCAGCTTCAAAAGCAGAATAAAAATTTTCAGATCCACCAACAGCAACTAAACTATAGGAGTTAGTTAATTTGGCAAACACACCAACTTCATTGGAGTTTTCAAATTGAGTTCTACTAGCCATGATATATGTTTAAGCTTGTTTAACTTTAATATTATAATAGTAATATAAACAAAAAAAGGTATAAGATAAATTTAGCTAAATCTGATATTGTGAAAATTTAAATTTATCAAATTTTTTTGGGATGAGTAATAAAGATTTAGCATCAAATTTTCACTTCTGGACTGCACATAAAATGGAGTGATCACGTGTCATATAATATAGATATAATTTTATCGGAAATTATGATAAATGGGGTCCTGCTGAAGAGATAGAGGAGAAATTGATTCTACAAAGTTTCAATTGTTTTAATTACTTTATTAATTTATTAATTAAATATGCATTAATATCCTATATAACAAGTCTTTTAAAATACAGTTTGTTAGAGTCTAACAAACACCCAATATAAATACAAACAAAATATCAAATCAAACTAATCAAGACCTGGAATACTTAATTTATCGTAATCACCAAAGGTACCATCATCATCGTCTTCATCATCGGTATCCTTCCAATCTTCAACATCAACATCCATGTCAATGTCATCAGCTGCATGGTTTGGTAATACTTCTAAACCTTTTTCTCCAACTGTAACTGTAGCAGTTTCTTTATCTTTGATTTGTCCTTTTAATAATAATACTGCAAGACGGTTCAATAATTCTTGTTGGATTAATCTGTTTAATGGTCTAGCACCTAAATCTGGTGAATAACCATTGGTACATAAATATTGAATAGCAGCATCATCAACTTCTAATTTCAAGGTCGTACCATTAGCAGCAAATCTCTTCTCAATTTCATCTAATCTAATCTTAACAATCTTAGCAATGGCTTTTCTTGATAATCTATTGAATATCACGGTAGATGAAATTCTATTTAAGAATTCAGGTCTGAAATGTGCTTTAACAGCTCCCATTACTAATTGTTTTGTTTCAGGAGAAATCTTAGCAGTTCTTGCTGCATTCACGTATTCAGCACCTAAATTGGAAGTCATAATGATAATGGCATTGGAACAATTAATAACTTTACCTTGAGATGAAGTAACTCTACCATCATCTAAGATTTGTAATAACACAGTTAAGACTTCTGGAGCTGCCTTTTCAACTTCATCAAATAATAAAACCGAATATGGTCTTCTTAATAAGGCTTCAGTCAAAATACCACCTTCTTCATAACCAACATAACCAGGGGCAGCACCTAATAATTTTGAAGCAGACCATTTATCACCTAATTCTGAGCAATCAATTCTAATCATGGCTTTTTCATCTGCAAATAAGAATCCAGCAACTTTCTTGGCTAATTCAGTCTTACCAGAACCCGATAAACCTAAGAATAAGAATGAAGCTGGCTGATTTGGATTAGCTAAACCAGATCTTGTTAATCTAACCGCATTAGCAACAGCTTTAATGGCTTCTGATTGACCTACAACTCCAGCAGCTAATTCACTTTCCATATTGATTAATTTAGAATTTTCAGCTTGAGTTAATTTAGTAACTGGAATACCGGTTAATCTAGCAGCAGTTTCAGCCACTTGTTCTGAACCAACGGCATTTCTTAATAATGATTCAGGACCATTGGAAGCTTCTTCCTCAGCTACTTTATCTTCTAATTCAGCTATTCTTTTTTCAACTTCTGGAATGGCAAAATATCTTAAATCAGCAGCTGAACCGGTATCATGCCTTCTTTCAGCATCTTGAGCTTTAATTTCTAATTCATCTAATTTTCTCTTAGCTTCAATTAATACATCATGAGATGCTCTTTCTTGATTAAATCTTTCTCTTAATGGATTAATTTGTTCTTCAATTTCAGCCTTCTTTCTGTTAGCCAATTCTAATCTATCTTTAGAAGCAGCATCAGCTTCAACATCTCTTTGTAAAGCATTGATTTCAACTTCAACTAAATGTAATTGTCTTTCTAAACTATCTAATTCTTCTGGTTTAGAATCTCTGGCTACAGCCACAGCAGCAGCAGTTTCATCAATTAAATCAACAGCTGAATCAGGTAAACTTCTATACGTCAAGTATCTTGAAGCTAAACGAGCAGCAGTAACCAAGGCACTATCTAAGATTCTAACTCCATGATGAATTTCATATCTTGGTTGAATACCTCTTAAGATTGCGATAGTTTCATTAACAGTAGCAGCTGGAACATCAATCTTTTGGAATCTTCTTTCAAAAGCACCATCTTTGGAAATATACTTTCTATATTCTGAAAATGTAGTAGCACCAATACAATGTAAGGTACCTCTTGCTAACATTGGTTTTAATAAATTAGCAGCATCAGATTTACCATCACCCATTAACATATGAATTTCATCAATGAATAAAATAATAAATTCTTTGGATTGTTCTATTTCATTCAAAACTCCTTTTATTCTTTCTTCAAATTCACCTTTATATTTAGCACCTGCAGTCAATGCACCTAAATCTAAGGCAAATAATCTTGAATTAGCTAAAACGTTTGGAACATCACCATCAATGATTCTTTGGGCTACACCTTCTACAATAGAAGTCTTACCCACACCAGCATCACCAATTAAAACTGAATTTGATTTGGTTCTTCTGGCTAATACTCTTATAACTCTTCTAATTTCTTCTTCTCTACCAATGACAGGATCAATTTTACCTTCTCTAGCCTTTTCAGTTAAATCTTCACAATATTTATTTAAGAATTCATAATTGGAAGAGGAATCAGCTTGTCTAGAGTCGATTCTTTGACTACCTCTTAATTCAATAGCTTGAGCTTTTAAAGTTTCAACTTTAACACTGGCTTCTTTTAAAATATCTTTAATTGATTGATCATCCAACAAGGCCAATAATATATGATCTTGAGCTATATAACTATCCTTTTGTTGACCTTTGATCTTGATTGCATTTTGTATAACTTGACCAGCAGCATAACTCATTCTTAAATCATCTGGAGCAGGAGTTTGAGATGGTAATCTTACTAAATGTTTATTAACAGTTCTTTCAAATGCTGGCCATTCAAATCTACCCTTTTGAATCAAAGTTCTTAAATATGAGGTTGAATTAGCTTCATCATCAGTAGGTATCATGGCAGCAAGGAAATGTAATGGTACAATTTGAGCATTGGAATTTTCCTTTGCTAATTGTGAAGCATTATTAATAATCTTTAATGCGTTATCAGTGAATTGTGTTTCGTCCATTGTAACTTATGATAATTTATATAGTTATTAACTGAAATTAAATAAGAAACGAAAGAGAAAACAACATCAAAAAGGAATGATAAAGTTGAATGTTATGTATCATCATATTTATAGAACATGGTGATATCGAAGCAGACAGATCATTTATCAATTTGTTAGTGACTGCACATAAACCAGAAGTATCTCGAACTTTCTAGAACTGAAAAAAATTGTCACCTTTTAACTGATGACTAACGGATTATGTAATCATAGTTAGATTGCAAAAAAATGATAGCAAATGCCAATGGAATGTAATTAGATCTTACAGAATGTAAATTGGAATATAAAACAGAATTATAATGCAAAATTAAAGTTTCCTACATAATATCTATATAAGTACTCTAACAAATACAACTAATTTTTATAAGCCAAAACTTGAGCAATATGATCAACAACAGACTTTTCAAGGTCAATGTATTCAAATCCTAAGATCTTTCTAGATTCAGTATCCTGAAATCTATTATAATGAGCAAAATAATCACTTGGTAAGGAAACTTCTGGTAGTTTATCAGAATATTCCTTAAAGTTTCTTCTGATAATATCAATGAAATTGGTATAAGCGAATCTGTTATTAGAAATAACAATTCTCTTACCAACAGCGTCCTCATTTTCAATAGCAATAATATGGGCTTTAGCAACATCACGAACATCAACACAAATACTTTCAGCGGTAGGGACTTTAGAATCTTTAGTTAATTTTAAAGCACCAACAAGAAATTCCGCAGAATGATTTAAATCCTTGACACCAGATTCAAAAGCTTGTGGTCCAAATACATAACTTGGTAATACAGTAGTTAACGTAAAACTTGGATTTTCTTGCTTAATAAAATCCCAAGCTGCTTGTTCAGCAAATTTCTTTGAACCAGCATAAGCAGTAGGAGCATCACTACTTTTTGCTTGTTCATAAGTAATTGGCAGCCAGCTATCTTCACCACCAACATAATTTGGATCAGCTAATTGAGCAAAAGATGCAGCAGCAACAACTGAACTGGTGATAACAACCTTTTTAATTTGAGGAGCAACATTCTTAATAGATTGAAGAACATTCTTAGTACCATTAATAGCTGGGATTAAAGTATTCTTTTCATGTTCATCTTGAGCAAAAGAAACAGGAGAAGCAGTATGAAGGAATATAGTAACTTCAGGATGATTAATTAAAGCTTGATCAAAGGCACCTTCCTTTTCTAACACTTCAACAACTTCATAAGTGAAATCCTTACTATTGATTTCCTTTGATAAAACTTCACCTTTAGCGGCCAGTCTAACTTGACCAACAACTTTATAACCACCATTCAATAAATGAACAATGATTTGACCAGCGATAAAACCTGTGGCACCGGATACGAAAACTGATTGACCTGACATTTGAGTATAATTATGATTTAAAATTTTATGATGTGATTGATTTAAAGATTTGTAAGTGAACTTAATAGAACCAATTGAATAGCTTATTGAACTCTAAAGTTTATAATCTGTCTAGTTTCAGGATATAGCCAATTTACCTTCCTTATATAGTTTTAATGTCATATACATTCAATCTTTATTAGTCGGCTCTCGTTCATGCCTTGAATCCTAATTAGGAAAGTGCGGTTCGAAATTACATGATGCCTCCGCTGAGAAATCAGTTTTAATTTGTAAGCCGCACAGATATTGGATTGTCACCATTTTCATTGTCTGTAATCAGAATTTCTTTTTTTTTCCACAAAAGGCTCTAATTAAGTAAACCCGTTTTTGATAAATACGAAATATGTGGAGAACATAGGATTTATTTTCATCGTAGTTATTACATAGCCTTCGTCTAAAAAGATTTGCTGTTAATTATTTTTTTGGGAAATATGTGTTCCGTATAAACTTTGATATTTGTTACTTATTCAACTTCATATTTTGAAAGTAATAAGTTAAATCTACTAGATTAAATTTAATTAAAAAAACATTTAGTATATTATATTAGACATAAAATTGTATGTAAAGAAAAAAAAGATAATATTAATAGTATATAAAAAGAATCTAAGAAACAGAAAATTAAGCTTTGTTTTGGTAAGCTAAAACTTGAGCAATAAGGTCAACAATGGTCTTTTCAAGCTTGATATATTCAAAATCTAAAATCTTTCTGGATTTAGAATCATCGAACTTAACAAAGTTATCAAAGTGATCAGCTGGTAAAGTTTCAGTGACTGGTAACTTAGCATCATATTCCTTGAAGTTTCTTCTAATGATATCAACAAATTCAGAGTATTGGAATCTAGTAGAATAGACAGCAATTCTCTTATCGACAGCATCTTCTTTCTCGAAAGCAAGAATATGAGCCTTAGCAATATCACGAACATCAGCACTTAAACTAATCACTGCAGGAATAGTATCTTCTCTCTTTAATTGTAAAGCATTGGCAACAAAAGCAGCAGTAAGATTCAAATTCTTGAGACCAGATTCAAAAGCTTGAGGACCGAAAACATAACCAGGTAAGACAGTGGTCAACTTGAACTTTGGAGTCTCTTGCTTGACGAAATCCCAGGCAGCTAATTCGGCATATTTCTTAGAAACAGTATATGCAACAGCGGAATCAGCAGTCTTGGCTTCTTCATAAGTAGTAGATAACCAACTATCTTCTCCACCAACATAAGTAGGATCTTCTAATTCAGCAAAAGTAGCAGCAGCAACAATAGAACTGGTAACAACCACTCTCTTGATTTGTGGTGCGACTTTCTTAATTGATTTAAGAACATTCTTAGTACCATCAACAGCTGGAATTAAAATATCTCTTTCATTATCTTCAACGGAGAAAGTAGCAGGAGAAGCAGTATGAAGGAAAATAGAGACTTCAGGATGTTTAGCTAACACAGCATCGAATGAACCTTCCTTTTCAAATACTTCAACAACTTCGTAAGAGAAGTTCTTGTTGTTAACATCTTTAGCTAAAGCATCACCTTTAGAACTCAGTCTGACTTGACCAATGACATGATATCCTTTATTCAATAACTGAATAATGATATGTTGAGCAATATAACCGGTAGCACCAGTAATGAAAACAGTTTGAGAAGACATTGGGGATTGAATATTTTTTGATTTGAAAATTGATTTGACTTGTCTATATATCTTGAAATATAATTAATATCTGTATTAATGGTTATTAATTGTATTAATTGATGATGTAACAAGAAAAAGAACTGAAATTGTAAAACGAATTGAGTCTCCTTTTATATCATTTCCAAACCTATATCTTTGAATGTGCTTGCAAATAGCTTTCGCAATATGTTTTCCGGTTCTACTGACTTTGTTTCCAAATTAGGCAAGTGCGGTTCAACATTTCTGTGGCGATGATGATAAATCAGGACTAAATTTGTAAGCCGCAGAGGTTGCACACTTCAATTTGAATTTACCTGTTTAAGCTATAGATTTGAAATATTATCTATAAACAAATGGATTGTCACCAGTCATTTATTTATAATTAACGCCTTTAAAGGATCAATTATTCCCGCGTGTCACAATCACATGGAAGGGATTCATTATTACCCTGTATGTGTTATAATGAGGATACCTTTACTTTAATCTATTTTGGAGAAATCATTATTAAGCATGGACACTGTAAATATCAATCTCCAGCTTGTTGCTAGGCCCGAATATGTCACACAGCTTATGGTGAATTAATGTAAAGTTTCTATATTGAATCGGTAATTAAGTAGTGATTTGGTACTCCGTTACATTTTGTGCACCCCTGCGACTTTCAAAATTTTCTTATTTGTCTGTTCTATTAAGGTTACTGCAACTAATGATGTTTTTAAATACAATTATCTGAGTATATTAAGTAAAATTGTAAATGCTATAAAAACTATAAAACTAAATGCAAACTAGAATATAAATAAATATTGGAAATGGAATCTAAGCTTTGTTTTGATAATCTAAGATTTGAGCAATTTGGTCGACGACAGTCTTTTCAAATTTAATATAATCAATACCTAAAGCCTTTCTAGATTCAACATCACCATATGGAACATAGCTATCAAAGAAATCAGGAGCAAATTCAGCCACAGGTAATGTATTAACTAAATCTTTGAAATTTCTTCTGATAATATCAACAACTTGTTGGAAATTGAATCTATTTCCGTAACCTACTAATCTCTTACCTGCCGCTTCTTTGTTTTCGAATGCAAGAATATGGGCTAAGGCGATATCACGTACATCAACACTTAAACCACCAGCAGCTGGAATTTTGTCGTCTTTCTTTAATTGTAAAGCACTAGCAAGGTAAGCAGCAGTAAGATTCAAATTTGCAACACCTGATTCAAAAGCTTGAGGACCAAACACGTAACCTGGTAAAACTGTAGATAATTCAAAGTTTGGTTGTTCTTGCTTTACGAAATCCCATGCAGCTAATTCGGCATATTTCTTAGAAACTGCATAAGCAATTTGAGAATCTGAAGTTTTGGCTTCTTCATAAGTGATTGGTAACCAAGTATTTTCACCTCCAACATAAGTAGGATCTTCTAATTCAGCAAAAGTAGAAGCGGCAACAACAGAACTAGTAACAACAACCCTCTTCATTTGAGGAGCAACTCTTTTAATAGAAGCAAGAACATTCTTAGTACCATTAACAGCTGGAATTAACATATCTCTTTCATTATCTTCAACATGAAATGAAACTGGAGAAGCAGTATGAAGGAAAATAGAGACTTCAGGATGTTTAGCTAACACTTCATCGAAAGCACCTTCTTCTTCTAAAACCTTAACAATTTCATAAGAGAAATTCTTATTATTGAAATCTTTGGATAAGGTATCACCTTTAGCACTCAGTCTTACTTGACCAATAACGTTATAACCACTACTCAATAATTGAACAATGATATGTTGAGCAATATAACCAGTGGCACCGGAAATGAAAACAGTTTGAGAAGACATTTGAGAAGTTAATGAAATTTAAATTTGATTGGAGTGAATATATATATATGTGTGTATTAATAATGGGTATTAATGATAATTAAAAAGATTTGGAAAGTTGGTTAATTGGAAATATTATAACCTCTTTATATATTGCTTTCTTGAGTATCTTCCTTTAGTCTTATTTTGCAATAAAATAGGATTTGTCAAGCTTCGTTTCCCAATCAGGCAACACCCGTCCAGAAGAAAAAAATGAAATTTTGGTTTTCGGCGCTGAGAAATCAAGAATATTTGTAAGCCGCACCGGTTATAACCCTTTGCAACCCTTTCGAATATCTGGGTTTAAGATATTATGTTATCAGATACTCAGAAACAAGAAAATGCCATAGTGTAAAGTTAGTGATTCGTTATTCGTAATCTAGTACTTGAAAATGAACGTGATTCATAGTTGCTAACCTTAGGTCATTAAAAGCTCAGGTGTGTTCGGTTTTAAGATCAATTAGAAGTCACTTTAAAGTTGATGTCGTTAGATCCGATATCATAGCTTGTCATGTAACTCAAGCATTGAATGAATCTTGATCACTTATATCCCAAGGTAAAAAAATATTGGTCAAAAGTAAGCTTGGAATGAATCACTTATCAAGTAGTCCTTCTGGGAGAAGCATACAAAATTTAGATTTATTTTAAGAAACTCGACAAATGTAATTTTGTAAGTCACTCATCCCTTCTCATTTCAGGACCCATATTTCTGATCTGGAAATTGTAACCTTGGTTTAAGAAATATAACCTTGTTCTCACAAGCCAATGAGAAAAATGGCTCAAGGTAGCTGTAACAACTCCAAAGTTCTCCGGGTGGGGCAAATATTTTATCTGATCCATCAAATCAGATTAATCAAATAAGATCAAAATAGCAACTTTTGGCTTCTGATACGTCGAAGTTTCAATTTGAAAGGTTTTTACTTTTATTTACGTAATGAATTCTGGAGCTAAAGCCACTTATAATATTTTTCGGGTACGCCATTACCATACAAAAAACCGAAAATACCCGCAATTCTCGTCCCGAACACTAAAATTTGTCTGTGCGCTACCATCAAAAACTATCACAAAGATAATTTTTGACTTGCAGTTACCAACTACAGTATTGTTTTGCATTTTCTAATTATGTTGAGTTGAAGGCTTTGAAATGAATTGAAACTGGGAAAATTTTTATCAGATGAGATTTATCTGATTAAATCAATCAGTTCAGGTTCTTAAAGAAAAGAAATCCCGTTGTTGGCTTTTTACTCTGATTTGCTAGTTTTTACTAAGGGGCTTAATGGTTTAAAACCTATAAATACCTGAAAGAAATCTCTAAGAGAAAATAATCTTAATATTATTGATTTCATTACTTTTCTTTTAAGGTCATTCAGATAAACAATTACAATCAGATAAGATGCCTTCTCTTAGCACAATATTTTCTAGAATGAAATGGGGTATAATACCCAAGAGAAGAATAGTTGATGAAGATGAGAATGGTAATTTTATTTATGAAAAGGATACCTTAGCAACATCTTTACCAGCTATTTCTAAATTAATTGAAAAAAATAAAAAGAAAGATTATGATGAACATACAGAAACTGATGTAGAATCTTATTCTGATTCAGACTCAATTCAAAAAATAAAATATGAATACCGTGATGAAAAAGATAGAAAATGGTGGAAGTTCTTTGATGAATATGAATATAGAATAACTAAAGATGAGAAAAAGAAAATTAAATGGTTTAAATACTTCAACGATGAAGATACCCCTGAAGAGAAAAGGCTTATAGTGAAATTAGATCTCTTATTAACTTTTTATTCTGTTGCAGTTTATTGGGTTAAATATCTTGATCAAGCAAACATTAACAGTGCTTATGTTGGAGGATTGAAAGAAGGAATTGGAATGACAGGTGATAATTTGGTTTTGGCACAAACTTATTTTTCAATTGGAAATGCTGTGTTCCAATTACCATTTATCTACGTTCTTTATGGTTTACCTTTAAATTATATATTACCTTCTATGGATATTTGCTGGTCGATATTCACTTTATTAACTTATAAAGTAACAAATTTTGAACAATTTAAAATAATGAGATTCTTCGTTGGAAGTTTCGAAGCTGGAACATATATTTCATATCATAGTTTATTTGCTTCTTGGTACAAATCCTCAAACAATGAAGCAATTCGTAGAGCTTCGTGTTTCTACTTGGGTCAATTTCTTGGTAGTATGTCATCAGGATTAATATCAGGAGCTATTGAGAGAACAATGCCTGGTTATAGAGGATTACAGGCTTGGCAATGGATATTCGTTATTGATGGTATTATTTCTTTAGTTGTAGGTTTAATGGGCTTTTTTGTATTACCTGGAACACCAACTGATTGTTATAGTTTATTTTTAACTGATGATGAAATCAGATTAGCAAGAAAAAGAATGTTAAAAGACCAAAAACACCATAGATCAAGACATGATATCTTTAAAGAATTCTTTGACTGGGAAACTTGGAAATCAATTTTAACTAGTTGGAAAATCTATAACTTAATCATCTGGAATATGTTTTGTTGGAATAATAATAATGGTACTTCTGGAGCTTATTCATTATGGTTAAAGTCATTGAAAGATGAAAATGGTAAGCAGAAATATATGCAAGGAAAATTACAAGACTTGACTGCCTTGACGCCTGGCTTAGGATTAATATGGTTAACTATAACATGCTTCCTCGGTGATTATTTTAAAAGTAGATGGTTTGCTATTATATTTTCTCAAATATTCAACATTTTAGGTAATTCAATTTTAGCAGTATGGTATGTTCCACTAAGACTTAAATGGTTCGCGTACTGTCTACAGTATTGGGGTTGGTCGATGAGTCCTATTTTATATGCCTGGCAAGGTGATATTTGTCGAAATGATATTAGATCAAGAGAATTTTCTTTAGTACTTATGAATCTTATTGCACATAAATCAACTGCTTGGGTTCCATTATTGGTTTGGAAAACAACACAAGCACCGAGGTATCCAATAGGTTATGCATTTACAGCAGCTTGTTCTGGAGGAGTTATTGTCTGGACTTTCATAATCTTGTACTTCTATAAGCGAGATGAAAAAAGAAATGCCAAAAATAACGGAATTATAGTTTACAATTCCTCTGTTGATACAGATATTGTACCTCCAGAAGCAAGCAAATCAGAACAAAGAAGTAAACCCGAAAAAGACCAGCAAGAGTTGATTTAGAAATTTTATACAGATAGATATTAGAATAGATTTGTAGTTTAAACTCTACAAATAGTTAATTACATGCTCTTTAAAAAATTATCTTATATTACAAAAACACAGTAGAAGTTAACTAAACATAGAAAAAAATTACATAAAAAAATAACAAACATCAGCTTTTTAAAAAAGGGTCATAAAAAGGATAGCAGAAACAATAGCAACAGCAGGGTCAACCTCTGTTAAGCCTGTAGCACCATTTTTTGAAGTTGAATTCAGCATTGTGTGGTTGGTATTACCTGTGTGGCGGGTATTGTCTGCATGATGGGTATTGCCTCCGTATGCTAACCCAGATCCAATAGCTCCACCTACCACTCCACCTACAACTGCTCCACCTATTGCTGATCCAGCAGAACCAGAACTAGACCCTCTAGTACCAGAACCTAAGCCTGAACTTGAACCAGAGGTTGAACCTCTTGTGCCAGAATTTGCACCTGAGGATGGAGAATAGGCTGGTGCTGGGTGAGGATCTTTTGGAGAATATGCTGGTGGTGAACTACCAGTCTTAGTACCTGATGTTGAACCAGATTTTAATCCGCTTGAACTACCTTTGGTACTAAATCCACTTGAACCTAAGCCTGAGCCGCTTGTTCTCCAACTTGAACCTAATCCTGAACCGCTTGATCTCCAACTTGAACCACCAGAGCGAAATCCACGGAAACCAAATCGTCGGGGGGCTAATTCTGAGACTCGTTCTTCATCTTCTCTCTTTTTGGTTTGAACAATACCTTTTTCTTCCATAAGAGTTAAATTCTCGATGTTATAACCTTGAACAAAATCGTTTGGGTGACCTTCTAATTCAGTTGAAATAACAAGTGATGATGTAAAATTGATGTATAAAAAGTAGCACAATAAAGTAAAGACTGAGTAATATTTCATTGAATAAGCTAATGGAACTTGAAGTTGTCTGTATTTATCTTGAATTAAAATTCCAACAAATGAGTTAAGACACAAGAAGATCATACCCTATATATATAACTTAAGGTCAACAGAAGTTATAAAAGTGCAGTTGCAAAAATATATGACTGAGTTCGGTAAACCAATTGAATGACTATCTAATACGTGAGTTAATGTGCGGCGTAACGGTAATCGAAGGTAACTCAAAAGTAATATGATAATTTAATTAAATTGGATGTATATCCGATTACTTGATTGAGGAAAGCGTAGTAGCGATACCTTTCATTACTTATTGGTGTTCGGACCGACTTCTATTATGACTATAATTCATCTCAAGACTTTATCAAATTAATCATTGATTATCTAAACTCCTTATCATGTATCAATGTTAGGATTGTACACTTGGAGAATATATATCAAAACAGGAGAAATGTCCGAACTACTCGCCAGATTATTTGGGCAAGTATTACTCAAGTTATCCCACATGGCTCAAATATTAAGAAGTGTCTTGGCTATCTTAATTAAGTTATCAAAGAGTAGAATATCTAATATTTCCAAAATGAAGTGTTTTTCGTTTTTAAGGAAGGTTTTACAAAACGCTGACGTAACTAGTAAGAATATATATTAAACTAAAAAATGTAGTTTTCAAAACCGTTTAGAAAACTGTCATAAACTTTTTTTAAAAAATAGCTATGCAGAGGGAAATGGCAGAAATTATTGCAACTCCTGAGTTGAACTTTAATAAACTTGTAGCGTCACTGGTAGAAGTTGAATTCAGCATCGTGTAGTTGGTATTACCTGCATGAAGGTTATTACCTGTATGATGGGTATTACCTCCTGATCCTAATCCTGATCCTATAGCTCCCCCAATAACTCCACCAGCAAGTGCTCCTCCAGTTCCACCATGTCTATTTCTTGGACTGCTATGGTAGCGATAATCATCATCCGAATCATATCCACCCCAGCCAGAATTTGACCCAGAATTTCCAGAATTTGATCTATAATTTGATCCAGAGTTTGATCCGTTTGAACCTTTTGGTCTTGAACTGGAACCATTTGGACCTTTTGGTTTGGAATTTGAACTAGAACCAGAGCTTGATCCACTTGAACCTTTTGGTTTGGAATTTGGACTAGAACCAGAGCTTGATCCACTTGAACCTGATCCAGAAGATGGAGAATATGCTGGTGGTGGACTAGGATCTTTTGGAGAATATGCTGGAGGTAAATCACTACCACCCTTTGAACTTGAACTTGAGCCTGAGCTTAATCCACTTGATCCACCTTTTGAACTAGATCCTCTAGAACTTGAGCTCAGGCCTCCCTTAGAACTAGATCCTCCAGAACTTGAACTTGAGCCACCCTTTGAGCTAGAAGATCCACTTGATCCACTTGATCCACTTGATCCCCAACCAGAACCAGAACTACCTTTTGAACTTGACCCACTTGAACCACTTGAGCCACTTGAACCACTTGACCCACTTGACCCCCAACCAGAACCTGAACTACCTTTTGAACTTGAGCCGGAATTACTGGAGCCACTTGAACCACTTGACCCCCAGCCAGAGCCAGAACTACCTCCCGAACTTGAACTTGAACCTGAACTAGATCCGTAGCTACTGGAACCACTTGATCCACTGCTACTGGAACCACTTGATGAACCTCCACTAGAACTACCACCACTACTAAACCAGCCTCTGGCGGCTAAATTAGAAATCTTCACTTCATCATTTCTCTTTTTAACTTGAACAGAATTATTATTATCTTTAGCTAACTTTATAGCTTGGATATAATATTCATTGTTAAAATCAGTTGGGATTCTTTGTAATTCGGTGGAAACAACAAGTGATGAAGAAAAATTGATGTAAAAAATACAGCACAATAAAGTAAAGGCTGACAAATATTTCATTGAATAAACTAACAGGACTTTCAGTAATTTGTGTCTTGATTGAATGAAAAAAATGTATAAATGAAGATAATAATTAAGATGGTATTTATATAATTATCTAAGGGTACACTGATAAAATAACTGCAATTGCAAAATTTATGTTGAGAAATTTTAATTTTAAAGCAGACCAAAGTTTACTTGACTGAAAAGTTTTAAGGTGTAAGTAAGTACTTACGTGCGGCGTGAAGGTAATTGGCGGGTATTTCAAATTGTCAGGTTAACTAATATAATTAGTTAAATGTTCAATTGGGGAAAGTATAATTCCAATACCACTAATCAATCATTGGACCAAATTCAAGCGGAATTTTTTTTAGTTTCCCCATTATACTTGACTTCTTAAGTCTTGAATATAGAGATTCATTAGTAAAAGTACTTCATCTTTCTTTAAGCTGAAGATTGTGTAAGCGCAAAATTCTTCACTTGCGGACAAGGCTTAAAAAAATAGATCAAATTTTTAGTTAGTCAACCACAATCATTAGTTGAGAAATGTTTAAAAAACTCTAGATTTTTATGAATATATTAAACTAACTAAATATACAATTCGTAAACATTTTAAAAAACAGCCATATAAATGGCAATAGCAGAAACCAAGGCAACACCATGATTGAGTTGAAGATTAGCTGCTGCACCAACTTTAGAGGTTGTACTATTCGAAGTTGTACTATTCAGACTAGTACTTCCTGAATGCAGACCGCTACTTCCTGATGCTGCTCCAGCACCAATGGCAGCACCAACAGCAGCACCACCTATAATACTACCAACACCTGATCCTGAATTTGTTGTTCCAGAACCTGAATTGGAACCAGAGTTAGAACCAGAATTTGAACCACTTGACCCGCTTGAACCACTCGAACCAGAAGTAGATCCAGATCCTGAAGATGGAGAATAGGCTGGTGGAGGGTTAGGGTCATTTGGAGAGTATGCTGGAGGAGCTTGACCCGAGTTTGATCCTGAGCTTGAACCAGACCCTCCTTTGGTTCCTGAAGTAGAACCTGAAGTAGAACCACCAGAACTAGAGCCACCTTTCGTTCCTGAACTTGAACCTGAACTTGATCCAATACTTGATCCACCTGAACTTCCATGAGAACTAGAACTACCTGAACTTCCATGAGAACCTCCTGAACTTCCTCTTCTACGAACTAATTCGGCATACACTTCATCGACTTTTCTTTCAACAACATCAATAATACCAGTATTAAATTCAAAGATACTTAATTTCTCGGTATGGTGATCATTTGTGGAAATCTCTTTGGAAAATTTATCTAATTCAGTAGAAACAACAAGTGATGATGAAAAATTAATGTAAAAAATACACGATAATAAAACAAAGGATGAGAAATATTTCATTCCTTGACAATTAAAAAGTAATTAAAGCAGGATGTGTCAAAGCTTGAATTGAATACTTTTTCTTATAATTGACAAGAAAATAATTCCATAATTAATTATGATATTTATATCATTATTTGAGGTACACTTCAAATACGAATAAACTTTTGAACTATAAACCGTCAACGTAGTAAACTGCGAAAGTTAAAGTTTTGTGGTTGATAAATCATCAAAAAAAGAAAAGTCATTTTTGCTGCGGCTTAAAGTTCGTAAAAAACAAATGACTGAAATTGAATCAATGTGATTGAGTGTAATTACATGTGGGCGTAGGGAGGAGTGATTAAAGGTGTTAATGATTAACCTGTGATATTAAGCCATTATCAGTCATGACAAACTATCACACTAGCTAGGTGTTTATGACTTACATTGATCTCGAGCCGATGGAGAATGTTATCTACGAGCCGATGATAACGGAATCATAATCAACTACTGCAACATCATTCAAATATCTTTCTCAGCCACTCTACTGTTTTTTGAGCCTTACTACTCTCTTTCTTAAATGATAGTAGTTCTTAGTATTACTGCTACGATGACTTTGAAAACTATCTTTTGATTCTTCATATGATTATATTTTTATAGAAAAAGCGCAAAATATACAAAAAGTGGGCTTTAAAATTTTACTAACAAAAATCAATTTCACGTGATTTTTTAACATGTGCCAAGAACTGTTTATCTTAAACCGGAAAAATTTTTCTGAAAAAAATTCGCCTTTATGGCCAAGTTGGTAAGGCACCTCACTAGTAATGAGGAGATCGTCAGTTCGAATCTGGCTGAAGGCATCATTTTTTTTGCATTTTTAATATCAATATTTTTTTAATGAACTAAAAAGAGCTTTGAAGTAAGAGTTAGTCAATATTTTACTTGACCATCTATATGGAATTCATAAAGCAGTATTCTAGTGATACATCTGACGACGACGAAGAAGAATCACCAGATCAAACCCAACACCATTTAAAGGTTTCTGAAGAACTAGAGGAAGAAGAAGAAGAAGAAGAAGAAGAAGAAGAAGAAGTTGAAATCGAAGATCATAATAATTTGATCTCTACATTCATCCCATATCTGCAAAGTTTTTCAAGTCATCAAATGAATAAAACAGGGTGTTTCATATATGTGCCATGGAGGCCACATTTAAGTAGTATAACTCGCTTGAATAAAGAAAGTCTAAAATTGATTAAACAAATGCCTTTATTAAAGGATAATTTCAAATTTCAAAGTACAAACATTTATCCACAATTCATGAAATATCATATCAGTGTTTTAAGTAACTTTAATTTGGATCCATATCGAATTGAACAATTCAAACAAGATTTAAAAAATGTCATTAATAGAGTGGAGATTGATTCTCGATTGATTGGAATTAATGAACAAGAACAATCAAATCAGAATACTTTAAGTACATTACTTGCAAAGAAAACACCATCCACACAGCATAATCATTATATAAATTTACGATTCCAGCCCAAACTAACCATATTCTTAAGTCATACATCGAATAAACTATTCATTGGATCTCCTATAAATGTAGATCATTTCAATAGTAAACAATTCTTACATTCATTAAATTCAAAGGTTGAAGAATTGATCAAAGGTCAATATAATGAAAACATTTCGAAAATCAAAACTCTAGACAATGGATTAGATGATTCTATCCCTCATATCAGTTTCCAAATCGGAGAACCAACCAATTCAAATGTTGTAATCAATGATGAAATAATAAAACAATTAAATCTACAATTGAGTGAAATCACGATTGATATTGAAGATATCGAAGTCAATGTCAATGAAGTCTTACTCATGCAAATATCATCAACCAAGGAAGTTACACCTTTCAAATTTAACATATAGCTTTAACTAAATAGATACAATCACTGTATAGATAATAAATTATTAATATAGGTCGTTCCCACACGCGCTATATACACATTCCCCCTTTACGCCCACCTGCCAAAAAAAGTCTAAATTTTAACCAGAAAAAATGTATGCTTAACGACCGAAGAATATGCCAAACTATCCGAAACCAATTGCATTCATTTGAAAAAGTTTACATAATTCTTGGTAGTGATAGTTGCAAAGTATCATACATATCAATACAGAAGAATAAGGAAAGGCACAAAATAAGAAACTATGTCGTCATTAAGGAAAAAGCAAAAGGATATTGAAAAGCAATTGATTGATATTATTAATGCTCGAGGTAATGATAATAAATGTGGAGAATGTGGAACATTATATCCTACTTGGGCCAGTGTCAATCTTGGTATACTACTTTGTGGAAGGTGTAGTTCGATACATAAGAGGATTTTAGCTCCTAAACAATTAAGTAATGTTAAATCACTAACCTTAGATACTTGGTCACAAGAACAAATTGATAATTTAAAAAGAATTGGTAATAAGAAATCAAAACGTAAATGGAATTCAAAAAGGATTCCATTTCCTTATGATGCTGATAATGATGTTTCATCAGCTGAACAATATATTCGAGAAAAATATATTTTAGGTAAATTTAGAGATGATAATATTGAAAATAATGATTATGATGATAGATCTAGTAGATATAGTGATGACAATTTAAATGAAGTTGGTAGTAATAGTGGTAGTAGAAGAAGAAGTAGTGCAAGCAATAGATCAAGATCAAATTCAAATGCTATTCCTCGTTTAAGTCATAGAAAATTAACCAATCTTGAATCAAATCAATATAATAATCAAGCTTCAAAAATTATGAGTTTTGGTTATGAAAATCGTGAAACTATTGTGGAAAGCTTATTATTAAGTAATGGAAGTATTGATGTTGCTTTAGATATCTTAGATCAAGATGGTAAACTACATCCAAATGGTATCCCAGATACGGATGATAGTAACCCACCTCAATTACCAAGAAGACCAGGAACTGGTGGTAATAGTACCAATGGTTCAGCAGTTCCAAGTTCTGCCAACTCTACCACACCAGCCAATGATTGGTGGAATACTGCAGCTGGGGCTAGTGGTTCCATTCAACCATCTGCTTCTGCTGGTGGAGCACCACAAATATATCAATATACTGATCCAGTTACAGGTCAAGTTAGTTATATCGATGCAAATGGTCAACAATATCTTGATCCAACAAATCCTCAACATCAACAACAAATTTTATTACAACTGAATCCACAATTGATGGCTCAACAAACAAGTAAAAATCAAATTTTATCCTTGTATAGTCAACCGAACCAATTCACTACTAATGTAGCTGAACCGGTCCAGCCTGGTGGTATCCAACAGCAGCAAACTCAACAACAAGCCCAACAACAACAACAACTCCAACAACCCGCAGTGGGCTACGGACAGGCTCCAAATCAAGCATTTTATCAATATGGTCAACCAACACAAGGCCAACCTCAATATGGCCAACCTCAACAATTTGGAGTCAGTACTCAATTTACAGGGTTTGGAGGTCAAGTACCAGGTCAACAGGCACCAGTTGGTCAATTCAATGGATACGGGCAACCTCAAGCTCCACCATCTGCTAATCAACAACAGTTTGGAGGATGGAGATAAGTAATGATCCTGTTTAGTTATGTATTAAATATATATATATATATATACATAAATAGATAACAAAAAAAAGTACGAATTTTTGAATTAAAATCAGATCAAGTAGAGGAGAAATTCTTAGCTACCTTTACGTACTTCGGATATCATTCTATTCTTCCTTTGACTTATGAGTTGCGATAAAACGAAAGCCGTAGCGACAACCACTCCCAATCCGGCTAATCCCATACCCATGTAGAAAGCTACCCTCATACCACGAATGGTGGTTTCCAAACTTGGCTCCATATTCTTGGTTACGTAATATTCAACAGTTCCCGCTAGCCCAAGTCCAATTGATATAGAATAGTTAACAACTGTTGACACCAACGAACCTGCAATTCCCTGTTGAGATTCTGGAAGGGCTGAACTCAAAATGATACAACCCGCCGGGAAGGACATATCCATTCCAATAGATTGAATCATATTACTTAAGAACTTTTGTGACCAATAAGTTTGCCCGACTGGTCTTGTACCCATAAGTATGATTCCAGTTAGAAAGAAAAACATTGATATAAGTAAAATTATTGAAGAAGGTATCCTTTGCAACATATATGCTGTGGATATAGCAGCTATAAAGCCCACAAAGATACTGGGAACATTCTGAACAGCGGCTACAACGGGCGTGTCCCCATCCACTATAAGTGCCCATCTGAAAGTATAAAATAACCAGATCCCGAAACATGACCATCCAGCAGCAATACATCCTAGCACACTTCCAGTATCTCCCTTTAAGACTTCTGGAGAGACCAAAGGATCTTTTACCCTTTTCTCAACAAGGTAAAATGCTACCATACATAGTACTCCACAAATCAATAACACATAAACATAAGTCTTATCCCAACCCACTACAGGACCTTCATTCCAGCTGAAGTTGAATAAGACCAAACCAGAAACACCACATATAGCACCATAAAAATCAAATGAACCTCCCGATTTCCACCCTATATTGGTAGGTATAATAAAGAACGACAGTAATGCGACAACAATACTAACAATTCCGAAAAGCCAGAATGACCATGGCCACCATACAAGTTGTGCAAACATTCCACTCAATAAAGCACCAATTACGGAACCTGAAGGAGCAACAGCCCCAAATAAACTTAAACAGATATCCTTTTTTAAACTTGGAGGATAGTAAGCACCCAAGAGGGCTTGAGTATTAGGCATCATAATAGCAGGCCCAATACCTTGAAGTGCTCTCATGGTGTCAAAGAAAATACTTGAAGAAGTAAATCCTGTAAAACCTGTAATTAAAGAAAATATACCAAACCATACATATCCTATAATGAACAATTTTTTGTAACCGTACATATCCCCTAATCTACCAGAGATTAATATAAATGTTCCAACTGTAAGTGAATACAATGAAGAAAACCAAGATATTTCCCCAGGAATTCCCTCCACGTTGAATGTCTGGGATATTTCATTTGATGTAATCATAGGTTGAGCTGTTCCAGCTTGTGTAAGCAATTGTGACATGCACATAAGGGAAACAAAGAGTATTTCACGAAATAATGAAATCTCGGTGCTACTTGGCGATGGAGAATCAGAGTCGAGAGAACAAACCTCTGTAATCACTGGTTCAAGCTGAGTGTCATCTTCTTTGGAGAGTTTTTCTATATCCAATTTATTTATGTAATCAGCGTTTGGTGAATTTTCGATCCTTAATGTTGATAACATACTTAAGTTATAGCAGTTTCTAAACGGTTTTGTAAGACTTCGTTTCCTTGCAGTCAAAGAGATAAGCTAGGAAATTAATCTAAATTTATACATAATTGAAGTTGTGAGGCTTAATAGCTTTTGATCTAGTCATAAAATGAGTATTATAAATGTTTCTTTGAAGTTTATACTAAAATTGTTGCATTTTATTTGTACTAGATTTCTCGTTCCGTTGCCAATGTTAAAAAAGGTTCCGAAATAATTAAGATATTTTGAAAGTCCACAGTAAAGTCCGCAGTAATATCTTTGTCTGAATTGAATAACATAAAGGTGGATATTTTTAAATACATAATGAAAGCTAATTAAAAATTATGGGGTACAACTTGGAGCAAAGCCGGACCCCCGCTGTTTTTGACATAACACTAAGGGCAACACGCATATATCCGTTATTGCTTCTGATAACTCGGCGACCAAAAGAATTAATAATCTAAATAGCACAGATTCAAAAAACGGATAAAGCCAGCAATATGTTATTGTTAGACGATAGTGCCTATTTACGCTTTAGTTTATACTTCGATGATTCTTAATTTACTTTCAAGATCGAATGGAAGGTTTCGCATCTATTTACGCAGTCTGTTACCCTAGTAATTTTAAACTTTTATGACATCTAAGAGCAATATTTAGAAGACTTAATATAATACAGAGTCTACAAAACAAGCATGATTGAATAGTAATGGTAAATTCATTTATAAAAGAAAAGATAATTAAATAAAACAATAGTGATGATCCCCCCAGAAATTGAAAAGTTAAATATAAAGTAAAAATGTAAAAAGTTAAAAAAAGTTAAAAAAAGATAAATATTATTAAGACGTCAATGTCTAAGGTCCTATATACTATTACCTGAAAAGTTAGCAAATAACAGCCTAATCAGTGAATATTGACAATAGAGTCATAAATGACTTACTTATAAAATACATGTTATTTGTCAACTCAGCATAAAGTATCAACTATGACCGATGACTGTACATCATGCAAATAAAAAGAAGTTCCTCAAATTCTTAATATTTGTAAATGTCAGAATTGAATAATTAACGTTTTCCAAAGACAGGTAATGGCATTGGTGGTGGAACAATATAACTGTTGGTCGAATTGGCCATACCCTCAAACATATTATACCAACCGCAGAGAGCAGTTATTATAACAAATATACCACCGGCTCTACCAACAGTAGGTGAACCAGTCATCTGAGCAATAGCTAACAAAAAGAATGCAATGTCTGTGGTGAGAATTGTTAAAATGAACATGACAGTAGATTTCAATGTGCATAACAATAGCATGAATACAAATATTCCCCAACCAAGAAAGTAAAACCCAAGAGCTTGAGCCAATTGTTCTGGCTCATCTGCGTAAGCAGCCAGAATACCAAAAGAAGGAATTAATGTTGCTCCATAACCCATAAAGAAAGGTCCCAAACTAGCAAATGCTGTTGCAGCAAAAGTATTTCCAATAACCAATTCCCATACACCAGCAAGAAAAAGACAAGTACCACCATACATGAAAAGTAAAGACAAAATCAAATCAGGAATTTGAATATGTCTGGTATTAAGAGAGTATAATCCAAGAGTAAAAGCTGTCAACGAAAAAGCTCCTAACCCTAAAGCTGATGCATTACCAAATTTATGAACTGGTGGTGGAGATAACCCTGGATTTAATGTACCACCAAAAGCTTCCATTAATTCATTTCGCAAATATTTATGATTTCCTATGACAACATATTCTCTAGAGTCTCCAGCATAACGAACTGGTTTACAAGATTGAATCGATTCTGTTTCAGATGAGATAGAATATGACATGATTTTCAAGTACCGGCCTAAAAAATCCACATGATATCGAAATTGTATCGTAATTATAATTAAATTAGATTTCTCAATATATTTATATTATACTCAAATAAGCGATGATCTCGAAAACATTGAGCACAATAATTTCAGACGGCTACAATTGAGATATTTTGCAATAGCGGATTTCAAATTAAGGTCCAAAGTCACTAAACTCTAATTTACGAAGAAGAAAAAATACGGAAGTATGCTTGTTTATAGAAGCAAATTAACGTTAATTTCATTCACCCCGCAACCCGCGTCTAAGATAACGTTAAAATAAGAACTATACGCACTCCATAATAATCGATTAATCTCTCCGCAAGCCTATTAATATTTTGATCTCATGAGCTATTTAGTGTTTAGATTTACAATAGAATTAGCATTAGATCTTTTCTTACATTGCTTTTTTTTTTTGCAGCAGTTTAAGTATCCGCACTTCTAAAAGGACGGAAAAACAAATCACAGCCAAACAGAGTTCTAAGTGTCTACGATTACTAGTATAGTGAAAGGTTTTAGCCTTTTTATAGCAGGATTTCCTTACATATACAAACGAAACCAAAAGCAGATGAACATCATAATAGATTGTAATTAAACTCCCTTGTATGTTTTCCGTATTCTTTTCCTTAGAATTATTTTACCAATCGATTCTACATACTAAACAGCAGAATAGCGGAAAACAACATGCCCAACTCAAAATGACAATGGTATTGTGATAATTAAATATCGCGTAAATAAACAAGGCATTACAGTATCCTGTTCTTCTATAGGACAGGCTGATTGACCTGGTGTTCTCGAAATATTTTTCTCGGTCCTGATATGAAAGGTAAATTGACACCGGACTTTTACTTTTCCGTATAGCTTATTTTTGTTAGGGACATAAATATAGTAAAGAAGTTGCAAACCAGATAATCATAATTTTCTTGTTATTTTGCTGATCAAGTGTACCCAACGAAATGTTATTCAAAAAGTCTGCATCTGATATAGTTATCGTATCCGCATTAAGAACCCCGGTTACCAAAGCAATCAAAGGTGGGTTATCCAAGCTTTATCCAGAGGAATTACTCTATGAAGTTTTAAAAGGGTCTTTGGAAAAGTCCAAGATAGATCCAAACTTGGTTGATGATGTGTTGATCGGAACTGTTTTACAAACTTTAGGTGGACAAAAAGCTTCAGCATTAGCTGTGAAAAAAGCTGGCTTTCCTATTAAGACCACTGTGAACACTATGAACAGACAATGTGCTTCATCCGCTCAAGCCTTAACTTATCAAGCTGGTTCATTAAGATCAGAAGAAAATCAATTCGTGATAGCTGCCGGTGTGGAATCAATGACTCATGATTACTTTCCTCACAGAGGTATTCCTACCAGAATTTATGATGCCTTTAAATCGTCCGCAAATGATGAAGCTCAAAATGTATTAATGCCAATGGGTATAACTAGTGAGAATGTTGCTACTAAGTACGGTATTTCAAGACAAGACCAAGATCAATTTGCGGTTGAATCACATTTAAAAGCTGCTAAGGCGTCTGAATCAGGCCATTTTGCCAAAGAAATTATCCCAGTAAATGCTAGAATATCCGAGGCCGAAGAACCAATACAGTATAAATTAATTGACAAAGATGATGGTATTAGAGCTAGTTCAACCTATGAAAAATTAAGTACTTTGAAACCAGTATTTGCTGAAGATGGTACCACTACAGCAGGTAATTCTTCTCAAATTTCCGATGGAGCTTCGGCCGTCATCTTAACTACTAGATCCAACGCTGAAAAATTTGGTATTAAACCAATTGCCAGATTTATAGGTTCTTCAGTCGCTGGTGTCCCTTCTGCTCTAATGGGTATTGGTCCATCTGAAGCTATTCCTCAATTGTTAGCTAGATTGAATGTTTCAATTAAAGATATTGATATTTTTGAATTGAATGAAGCTTTTGCATCTCAATCATTATACTGTATTGAGAAATTAGGACTTGACCATAGTAAGGTCAATCCTTTCGGTGGAGCTATTGCTTTAGGTCATCCATTAGGTGCAACTGGTGGTAGAGTTGTGTCAACTTTAATTAATGGGTTAAAGGCTCAAAACAAAGAACTTGGTGTAATTTCAATGTGTACTTCAACAGGTCAAGGTTATGCCGGTTTATTTGTTAACGAAAATTAGAACAAATTTGTATATGTAATATAAATATTCTGTATTAAATTTACTATCAATTGCATTTAAAGATTTGAAAAACTCTTTGTAAAAACTACTTGAAATTAATTAAATTCATAACTTGTGTATTACTAAATACTAAATAAATTCTGATATAACCTAATCAAATGAGATGGCTTTCAACTGAGGAGAAACTTCAAACTTTGCTTCAGTCTTTTCAGTAATTTCTTCTAAAGTAGTGGAAGCATCGTATTCGATTAAAATAAGTTTTTCATCGACAATGTCAAACACAGCTAAATCAGTAATGATTCTTGAAACACAACGTTGACCAGTAAGAGGAAACTTACATTCTTCTAAAATTTTTGATCTACCCTTTTTATCAACGTGTTCCATAATGACAACAACTCTGGTAGATTTTGGATTGCTTACAAGATCCATAGCTCCACCCATTCCTTTGACTCTACCTGGTAATCCCCAATTGGCAAGATCCCCTTTGTTGGAAACTTGTAAACCACCTAAAATAGTCAAATCAATTTTACCTCCACGAATCATAGCAAATGATTCTTCGGATCCAAACAATGAAGATCCTGGTTTAAGAGTGACAGTTTCTTTACCGGCATTAATTAAATCGGCATCTTCTTCACCACGTTTAGGGTAAGCACCTAAACCTAAGATACCATTTTCAGATTGTAATGTAACATCTATTTCAGGAGAAATATAATTTGGAATTAATGTTGGAATACCAATTCCTAAGTTAGCAATATCTCCATCTTTGAATTCTTGAGCTGCTCTTCTAACGATTCTTTCACGTTTAATTTCAGCTTCTGAAGGTTCTGCAGCATTTGTGGCACTTTCATCTTCAGAAAATTTGAAAATTTCAATATCCTTAGGGGTAACTGATTGAACTATTCTGTGAACGTAAAGTGATGGTAAGTGAACATCTTCAGGCTTGATTTCTCCTGGTTGAACAATATGTTCAGCCTCCACAATAGTTAATTTGGCATTACGACCAAAAGCTGAATTGAAGTTTCTTGATGCACCTCTAAACCAACAATTACCAAGAGTATCTGCTTTGTATGCTTTAATGATAGCAACATCTCCAAAAATAGCAGGTTCCAATAAGTATTTTTTACCATTGAATTCCCTTACTTCTCTAGGAGTACTTGATTTCAATACTTCGTCCCCAGTTTCATTATATCTAACTGGCAATTTTCCTTCTTCTAACCAAGTTCCAACACCGGTAGGTGTATAAAATGCTGGAATTCCAGCAGCACCAGCTCGTACTCTTTCAGCAAGATTACCTTGTGGAGTCAATTCCAAATCAATTTGACCAGTTAAATACATCTTTTCAAATGTTCTATTTCCCCCGATATATGATGAAATCATTTTTGTGATTTGACCAGTCACCAACAATTGGGATAAACCTCTACCATCTAAACCAGCATTATTTGAAACAGCGGTTATATTATTGATATCAGGCTTCTCTTTGATGGCATTGATGATAGTATCAGGTACACCACTGAGTCCAAACCCTCCAGATAACAAAGTGATATTCCCACTAACACCTTCCAAAGCTTCATCCACAGACTTTGCGACTTTTGACTTGTGTCTGATACAGCTTCTCCACAAACTTAATGATTTATTTAATAACATGGTGGTCTGATTTACGTTTTAATCATTACTCCTCTTTACATCGTAACCATGGAACTATATATATATCTTTAGTAGTGGTTTGATAATTAGAATATAACGGATAATAATGGAAAATGCTTTTCGCAGTACCTCTCTTAACCAACAGAATTGTGTCTAAAGTAAGCGCGCCTGAAAAACCGGTAGAAACCCAAATAAAAAAGAACGGATATATGCATGGTTTGTATTAATTAACTCAGTGGGGAAAGTGCTAATATCTGAAGTCTGGGGTTGATCAAGAAGAGAATATAAATATTGCAAAAGAAGTCCGGTTATTGGCTTGATTTGAACATTTTGATCATTATTACACTAGTATATCAAACTCACAAGCTATACTATCACTTATCATGCCTTTAGATCAAGAATTTACCGATTATGTCAAGGATTCTTTCGGTCCTAAAGCTACTCCAAAGACACATCGTGTTCTTGGATCTTTAATCCAACATATTCATGATTTCACTAGAGAAAATCATATCACCGTTGACGAATGGATGTGGGGTGTTAACTTCATCAATAGAATTGGTCAAATGTCAGATGCTGCTAGAAATGAAGGTATTTTGGTTTGCGATGTTATTGGTGTAGAAGCTTTAGTTGATGACATTACCCACGCTTCTGATTCTCATGATCACACTTCTTCTGCTATTATTGGTCCATTCTACCGTGAAAACTCTCCTGTTTACCCATATGGAGGTTCTATTATTCAACAAGATGTTGGTGGTGAAAAGACTTTGGTTATAGGTAAAGTTACTGATACTAAAGGTAATCCATTAAAAGGTGCTAAAATTGAAGTATGGCACTGTGCTCCTAACGGTTTATATGAACAACAAGATCCAGATCAAGTAGAATATAACTTAAGAGGTACTTTCTACAGTGATGACGAAGGTAAATACGCCTTTGTTGGATTAAGACCAACCGCATACCCAATCCCTTATGATGGTCCAGCTGGTGACTTATTAACTCTCATGGACAGATCTCCTATGAGACCAGGTCATATTCACTGGAGAGTAACCCATCCTACTTACCACTCTTTGATTACCCAAATTTACGATCGTGAATGTAAACACACCAAAGATGATACTGTTTTTGCTGTTAAGGAAGATATTATTGTTGATTTCAAGCCACTTGGTGATGTTCCAGAATACAAAGAGCAAGGTGTTGTAAATAGATTAGACTACGATATTATATTGATCTTGGAAGAAGAAATCCAAAAAACCCGTCAAAAAGTTCGTGACCATCAAGCTGACGTTGAAAAGAAATTAACTGATAAGTTTGAAAAAAATCAAATTGCCTAAGCATTTATGAAATTTCTTATTGAGTAAGAATGTTATATAGCGCAGTATATTTATGAATGAAAACCTTTGTTTTGAAATATTCTTAGAAGATAATGTAATAACCAGTGTAAAGTCGTATAATTGTCATCATAAACTGAAGTGCCTAAAATTTATGGCTAGCGAGTATCCATTACTACCCATATTTCTTTCCCTAAGAGCTAGTGAGAACCTGGACCAATTTTCCCGGTATTTGTCAATAGAAAAAGCTTCTCCCTGCCCAACACTTACTCCCTAAACAATCTGTGCCCCGCGTTGTTAGCATTGTGAATTTTTAATTTTTTTTTCGTTGTCTAATTTCTCAATTCAGTGTTTTCACAAGACACTATTAAGGTTTGATATCTCAAAAGCCCATCACAAAAGCCAATCTCAAGGGCCCATCTCAAAGTTCCATACTCATAGTTCAATCCGATACCAAAGATATGGTTGCATCAGACCGACGGAAGAAGGTAACGAAAGCCTGTGACTACTGTAAGAAAAGAAAATACAAATGCAGCGGTAGATCTCCTTGTGAGCTCTGCTCCAAGAAGAAGATCGAATGCCGATTCTCCTTTGTTGATAGACGTACCATCAAAACCATTAACAAAACTCAAAAAACGTCCAATGAGTCACAGCAACCATCAAACAGTATATCTAAAGCTGTATCACAATCAATATCAGATAATATCAGTGTGTCTGAATCCATCGGGTCCAACTCTAGTATCAACATTATGAATGATTCTCCAACCAAAACTAGTGGTATCCCTCAAAGTCTACAACCTTTGTTACTGTTCCCATTAGAAGAAGCTGAAGATATACAGGATTCAGATGAATCCAACAATAATGATGATACATCTGGAATTGAAGAAACCAACGATTTCAACTCTCCTAGAGAATCAAACAGGCTGAATCGTTCAACTAAAACATTGGAATCACATACATCAAATAATAAGAATTATCAACACAGGTCGCCTAAGCTGAGTAAGCATCTGGATCATAAAAAAGCAGATAATACCACACAGCTTTCAAATAACGAAGGTAAGAGTTCACGTCTTCTTTTTGATTCGGCTGGAAATCTACGTTATATTGGTGAAAGTAGTCCACTATCTCTCCTTTTCGAATGCAGAAATATTTATCGAAGTACCATTGGAGAATGTGAGTTCACTCAAGATCCTCAAGGTATTAATATCATTGATGAGCCAGCTAGAATCAATAACTGCATACCTGTACAACTTCCAAAAAGGGAACATTGTAATATATTGGTTAAGTTTTTTGAGACTAATGTGAATACCACCTGGTATGTGTTTAATATGCAACATTTTAAGGAACAAATAGTTAATTATATCTACGAAAATCCAATTAGGGCTGGTCCAGAAAAATTGATTCTTCTACACTTGGTGCTAGCGCTAGGTCTTCTTTATGCTGAAACTTCCAAAAGCTTTCTTATCGACGATCTTGCATCGCCACAAATCAATTCGCTAACATTTTTTGAGAGTGGGAGTAATTTGATGAGAAATACTGTTGATAATGGGAAGCTTTGGCTTTCAGAAGCTTATTTTTTGATATATTTCTACTATCAATCAACTTCAAAGAGAAGTACTTCATGGATTATGCTTGGAAATGCTATTAGAAACGCACAAGCGCTTGGTCTACACAGAAAGTTTATCAACGAGTCCTTTAGAGACAAAGATTACATCATGCATCGTCGTAAGCTATGGAGAAGTTTATATGTTTGCGATAGAGTTTCATCAATTTTGCTAGGAAGACCACTTTTGATAGGTGATTATGATTGGGATGATTATGAAAACGAAGGTTTAATTGAGTATGAAGGTAAAATTAATCATGATAAGAGTACTTATTGTCTTATTGAAGTCGCAAAAGTATGTAAAATTAATGGAAAAATTGTACAAGATTTTTATTTAGATGGGATTATTGATCCAGAAAGAGCAGAGAAATTAGCCATTGAATTAAAGTTGTGGTCCATCGATCTTCCACGAGAGTTACAGCTTGATCGAATCCTAGTCACACCTACCGGTGGCACCGAAGTATTACAAGAGTTTGGAGAACGCCAAATGGGTCAACAACAAGAAATAGCTCTGGATAATTTCGCTCTTTTGTTTCTTCATATACTGCAGTTGTATGGAATCATGCTTTTGAGTAAACCATTTTTCATGTACATTGTTTTTAAGAGGAACAGCAAAGAAAATGGTTTTGCTACAAATTCATCCCGAAGAAATAAACATGAAACTACCATGGTTAATTTTTGCAAAGCAAGTGTTAAGTCATCCGTTCTAACCATCCAACTCATACATATGTATAAAGAAAAACATCCTCAAAGAGTAGAACTGTACGTTACAGTCAATTGTTGTTTTATGGCAGCCTTGATTCTTGGTCTTCTGATTTTGCACAGAAACAGCAGTCGTGATGTTACAGACGAATTCAGCATTACTTATTTAATGGAGGTATTGAATGCAGCCAAAGATATTTTACTGTTCTACGGTCTCATAAATGCAACGCTGAAAAGATTCTATCATATTGTGGATAAAATGCAAAGATCTTTGGTAGAAGCCTTTGGTGATGCTCAACGTATGTTGGTGTCACTTTCACCACCTCAAGATGCAAATAGAATAACTATTCCTAGCCAAGGTTCTAGATCGTCTTATGATTCAGCTAGCCTGCAACAGGAACATATGATAAGTCCAGGCCAAAGAATTCCGAACGGACAAGCGAATGCAGCACCAATAATAAAGAATAAACTAACAAATATCATCGCAAGTGGTAATGTCGGTCATAATATTGATTATAATGCCAATAATGCAAATCCGATGACTAATGCAAATGTCAGTGATGCAACTAATGATTTCTATAATAACAGATCCAATATGTTATCTCTTCCTCAAACTCCATACTTTAATCTGACCACAGATTTGAAATCGTTCATGAACTTTCAACAATTTTTTGTTCCATCAACCATTGGGGTTCCAGGTAATAACAATAATAACTTTGCTACAAGAGTAGAGACTCCAGATGCTGACGAGTCTCTTGATGTGTTTATGTGCAATGTGGGCATAAATGATATCTTATTTGACGGGAATATTTAGTTTTTTTTGTATACATATGTAATATAAGTCTTAACCGCCGTTAATTCTTGAGTTGGCTGCAAAGGGCCACGATAATATGAAAGAGGTCTTTCATTTACTTAAATTTACAATTACAATACATGTGTGTATCACTGTACTATTTCTCATATTAACTATTACTTATCTTTTACGAATTCATTAATGAGTTGATAAACTTCATCGGGGGATTCAATCACAATCCAATGACCAACTTTACTTAATTCTACAGCTTTAGTATTAACTATAGCTTTATCTATAATTTCAACACCTCCAACCCATGGAGCTGTTTTATCTTCTTCTCCATAAATTATTAAAGTAGGTTTCTTGATTAATTTATAATTGTTCGTGAAGTCGTAATCTCTGGCATTAACAATGGCTGCACAGTTAGCAACGTAACCTTCGACAGTTTGACTCAAGATTAATTGTCTGATGAATGCTTTCTTCAAAGGATTGCATGCGGATCCTGTAGCCGCAAATGGAATAACATTGGAAAATTCCTTCAAAGACTTGGCACCCTTTAACAGTTCTATTCTCTTTTCAAAGATATCAGCTGCCTGTTCGGTTGGATGCACAGGTCCAATTAGAACATTTCCTACAATATTGAATTTTTCAGAATTAAAGATATTGATATAGTTAATCAACATACCTGACATTGAGTGACCAACCAATATAATCTTTTTAGCAGATAATCCTGTCTCTTTAAGAATGAGTTCAATATTGTTACTTAAATCTTCAAGTGTCAATAATGGTTTATTCAACTTTGAACTTGCAGCACCTTCATGATCGATTAACAAACATACATATTGTTGAGATAATTCCAATGCCACTGGATAATGAAAATTTTGAGATGAACCTAAACCATGGAGAAATACTATGACCTTATCATCATTGATAGCCTTTTCAGGTGTCAATATAGTATAGAATTGTCCTGTAGTGGTATAATCGCTAACTGTTTGCATTCTGATATAGTAGCTGTGTCAATTAACAAATAAGCCCAAAAATTCTTCTCCACTTTCTTTATCGCCTGTGTTGTACAACCCTACTCATCTATATATCATCATGCTAATTCTATTTGTATCATATACCGTCTGAAAAATTGCTATATTTGATTTCCCCATATATAGATCACTTTTCCGCATTTTTCTGCTTTTCCATCATTGTCAGAATGCGGACTCCAGCGATTCGTGATTTTCCGTTCTCATTATAATTTTATTTATTGAATAGAAATGACTTTCTACTAATAGCTATCATTAATAGTACAATTGAAAGACATTACTTGAAGTTATCATATCAGCCAAACACCCACAATGACGGTATACTCCAAGGATTTACAAGAAAACACCAATTTACATAAGTTCATTACTGATTTTTATAAGAACTCCGATATCAAACCTCCTATTACTAATGATCCTTACTTGAAATTTTTCACAGAGTCATTACCTGTAATAATCATGGCAAGTGCTAAATTCGAAGGTACAAAGGCCATTGAAGCTATGAGACAAGGGATGTGGAAATTTGTCACCCATAGACATCATGTTGCTCAGAATGTGGCTACAATTGTGGAAGGTAAAACTTATCTTGTCAATGGATTTGTTGAATATACCTTATTGAACGGAAACAAACTTTCAAGTGATTGGGCTGCTTATGTTAAATTTGCCGAAGGTTCAGAATTGAAAATGGAAGAATATCAAGTTTATCTTGATACTGCTCCAATGAAAGCTGCTATTGCTGAAATTTAGATATGAGAGGATTTATTTTTAAGTTAAATTAAATAAAAATAAACGCGTTAATTATTAACATTTGTCAACCTCCTGTAGATATCTCGTCTTTGGTTCAAGCTTTATGTTACATCCTTTCTATGATTTGTTGTAAGGGTCAATTGACATAAAAGATTGTCATCTGCTATGTGAGATGATTTGTAATCTGGGGTAAATAACTATTATAAAACCTGTATTATCGGAAATATGCAGGATCCTCCATAATAAAAATTTAGATTTTGCGGATATTCCTTACGGATTCATTAAGGATACTCAAACGCCGTTATAGCTCTTCTTCTAAAGTTAATATATATATAGGTGATAGGAAATGTTCTCCTCCACTCCAGCTATAAAATGAAGTAGAGTCTTGGTATAACCTTTATCTAATTATATTCATTTAACATAGGGTTCCATTATGACTATTACTTATTCGCAATTAGAAGAAACTAAACGGATATTTTCCGATTTACTTGAATCTAATATCCTTCCTGATGATATTGCAGCTTTAGGTTCAGAAGTTAAGTTTTATAATGAATCTAATCAATTAACTGTTCCATGTCCATTAAAACAAACTGAATTAATTTCCGCTTTAAAAGGTATTGAATCCGTCCTTGCTTTAAAATTAAGTAAAATCAGATTTGAAAGTTCCAATACTGCCAAAATTGATCTTCAACATGCTTTACTTTTCCTTTTCCTGACTTATTGTTCATCGGTAAATGGTTATTTCAAAGGTGATAAGAAAGAAGTGGCCAAATATCTTAAAAAGACTGATTTAAATGAAGCTCAATCTGATCCATATCGTAGAATGTCAGCTAATTTATATCGTACTAAGGATAATCGTTATTATCATATTCATGGTTCATTAGATGCTACTACTACTTTAAAAATGATCGGTATGCCAGCGTTTGTATCTGGATTAACTGATTATGATGAAATTGTTGAAAAATATCAAACTAGACTTGATCAATTTACTTGTGATGAATTAGAGACTTTAAATGTTAAACATAAACAAGCTGGGATTGAAGCTCTTAAACGTGAAGATTTCTTAAATACTCCTCATGGTAAAACTATTAATTCTAAACCAATTTTTGAAATTCATGATTTAGAAACTGAAACCCCTCCAGTTCCATTCACAAACATTGGTGAAGGTGAAAAACCTCAAATTCTTGCTGGGATAAAAGTTCTTGAATTATGTAGAATCATTGCTGGTCCAACCATTGGTAAGATTCTTGCTGAATATGGTGCTACTGTTATTAAAGTTACTTCTGATGATACTTTACCTGATGTACCATTTTTCCAAATTGATGGTAATATGGGTAAACATACTACCAATCTTAATCTTAAAGAAAGTGGAGATAGAGCTAAATTTGAAGCATTACTTGCTGATGCTGATATTGTTCTTGATGGTTATAGAACTGGAGTTATTGAAAAATTAGGTTATGGACCATCAAAAGTAACTGAATTAGCTAAAAAGAGAGGAAAAGGATATATTTATGCTTCTGAAAATTGTTTTGGATTTAGTGGTGAATGGCTGAATCGTCCAGGATGGCAACAAATTGCTGATTGTGTAAGTGGGGTAGCATGGATTCAAGGTCAAGCACTTGGAAAAAATGAACCAATGATTCCTCCATTTCCAATGAGTGATTATGGTACGGGATGTATTGTTGCCATTTCAGTTTTACTTGCCTTATATAAAAGAAATACCATTGGAGGAAGTTATTGGTGTAATTCAAGTTTAGTTCAATATGATTTATTATTAATGAATCAAGGAATATATCCTAGTGAAGTTTGGGAACCAAATGTGATTAAGAATCCTGTATTTGATCCATTTAGAAAATTAAGTTATTATGATTCTGTGGATGCTATATCAGGAGGAGCTCTTGCTATCTTCAAACAATTGAATCCCGAAGCATTACAAAATGAAGATTATTTTACATCATTATACTCTGAAGGGTTTGGAGGGATGATTAAAGTATTAAAACCAGTAGTTGAATATAGTGGAGATTTAGAAGTGGGATATAAATGTTCTAGTAGACCTAATGGATCTGATGCACCAGAATGGTGGTGATGTGATTTTATATAGATAGGCATTAGATAAGCTCTATTAGTATAGATTGATTGAATAACATCGTAAAAATGTTTATAAAAATATAAATAAATAAATAAATAAAATATGATACACGTATTCGCCAAGTAAAAAAAGGTTAAACAATTAATGATGGTGAACGATGGGGGACAAGAAAATGGATGGTAAATTTAGTTAAATGATGATGGTAGTTATGGGAATGAACATAATAGGTATTGGCATTTATAATAAATGTATGTATGTGTGTGTAAAAGGATTTCTTATGAACAATTCCAAGATTTAGCAATTTGCTCAACTCCTATTTTCGAGACAAAAAAAGATAAAAAAAAAATAATTTAAAGTTTTGAATTATTTTTCTAACCGAAACAGAAATGAGAAAAGACACGGGAACATGCAGAAAGTCAGACAGACACTTTACACGCAGACAATAATCAATCAATCAATCAATCAATCAATCAATCAGACAGACAGACAGACAGACAGACATTAGAGTCAGACAAATAGATAAAGAGAACATGGAAAGAAATCAACACGGTGTATACAAGTAGAAGTCATAACAACAATTGAAGGAGTTAAACCATGTGGTATAATTATATATCACATTCAATTATTCAACCCATACTATATCAATCAATCAATCAATCAGTAGATAATCAGATTAGATCCCAATTGTTGTTCAGTCGTTTTTTTTCTTTCCTGGTCGGTCCGCCTTTAAAGGAAAAAAAAACGGAAATTTTTTTTATTTTTTTTATTTTTTTTAATTTAATTTAATTTAATTTTAGACTTTTTTTTTTTTGGAGTTACAATGAAATTATTAATATGGTAACAGACAGATTTGCGTTTAAATTGGAAGACACGGCGTTCAATTGTGAACATTGCTTGATTGATTGATTGCTTGATCTAGTATTAAAGTTAGATCAAGTAAAACTTTATCCTATTGGATTGATTGAATAGGTCAGTAATTCCTGTGAACTGTTCATCGTAGTTATAATGCCCTGCCCCCACAAGCCGTATAACTAATTAATTAATGGTCTTGTGCGGATTAGATAAACAAAGTGTGGTGTGGATGATCTTTAAAAGCCATTTAATATGGGCTTTTATTTTGTCTTTTTTTGTCTGTTTATAAACCACAAAATAAACTGCAAATTCTGAATTATTTTTATTTATTTTAATTATTTTTTACTGTTTTCTTATTTGGTTATTTTTTATTTTTTCGTAAAAAACCCCAATCAAATTTATCAGATACATAATTTTTATATGATTAATATAGTATAATTCAACGTATGTGGTTTGTTGGTTTGGGTAGTGAGGTATAATTTTGACTTATGATATGAGTAGCCACATCCATCATGTAAGAAACTTATTCTAGAAAAACCCCCCTTTATATTTAAGTATTTATTTTTGCCTTTCTTTTTATTTTCCTTACTTCTTGGTTTTTATCTTAGCTATTATGTTGTTTAGGGTGTTAAGTAATTAAGAAATAACCTTTAAAGTAGTATTAAAAAAATTGTTTCCCCTATAAGTTTAAGTTTTAATAAATAAATAAACAAACAAACAAACAAACAAATAAGACAACCAACCTTCTTTCTTTCTTTCTTTCTTTCTTTCTTTCTTTCTTTCTTTCATTTATCATTATCATCATTTCAATCCATTCATTCGCTTTAAATAATCAATATAATGCTGATTCTACTATTTTTAAAACTTCTAGTGGTACAATTCACATTATATTCTCCTATTCCTAAAGTTAACATCAAAGGTGAAGGAAGTACTTTTGATTATATTGAACCTTATCATTCCAACACTACCAAACTAGTATCAAACCCTCTTGATTATGTTGATTTATTTTATGGTACAGAGGCCGGTGGTCATATGTTTCCTGGTGTAACTCGACCATTTGGTATGGCCAAAGTTGGAATTGATGTGGTTGGAGATGGTGATGCATATTCTGGTTTTGCACCTCATGGTCATGTTAATGGGATTTCAATGATGCATGAATCAGGTACTGGTGGAGCTCCAGAATATGGTGTGGTTTCTCAATTACCTTTTCAACTGAACTTTGATATAAGAAATTTACCCAGTTTAACTCGTCAAGGTCATGATATTGCTCAAGTTGGATATTATAATTTTAATTCAACTGATAATATCATTGTTGAATTCAGTGGAGCTGAGAAATCAGGTATTTTTAAATATACTTTCCCTCCTGAATCAACTAATCCTCAAGTGTTAATTGATGTATGTCATCATTTAGCAGCTCCTGGAAGACCTCAATGGACGCAATATTTCGTTAATGGATCCATCGAATCAAATAAAGATTTATCAGGTTATACAGGTTATACCACTATAAAAGGAGGATGGGGAGGACAAACACCATGGAGGATTTATTTTTGTGGGAAATTTAATAATCCTGCCATTTCAATCATAAGTTTTGAAAATAAACATGTTGAACCAAATAAATTATCAAGTTCAACCAATCGTCAAAATGAACCCATGGGATTAGTATATACTTTCAATCAATCACAATCTATTATAGAAAGTAAAGTGGGGATCTCATACATATCAACCGAAAGAGCATGTCAACATTTGAATAATGAATTAGGTGAACCCGATGAATATGATTTAATGTCAGTTGTGAATGAAACTCAACAAATTTGGTTAGATGAAGTATTTGATAAAGTTTCCATAAGTGATACTAATTCAACTTTAACTTCATTTATTTATACATCATTATATGGAAGTCATTTAATGCCTACCAATAAAACAGGGGAAAATCCTTATTGGGCTGAAAATTACGTGGAAGAAGGTAATCCTGTCCCTACTTATTATGATGATTGGTTTACATTATGGGATACATTCCGAACCATGAATCCATTAATCAATATTTTGAATCCAATAAGAGGTCTGGAATTGATTAATAGTTTGATTGAGATTTATAAACATGATGGATTCACCCCCGATGGAAGATCAGCTAATCAAAATGGTAGGACTCAAGGTGGATCTAATTCCGATATAATCATTGCTGATGCATTCGTAAAGAACATAACGGGGGTGAATTGGTCAGATGCATTTGATGCCATGGTTCAAAATGCTGAAGTTGTACCTCCTTATTGGCGAGATAATTTTGCTCCTGATTCATCTACAAAACAAGGTAGAGGAGCCTTACCGGACTGGTTAACCTACGGATATATCACTCGAAACTTCTCTCGATCAGTATCGAGAACGATGGAATATAGTTATGATGATTTCGCTTTAAGTGTGGTTGCGAAAGGATTAGGTAATGATACCGCGTATGAGAAATATTTACGTCGATCATCAAATTGGCAAAATATTTGGAATTTCGATAAAGATATTTCGATTAATTCATATAAGGGTTTTATCCAACCTAAGAAATCTACCGGTGAATTCGATTATCATAATTATGATCCATTATCATGTGGAGGATGTTATTGGAATGATGATGAATATGAGGGGAAACCAATTGAATATGGATGGACGGTACCATTTGATATGACGACATTAATTTCATTCATTGGATCAAATGAAACTTTCATCACTCGTTTGAATGATATGTATGCTTTACATGGTCATAACCCCCAGATTGTCGATGTTGGAAATGAACCCAGTTTCACTACCCCATTCCTTTATAACTACGTCAATCAACAATATCGTAGTGTGGAATTAATTCGATATATCGTTGATCGTCATTTCGGACTAGGGGCTAAGGGGTTACCAGGGAATTCCGATCTGGGAGCCATGCAATCATGGTTATTCTTTTCTCTTATGGGATTATATCCTATAGCAGGGACCACCACTTATCTTATCACTTCCCCTTTCTTACCTTATTTATCGATAAATTTACCCAATACGAATAAACCATTGGAATTAATTGCGACAAATTTAACCGAAACTAATATTTACATATCGGAATTATATGTGAATGGAGAAATATATACTCAGAATTGGATCGATCATCATACATTGTTTGATATAGAAGGATGTCTTATTGAATTTGAATTAAGTGATATTCCATCAATTTGGGAATTAGGTGATGAACCTCCCAGTCCAGGACATTTTAAACGATGATTCTGAATTGGTAGCATTCGACGGATTTCATTTGCCAAGAAAAATTATTTGAGAACCCTTTTATAATAGGATCCACTTTTGAATTTACGAGATATCAAGGGGTTTATCCCTTTATCTTCGATTTGATAACTAAAGAAGGGAGGAGTAGAGGGGTATCTAGGATACTTCCTCTATTAGACAGGAATGACGTTATTTATTTGAAAGTTTTACTCCCTAAGGTGGAGGGGCAAGGATAAACCTATTTTTAATGTACGATTATATTTATTTATTAATTCTACAAATTTGGCTTGGGGGATTACTGTAGGATATATTTGGAGGGTATGCTAAATAAGAAAGGATGAGTAACGTAGATAACAGAACGATAGGAGCGAACGAATAATAATAGTAATAATAAAACAAAAAATGACGATAACGAAACAAGAAGGGAGGAGGAGATGACATGAAATAGACCAGCTTTTTTCATGTTGCTGAAGGAGGAGGAGGAGGAGGAGGAGGAGGAGGAGGAGGAGGAGGAGATAATAATAAGTGAATCAAAGGGCCAATTCAAGATCATTTACAAAACATTTAATCGACTTCAATTGTAATAACAGTTTTAATTTATGTTCGAATTGAATGAAAGTATCCCTATTTGTAGATGTAGAAGATGAAGTTATATCGTTTTCCCGATTAAATAAATTCAAGATTAATTTATCTTTTAAATAATCATTCAATTGTTCATTGGTGATGAATAAATTAGGTGGTAATTTAAATTGTTGATGATTTAAACATTGATATTCAAGATTTAAATCAATAATGAATGTATCTGATTTATAAGTGATTTCAAAATTCAAATCACAATAATAAACCTTTCTATCGTCGTCGTCATTCTTCTTTATATTGTTATTGATGATGGTGGTGGTTGAGAAGGGTGAAGGTGATGGAGGGTTTACGAATCCCAAATGATTTAAATAATCAATGAATTTACAGCCTAATTCCGATATTTTAGTTGGATAAATTTGATTTGATTGTGAAAATGGTTGATTTAACCATTTTAATTTAGTTGGTTTAATCTCATTCTCTTGTAGTTGATCATGATTGGGGTTAGATTCAATGAAATTATATTCTTTAGTGAAATGATTATATTTAGTGGGAGTTGATTCAAAGGGATGATAATCTTCGACATCATCAAACACTTGATAATCATAATCATATTGATCATCGACACTAGATAAGGAGGTTGAAGAACTTATGGAAGTAGATGAACCTACTGATAATCGACGATTATGAGATGAATCATGATTATGAATGATTTTTGATACTAATTCTACTGTTTTTGATTTTAATATTGGTTTGGGAGCTCTTTTTGATTTGGATGATGGTTTATAAATATGGAATCTTAAGTTGATAGGAGATGGTGATTGATTATTTGATGATGATAGATGGTGATTTGAAGATGGGTTGGTAGTTAATGTGAGGGTTGACGATGATGAGGAAGAAGAACTACTATTAACAGGTTCAACTGATAATAAACGTTGATATTTAAAGGTTGAATAAGCAATAGGATGATGAAGCATTGTAGTAATTGGTAACTATTTCTTAAACAGGATAAAATGATTAGTCGTATAAGTATGACACAAATGCAATGGATAATAATAGGAGATTAGAAGATTATTATGGAAGGAGTAATATTATTAATCTTCTGTAGTAATGTATAATTGTATCTATAATAAATAAATAAATAAATAAATAAATTGAACTCAAAGCCAGTTAGTTAGTTAGTTAGTTAATCAAAGTAAAGTTGAACAAAATGAAAAGAAAGAAAGATGAAAGGTGGTGGTTGCTATGGATTCAATCAAGATGAAAAAGGGGACAATCAGGATATTTATAGAAATATATAAATAGAAACTACAGTTATCAGTCTAAGTCTATCTAGTTAACTATCGACATATTATCTACTCGTGGGTATTACAGTTCATATCCATAAATGAATTATTTTAAGGAGACTAATCACAGTTTCATCATATAGTATATACTATATTAACTGACTAACTAGTATAACTATATAGAGATAAGTTAATTTTTCACTTTTTTCAAAATAAATAAATAAATAAATAAATTAAAAAAGAAATTAATTATTATTTGGTTATTATTTGGTTATTATTATTTATCTATTGCTTATTGTTGAAGGAGGATTGTCTTGAGATTTGTTACTTATCATAACTTATCACGTTGTATATTGTTGTTGTTGTTGTTATCATAATGTGGTTGCTGCTAAAATTATAATAATATGTCACAAACATAATCGATAACTAAATTAGTCTAAATGTGATCTATCATATTTCATGTTTAAACTACTCTAAAACATTAGTTAACCATTAGTTAAACCACTTAGATTATCTTGGCTTATTAAACACCATCATAACTATACCCCCCAACTGACTAACCCAACCACAACTGTAACATACAACTCACAACCCACAACTACCACACGATATAATAATAATATTAATAATAATTTACTCCTATTCCGCCTTTAAGTCTTGGGTTTAACTCGGCTTACTTATTGTAGTTATCACTAGATTTCCCCACTAATCATATTATTATTATTCTTATTTTATATCAATTGTGTTAAACTTTTCACTCCTTGTTTATATCTCCTCTCTGTCTCTCATAGTTAACTAAAAGTTGTTCACCCTTAAAATGGTTCTTTTGTGTCAAAAATTGTAAATTATTTTTATTTATTTTTTTTATGATTTATTTTTAAACTATGTCTTAACCCTTTCTTATCCAAATATACTTAAATAACAGGTGTATGTATCGGATTAATACTTGACATCTATCACTTACATAAGTTGTTATATTATCATAAATAACAATACTTTTATTCAACTATTACAACTATTACTTCTTTCTATTTATCAGAGGATCTCTCTCTAATAAATCCTTTCGTATCGGTATATCATCATCATTAACTTGTTCTTCTTCATCCTTCTTTTGTTCTGACCCTGTTTCTTCCCCCTCCTCCTCCTCCTCTTCTTCAATCTTGGTCATAGTGGTATCTATCGTATAATTCTCATGTCCTTCTCCTCCACCTCCTCCTCTTATTTCACCACTTCCTCTTAAGGAAAATACCTTCTCTTCACTTTCTTCATTAGTATCCTCATACTCATTATTACTACTACTAGTCTCATCATTAGTATGGGATCTACTAGACCCTTCAACCTCATTCGATTCATTACTTATATCCTCCTCATCCTCCTCTTCCGATGGTGAAATTGGAGGTGTGGAATGAATATCACCATTCGACTCCTCATCATCAATCGTACTCGTCTCCACCTCATTATTCTTCTTGGTATAACTGGTATAATTATATCCATCATCATCTTCATACAATAACCCTTTACCAGTACTACCACTACTACTAGTTTGATTATTGGTCTTATTTCTTCGTTCTCTGATTCGACGTAATGTGGTTTGTAAATCATCCTTCCTACTCTCCTCATATAAACTCATTCCTTCATCAACACTCATTTCATCTATTTGAGATGTATTGGTTGGACTTAATGGTATGGAATTAATTCGACTTAATGATGGTGAATTTGGAGTAGGTAATTTATCCGGGATTACTACTTGATTTAATAAATTGGAAAATAAAGACGCAGCTTGAACACTCATCGTACTCTGTGTATCATAATTCTTCTTACCACTACCACTCCCACTTCCATTCTTCCGTTTACTTACTCTCGTCTTATGTTTATACTTCCTTTGACCACCACTTGAGCCTCTTAATTTCTCATCATTTACTTTCGATAAATTTCGAATATTATTCTCATTCACAATCAAATTAATCATTAATAAATTCCCTCCCATCACAATCCCAATCACAACCCCAATAACAACACTAGCAAGCATGAAATGAATTATTTCCAAACTAAATAATTTCACCTGATTAAACAACCACCAGAATTCATCGGCATCTCCACCGTATTCTTCAAGTTGATCTAATTCCAACATGTATTTCAACGGCATCACAATAGGGATCTTGATGAAGACGACATAAACCAAGATATTCAATCCAATAAGGATGGGAGTCACTAGTAGATGGTTTATAAGACTGATTTGAAATAAGAAACATTGAATGAGAATGGTTATGATGGTGAGGATGGGAGTTATGAAGATGTGGTACGTGATGGATTTGATTTGATCTGTTATGGTCGAGCCCGTAGACGACATGATATATGTATCTATGTGTTCCTTGTAGTTATACGATGTTGTTGATGTTATATGATGATTGTTATGGTTATTATGATTATGAATTGCTGTGATATTTTTTAAAGTTGGGGTTAACATTTTTTTGCGCATGCGCTTTTATAAAAATGATATCACCAAACTAATAACAACTATAAATCTACAACTACAAATCGACAATCACTAATAACGATTTATACACAGATTAAATGTATTAAAAAATATGATGCAACAGGTATAAAAAAGAAGACAAAGCCAAACCTAAACAACTCAAAGTGAATTTTGAATTATAAAGCAGCTTGAAATATAATTATAAAACCAATATTAAATATATATATATATATATCCATATCCATACCCCCCACCCCCAATTTTAAAAGGCAAGACTCTTGAATGAATGAAGAAAAGAAGAAAAGATGAAACACAGAATAATAATGAAAAAATAAGAAGAAGAAACCTAATTAGAAAAGAAGAAAGAAAGAAAGAAATAATTTGTATAAATATGTAAAATGTAAAACTGTATGAAAGGAACTTTATGTATATAATATATGGGGGACACTTTTTGATTGATTATTTTTGAAAAGATATAATGAGAATTTTTGTTGTTTTGATGTTTTTTGGTAAATGAAACGAGGTTAAACTATGATGTGGAAAGTATGGCTGCATTATTAGTGGCATTATTATCATTACTATCACTATTATTACGACCATTATTATTATTACCATCCATTTGAGAATATTTATTATTAGTATCATTATTATTATTACTGAAATTATTAGCCTGAGAAACATCAGTTGATGATTCATCATTTTCTTTATTATTATTATTACTTGAAATTTGTTGTTTCTTCTTAAGTAAATATTCCTTCTCTTCTTGAGCTAATTTATCAATTTGAGATTTAATATGATCAATATAATAATTTCCAAATACACTCCAATGGAATTTAACTAAAGTTGAAATTCTTAAAGCAATATTCTTTAATTCAGTAGTAGAAGTAGCATTGGCTGGTGTGGTAGTAGTAGTAGCAGTAGTAGTGGTGACAGTGGTGGAATTAACATTAGTGGCAAAGGTGGATTGCATATTGTTCATTGATTGTTGAAGTAATAAATCATTTTCATCTTTATTACTAGTAGTAGTAGTCGAAGTATTATTAATAATAATGATAATTTCTGATAATAATGATTTAAATACTTTAATTTCCATTAATCCATAAACTTCAGATTTTGGTTGAATATGTTTTATTAACCAATTATAACTAAATTCAATTAAATTTGATGATAAATTTTTAAAATCAATTTCAACATTGGAATTTGGATCTTGTAAATTACGAACTAATTGTAAACTTATAGCATTAACATTCTTAGTCCATTTAATATTACCATTATCATCAGTAACAATAGCTAAAATTTCTTGTTGAACTTTTAAAATATTGGAATTGGATAATAATGTTTTAGTTAACATTGGATTGGATTTGGTTGACATAATGATTAATTGTTTATAAAGTACCATACATAATTGAACACAAACCAATTGACGAACATCAGCACGTAAAAGTACTAAACGAGTATGATCAAAAGCTAAAGTAGATGGAAATTCAGTAGCCATTTGACGACAACTTAATAAATCAATAATAGATGAAATTATAATTGGTTTTAATAATGCATCATCAATAACTTCAGGAAATTTAATCATTGAATTTGAAGATTCTTTAGTTGATTCAAATTTTTTATAAACTTTTTTATAAAACCAATTTAATGAATCATTAATATTAATTTTATGATGATTTATTAAAGTTTGAAAATAATCTCTTTCAAAATCAACAGCAGTTTCAATTAAAACTGGTCTTAAAATTCGAATTTGATGATTGGCCACATCTAATTTCATAGCTTCTAAAATTTGAAATATCATTCTTAATCCATTAACTAAATAATCCACTGAATTTAATCTATATGCATCTTTAAATTTCAGATACATTTCAATAACCCATTGATCTCTCATTGGAGCACAATGACTTTTAAATACTTCACCTAACCATCTTGACATTTCCACAAAATCAAATGATCCATGATTCAATTGTTGAATTAATAAATCAATATCCATAATTTCATTAACTTGTTGACGATCTTTTGAAGGTAAAAGACTCAATAAAATATCTCTTAAAGTGGCAAATAAAATTGGTAATCTATTAATTTTAATACTTTTGGATTTATTAGTTGATTGAGCTTGTTGAAAAAATTGTAAACATTCAAATTTGATTTCTAACCAATATTTTTCAATGATTGACTTCTTTCTTTTTCCTCTTTCACCATCTAAATTAGGTCTAAATTGTAATTGAGGATCAAAAAGTATATCATGTCTTAATTGAGGATTCTTTAAAATTTCATGAAGATCAATTTCTTTTAATGATTGAAGATTTATAGGTGGTAATGGTGGAATATTACTTGAGTTTGATGAAGATGCAGCAGGTGGAGCAGGTGGTGCTTGAGGTGGATTAATTAAATTAGCTTGAGGTAATAATTTTGTTTGATTATTTTGATGATGATGATGATGATGTCTTTGAGTATGATAATTAATGATAGGTAAAGATCTTGATCTAAATCTTCTGATGAATTTTGGACTTTTTGATTTAAGAGTAGTAGTTGTGGTTGTTGTTGTAGTAGTGGTAGAAGTAGTAGTACTAGAAGTTTCAGGAATAATTTGGTTCGAAGATGAACTGGAAGATTTATTCATAAGAGAATCAGGTTGATTAATAATGGTGGGGTCTAAACGAACTCTCTTGGTGGAATCATGAGTAAAAGCTGGAGAATTTATAGAAGAAGATGCAGTTGATGAAGAGTTGCGTTTATTTGACGATGGAGTGGTATTATTAGGGTTGGTAGATGATGAACCAGTAACAGTTGAGGTTGGAGAAGCAACTGATTCTTGTTGTTGTTGCATATGTAAGTTTATATGATGTAAATGAATTTGATGAGCTAATACTTTTTGTTGTAATGATTGATTAGTGTCGGAAGTGGTGGTTGAAGTTGAAGTATTAGTAATGGAGGCGGAATTATCATTTGAAACCACTAAATGATGAGCGGAAGAAGGTCTTCTACTGGTAGAAGATACATTAGATGATGAAGAGGAAGTGGCATTAGATTGATCATTAGTTGGATTTGAAGATGATGGGTTTGTAGAGGTTCCATTTGAAGTTGGATTAAAACATACTTTTCTGAATTGATCTTCTTGAAAGATTTGAGTATCTTGATTCTCAGTTTGATTATTAACTTGAGAATTCATGATGAATTATGATATGATGTAAGATTAGATAGATTTGATTAATGGTATTATAAATGCATAAGATAGATAGATTAATCTGTAAATTAGCAATAAGTGATAGATAGATTACTTGAAAACGAGCAAAGTTATGAATGTAGCAAGGGATGAGATTTTAAAGTAAATAGTTACCAGGTGGGATGCAAGTTTATGAGCTAATATGGTATATATGAGGTATCAGATATGATTGATTGATGGATGGAATATGTATGAGATGGGAGATGTATTGATGAGATGAAAGTTGTGTGTAAATAGATGTTGGTTGACAGTAAATTTGATGAAGAAGGAGGGAGGAGGAGGAGGAAGTTTTGAGGAGGGAGACAGAGAGAGAAAAAACGGAAATTTTTCTTTCTTTTTTTTTTATTTTGTTTGCCTTTTTCTCAAAAGTTCAACTTAAAATTTATTTGTAGTAGTAAAAAAAATTAAGTTTTATATGACAATATAGTTTCTTCGTCTAGTTTAAACTAGTTTAAGTTGTATGATTTATAGTTAGGGAAAATTGAATAGTTAACAAGGTAGGTATTGTTGATGAAGAAGAAGAAGAAGAAGAAGAAGTTGTAAGAAATTCGACAAATGTGAAATGATAAATAAAAATTTTATTCAAACCTGACATGAAATGATTATTATTATTATTAACACTCTGACAGACAAAAAAACAATCTCAATCAGTAATTAATAGTTGAAGAAGCTTAGAAGATGTTTGGTGCGGATGTTTTTAGTCACTTACTGACAAAATTTCTTTTTTTTTTTTCTTTTTCTTTTTCTTTTTCTTTTTTTTTTTCTGTTTCTTTTTGTTAGTGGTGGTGGAGGGAGTAAGCCAAAAAAAATACAGTTTACAGTGACAAACAGTGAGTAAGTAAGAGTTTGTTTGTAATGTGTAATGTCGTCTTTTTTTTTTTTTATTATTATTTTCTTTTTTTTTCTGATTTTCTTTTTTTTTTTTGATGACTGACTGCCTGACTGACTAACTAACTAACTGACTGTAAAATGACCCGTCTTTTTTTTTTTAATTTATCATCAAAAATTTCTTTTTATTTTTTGTTTTATTTATTTACTTTTTATGGTAAATTAAATTGATTTTGGCTTTGTTTTAATTTTCGTTTCGTTTCGTTTCGTTAAATTGTTCGTTACGCTCACCACCACCCATTACTGACCCGCCATTACATCCCACTACATAAATTTTACTTAGTATACTCACTAATTCACCCTAAAATAAAACCCAAAATCAAAATTTCACTCATGGTTTCCCCCGTAAATCATTTCTTACATACAATATAAATTTTCTGGTTATATTGTATTAATTAAATCCATAACCCTAAGAATAAACTTTTCTTATATGTATGTACGGTACTAGAGATTATATCTATCACAATATCAAAAAGAAGTTATCTAATCATACTGTACTCCACCTTCTTAAATGTTGTTTCGGTAATGCTGTTCACAAAAACTACGTAATGGTAAGTCTTCTAGAACCTAGCAGTTTAGATCAATCAATTACTAATTAGTAAACTTAATTACGCGCGTTACTATTGCTTGACTTGTTCTTGTCTTGTTTTGTCTTGTTTTGTCTTGTTTTGTCTTGTTCCTGTCGGTCTGCTTACCACCACTAGCCAAGACCTCCTCCCTGATAAAAAATAAAAAAAAAAATGATACATTTAGTGTATGTAATTCTGAGTTTAATGAGGTGGCGATGTTCTCACTAAAATTTAAAATTTACGTAACTCAACACTGAAAGACGACAAAAGAAAATAACATATGATCTTAAAATTCGATATCACACACTTTTACATTATGGAAATCTAAAATTTCATTTACTAAATATCAAATTTATTATTATTATTATTATTTGTTAACTTATTATATTGCAACCATTATATTAGATGTGACCTATCTCAACCTAACCTCACATACACTAACCTTATGGATAAAATCTTGTCAATTCCATCTATGTTTAGAAAATGGACAAATATTATTTAAACCAGACATACCGATTGATAATGAATCACAACCTATTGTTTATGACCTACCAAAGTTGGTAATATTACCAGGAAGTAATTATTAATAATAATAATACTGGTGGTGGTTGTTAACTATGATGAAAATAATAATAATTTGAAATTTCCAATACAATACCAGTATACCCACCATGTATATCTAATGAGGTAACCATATTTAAGTTTCTTTTTTCTTTTACGGTTTGTCTGTCCGGTTATCGGTTGGAAATGTCCGTAAATAGGAGAAAAAAGAAACTTTCTAATATGGAAAAATCCGTCACGTGAACTATTTTTGCAAACTTTTTCCGTTATTTTTTCTTCTTTTACCTTCTTCTTCTTGAATTTGATCGACAGTTATAAAGATGCTCTCACCATTTCCTAATTAGGTAATATGTTCCACATTCTTTTCCCATCATTACAAGCTAAGAAAAGTAAAATGGAACTAACCTTAAAATCAATTAGACATAATTTAATATGATAGAATTTTTTATTTTATACAACCTATGACTGAATTTCAGTTTATAATAACAAGGGGTTGAAATTCATTCATTAATTAGTTATTTTATTCTTTATTATTATTATTATTATTATTATTATTAATCTAGAGAATGGAATGGAATGGAATGGAATGTTGCTAATCGGTTTACAAAATCAATCAGAAAGAGGGGGACGGACCTTAAAAAGTGAGCTCATTTTATAAAATTTCATCTTCTTAAGTAAGTAAAATTAGATTTGGCTTAAATTAGATAAAATTTGTAAATCAAACTTTTGATTGATGTCTCAAAGTCAACATTATTCTCCATATTTAATTGAAATTTTTTTGACAATTGAAATTTTGTTCGTTAGCTTAATCCGTGCATACATGAATCCAAACCAGAAAATTAGCTAACGAAGGAAGGAAAGAAGGAAGGAGTGAAATTTAATTAACGAACGAATATACTAATTCATGTTATGAATTTGATTTATTTGATTTCAAACCATTTCAGACTGTATTCAGAATTCATACATACGCACATAAATCTAATATAGAAATTATTAATACGAATCTGTACTAATAAACCTTCGTCCTTTTTTATGTTCGGATTGTGCATTTTAAATCTAATTCTCATCGTCTGTTTTATAACCGTTTATTGCCTTAGTTTTTTTTCTCTAACGTTATTAGTACTTACAATTATTAAGTGTCTGATTTTTTTTAGTTCATACTTTATACGTTTTATTCATGTACTATCGATTTATTACTTTTACATCTCGTAAATGTTACTTTTGTAGTTGTTTTTAATGTTTCGACATTTATTGATATGTTTTGATCCTCTATGCAACGGATAATTATGTACAATCATTCTCGGTATAACACTACAAGTAATATGGTTTTTGACGATGGTTTTTCTTCATCCGCCACAAAGAAGGTTTATTTTTTTTCTTTTTCTTTTAATCTGATATACCATGTACCAGGAATCCTTCCCCTTTAAGGAAGGTTAAGTTTACTTTGGAATGAAAGGATGAATCTTGCAATATCCGTTATTTTCTAATGATGATGAATTCCTTCATCAGTATTATTATTATTGTTTATTTATTATTTTTTGCCATTTTTAATGTTCTATTTTTAGGTGAATCTGAATTTTAAACATTTAATTATCCGGTTAATCTAAACTAAAATATGATTACAAGATCCATAATTATATTGCTCATTATGCGTAATAATGGCTCAAACAACTATTTGTAACGTTCATATGTTGTAGAAAATAATCAATAAATAATAAATATTATTTACTATTATTGATAATAAGCATTATTTTTTTATATTTCGGAGTTGTAATCGGAACTATTTTACCGCTTTTCATGCACTTCACCATCCAATACAATAATATACAAAAAGTTCATACATATACATATTAAATAATAATCAATATAATTATATTTGATTTACTATTCTAACTCCTGCTTTGCCTCCTGTGTCAAAAATAAGTTTTCCAGAAAGAATGGGTAAGAATAGGATAAATCTAATTCTTACATACATACATACATACATATTCATGCTTGCTGTGGTCTAACAGGTTCAACAATTATTTTTATAAGCCTTGATGGTTTTTGATGTAAATGCCTTACGATGTCATAACCTGTGAATCATAATACTGTTGATTAACGTTATATCCTTTCCCATTACTTCCTGATTCTTTTATAGCCGCTAATTGAAAAGTTTTAACAATAATTTTAATTTTGCTTAATTTCTTTTTTTCTTGATCTTCCTTAGTGACACAGACAGAGAGTTCCGTGAGATGAAATCTTTTTTTTTTTTTATTTTAGTGCAATTACAAAATCCTAAGACTAAAAGCTTAAAATATTCAGATTGTGTTCCATTACGAATTATGGATAATAATTTAACAATTAGCCTTTTTTTAAACAATTGTTCGTAGGTTGTATCCGCAGTTTCTTCTTTAGTAATATTATTATAATAATGAATTTGATGAATTTGATAAATTTGATCAAATTGTAGAGATGTTACCCGTTGCCGTTAGTGATGGAAGAAAATTATTTTTTAGTGGCTGTTAAACAAAAAAAAAATTTTTTTTGTTTTCATTTTCCATAAAAATATTTTTAGCGGATATTACTGATTTTATTCCTACATGTAGCGAGATATATACATAATTATTGAATAATAATAACGAAGTCAAAGACAAAGAAGTATGACCAGAAAGGAAATGATCTACGACTCGGAAATGTCTTCCTTTATTATTTTACAACAATAGAGATTAAATTAACATAGATTCATCTATGTTAATTAAATAGTTTTAGAGACGTCATCATCATCGTGTACCCTTTGGAATTTGTGATACGCCATCCGTTGGTACCTTTAAAATAATCCAGCATATTCATTCAATTCAAGTATAGCTATAAAATGAGTAATAATAGAACAGCAATTGATTAAAAATAATTAGAAATTATTCGGAAAAATCCACTTGTTTTCTTTTTTTTTTTCTTTTTTTATTTTTTTTCTTTCAATTACTTACCTCTCTTCGTTAAATTTTTTTTCAGTTTCTTTTTTTTTGCCATCAACTTTCGTTTACTGAGAAGAAGAATAGGGAGAAGAAGAAGAAGAAGAACAAGAAGAAGAAGAATTTTTTTTTGTTTAGGCTCTTCTCAATTTCTTTTTTCATTTTCAGTTTTTTTTTTTGATTGCGCTCTTCCTTCTATTTTATGTTAACCACAGTAAAAATAAAATTGATGAGTTGAATTCTACTGAGTACTGGTAGTAAATATATATAGATATATCATTTTATAAAACTAATTGACATGAGGTGGTTCAATGTACCTTACACTGATAGACCATGTTTCAACACATGCGTATGCCATAATGACAACTGCTGCAATACTATATATATTATCTAGATATATAGGTCGTATCTGTAATCAAACCATGCTAGTGAAGGTTGCAGAAAGATCATGATGATGCCCTATTCTGTTTTCCTTCTATTCTGGAAATAAATAATAATAAAAGAATCTGGTTCCTTTTTTTTTTGTTCTCTCTAGTTAATTTTTATTTTTTAGCCCTCCACTTCCTCACTCATTCTTTTTTTTTTTTTTTTCGTTCGTTTTTGACAAGGCACAGACAGACAGACACTGAGTGAGACAAACAAATAATTAAACAGACAGACAGACAGACAGTTTAAAATTAATCTGAAATTAAAAAGAAAAAGAAAAAAAAAATTATTAAAAAATAAAAATAAAAATAAAAAAAAATAAAAATAAATAAAAAAAAAAAAAGGTAAAATTTTAAAATCCGAATTGAATAAAACGATAACCAAATCCATTTCACTTTGAATTTTAAACTGAAAACTTGAATTTTGAAATTGAACCCTTTTCTTGAAAACTTTAAAACTATCACCATCAAAACCTTTGTCTGGACATCGTTGATTCCGATTTATACTATCAACTCCAAGATCCTCAGTTGACTATACCAACACTCTCGTTCACCTTAACCAACCGGCTCAATTTAAACAATTTAATTACCGAGAAAACTATCACAATATCAAAAAATTGGATTTTTTTTTTAAAAGCAAATTTCAGAAAAAACTAAAAGTTAAAAGGGTTAGAGGATATGTCTGTAGTACCTCCTCCTATACCTTCACCTTCATCAATACCCTCTGTCAATAGTCATCATCAATCACAACCACATTCACCTTCACCTTCTCAATCACAACCGAAATCTCACCCTCACCCTCATCATCATCATCAACCTTCCCAACTTCCTCCCATCATGAAACCTTCTACTCCTGAACCCACTAGACCAACCAATACCGTCACCAATATCTCTAGTGGTTCAGGTAGTACAAGCGCCAGTGCCAGTGCTTCATCAGGTAAAAGTCAAACTGTATTCATCCATAAATTATATGATATGCTTCATGATGATTCTATATCTCATTTGATTTGGTGGTCAAATACTTTGGATTCATTTTATTTATTACCAGGGGAAGAATTTAGCAAAGTTTTAGCTCAATATTTTAAACATACTAATATTGCTAGTTTTATAAGACAATTAAATATGTATGGATTTCATAAAGTTAATGATACTTTTCAAAATAATCAAAATGATGATAATGGAACAGTTCAATCTCAATCTCAACCTCAACAACCTCATGATCAACAATCTACAAATTCAAGTAAATGGGAATTCAAACATTCTACTAATCAATTTAGAAAAGGAGATATTGAATCTTTGAAATTAATTAAGAGAAGATCTTCTAAAAATATAAATTCTCATAAAGAAATTGTCAATTTGAAATCATTACCCCCAACTTCAAACCCCATGCTTCTCCAACAACAACAACAGCAACAAGCTCAACAACAACAACAACAGCAGCAACAACAACAACAACAACAGTATGGTAACTATTATCACCAACCTTATAGTGATGATGAATCATCCACTATGGGAAGTCGTCATGGTTCAACAGATAACTTACATCAACAATATCATCAATCTTTACAATTACATCAACAATCTTTATTAATAAATAATAATGGTACTAATAATATCCCTCAACCATCAGGTGGTTTACAAATATCTTCTAATAATTCAACTCCATTACATCCTCCATCAGCTCCTCATACTCCAATACCTCATCAATTACAAATTCCAATCCCCGTATCGCCTCATATGGTAATGGGTCCAATACAACAAATGCCTCCATCTCAAGTTCATACTCCTTTAATCCAACCTCAACCCCAATTAGCTATCGTCCAACCAATACCGTCAACTAACAACAACAATAACAATAATCAAAATCAAAGTCAAAATCAGCATCCACATCAACAACCTCCACCATTAGTGTCAAACCCCTCTTTTGAAAATTCAATTAATTTTAAATTTATTGAATTAAATAATCAAGTAAATTATCTTAAATCAGAATTAAATTCAGTCAATCATAAATATGATTCATTAAATCTGGAACTTTTAAGAAATCAATCTGATATTGTTCAATTATTAGAAGTGGTTGAAAGTTATTTAATGAAAAAAGATGCGGCTGCTATAACTATCGAAGATGAAAATGAATCAGATGCAATTAAATTAGAAGGAGAAAGAATGGCTAATAATAGAACTCCAATTAATAAATCAAATGTTAATGATGATTCATCTACATCTCCTATGACGGTAGTTAATAAATCCAAAAATGTGGCGGTATCAACTGGAAGTTCAAATAGTTCAAGTTTACAAAAGGATATTTCTTCATTTAAATCGGTTTTATTACAACGTTTAAAAAGTAATACATCCATTCAACAAGCTCAACAATCTCAATCTCAACAACAACAATCTTCTTCAACTTATCATTTGAATAATACTTCAACTACAAATTCAAGAAACCCTTCTAATTCAAACATTCATATTGTTCCTCAACATTACCCTTTAAATCCTCATTATACCATATATAACTCTCCAAATGAAGTTCCTGCTTCATTCAGAAAGTTTACCAATAATCCAACTACTGCTAATCAAGCTGCTATTTCCTCATCTTCTCAAGCTGATGAATCGGCTAATGCTCCTGCTGCTAATAATTCAAATCGTCATTTATCGGTATTGATGGATCCTTTACAACCAATCCCATCTCGTAGTACCAAATTATTATTTGATGATCATCATCATCCACCTCAACAACAACAACAACAATCACATCTTTTACATCAACAATATGGTTCATCCGCTTCAACCGGATCGAATTTTAGATTAAGAGCCGAATCAAAAAGTTATAGTCCTTTAACTATTGGAGGAGCTTCATCCAATGTTAATCCAAATCAATCTAATACTTTACCACCTCCAATTCAATCATCTCCTCAACAATCTTCCGGTAGATCGTCTTATGGAAATTTAAATGATACTACTAAAAAATCAAATACTTCAAGATCTTCATCGTTGATAAGTAATAGTAATAATGCTGCCGAATTAGCTTCAAAATTCCCTCCTCCATCTTCATCTGTTATTCAACAATATCCTTTCCCAAATATGAATAACAACAATGAAGATCATGGTCCTGGATCTACTACTTTACCGCCATTTTCTCATCCTCAAGGTCATGCTCAACCACCTCAATTACCACCATCTCATCATCGTATTTCAAATACTCGTACTAATTCGTTACCTAACCCCCCACTTGAATCAACCTCTTCATTGAGTACTGGTTCAAATTCTTCGAATGTGGTTGCTGCTTCTCCTCCAAGTTCTATTCCTTCTTATTATAATCAAAGAAATTCATTTACTTCAATGTATGAATCATCATCAAATTTTTCTAATGGTCCAACTTCTCATTTACCTCCTCCAACTTTAAATAAACCATCAACTTCTACTACTACACCTTCTTCTACTAGTAAAGATTTATCAAGATTGATTTCAAGTAATGGTGATGCTAATAGTTCATCATCAAAGAATCAGTTACCTTCTGTTAGGGAATTAGATAAATCGATTAAAATCACTAGAACTTCTTCATCAACTTCTTTAAGTGGGTCTAACACAGGTTCCAATAGTGCATTAGTTACAGCTTCAACTTCATTGACTACTTCAAATGTTAGTGCCTTACCTTCCATGTCATCAATGTTACAAAAATCAAATGACAATAATGATGAAGATAGGGATAATCTTGATGATGAAAATAGAAAAAGAAGAAAAATCTTAAACTAATTCAGTCAGGGGGAAAATGACATCTTTCTATTTTAAAAAAACTAAAAACGTAATTATCATTCGGTATATTCGGTATATGCTTTCTTTTTCATTAGTTTTCCAAAAAAATAGTTTTGCCTATGCTTTTGCTTCTTAATTCTTATTCTTTATTTCTTGTTTTGAAAATCTTCTTCTTCCCTCCCAAACTTGTATTAATACAATTTGTATGTTTATTTGTTCTTATATTATTCTTGGCTCCTCCTTCTTACTTGTTATTATAAATACAATTGGTGTGTTTTAAACACTTTCCTTATTATTTACTTTCTTCTTCAGTTCATTTCTTTTATAAATATACTTGTATAAATTTTGTATAAATATAAACAATATAAACTTTACAATTTTAATTTTAAAAACCTTGCTTTATATATTTAAGTACGATAAAAACAACAACATTCTAACACTTATTTATAACCCTCTTCAATGGATCAACGTAATCCTTTTCTAATTCATCCTTGACATAAACTATATAATAAGGAGTGGCAGTATTATTTTCTTCAAAATTGAATACTTCCGATAATGAAACTTCCGTAATCATTTCATCATTATACTTTCTATAAATATTATTCCGATGTGGATCTTTAATATAGATCCAATAATGACCATAACTTGCTTCACCTCTATGAATGAATATAGCAAATATGGTATATCCCACCTTCTTATAATTTTTAAATTGATTTGAAATCTTATCATGTAATTCAACCAATCTTAAATTATATTGCACCAATTTATTACTATATTCTTCAATCAAATTCTCAAGTTGAATAATAGTGGTAGGATTAATACTAAGATCTTTATGTGGTAAAATAACCGATTCTAAATATTTCTTGGTTATCTTTAACGTGTCAATGATAGATAATTTTGTTTCAGGATTAAGTTCAACTAATTTTTCCTTTTCTTCTGTAATCCTGGCAATCTCATTCTTCCATTGAAACACTTCTGATCTTAATCGCAATATTTCTTCATCAGTTGTATCTAAATATCGATCAAAATAAATCTTTTCCAGAAATGGAATTGGTTCAATTGATTTATAGGCCATTAATCTCTCCCTATCAAATAAAACTCTCTGCACATGGAATTGTAAGATATCAGGCAATTCATTAACTGTAATTGATTTCTTACATAATCCTTCATCTAAAGTAACCAAATCTTCATTGAAATAATTATCCAAAGTATCATAAATACTCTTAGGATGATCACTCACATTAATAATTAAACTGAAAAATCTTTCAAGGGTAATACGTGATGGTCCAGTTGCAACAGTTGGATCAGATTCCTTAACTGGAGTAATGGTTTGTTTGATTTTTCCATAAAATAATTTCTTAATCAAATCAATCTGTTCTCCATCATCATCTAACTTCTGAGGTGCTAAGGCTGTCTCAATTTGAAATATAACATTTTCAATACACTCGGTAACATCTTGTTGTCTACCAACTTCAATGGTACTTTCCATTTGATCAGTACTAATAGATAATAATTTAGGACCCTTGTTGATTTCAACTACTTCCATTTGATCATATTCAGGAAATGATGTGGGTTCTTCAATAGATATGACCTCAATAGCTTCATCATCATCATCTTCTGGTTGAAGTTTCTGTTCTGAGAAATTTACATTGGAATCGGACTTCCCATAAACAATGACATTACCATCAGCATCTAACATTTCAGTATCACCAGTTGGTTGGGGAGATTCAGACGACACAACAATTGGAATTTGAGGACTTTGATTGCTCATAATTTGATCATTATCAAAATCGTAATCATCATCTTTTATTTCAATAATTTCAGGTGCATTTGGGTCTTTAAAGTCAACTGGTTGCGATAAAGCTAAAAATGATAAATAAGCCAATTCTTTTGTTGGTTGTACACATCTCTTTTGGGTATGAATCATTTCATCAAATAAATATCTTAAATGATAAATAAATTGATTTGAACGTTTGATTTCTAAATCTTCAACTTTTCTACCTCCAATTTTTCGTTTATCATTCAAGTCATCAAGATTAATTAAATCTTCATCAAATTCTAATATTAAATCTCTCAATGGTTTTATACAGAAGTAATATTGTAATAATGAATTTAAATAACAGGTATTACCGATGTTATCCAATCCTGCAGGCCAATTTTCAGCTGGTAATAAAGTAGGATCAATCTTACCATTCTTTAAAAAGCTGAATAAAATCTCAGATTTTTTGTTTTCAGCAATTAATTTTAAACAATATCTCAAAATCCTTATATCACTACTTATATCATTTCTATCATTTAAACTTAATTTAGCTTGGAATGATGTTATAATTTCAAAATCATTCGATGTGTGACTTGGTACACCCAATATTTCCAATGCTTTTGAATAAGTGATATCTTCCTTAGGAATTCTTATTATATCAGGTAATTTAGTTTCAACATAATTTAATAATAAATAACTTTTTCTATTAACCGCCACTGATAATAATGACTTATTCAAAAACACGATTTCACTGGTAGTAGTAACAAACCCACTAGATTGAGCTAATTCATTTAATTTATATTCATAAGCTGTTATAACCACATCATCTTCAGTAATTTCCTCTATAGTTAATTCATCCAATGCAATATTAAGAGGAAGTACTTCATTGTTAATATACTTCCACAATTCAGATGATTGTCTAACTTTAGCGATCATTTGTAATTTGTTATTGTAATACTGATAGTTTTTTGGATCTGCTTCAAAGTTTGACTTATACATGGCTATGACCACATCATCTTCAACTTCATCCAATTCTGAAGGATCACTTAATGAAATACCGATAATTTTCATAGCATCAACATAATCATGATATCCAACCAATTCACCTTGAGCAGTCATATTCTTGATATAAGTACCTAATTTCGTTGTTCCTACTCTATAATTAGCCACACTTTTCAAAGAATCAACATAATGTAATTTGTTTGCTGGATCTGATTTAACAGTATTTTCAAAACACTTAATGATAAATTCATCCTGAAAGTAGGTCATAATACTTAAATTAATAAAGTAGGGTACTTCATTAACACAGTTAAGTAAGAATTGAGTTAGATTCATATGTTTATCGTATTCCGGTATGGCACCAAAGATTAATGAGAAGTTATTTGCATATGAATATGTGGTTTGAAATTCATTAGTTTCAACTGAATTACTGTAGACCCGCCCCAAGAAGATAAGTTCTTGAATCATTCGAATGAAAGATTCTTTTAAATCAGGTAATAAGACAAGATTAGGTGGAACTAATTCGGATTCATCATTACTGATTGAAAATGATAATCTTTGAAGTAAAAAGTTGACATCAATAGTAGCACTTAAAGATCTATTTTTAAGACTTATCGTTTTAATCGAATCATCAGGATTAAGTAAAATTGGACCCTTCAAGACTTTGATCAATGTCTTAAAACAATGAATGACATTTGGAACCGTATCAGGAGACAATGATGGATGATTATCCACTTCACCCGAATAACGTTTAGTAATTAAATCTTGATCAACAAATGGTAATAACTCTTCTTTCGAAAATTCTTTTTTGAATATAGTTACTCTTAAGATTTGATTATGAGGACTATTATAACTTTTATAGAATGCATCATCAAATATAGTTTCATCAACCTTGCCTTCATCAAGAGGTTTCACTTTCAAAGAGTTGAGATCATCTGGGGATAATAATGACTTTGGAATGATATGATATTCGTGTTTATCGATCGAATTTGTTATGAATGGATTAGTGATTGATTCTAATACTATGATTCTAAAGTGATAAATATTCTCATTTGCACGATTATCAACGATTAAACCTCTAATAATGGATATTTTCATAGGAGATGCTTCAATCTTTTCTAAAGATGGCGAATATGTTAATGCATTATTAAGAGTTAAGACATCATGGTTGAATTGTTTATTATTTGACATTCTACTCAAGTCTGATGAATAATCAATTGGTTTACTATTCAATAAACTCACATTGTACTTGTTTTTAAAAGGGATTGACCATTTCAAGTCATCAAGTATTCGATTCAATGTTTTAAAGGGATATTTGATCAATTCGCTAGGTGGGATTCTTGAACCCTGATACTGGGGTACTTCAGCATCAATATCTGGGGGTTCATCTGTAGCTGCCTTTACGAAAGGATTGTGACTTTTAGTAACTTGAATTGACTTAGATGAAGATTCATCAACATCGATGGGAGAGGGGGAACTGACTTCTTGTTTCGTATTTGATGCTGATGGATCTAAAATGGCTGCTGTCGATATTGACGTATCATCATTATCTATCATTGTATGTGAAACGAGCTTGTATGAATTGGGTATCAATCAACTGCTGGAATTGACAATACTATCTAATGGCGTCCAATCTACTTTGAATGGATGGATGATTGATGGATGCTAAAGATAGAGGTTCGGTGTAGTTGATTTGGATCAGTAAGGGTGACAAATTGATGATGTAAACTTAAATTTGACCGTCATAAATTTTGGTGAGATCTGACTGCCACTCATTTTTTTTTTTGGGAGACAATTGCGGTAAAAGGAAAGTGCAAAGGGTCTTAAAAATTTTCAACTATCAATAACCAAAGATTGTGAAGAAGAAGACGAAGACGAAGAAATCAATGGTAGAAGAATGAATGGAGCATCTTCACCTCAACCGATTGATTTAGAGAAAATCAAACAGAATTCCGATGGGTCAATAACAGGAATGTTCACTTCAGGATTCAACGAAGTGGTTATAAATAATCCGTATTTCGCAGCTGGGGGTGGATTAATGCTTTTAGGAACAGCTTTGGCTTTAGGAAGACAAGGAGTAGTTAAAGGATCTGGCTTAATCTATAGACAATTGTTGGTTGATTTGGAAATCCCATCCAAGGATAAGTCTTACCTTTGGTTTTTAGAATGGATGTCTCAATATAAACATCGATCATCAAGGCATTTATCAGTTGAAACCAATTACATTCAACATGACAATGGAGCAGTTTCAACGAAGTTTTCTTTGGTTCCAGGTCCTGGAAAACATTTGATCAGATATCAAGGTGCTTTCATGCTAGTGAATCGTGAAAGATCAGGGAGATTATTGGATATGACTAGTGGAACTCCATTTGAAACAGTTACCTTAACTACTTTGTATCGTGATCGTCATTTATTTAATGATTTGTTATCAGAAGCTAAAAAGTTAGCCTTAAAGGCCCGTGAGGGTAAAACGGTTATTTACACGTCTTGGGGTCCTGAATGGAGACCATTTGGTCAACCAAGAAAGAAGAGAGTTATTGGGTCGGTCATATTGGATAAAGGTATTTCTGATACTATAGTTGATGATGTCAAAGACTTTTTAATTAGTGGTGATTGGTATCACAAGAGAGGAATTCCTTATAGAAGAGGATACCTTTTATATGGACCTCCTGGAAGTGGTAAAACTTCATTTATTCAAGCATTGGCAGGTGAATTGGATTACAATATTTGTATTTTAAATTTATCAGAAGCAAACTTAACTGATGATAGATTAAATCATTTAATGAATCATATACCAGAAAGATCAATCTTATTATTAGAAGATATTGATGCTGCATTTAATAAAAGAGAACAAAGTGAAGATAAGGGATATACATCAGGAGTAACTTTTTCAGGATTATTAAATGCTTTGGATGGAGTTGCCAGTGCTGAAGAATGTATAACATTCATGACTACCAATCATCCTGAAAAATTAGACCCAGCGTTATTAAGACCAGGTAGAGTTGATTTTAAAGTCTTGATAGATAATGCTACTGAGTATCAAGTTAGAGAAATGTTTTTAAGATTCTACGAAGGTGAAGAAGAGTTATCCAATGAATTTATGAAACAATTCAAAAAACTTCAATTATCAAATGTTAGTACTGCTCAATTACAAGGATTGTTTGTTTACAATAAAAGAGAACCACAACAAGCAATTGATATGATTGCAACTTTAAGAAATCCCAATAATGTATTCTAATTAACCTAACCTATTTATAGAATATTTGTCCTATCTTGTATATATGTATATAAAATTGTAATATAATATTAATGACATTCAACCACGATATCGTTTCATAATCATTTCATGAGCTTTATCTATTCTGTAATTTGTTATTTCACCATCTTCTCCACTTCCACCATGACTATCACTACTACCTTCTGTGATTAATTCATTCAAGTAACTTATATATATCAAATATATGAGTAAATCACTATTATCATTCTTCAAAGTTGATTTCTTAGTGGCTGGTTTCAAGACACCATTCTGTTGATGAGCTTCATCATTTTCCTTTAATTTGGCTCGAAGTATTCTCTTGAATCTCAGTTTATCATATGTCTTCTTATTATGTTTGATTGATGACGTTAGCCTGGTGTCGGCTATGTTGTTATTGTTGTTATTGTTTTCGTTTTGACTCATAATGTTCCAACCGCTGTAATCAAACCTTTCAAATTCTTCTATGGTATCACCAACACGTTATAGATGAACTACTAGCCAGTACACACTACTCTAAATAAGATGATAATTGAAACACTGTAATCAAATTAACATAACTAAAAAGGATCTGGTTTTTGGTATATTAATCGACACGTGAGTTCAATCTACCATCAAAAAGTTGACACAAAAGCGACCACAACCAAAGGACCAGAAAAAAGCCCCAGAGCCAGAGCCATAAACTGATAAGTTTAAACAGCAACCAAACCTGGTATTACTAAGACCAATTTATCGTCATCCATTCAACTTTATAGAAAGAAGAGACTATCATCAGTCATCCTTAACAATTGTTTAATTAACTGCTTTTGAGTTGCTTCCTGAAATTTGCACGAGAAAAGGTGAGATAATGAGATTCTTATCACTCTTGTTGCCTCTTATATCGGCAAGTTTAGCAGTTGGGACGGCATCAATCGAAATTCAAAATGAAAAAGACTTATACAACTCATTCGATAGAATAAAACGAGGGGTGGTGATCAATGATGTGTTTGATATCAAACAGGCTTTAATTGATCAACAAAGACAATTGGAATTAGAAAGTTCGTTAGGGGTTAAAGAGGAGTGCCCCCCATGTTTCAATTGTAACTTACCTAACTTTGAATGTGTTCAATTTTCTCAATGTAACAGTTTTACTGGTATGTGTGAATGTCGTGATGGTTATGGTGGAATGGATTGTTCAGAACCTTTATGTGGTTCATTATCTGATGGTAACTTGAACAGACCAGTAAGAGATTCAAATTCATGTGCTTGTAAACCTGGTTGGGGTGGTATCAATTGTAACATGTGTACTGAAGATAATGTATGTGATGCATTCATGCCTGAAGGTTTAACTGGTACTTGTTATAAAACTGGTATTATTGTCAATAAATTCCATGAAATGTGTGATGTCACTAATCCAAAGATTATTTCAATTTTAGACGGTAAAAAACCTCAAGCAACTTTTAGTTGTAACTCAACGGCTGAAACTTGTGATTTCCAATTTTGGATTGATCAAAAAGAATCTTTCTATTGTGCTTTAAATAAGTGTAAACTTGATTATGATTTATCTGGTAACACTACTCATTATAATTGTGAAGAAGTTGCTTGTAAATGTTTACCTGATAGAATGCTTTGTGGTGAAGCTGGGTCCATCGATATTTCTGAATTCTTAACTGAAACTATTAGAGGTCCAGGTGACTTCTCCTGTAATGTGGCTGACAGTACTTGTCGTTTCTCCGAACCAAGTATGAATGATTTAATTCAAAGTGTATTCGGTGATCCTTACATCACCTTACATTGTAAATCCGGTGAATGTGTTCACAAGAGTGAGATTCCAGGTTATGATATCCCAGGTCGTTCAGAATTAACTTGGAATGGCTTATTTTTAATCATTGGTGTTGCCCTTGTATGTTTCTTAATTGTTGTATCTGCTGTTCATAGTATTCAACAATCTCCATTATTCAAAAAGAGTGGTGGATTAGATAATTATGATGCTGCATATGAAGATGATCTTTCAGCTTTGAATAAAAACTTCACTCCAACAACCCTTTCATTTGAAAATATTAGTTATACCATCAAAGGTCAACAAGTGTTAAACAATGTTTTCGGTGTTGTTCAACCAAGAGAGTGTTTAGCAATTATGGGAGGTCTGGGAGCTGGTAAAACAACTTTATTAGACATTCTTGCTGGTAAGAACAAAGGTGGAACTATTTCTGGTTCATGCTATGTAAATGGTAATTTGTTAGATAATGATGATTATAAAAGAATTGTCGGTTACGTTGATCAAGAAGATGAATTAATTCCAACTTTAACTGTCTATGAAACTGTTCTTAATAGTGCTTTACTTAGATTACCAAGAGATATGACTTTAAGACAAAAGGAAGCTAGAGTTATTGAAGTTTTAAATGAATTAAGAATCTTAAATATTAAAGATCGTGAAATCGGTTCTGATTTTAAAAGAGGTATTTCTGGAGGTGAAAAAAGAAGAGTATCTATTGCTTGTGAATTAGTCACATCTCCATCCATTTTATTCCTTGATGAACCAACTTCAGGTTTAGATGCCTTTAATGCTAAGAATGTGATTGAATCATTAGTTAAATTGTCCCGTGATTTCAATAGAACCATCGTTTTCACAATCCATCAACCAAGAAGTAATATTGTTTCTTTATTTGATAAGCTTATTTTATTAAGTGAAGGTGATTTAGTATATTCAGGTGATATGATCAAATGTAATGATTTTTTCGCTCGTAATGGTTATCAATGTCCATTAGGATATAATCTTGCTGATTATTTAATCGACATCACAGTTAATCATAAAAAGCTAATTAAAGTCGATAGTGCTATTGCTGAAAGTTCGGGATCTGGTGAAACAGCTGATATTCATGAACAATTCCTTCAAAATCCAACTTCAGATACCGATATTACTCGAGAATGGGAACATTTTGCCGTCCATAGGGATGAGTACAATTTTGATCCTATCAAGTCTAAGAGCAGTTCTGGTGAAGAAGAAACATTTGTTCAAATAACAAACAAGTTACCATCTATTTTCTTACAATCTCCATTAGCTGGAGATATTAAGGATGAAATAGCAAATACCAAAGCAAATCCAGTTGCCATTGATATCAGCAGAAAAAAGATCAAACATGCCAGTTTCATATCTCAGGTTGTTATCTTATCTTCAAGAACTTTTAAGAACTTGTATAGAAATCCAAGACTTTTATTATCACATTATTTCCTTTCATTATTGGTTGGTGCCTTCTGTGGTTATTTGTATTATGATGTTTCTAATGATATTAGTGGTTTCCAAAATAGATTAGGTTTATTTTTCTTCATATTGGCTTTCTTTGGATTTTCATCTCTTACTGGTTTACATTCATTTTCAACCGAAAGAATCATTTTCATTCGTGAAAGAGCAAATAATTATTATAACCCTCTCAGTTATTATTTAAGTAAGATTTTCTGTGATATTTTACCATTGAGAGTATTCCCTCCAATCTTGCTTATTAGTATTGCTTATCCATTAGTTGGTTTAACTATGGAAAACAATGCATTTTTAAAATGTATTCTTGTATTGGTGTTATTCAATGTTGCTGTTTCTGTTGAAATGCTTATTGTTGGTATTCTAATCAAAGAACCAGGTACTTCTACCATGGTAGGAGTTTTAGTATTATTATTGTCATTATTATTCGCAGGTTTATTCATAAATAGTGAAGATTTGAAGATTACTATCAAATGGTTAGAATGGATTTCTGTTTTCCACTATGCTTATGAAGCATTATCAATCAATGAAGTTAAAGATTTAATCTTGAGAGAAAAGAAATATGGTTTATCAATCGAAGTTCCAGGTGCTGTTATTTTAAGTACATTTGGATTTAAAGTCGGTAATTTCTGGAATGATAATGCTTATCTTGGTGGTCTTGCATTCGCCTTCTTTGTCTTAGGTTATTTCTTCTTACATTACTTTACTATAGAAAAGAAGTAGTTTCTTTGTTGTTAACTAATTTGTTGGTTATATAGACGTTTCCATTTTAGTGGAATGACAAAATAAAAAAAAGAAAAATAAAAGTATATATAAAAAGTAATATTATATTTGAATTGAAAGATCACTTCTTTCTTCTTAAATTATTAATAGTGTTAAACATTTCTCTCTTTAACTCTAACATACTGAGTTTTTCTTTTTCAATATCGAAAGCAAATTGTTCAAACTCGATTGGTGTTGTAACTGGTTCATCAGTTGGATCACTATAATTCTTTAAAAATGGATGAGTTAAAGCAGTTTCAGCGGTAATTCTTTTACTAGGATCAAATACTAATAATCTTTCAAGTAAGTCTATTCCAGCTGGACTAATATTTTTACCAAAATGCTTCTTTCTTCTTGATGGATGATTATTAAATAAATCAGCAAAATCTAACTTTTGTTTAAATGGTAAAGTTGCAATGTAGTTTTTAGCTCTTGTTGATTTTATACAATCTAAATCTTCTCCTAATGGAGTACCTAAAACTTCAAAAATGAATAATAATTGACTTTTATAATCAGCACCGGGGAATAAAGGTCTATAAGTGAACATTTCTCCTAAAATACAACCTACTGACCATAAATCAACAGCAACCGAATATTGACAGGAACTAAGCATGATTTCGGGAGCCCTATACCATCTGGTAACAACATATTCAGTTAAAGCTGTTTGTGGGACATTCGGAATTGAATCAGATTTACTAGTATCTAGACGGGCTAAACCAAAATCACAAATTTTCAAATCACATCTTTCATTGATTAATATATTTGATGGTTTTAAATCTCTATGGATTACATTAGCACTATGAATGTATTTAAGTCCTCTAAGTAATTGATAAGTGAAATATTGAACATGGGCTTCTGTGAATGTATGAGATTGGATTACTTTGTTAAGATCAGTTGGCATATATCCTTGGATAAGATAGACTTCATTAAAATTCTTGAAGTCATATGGTTTTTGAACATCAAAAAGATTTATGATATTTTCATGTCCACTTAGTTGAGCTAATAATTTGATTTCTCTTAAGGTTCTTAAACAATATAAGTTATTTTCAAAAGGAACAATCTTCTTAATGGCTACCATAGTACCACTAGTATGTTGAGCCAAGCAAACAATCCCATAAGCACCTTCTCCTAAGATTTCTTTTAGTTTAAAATTCTGGGATATATTATACACTATTTTTCTAGTTGTTGGTTTTCGAGGTATAGCATCAGATCTTGGATTAGAATGAGGTGAGATCTGAGATGGATCAAACTGATAGCTTGAGTTTCTTCTTTGATCAGAAGGAACACCAGGTATTTGATTACCTTGGGTTCTTGTAACAATCATTTGGTTAGCAGTAGTAGTTTATTCAAATATTTACCAATAAATTTCTTAAGAGGAAATTCGACTATTTTATTTATTTCATAAAGTAGAAGATCTTTCATTATATTTACACTTTTCTTAAATCTAAAACACCATCCCATTAATATATTACTTGCATATTACAGTTGTATCAGTTTATCATATTTTGCAGTCTACATTTATATGCAGTACATTGTTTCAAAACAAATTTCTTTTTTTGTTTCAGAAACGATTGAATCACTTCACCAACATATAGTATGAAACAACAAATTTTGCATCATCATTTTATTATAAAAAGAGATCATTCTCTTCTCTTAGATATTCTGTCATATTACTAATCATGTTAATAATATGGAAAAATTTATAGAAAAGGCTCAATCATCAAAATAATTTGAAAAATTGAAATTAATCATGTGACGTTGCAAGAGTTTCCTATTGCTACTATGATAAGTCTTAATAATATAATTATACATTCATTCTAATAAAAAGCAAAGTCTAATAAATAATAATACATAGATTAACATAAGAGGAAAAGGAGAAAGTCGTTAAAAAAGATCTAAAATAAATAAATTGGAAGCATTATGAACACCATTAATAATGTGGATTTGTTGAAATATGAATGACCATTGGCGCTTCCTTCAAATGGTTCAAAAGAAATAGAAGGGTTGTATTGGTTTGGTTGTTGTGATTCTGATGAATATTCAACTTCACTAACACTGGAAGTGTATTCAATCACTGGAGTAGTAGTGTATTCAACGACTGGAATGGTAGTAGGGGTATAGATTTCAGACACTGAGGTTTCTAATGAGGAAGCATCAACTGTAATGGTTGATTCTGGACATTCAATCACAAACATAGTTCTAGTAAGAACTTCAACAACTGTTGTTGTACTTGAATCATCCATGGTTGAAATAGCACTATTAGTAATTAAACTAGTGGTGGTTCTTGTTGTAGTGTGATCTTCATAGGTAGATGTTACGATATCATTGGCATCTGAAGCAAGTAACGTTGTGGTTGAAACAGGCAAGGTCAATGTAGTAGTATCTGTTGGACAAGAAACGACCAACACAGTTCTAGTAGCAACTTCCGTCAATGTAATAACTTGTCCATTACCTAACTCTGATTCAATTCTGGTAGTAGTGAAGGTTTCAACTGATGTTTTAGTTTCTTCATAATCTTTTGACGTAAGACCAGTTGGAGTCTCTCCTTCTGATTCTGTACTAAAAGATGAAATGGTTGCGATTTCTAAATCTTCTTTCACTGAAGTAGTTTCTGGGCAGATGACAACAGTTCTAGTAGTAACTTGAACAACAGTTTCAGTAATATCAGCATCAGAAACAACGACAGTATTGGTTATGATCTCAGTAGTAGTACAACTTGAAGTATTATCCTCATTTTCAATAGTAACTGTAGTTTCAGGACAAATGATAACGGTTCTGGTAATAATGTCAGTAACAGTTTCAGTGGCATAATCATCAGATACTACAGAACTAAGAGTTACCACTTCAGTAGTGGTATAGCTTATGTTATCTTCTAAGGTGATAGTACTTTCAGGACAAATGACAACTGTTCTAGTAGTGATATCAATAACCGTTTCGGTAGTTTCAGAATCAGATACAATAGCAGTAACAGTGTCGACTTCAGTAGTAGTGTAACTTAAATTATCATTATCATCACTTAAAGTAATGGTTGTCTCTGGACAAATGACGATTGTTTTAGTTGTAACATCAAATACAGTTTCAGTGGTTTCTGCATCTATTACGACTGAAGTGTTAGTTATAACTTCGGTAGTAGTGTAGCTGATAGCGTCAGAATTTTCACTATCAGTACTTAAAGTAATGGTAGTTTCAGGACAAATGATAATAGTTTTAGTACTAACTTCAAATATAGTAGTTTCATCTCCAGATTCATCATCAGATTCAACAATAGTATTGGTGACAATTTCAGTTGTTGTGAAAGTAGAGGTGAGCGATGATTGGTTTTCTTCATAGCTGGAAGTTATTATCTCTGATATAGCATCAGATGAAATGATTGAACCTGATCCGGTAGAATAATCATCATTTGATGAATTTGCACCATCTTGACTAGTTGAAGTGGATGAAGTGGAGCTATATAAAGATAATTCACTTGAGTATATAGCATCAACGGAAGTGGAAAACTCATCAATAGTTGAGGAGCTATCACTGGACAAAGTTGAGTAGCTTGATGATGTAACAAACATAGATGAAGAAATATCAGACGATTCAAATGTAGATGGGAATGGACTATCACTAGATGACGGGCTATCACTGGATGAAGGGCTGTCACTAGATAACATGCTTGAAGCGTCAGATGAACTTGAACTATAGATTGTAGATTCAGAATCTGATTGACTATAGGACGAACTAGAAGATGAGACATAAGAAGACGATTGGATAGTAGTAGATGAGCCTTCAGAATTCAATGAACTATAAATTGAAATAAGACTTGAGGATTGAATTCCACTAGATGAGGTAATATCACTGCTTGATGTAAAATTACTGGATAAAGTCATCATACTGGAAGATGTAGTAGCACTAGATAATGTAGAAGATGTAATGTAACTGGCTGAATCTATTGAACTTGACAGCATATCAGTAGATAATGATGAATCAGTAGTAGAAGTTGTAGATTCGATATCTTCCAGGTAATCACTATGTTCAAGTTCCAACTCATCTTCTGGACTATCTTCCACGTCATTTTCGTTGTTTGGAGCGTCACTCGAAGTTGGAGAGTCAGTGGGTGAAATGGATGATGAAGTAGTAATGGACGAATAATACTCACTAGAAGTTTCGAAAGTGTAACTGGATGTAGCAGAAGAAGTAATAATATCACTTGATGATTCTGATGAGGTAGAAGATGCAGCGTCACTGGAAGTAAGTTCCGAAGAACTGAAATTATCTGATGATGATTCAAAGACACTTGATGATTCACTATTAGTGGTTGATGAGCTTTCACTAGATTCAGTAGATGATTCGATATCACTTGATGATGATGATGAGGTGGTAATAGATGGATAATCACTTGATGATGGATTGTAACTAACAGATGAACTATCACTTGATGATGAGCTATCGCTTGAAACAACACTACTGGAACTGCTGTTAATTTCTGAAGAAGTGGACGAAGAAGTATAACTTGAATTTTCTAATGTACTAGATGAAGCAAGTTCATTAGAACTTGGAATATCACTTGAAGATGGAATATCACTTGAAGTTTCAATGTCCGATGGAATAGTTGAGGATGAAACAGCACTAGATGACAATATTTCAATTGAACTAGATGTAATACTAGATGATGAAGAAAGACTCGATGAAGCTTCTACAGAACTAGATGATGAAACATCGCTTGAAGACACTATATCACTTGAAGAAGCTTCTGAAGAAGATGAGATATCACTACCAGATGAGCTTGAAATTGAATCGTCGGAAGTAGAAGAAAAGCTATCGGCAATTGAAGAAGTCAAAGAACTAGAACTCACTTCAGAGCTGTCATCATCATCTTCTGGACAGTATTGGTCTTCTTCTTCTTCTTCCTCTGGACAATCTTGTTCTTCTTCATCATCACTATCTGGAGTATCACTTGCAGTTGGAATATCACTGGAAACACTAGAACTTGTAGTAACATCACTAGATAATTCTGTAGAACTGGATGAATCTAACGAACTAGAGAATGTAGATGATTCGCTAGTAGTTGGAAATTGAACAGAAAGTGTAGGGACTTGGATATCCTGGACAACATCTGGGAAGTGTTCTACATCATCATCAGTTGGAATGTCACTGGAAGTTGATGCACTAGATGTTTCAGAACTGTAACTGGAATCAATAGAAGAAGAAATAATATCACTTGAAGATTCTAATGTGGTTGATGGTGTAATTTCACTAGAAGAAGTAATATCAGATGAAGATTCAAGGTCTGAAGTTGATGTAATAAAACTTGATGTTTCAGTTGTACTAGATAATGTTATTTCAACAGAGGACGAATAAGTAGTAGATGACTCAACGATGCTTGATGATGGAGAATCGCTTGAAGAAGGAATTTCATTGGATGAAGAAATATCACTAGAAACAATACTAGAAGTAGCAAAATCACTTGAGGATTCAATTTCACTCGAAGATGATTCTAAAGTGTCGGAAGTTGAAACGAAACTGGAAGAAGCAACATCAGAAGATGAAACACTTTGAGTTGGAGTATAATCTAATGTATCAGATTCACTTGATGATGAGGAATCTAATGGAGTAATAATTATACTGGATGTTTCAGTAGATGAATAAAAACTGGATGAAGTATAAACAACGAAACTAGTAGTTTCACTTGAAGATGGAATATCAATATCACTAGATGATTCAGCATCAGAGGAGGGTTCAAATGAACTTGAGTACACACCACCACTAGATGATGGAATTTCACTAGAAAGTTCACTAGATGATGAAATCTCACTTGAGGATACAATTTCAGTGCTTGATGAAACATCGCTGGAAGAACTAATATCAGATGATGATAAAATATCACTAGAAGATTCAATGGTACTTGATGATGCACTGTCGCTAGAAGTTGAAAAATCAGTTGTTGTCTCAACGTTACTTGATGGTATATCACTAGATAAAACAATATCAGTAGATAAAGATTCAATAACCGTGGATGATTCAATAGCACTTGAAGATGAGACATAACTTGAAGTTGGAATATTACTAGATGAAGTGTAATCAATAGATGAATCGACATCACTGGATGAGTCAATCTCACTTGAAATATCACTTGAAGAAGAAATATCATCTGATAAGTTAATTTCACTGGATGTGGTAATTTCACTTGAAGATGTAATATCACTAGAAGTGATTTCACTTGAAGATTCTATAGTACTTGAAGATGATACTTCACTTGAAGATGTAATACCAGAAGAAGATTCGATATCGCTTGAAGAAGGAATATCACTGGACGAAGTAGTGTCACTGGAAGTAGTAATTTCAGTAGAATAACTAATATCAGAGGTTGAACTGAATTCACTTGATGATGAAGTTTCACTAGATAATTCTGTAGATGATACATCACTTGAAGAGAAGTCTTCACTGGATAAAGTAGTCACACTAGAAAAACTAGATTCACTGGATGAAGTGATTTCACTGGATGAAGTAATATCACTGGATGATGTAATATCAGTGGTTGAAGTTTCAGTGGTTGAAGTGAAATCACTGGATGATGAAGCTGGAATTGATAATTCTGAAGATGATAAATCACTTGAAGATAATACTTCACTAGATGAAGTAATTTCTGTCGATGTAGTAATTTCACTGGAAGAACTAGATTCACTAGATGTTTCAATATCACTGGATATAGTGCTATCAGTAAATGATGAAATTTCACTGGATGAATAAGAATAAATTGAACTTGATGAAGTAGTTTCGCTTGAAGTTGTAACTTCACTAGAAACAGAGTCACTGGATGATTCTAATGAACTTGAAGAATCAATAACACTGGAAGTTGTAATGTCACTATAGGATGCACTATGACTTGATGGAATTTGAGTGGTTGAAGTGAATTCACTTGACGATGAAGCTTCACTGGATAATTCTGAGGCAATGTATGATGGCATATCACTTGATGATGAAACTTCGCTAGATGAAATAATTTCGATTGATGATTCGATTGAAATTGATGGTGTAGTTTCGGTTGATGTAGAAATTTCAGTCGAAAGAATAGATGAAGTATCACTCGAGAGTTCTAGGGAACTTGATATAGAACTTGAAGTTGGAATTTCACTTGATAATGTGATATCACTTGAAGAGCTAGATGAAAGAATAATATCTTCATCTTCATCATCGGTTGGACAATATTCATCGTCGTCATCATCTTCATCAGTTGTACAGTATTCTTCATCGTCATCAACATCATCATCGTCTTCTTCATCTGTATATTCAGGACAATCTTCTTCTTCGTCAATAGATGAACTTGGGGCAGCAGTAGTTTGTGGTGGAGAAGTTGATGAATCAAAACTAGTTGCAGTTGGAGAAACTATGGAGGTGGTTGTGTCAACTATAACAGATGAAGTAGTTGTTGAAGGAAATGTAGTAGTTTGAACACTACTTTCAGTTGTTGTAGTGGTAGGTACAACTGGAATGCTACTAGTAGAAGTTGTCGATGTAGTTGGGATAATAGGTACACTACTAGAAGTTGAAGTTGTGGTAGGTATAATTGGTACAATACTACTTGTTGTTGTTGTTGATGTACTTGGAATTGTAGGAATACTGCTAGTAGGTGCTGGACTTATAAATACTGAAGAAGAAGATTCGACAACTTCATCTTCATCTTCATCATCTGTACAGTATTCATCGTCATCATCAGTTTCTTCTTCGGTACAGTATTCATCATCTTCATCTACCGTATCGTCTCTTCTATCAATATTTTCAAATACTGGAGCATTAATATTTATAGCTTGTATTTGATAAGGAGTTGTTTCTTTTGGTTGTGATGAGATTAAGGATTTTACTTTTGAAATAAAATTTTCAACTATGGCATTTGATGATATGGCCAAAGTTAATGTAATTATATATAGTAATATAATATGTATGCTAATTATTTTCATGTTTTATAATGGATGTGGATTATTTAACACTATGGTTGGACCATTAAGAGTGAAATATATCACTGACTACATCGAAGTAGCTAATCCTCTTCATTATATAATATCATCAAAAGAGACATAGCCTTAGTTAAAAAATTTACCGATGTCATAAATCATCTCTATCTAAGCACAAGACCCTTTAACATCATACTTACCATCATCTTTGACACCCAGAAGACATGACGATTCAATCTGATGATGATATAATTCATATTGCTTTTTAATTTATGCATAGAATATTTTTTGGATATGTCGAATTTCAAATCCTTCATCGCGATACCCATTGTAACGTCCTAATTAGGTAATTTTTTCGCAACAAGATGACTGCTCATTAAAAAATATTTTGTTGAGAGAAGAGTATGTATGACTTTAAATAGAAGGCACAGGGTACGATTAGATAGATATAATTACTGTAATTATTATTATTTGTATTATTATTTGCATTATAAAATATGATATTTTCTAGAATATAGGCATCGAAAATGAAGAAGAACAAAGAAAAGAAATAAAAACAAGGCTGCTCTATTCCTTCATCTTTTTCTTGTAATCTGCAAAGGATAATTTTTTGACAACCTTCGGTGGCGATGGCACAGGTTCCTTTACATTAACAGTTTCTTCCTTTTTAACAATGTTCTTATTGTCTGTAATAGGTGCAGCAATGGTTCCTATGGAGTTAGTTCTTACATCGACTAAACTGGCAGTTTTGTGTTCAAGTGTAATAAGCTTCTCTGGTATGGATACAGCTTCATCTACCTTGGCAGAATTTACGATTGGAATACTTTCTAATTGTCCGGCAATCTTGGCTTCCACTTCTTCAACTATTGGTTTAAGTTTGTCATCAATATTATTTTCAATTTTAATAACCATATCAGAACTTATTTGGAAACCATCTTCAATATCATACTTAGCACCTTCATTCTCGTTATTATCTTCATTTTTAATCTCAGCAATTTTTCTTAAGAATTGTTTATTATTTACCATTAATTGTTGTTTATATGGGATTGAAAATAATCCATCAGGTTTACTTCGAACTCCTCTTGGAGAAGTTTCCAAAGAAGCAGTGACAGCTCCATTTTGTTCAGTATGTTCAGTTTGACTTTCAACAACTGGAACTTCATCATTAGCCTTAGTTGATTGAGTTGTTAAAGTTAAATTCATTTGAATCACATTATCTCTTTCCACTAATCTATCAGACCATGATATGTATTCCTTTTCCTTTTTAGGAAGGATAAGTTCATCCTTTGATTTAGCCAAATTGATATTACTAATTGATGATGCTTTTCTTGTAGAACGAAGTAAATAAGATGTAGCCTTTTTGATTTTAAAGATTGCACATGATGAATAACTACTTGAAGTTGAACAACCACATTCCACAAAATGTAAAATATTATCAATATAACTGATAAGAGCTGATTTATGAGCATTAGTTAAAATATCAAATTTTTCTGAATTATTATTTTCATATAATTTCAAAATTGGATGATCAGCTTCCCATTCCCAGTTTAATCGAAGTTCTTCATCTGCTGACTCAGATTTTAATACAATGGGTTTGGAAGTCACCACAAGGAATCTAAAACTATTCTGTTCTGGGATATAGATTGGTTGGATACGACAATTGGATGACGATGGACATGATTTACGAATAAATCTAGATTCATTACCCACAAATCTCGAATCAACGATAAGATCCAAATCCTTCTCTTCAGTTAATTTCAAATTCGTCTTTAAAACTTTTGGTTTTGGAGTTCCCCACATTGAATATTGATTAATGGTATCTTTAATATAATTTTCAAATAAATCAATTTCACCTAAATATTCAATGATGATTGTATTTTCAGGAATAGTGAGGACTTCGGAATCATTTGAACTAATGAATAATGATAATTTAGATATTCCATTGAATTTTTGTTTCTGATTATCCAAATATTGTTTAACTTGGATAGAAGTCTTATTGAAATTCTTCTTCTTGATTAATAATTTATGTTCAGCTAAGTATTTTTGATAATTTGGTAATAAAATCTTACTCATTTTTAAGGATTTAAATTGATTTTGAGTCATGATTTCAATATCTCTTAATGTTCGTTTCTGTTGATCTGTCTTTGGTAAATTTAAATATTCTTGATAAAATGTCTGACCTGATTCTAAAAAGAATTCCTTGATTGATTTCTTCTTATAATCATTAGTTCTTAATTTATAATAGCCTGATTGATAAGTTTCCGATGTAACACCATCTTCTAAAAGTTCATTATCTTTATTTGGAACGATTACAGTGGGAGCTTTAGGCTGTTCAACCACAGTAGTTTCAATAGGAGTGGATTCTTTCTTCTTTTCCACAACTCCATTTTCCACTACTTTTCTTCTTTTATCAACTTTTTCAGAATTCAGATGTTTTCTTTTTCCAGCTCCAACACCAGCTCCATTCTTTTGTTTTTCTTTATTATTTTGATCACCTATACTATCATCATCAACAAACTCTGAACTTGGGGTTGATATACTATCAAGTGTTCTTTGAGAATTTTTGAAATCACTATCAAGTCTTTCAAGAGTTTCAATCCGACATTCTTCCGCATTGAATTTACCCCATTTAGTTTTATCACAATAATAACAAGTATATTCATCTTCAGGAACTTCTTCATTGGTCTTGTATCCCATACAAAGACAATGCTGCCATCTATAACATACATCACATTGAATAGTGAATCCATCATCATCATCTATGCCACAAATACATCCAATTAAGCCTGAATCGGCATCGACTTGATATGAACTAAGGGGAGGAATATTGAATTGTTCTTGCTTGTTATTGAATTCCTGTTGTTCCTTACTAGGTTCTTTCTTCTCAGGCTGTGATTGAGTAACAGGTTCTTGATTTTTAGGAGGAAGTATATCATTAGACTTTACAACGATTTCTTCTTCCGTTTTTTCATCATCTGTTTTATCATCATTTTCTGGTTCAGTCAATTGATCTTCATCTTTGATTGTATCATCTGGAGATTGTTCTGTTATTTGTGGATGAGATTGAGGTTGAGGTTGTGGAGGAGGAATAACAGGTACATTTATTTTTACTTCTTCCTTGACATGTTTTAAAGGTAATGGGATATCAGCCGCAGCCGCAAGAGCAGCAGCAGCTATCACGGCATTATTAGTATTTCTTTGACCACTTTCGATATTAATTCCACTTAATCCTGGACCTGGAGATAATTGATGCTGAGGTAATTGACTTCTTTCAATTTCAGGGGATGATTTTGATCTATGATGCACTTTTTCATGATTATTAGTAGGTGCAGAACCTGAAGTTGAAGGTAAGGGTGGGGATACAAGAGCACTTAGTGATATTTGAGTAGATCGTGGATATATTTCTACTGGCTTTGGTTTTAATTCTTGTATTGGTAATGGTACAGGGGCAGGTATGATTGTTATAGGCTGTGATTGTGGTTGTGGTACTGTTTCTGGTTCAGGACTATTCATCAAAACACTGATAGAACTCTTTGAAGTCTTTCTGGAAGATTCCTTAGGAGAACTGTTATTGGATGATATAACTGGAACTGGTGGACTTACTCTATGAAATTGAGGTGTACCTGGATGAACTATAGATGGAGATTGTAATTGTTGTGCTTGTTGAGGAGGATGAGGTACAGATACAGGTATATGACTTGTAAATTGAACCTGATGAGGAATGGGATGTCCAGAAGGAATCACATTGGGATATTGATTAACTGGACTAAATGGAGGTGGACGATTCTGTTGTTCAGGACTGTGGAGTATTACTGGAGCTGGTACAGAAACAACAGGCTGAGTAAGAGGTATAGCTGTTGTATTAATAGGACTCTCCACATGTTGAGGTTGAGAAGGAGATTCGGTTGGAGATGTCTTATACTGTTGTTGTTGTTTAGCTGCCACATTAGCAAACATTAATAAGGTAGAAGCATCTTGAAGAAGTTGTTGTTCGTCTTCTTTGTTTGTCATTCTCTTGTTCTTTGGTTTCACTTGCTGTTCCTTTGTTTCTTATCTGTTTTTTTAACTGTAAAATCTTTTCACTTAATTATTACTACTTCTTCTGCTTCTTCTTCTTCTTCTTCAGCCTCTTCTAACCCTTTGTTATTACCTTCGTATATATATATATATAATAATGAATTAGAAGTTGTAAAGTATATTTATGCACACTGTTTTTTCCTCTGGTTAATATTTTTAGTGATCGCTTTTGTGGATTGTATGCAGAACCCAAACTGGTTTTTTTTTTTCACTATACGATCGTTTAATTATTACGAAATTGTAAACGACAACCAGGTTTAAAGTATGTCTAAAAACATGGTTATTATTAGATTGATTTAGTTTTAATTTATTAACTCTAATGACTAGAAGTGTAACTATATACAACGGGATGACATAATAATTTAAGAAAAAAATATCAGACAACCACTTTTTTGATGGTGCTATTTTATTAATGACTAGATGTTCGTACTAGTTGATACGATGGCAAGTAAGATCGGGCGGGATTAGGAATATTGAATGAATGAATGAATGAATGAATATTTTATTATTATGACTAAGTTGAATTCTCTTCAGTCTTTTGATCTCTAACTTTCTCTAAATATTCTAGTTCTTTCTTTAGATTATCCATAGCATAATATATCTTACTTTGTAAATAGAATGAATTACCTCGTTCTTTCGAATTGACATCAAATAGATATTTATATTTCTCCTCTATCTTCGCCAAATTCAAATCTTTCTTATCTATTCCTAAGATCTTGAGTGATTCATCAACTGAAATACCTCCTGCTGAAGTAGTCTTAGCTGGTCCAGCAGCTGCACCTCCAGCAGCTGATGCTTTAGCAGCTTGTTTATAGGCTTCGGTAAAAGCACGGCCAAACACAGATGCTCCTGTGAATATAACGTTGACAAGTAATCTATGAGCCATCGTTGATATTGACAAGTGAATGGAGTATGTATGTGATATAATATATGATTGATTCAATGATTTAAATTGCCATTAATTATCAGTTCAAATTTGATGACTTAAAATTTTGTAAAAAAAATTAAAAAATTGTCATGTGATTTAACACGTGATTGAGAAAGTGAAAAAAAAATTTTACTCTCTTCTGCTTTTTAAACAGTGATGGATATGGTTGAATAATCATTGATTCAAATCTACAAATACAAACTACAATTATAGGTCACATAATCTAACAAAAGAGATAAATAATATGTAGCACCATGCTTTCATCTGAATAATCATAATATCAAAAAAATGATACAGTTACTTATCAGAACTTTAAATATAAACACATGTAAATGCCGTAATATAACAAATAATCTAAAAGACCGAAACGAAGTATTGATTGTGACCGAATTGTTAGTATGGTCAACCATTACTTAGCTATGGGTGTATTGAATGTAATAAGTCACACACATCGATGCTATGTGAACAAATACATCAAAAAGTCTTTATAAAAAATAATAGTTATATATATATAGATATAGTATAACCACTACTGATGATTAGTTTGCAGAATAAGGGAGATTAGGGGAACTGGTTCTATTTATACTTGTTGGAAGTCGTGTGGTTTGGTCAATGAAAAGTTTTTTTAAAGTTACCCGGATATTTAATTTGAATAAGGTCTAACGCTTTCCTGTATGTAAATTATGGGTATTTTATGTACAGGATCAGCCATCTCTAAAACTGCTAAATATATCAAATATGTATGTTTATGGCAATATTTCACACTTGATAGACTAAGATATATCATTATAAGTAATGTCTTCCACCGCTAATGTGGAGAAACTAGTTCAATGGTTGAATGATAATGCATATTGGAGAAATGATCTTATAGTGAAATCATCAACACATGGAGGTATAGGTGTATTTATGCCACCCAAAGATCAAGACAATGATGAAGATGAAGAAGATGATGATGATCCATTATTATTAAGAATACCCAAATCAAATACTTTATCACCTAAGAACTCGTTCATTTATAATCTTTTAGTAGACTACGAACCTATTAATGAAACTGTTGAATTATCTACTGGAATGTATGGTATCATCATATCAGTGATTTATGAATTAGAATTAGGTGTCAAATCTCCATGGTTTGATTATTTAAATTCGATAGATTTCACCCATGCCTCCTTACCAATCTGTTTATGGACTGATGAAGAGAAAGAATTATTAAAGCATACTGAATTGGATTTAAGAAATTTAATCAATTATAATGAATTGATTGATTTTTTCATTGAATGTATTCAATTTGCTAAATTTAATCAAAAGTTCACTCCTATTCCAAAATTATTAAACCTAGATATTGAAAACATCGATATAGAGAATCAAACTTTAATTTTAAATCTGTTCAAAGCCAATATTGATCAATTTGGAAGAATCATTCAATCAGTTATTTCAAGAGCTTTTACAATTGATAATTTTTATGATTTAGGTATGGTTCCTGGAGCTGATTTATTTAATCATATGGCACCGAAATTATTGAATGATAAAGTTGAAGGTCAAGAAAATATTCATTTTGTTTGTGATGGTGATGTTTGTTATGAATGTGGGGAAGTTGAATGTGATCATATGGAAGTGGGTAATGACGATGATGAAAGTGATGAAGAAGGTGATGATAATGATGATGAAGAGCATAATGAAGAACCTGATGAAGATGTCGAAGATGTTGGAAGTATTGAAGAGCATGATGATGATGATGATGATGATGATGAAGATATAGATGAACAACAAGAAGAAGAAATAACATCTATTACAATGGAATACATTGCAAAAATGGAACAAGAAAACGATCAAGACGAAGAGGAAGGATCAGCCTCTGAAACTGAAAGCATGGAAGAAGATGAAGCACCTGAAGATGATGAAGATGATGAAGATGATGTCAATGAAGAAGAATATATGACTCCAGCTAAAGCAGTATTGGCTGAAGATTTATCTGATAGTGCCAAATGTTGTGATGTGATCATCGTTGCACCTCCATCTCAAACTCATGAATATGAAGTATTCAATTCTTATGGTAATGAACTTTCAAATCCATTTTTATTACAACGTTATGGTTTCATAACTAAGACCAATGTTAATGATTCATGTTTATTAGCAGTTCAATTGTTTCAATATATCAAAGACATTAAAGCCAAATCTTCCAAGAAGAATATTGCTCAATTAGAAGAGAAATTATCATGGTTGGATGATATTGGATTTCATGTTTTGAATCATGTTATAGATGGGACTGAACATGGTCATCATCATGGACATGATCATGATCATCATGACGGACATGATCATGATCATCATGACGGACATGATCACGATGAAGAAGATGAAGAAGATGAGAAGGATGTGGTTGAAACTTGGTCATTAGCATGTAGCATAACTTATGCTGGTAAAGCTACCCCAGAAACATATGCCATCTTAAAATTAATCCAATTACCATATCTTCAATTCAAAGATAAACTCTTATCTACAAAGAAAGAACACGTATTAATCAAACGAGTTAAATCTCTCTTAGTGGATACTACTAAATCTGAATTAGAACAATTCAATCAGCTTATAAAACAATGGTGTCAATCAAAAGTTAAAAAGTATTGCAAAAAGGATAAAGTTGCAAATACCTCCACCAACAGCATAATTATTCAATCTATTATCGAACAAGAGATCACTATATTGAATAAATTTATAAAGAAGCATTAGTCACTCTGTATATAGCAACCTTGTAATATAACGTGCAAATGTGTAACTGAAGGTCTGAAATTAGATTATGATTGCCGTTTTTGGTATTGGTGTAAGTTAAAGCAGCGCATAACTAGGTGCTCACATAACAAACAAAAAAAAAGCAGGGGAACGGAGCGCTAGGCATAAAATTAAATTAAATTAAACAACTAATTATAAATAACGAGTCATATTTGAATTCAATACCATGTCAATGATTACCATAGAATCAAATAATAGTAGGAACATGAGTGTTGATATAGATAAGGAGCAGGATTTCATTAATCTTTATTCTGATGAAGATTATGGTGAAGAAGAAGACGAAGAAGAACAGGAGGAGTTTGAGTATGATGATGATGATGATATTGATAACGAATATGCTATGGATGGAGAGTTGTATGAAAGTAGTGCAGAAGCTAGTCCTGTTCTTGATGTGGGATGTTTCATGAGTGAGTTCAATGATAAGATTTATCATCCTTGGACTTTGAAATCGTTTATCAAGGGGAAATATCTTTCTAAAATGCCTAATTTACAAAATCATTTACCTCAAGTTAGTTATGATGATTTATTAATCATGTTACAATATAAGAAATGGCAATCAGAAGAAGTTATAAATAGTTATTTTGATAATCCTGATCAATTATTGAAAGCTTGTGGATTACCATTCAAATGGCAAGAATCAAATAATACATTTGATCTCATTAATAATTTCACTTGTCCTATTTGTTGTGAAGATTATATTGAACCAACCACGGTTTATTCCTTAGCTTGTAATCATAAATATTGTCTTCAATGTTATAATAGTTATATCAGCAATTCTATACTATCTGGGAAATTAATCAAATGTATAGAACCAAGTTGTGCATTAACTATACCTCATAGGGATATTGATAGAATTTTAAAAGTTGAGGAACCAAATCAATTATTAAACTCATATGCTAAATCATTTATAAATCAAAGTACAGATCAATTCAAATGGTGTCCATCAACCGATTGTGTTAGTTTTACTGAGATGATTAAAAATTATAATGCAGATGATATTGATGAAGATTATGAATCAAATGATATTTCAAATATTCCCATTGTGAGTTGTATTGAACGTCATGAATTTTGTTTTAATTGTAATTTTGAAAATCATTTACCATGTCCATGTTTTGTGGTTAAATTATGGATTAAGAAATGTCAAGATGATTCTGAAACTGCTCATTGGATGGATGCTAATACTCATAATTGTCCTCGATGTGAAACTAGTATAGAAAAGAATGGAGGATGTAATCATATGACATGTCAAAAATGTAGACATCAATTTTGTTGGATTTGTTTAGGAGATTGGAATGCTCATAATGCTGGATTTTATACTTGTAATAAATTTAAAGATGGTGATACTAATAGTAAAGATTATGAAGATAAAAAAGCAAAAGAAAGTCGAATTTCTTTAAAACGATATTTACATTTTTATAAACGATTTGCTATTCATGAAAGTTCAATGAGAGGAGATTTACTTACTTTAAAAAAGGTTCATGAAGTTACTAAGGTTTATATGGAAGATCGTAAGAATCAAGAAAAGAATTTATCATGGAATGATGTTCAATTTTTAAGTGATGCCATTAGAGCTTTAATAATTGGTAGAAAAGCATTAAAATGGACTTATTGTTTTGCATTTTATTTAAAGAATGGGAATTTTACTGAAATTTTTGAATCAAATCAAGATTTCTTAAGTAAAACAGTTGAAGATCTTTCTGAAATATTTGAAAAGATTATCTCTAAAAAGAATCGTAATAAAGTTGAAACCATCATGCAAGAAAAGAATCGAATTATAAATCTTAGTGATTTAATCATATCAAGAAAGAGATCATTGATAGAGGGAGCTATTGTCAATGTTAATGAAGATTTATTAAGGTTTAATACTTAGTGTGTACATATATATATATATATATATTCTCTATCATCTGTATATATCTATCATACGAGAAAATATAAGGTTTGGGCTATTTTTGATTTGTGGTAGTGTAGTTATATGTGTCAATTGGTGGAGGGCGGCGGCACATAAGAGCCAGTCGGATCTTGGGCGCATCAGCGACATTCGACATGATCTGACCGGATCTTTGTGCGACATCTCTTATCAGTTCAATTAACAAATTGAGATTATCTTTAACAAATTAAAATTTGTTATCCGCAGGACTGAACCAATTTTTGGTAATAATAATAATAATAATAATATTGATTAATATCTATTATCATTAAATTGTGTGTGTAAAATTATGATCGGAATTCGATAATTGGCAATGAATAACGAATTGCAAACCACTAATAGAAATAGTGCTCAGATCAATTATTATCTGCCAGTACTATCTACACCGTCATTAGCAGAAAATATTGTAGCAGCAGCATCAGGTACTCAGGGTCAATCGCAGGTACCAAATTTAAGTCAATTACCACAACAATTACCCCAACCATTTAAAAAGAATAGTACTAGTACAATTAGTACCACTACTAGTAACGAAATGGATCGTGAAAATAGACATTCTCGAGATTTAATGGATAGAAGAATTCCAACTCGAGATCCGGAATTCTTGCAATCAACTACTACTAGCAATTCAACTACTCCATCAAATCGTGATCCAAATGGTTATCGATCCGCTAGTGAATCAAGAGGAAAGAGATTTTCTCGAGTTAATTCAGATTTACTTCAAACTGCTTTAAATCAGAATTTTATACTAACGAAATCAAACTCAACTCATAGTTTATTAAATCAACATGATTCAAAGAATATACCGATGAATCCTCAAGATTTACAATTACAAATGCAACTACAAATACAACAACAACAGCAACAACAACAGCAGTTACTGAACCGTCCTCATATAAAACGATGGAATTCATATAATATCGCTCGAACTAAATTCGATCTCACTAATACTAATGATAACGATAATGAAAAATTAAACCTTGACTTACCACCACAAGTACAAGTACAACCACAGCCACAACATCAACATCTTCCTCATCAACAGCTGAATCTTCATCCTCTTCCCTCTGAACAGCAAGAAAAAAGCAGCATCTCGCCATTAACCGTCTTAAAAGATGAATATAATACTAAACGACCAGTCATAACAACTTCTTCTTCAACCCTTTTTAATACCGATAATTCATTTCAAAATTTAGTTGATAAATCAGATAATGTTCTTGATTCTCAAATCAATCCTCAAAATGCATCACCTTCCAAATCTAATAAATTATATCAAAAAATAAATCATATCATAAGTATAGCTCATGATAGTATGCATTCATTAGTACCGATGCTATCTATAAAAGATGGTGTTGTCGAAGAAGTTGAAGGTGAAAATACTGTTGCAACCACCGTGAATAGTCGAATGGCAAATTATCAAAGTGAACTGGATGATGGATCAGATGATGATGATACTACTATCAATAATATTCATCATAATCATAATGGTAATGATCTAGTGGATGAATCACTTCAAAATAACGATACTCAATATAGATTGGATCTGTGGAAATCACCTATCATGGAAGAAAATCTCATCATGGATCCTCATGATGTTAATGAAATCATTGAAGAGATTAATGATTTTCAAAATAATTTTGTATATAAATATAATACTAGTAATCCAAATCCTGATACAAATCCTGAAACTAATGAAAGAATCAATAGAACTCAACAAAAGTTATTGGATTATAAAGAATTATATTCTACTGATGAATTCATTAATCGGGCTTCCAATTCTTCAACTTCATCATCAGCATCATTAGCAGCTTTAAATATTGAAAATTCTTATGATTTGAAAATCCAAAATGAAACAATCTTAACTCAATATAATTCCATTAGATTAAGATTCCCTACTAAGATAGTTAGTTCAGGTAAATCTAAATCATCCACTGCAACTACCACAGCAACCACAGGCGTATTGGGATATTTGAATCGATATAAACCAATGATATCCAATCCAAAGAATTCAAAACAACTAGACAAGGATAACAAAATTTCCTTTGATGATAAAGATGATATATTGAGAAATATTTGGGAAAATGAATCAAGGAGTTTCTTTCAAAGTGAATCTTCAAATAGTGTTAAATTAATGTAATAGTTAATAATCTGTAATAGAGCTCATAATATATTAATAAATAAATATTCGAAATACTTGTAAATTATCTATCTATCTATTGTGGCTTTGTATGTATATCTTGTTGATCATTGGTAGGTAAAGTTGATTGATTTTTATAAACAGGTTGAGTTTCATATGCATTTGGTTTACTATCGTTGATAGTACTTGATTTCTTTGATTTGGACTTCTTGATTTTATCGGATTTCTTATGAACATGACCATGATCACATACAAAGTCATCATTATCATCGTCATTATGGTCGTGATCATGATCATGATCATGATTATGGATATTATTACGTCTATCACCTTCATCTCCCGATAAATCACTACTGGAATCATCTGACGAACTACCAGATTCCTCACCAAACTCACGTTGAGGATGAAATATACAACATATCTTTGATTTCTTCTTATTCATATGTTCATTATCTACCACATCTTCATTCCAACTCACTTGCGGTCTTGTCTTCCCTCGTTTCTTCGTCTCTCCATCTTTATTCCTTAGTCTTAAAATCGGCTGAGCAGTTTCTGTTCTTGTCACTGTCTGTGTTTGTGATCTAGGTTGAGCAGTTGATGACATTGTTCTTTGGTTGTATGTAGATATTATAAGTTAGCAAATTTAAACTTGTGATTTCTAATATTTTTGTATGACGCTTTTTTTTTTTATGGTTTTCGTTTGTCATTTTTGGATTGCCGGTTTGTCATAAAGTTTTGTCGCAAATTTTAACGGTTTGTCATTTTTCGTAAAAAAATAATTGTGAAAAAAATGAAATCCAAAATGGGGGAGAGGGGGTTATTTTTTAACAACTAAATATAGATAGTAAAGCTAAAAAAGGAAACATTCTTAAAATATCGCTTTTCCTTTATTATAATTCTAATTTCCACAAATGGTCATCCTAAAAATAAGCCAAAGCGATTGCGATGATTATGAAAAACAGGCTCAGCTGTATAATTTAAGCTTAGGGATCTTAATACGACGAAAGATAAGATGACCCTTCTACGAGACTAGACTCTATTTTTAGAACAACAGTTTTTTGCAAATAATGGTGGTGACCACTATCTTCAAACCTATTATTAGATCTGATAATCTTTTCTCTGTAATTGTTGTAGTTATGAAGAAACTATAAAAATACTATAATATTCTGATAAATAGAATTTGACAAAGCTAAAATTTTCAACTGCAAGCTAACATGAGATTAATTTCCAAAGTTTTAATTTTCAATGCATTATTGACTTTTGCATTAGCTGTCGAAACCTCGAAAGATGATGGTAAATTTTTAAAAATGGATATGACCAAAAGATCTAAAGGTGCCATCGAGAAGAGATCTGCAGACGGAACAGTTGAAGGGTACATTCAAAACGGTCATTTTGAATATCTTGCAATTTTAGAAATTGGATCCAATAAAGATCCTGTTGCTTTAACTCTTGACACTGGTTCTTCAGACCTTTGGGTAATGTATAGTGACGTCACCTGTACTCCAAGAAGTTCAAACAAAAAAAGAAGTACTAATTGGTTTTCATCATTAGCTAACACTTTTGGATTCAAGAGAGATGATACTGATAACACAGATAATATATGTACTTTGTATGGTTCATTCAATGCTGATAATTCTACTACTTTCCAAACAAACACAACTGCTCCTGAATATGACAATACATATCAAGATGGTTCTGGTTGTACCGGAGTGTATGGAACAGATAATGTTGTATTTGGAGGTGTCACTGTTGAGAATGTAAATCTTGCTGTTGTAACAGCTGCCAGTGGTGTATATACTGGAATATTAGGAGTAGGACTTCCAAAAGATGAAAGTAGTGATCCCATTTATGGGTTCACATACCCAAATTTCCCAGATGCTTTGAAATCTCAAGGAATTATTAATAAAATTGCTTATTCAATTTATTATGGAGATACAATTGATACTGCTGGTAGTATAGTATTTGGTGGAGTTGATACTGCTAAGTATAGCGGAGATTTAATGACAATTCCAATTTTAAAAAATACAAATAATGAATATGTTGAGTTTTGGATTGCACTTGAGGGGATTGAGCTTTCAAACGGAGAGGACACCGCTCTAATCGATGGAAATTCTTATGCATTTGTTCTCGATTCGGGTACTACAACATCATATTTTCCGCAAGACTTGGTTGAAACTATTGTTGCATCCTTAGGAGGTGAATATAACAGTGAAGATGAATTATATCAAGTTCCATGTACACACGATCAAAGTTTAATTCTTACTTTTAATCTTGGTGGATATAAATTGAACCTCCCTGTTGCTGATTTATTGTCTTATTCTGAAACTAATAGCAAGATTTGTGAATTACAAGTAGAGGTCACTGGTCAAGACGATGACTCACTTTTTGGAGCCATGGTTTTAAGACACGCGTATTGGGTATATGATTTAGAAAGCTTAGAAATTAGTGTTGCTGATGTGGTTATTACTAACGAAGAGAATATCGAAGCAATTGTTCTGTCAATTCCAGGAGCCAGCCAAGCACCAGGTTATTCCAGTACATTTATCCCTGACTATGATCCAGCCCAAGCCAGCCCAACTCTTTTCTCATATTCAACTGGTAAATTAGAAGGAGCTGACAAGCTTATATTAGAAGGGGCAAACACAAAAATACCTTATTTTGCCAAAGGTTATTCATATGGTCCAAATACTGTTACAGAAGATAGTTCTACGTATGTTGGTCTTGCCAATGCAAGAGAAACTTCCCAGTCTATTTTCATTTCAGTTTTTACATTATTCTCAATCTTGATATTGGCTTAATTGAATAAATCATTTAGTTCCTTTGTTTTAAATTGGTTGCTTTAAGAATTATAATACATGTTTTTCCCTAATAATTTAAAAATTCGTTTTTCAGTAATTGGTTTGTAAAGGCGGTCTTATCTCGTAAATTTCACAAGAAAGATTATGGGCTCTAAATACTAAATGGTGGATCCGTCCTTGAAACAACTAACACAAATGTTGGATCTCATTCAACAACTATCAGTACACGCGCAGGAGTAGGAATGAAGATGACGGCTGGTCTGTTTCTACTTATTGTTATGTACTCAGTCTTAATCTTGTGTGGTTTTTTTATTTAATGGACTACCACTTATTTACTTAAGGCTTAGTAAATATCCATCCTTTCAAACTATTAGTAGAACGATTTGTTTCGCAGCTTTGTTGGTAAATATGTTATATATATATGAATTAAATAAATTATGAATTGGTAGCTCTCCATTTACAAAACTCCTGCATATATGAAAACCATGTCATGTGATCAATTTTTGTTTGTTCTGTCTGAATTATTTGTTTGGTCGTGTTCATTTATAAATCAAACACACCATAGATCATTAAGCTGAATGAATTGCAATCAAGCATAGTAACCATGAGTAAACGTATCAATTTGCCTTATAGTACTCAGGATCTTTTCCCTCAAGTGGCAGGAACTCCCAATTCACTGAGATTGGTGGGATCAACTACGGCAGGGTCTATAATATCAAACAATTCATCCATGATAAATCATAATTATACCTTTCATCCAGCATCAACCAGTACATCATCATCATCCACCACAACATCTACTCTATCTAATCGATTCCAAAATCTTAAGAAGATGTTCAAACGGTTATTCAAACCTACCACTCTTGATTTTGAAACTGCCATTTGGGAAATCTTTCATCTTATTATAAACCCTAAGAAAATGTATCGATCCCATTACTTTTATAAACAACAATCTACATCGACTAATGGGAAGTCAAGTTATACTAGAGATGATCCATCATTCCTTATATTGCTTACGGTATTCTTATCCATAAGTGCCATTGCTTGGGGATTGGCTTATTCTCCAAGAGTGGTTGACATACTAAAATTAATTGTTTATATGGTTTTCATTGATTTTTATTTGACTGGAGTTATAATTGCTACTATTTCATGGTTTATAACTAATAAATTATTCAATAATACTTATGGAAACTTGGGAGGGTTAAATAAATATAATTTGAATTATATCGAATGGGGATTTTGTTTTGATATTCATTGTAATTCATTTTTAGTAATTTGGGCTTTACTTTATTTATTACAATTTTTATTATTACCTTTATTAAGATTTAAAAATTCCATCTTCTCCCTTATATTAGGTAATTCATTATATTTTGGATCTATTGGGTATTATTTCGTCATTACATTTTATGGATTTAATTCATTACCAGTTATAAGTTCATTATCAAACAATCAAAGATCAAATGGTTCAACTAGTCCAGCCAGATTATTACAGTTAATTATCATAGGTGGTATCTTACCCCTCTTAGCCATTGCATGGCTCATTACCGTTTGTTTTGGATTTAATGTGGCCGATGCTATGGTTGACACTTACTTCAATTAAACCGAAAATCATTTTTTACAATGAATAATGCATTGATTTTATTTCTATAGTTTATTAGAAAATGAATACAACCCCATACTTATGAAAATCTTTTTGAAATTTATGTATGTATTTAAATAACGTAATACTAATAATATAAACATATAAATAAATATTTTTAATGATAATTTGATTGATTGTCTTCTCGATTCTTTTTTTTTTTTTGAACGCCATAGTTAAGCACAGCTTAACAGTCTATAAAATTTAAAGTATTGATTTACCCAATTGATCTAAACGATCACCAGCAGCTTTAATTCTCATACCAGTTCTATTACTTAATTCATAATCTCCTTCACCCACCAATTCAGCTCTCTTTAACCAACTTTTACTTTCAGAAACAGCATGTCTAAGACTTACTTTATCAGTTTCCACAATACTTAACATCCAAATAAACATTGATTTTTCATACATCACAGTAGGATATAAATATGGACTATAAATCAGTTTATGAAATCTGAATTGAGGTAATTCAGCAATGATAATATGAGGAATAATCTTGTTATTAAAGAGTTCTAATCCTTCTTCAACTTTACCCAACAGTCTAAGAGCAAGAGCTTGTAAGAAATATCTTCCATACAGTTCATCAGCAGTTTCAGGAATTAAAGAATATTGAACAGTATCGGTATTAGCCGATAATTCTTCATAAATTCCCCCGGAATAACCTAATAATTTAACTGACATTTCCAAACTTTTAGTATCCATTCTATTATATCCATTCCAGAAATAAACCAATTCATGGATTAAAGAAGTACCACAAACATCCACCAAAGATAAATGAGGATATTGCGCCTTACGAGATTCAATTTGTTTAACTTTTCTTAATAAGAATTTATCAAATGGCATTTGTTTTGAACTTCCACCAATACCACCCTTCTTTGCAGCATTAACACCATTACCAGGGACATAAGTTGGAGCTAATTCGAAATATTTAATGAATAATTTCTCATATTTGATTAATTCTTCTTCTTTATTTTCCACTTCAATCAACCCCATTTTAATCAGTCTATAATGTTCTAAATAACATGCGGCAGCCATGAATAAATAAACTCCCTTCGACCACGAATTAATTTCAATTAAATAAATGAAATCCTTAGCGGCCGCCACGAAATTATGTTGGAAACTATAAAGAATTGCTCGATCGAAAATCATTAATGCTTCAACTTGTTGCATATTTATGATGGTGTTTTCATCATCAGTGAAATTTTGCATTAATTGAGTAGCTTTTTCTAATTGTCCATGACTTGCCAAGATTCTTCCTTCTTGCAGTAACCATAATGCATTATGAGGAAAGATTTTCCTTACTTTAGATAATATTTGAGGGGTATAAAGATTTGGATTTTGAAGGATTTTATTTAATTCAGCATCTGATACCGTAGCTCTGGTTTCAATGTTTAATACTTCTTTTACATTTTCATCTTCATGACCAGGTAATTGGAAACCAACATCAACGAATTGAACTGGTCCATCATAGAATACTAATAAACATAATAATGCAAGATCACCATGAATATTACGACTAGTGATGGCTGTTCTCCAAAGCATTTTAAGACCAGTTTCTCTATCTCCTCTGAAACCAACAATAGAAAGTACTTTCCCAATAGTCGGTGGAATTAAGGATAATACAACTTGTAAGATACCAAAACATAATTGAACTCCAGAATGAATGAATTCATCAACGGTGGAAACATGTAAATGAGTGTCAGAGTTAGTACCGTTATGATTATTAGTGGATGCCGTTGATGAGATGACTGATTCTGCTGTTCCCGAAAGGAAGGAGGAGTTTTTATTTTCATCAAAGTTAAGATCATCAAATGCATCTGAAAATTCATCATCATCATCCTCATCATCATCTTCTTCATCCTCTTCAATATCTTCCGTATTGCTTGATTCTGAGGTATCAGGAAGAGGTATGTTCAATGAAGGAGGTGGGATTGGAGATGATGACCTTGAAACATCAAAATTACTTGAACTATCTTTCTTAGTTAAATAATTTGAAGAAACTTCTAATCCATCATATAGATTGATGGGTTGTTCATTATCAAGTTTAATATTTGTTCCTTCAATTCTTGATTTTCTCATTTGATAAACTTTTTCTAAATCTTTCATTAATTTAAGATCTTCCGGTAATGATGATGAAGAATTATTTGATGAAGAAGGGATTTCATATCCTGGTAAATCAACGGAACTAATACTTCGATTAAGAGTTTGAGCTTCTCGTTTAACTTTAGCTAAATTTCGATTAAAAATAGGTTCCAGTTCTTTAATTTTTCGATAAATTGAATCTAAAGTTTGATAAGCTCTTCTTAATTTAAATAAAGCTTTTGCCCCTTCAACCATACCATTATTTTCTTTTAATAACATAAGTAAAGCATTTAATAACGTCAGTTCAGCATAAGTTACTTGAAATTCAGTTCCAGGAGGATATATTGATGAAGTTGCTAAATTATGTTTAACATTATATTTTGAATTAACTAATGAAGCAGCTTCAGCTTCATTTAAAGTTTTCATAGCTTTTTCCATAACTTCAGGTTCAAAACCTAACGTTGCTTCAATGAATTCCATAACTCCTAAAGCTAAGGGGAATATCCCAGCTGGTTGATCTGAACCTGATTCATGTCTTCTTTTAGATTCATTTCTTAATTTTTTTAATCCTTCTTCAGTTCTATCATCAAGAAGGAAATCCATAGCCTGTAAGGCTATTTCGAAATCATGGACTTGATTCAAGACTTTATCATAGTTTGATTCATTGTTACCAACTGGTTGCAGTACAGCAGAAGTTAACAGTAGAATCAGAGCTCTTTTCCTTAACCCTTTAAGCATGATGGTGGGGAAGAGATGATGAAAAAGTGGGAAAGACGGGAGGGAGGGTGATGATCCAATCAATCAATGAAATGAACTGATGCGATGGATGGATAGATGAAACGATTGATTGATCTAGACTATGTTAAGTTAACTGAACTGAAATGAAGATCAAAATCAAAATTTCAGGTACGACCGTCAATAGATCAGAAATTGATAGTTTAAAAAAATAAACTAGAATTTACTCCTGGGATCAAACCGGTTGTATTTTAAAAATGTGCTGACTTCTGTCTTCTATGTACAATGCAATCCCCAGAAATGATGATGGAACCACAATCGAAATGAAACAATGGGGAAGTTGAAGTTGAAGTTGATATTAAAGTTCAAAGTTGACCTGGCCTAATTAAGCAAGCTTCTTCCAAAAATAGACTGATTTGATTTGATTTGATTTGATTCACCGTACACAGTTAGAGCAAGCACAGTTAACTTAAGTTCACATAGTTAACATTCCCCTGCTGTCAAAAAATCTCAGCGAGAAAAAAAAGAAATTGAACAATGACGATAAGAGTTAATAACCTGTAAAATATTGTAAACTGTAATTAAAAAATAGGAGTTCATTACAAGTTAAAACGCGTGGTTTAAACATTGAAGTAACCTGTAAACAAACCACCACAAAATAAATTGCAACCTGTAAATCTGTGTTCCTGCACCTACCTCAGAGGAAGGCTGGCTAATATGCTTGCAAAAAAAATAATTTGGCATAGGTTGCATGAAAGCTGGTTCGTAAACTCTAAACTGATTGGAAAACTTAACTCAAAACTTAAAAATAATATACTGTCAACGATGTCAACGTTGTTTGGTACTGTTGCAAGAAAAATAAAAAAATATTATTATTATTAACTTATGTTTTCGCCCCATATGTAAGTTGGAAAACTAATGGTCATAAAAATAAGATGGTTTCTCATCTGGCTGGTCAATGCATTATCATCTTGAACATTATTATTATATAAGTAGAATTGAATTCGTCGAAATAAATGAGATCAATTAGTACTTTCTTCTTTTTGCATCAGATCACTTTTATCAACATTTATTCACATCTTGATCCCATCTTACCTTACTATCATTAATCTCCAACTAATTATATATAACTCTACTCTAATGAAAGTATCAACAACTTCTTCCTTGGCTTTGGCTTCTTTATTGGTAGCTGCAAATGCTGCTCCAATCATTTTAACTCAAATCGTTACTGCTCCTGCTATAACTGATCTTATTACTGTTACAACTGATGCCATTATTAAAACTCATACTAATTTAATTGTTGTTTATACCCCACCACCTCAATTACAAGTTGATCCAACTACCACTAGTCCAACAACTACTTCGACTGCGGTTCCAACTACTACAATCCTTCCACCACCACCTCCAACTACCACTTCTACAACTACCAGTACTCCAACTACTACAAGTACTACTCCTACTACTACTTCTACTACTCCAACTACTACAAGTACTCCAACTACTACTACTACTCCAACAACTACTAGTACTACTCCAACCACTACAAGTACAACTCCTACTACTACTTCTACTACTACTACTCCAACAACCACTTCCACCACTCCAACTACTACTAGTACTACCCCAACTACTTATCCTGCTGTCGATACTACCACCAGTTCTACCAGTACTACTCAAGATCAAACCACCAGTTCAACTCAACAAGGTGATGCTTTCACTTCTGATGTTCAATTCGAATCTGATATTTTAACTGCCCATAATGAAAAGAGAGCTTTACATGGTGTTCCACCATTAGTTTGGGATAATACTTTAACTCAATTTGCTTATAATTACGCTATTAATAATTATAATTGTAATAATGTTCAATTGATCCATTCTGGTGGTCCATATGGTGAAAACTTAGCTGCTGGTTACTCAGGTGGTTATGATCCAGTTGATGCATGGTATAATGAAATTTCTCAATATGATTTCAGTGATCCTGGTTTCAGTGAAGCTACTGGTCATTTCACTCAAGTGGTTTGGAAATCTACTTCTACATTAGGATGTGCAAGAATTACTTGTGATAACGCTTGGGGTCAATATACCATTTGTGAATATTCCGATACAAGAGGTAATATCATTGGTACTGATCCTGCTACCGGATTAAATTTCTTTGCTGAAAATGTGGTTCCACCATTAAGTAGTAGTTAATTCTTATAACTTACGAAATTAATGGTTTTTTTTTATTTAAATTAAAAAAAAAAGGAACATCCGGTTTATAGTTTTCTCTTCTCTCTTATTTGTACAATATTATCCTTTATAGTTTGCGGTTTTTAATAAAAAAATAAAATAAATATAAAATATGTTATATTATAAAGTTAAAAAGTAAATTACATAAATTTTAATCGAGGTGGAAGATTACATACCTTTGCATAAAGTGTAAATTGATTCAAATTACGAAAACGAAAAACAAACAATTAAAACTAAAAACATAAACAATAATCCCAACTCCTTCTCTAAGCATATAATATAAGGGTACATTACAAACGAACCCATTAAGGAGAGAAGGAGAGAAAGAGAGAAAAAGAGATGAGGATATGTAATCCCAAACACGACTTGATCAGTTTTAAATTATTTTAAATTTTATTTTCGCAGCATATAAAATAAAAATAAAAATAAATTATTTTGTAGTTACGCGCTTTATTCAAATATTTTATATCTTGCATGAAATAGGAACTGCGATGAATTGACATATTTTATGTTATTTTCCACCACCCATCCACCTCCTCATTACTTAGTTACTATATGGACGACGCCTCAAATGTTTAAAGCAACGATTTTCAAATTTAATCCGATGGTGATTGTCGTGGGTTACATTGGTTTATTAATTTACAGTTTTTAAAGTTATTGATGTTGAGATAAGAATATTGCAATAATTCTTGGATAAAAATGGTTACGGTTATGGACCATTAGTTCCACTAAATATCGCTAATTGTTTGCTGTAAGTAATTCAAAAACAATAACTGCCACACCAACTATAATGGTAACATTTAATAAATTGAATGCATATTTCACTCTGATTTCAAATTTCAAGTTTATAACTAATTGTAATTGGAGTTATATGCACGATTTACAGGTTAGCCTATATTGTCATCTCTTACACTTCCATCTTTCACTTCCATCTTATTTTATAAGGTAACATTTTACATATATTATTTAATACATATTTCAATAACACTATATCAGATAATTCCTACATATAAAACTCCCTCCGCCTTTAGTCTTGTTAAGAACTGGTAAAATTAATTTAATAGTAAATCATTTATTTTACATTTAGTTCTTTAAAACTTCAGAAAATTGACCTTTGGATGGTCTAGCAGTGGATTTGGTAACTTTAGTAGAACCTAATTTTTCAGCAGAGTAAGCCTTGGCGTAAGGGTTTAATCTTAATAAGACTTGTTTGTTCTTTAATGGGTTCTTCTTTAAGACATGGGTTCTCTTTTGAGTAGATTCACCAGCTGGTCTAACAGCAGCTTGAACTTCAGCAGAGTTGATTAATCTGGTAACATCAGTGTTAGAGATAATGTTAGCTGGTAAAGTGTAAGCAGTCTTGATGGATTTGGTAGAATCAGAACCATAGACAGAATCTAATGATTCAAAAGCACCTTGGGTCCAGACAATAAATCTACCTAAATGAGCACCTGGAGCTAATTGTAATAAACCTAAATGTTTAACATCAGAAGTTTCAACACCTGGAACGTTTCTTAAAGCTTTAACTAAACCGTTATCTTGAGAGTAGACAACTAATGGACCTCTTCTTTGAGTGAATCTTCTACCTCTTAATTTACCTTTACCAGCTCTTAATTTCTTAGATTTGATAACCTTGATAACATCTTTATGAGCACCAATAGCTTTTAAGACAGCAACAGCTTCTCTAGTTTTTTGAACAGATTCAAATTCATTAGCAACAACTAATGGTAATTCTTTAACTTGTTCAACTCTGTGACCTCTAGCTAAAACTAAAGAAGTAACAGCAGAAGCAGCAATAGCAGAAGCAGTAGCATAACGTTTTTCGTTATGGTTAACTTTGACATGCCATTTTCTCCAAGTTTTAGTTGGAGCAAACATACGACCACCACGACACATGTTACCAAAGGCAGCTTGACCGGAACGGTGAGTACCACCACCACCAACTCTTGGAATTCTGGCAACAGCTCTACCGGTACCCCATGATTCAGCAGAGGTTTGATGACCGGCATTTTCAGCAACAGCATAAGCTTGTCTCTTGTTCTTGTTAACTCTAACGAAAACAGAGTGGACAATATCTGGTCTGACTGGAGCAGAGAAGACAGCTGGTAATGGTAATTGAGTAGATGATAATTCACCTGAAGTTGAAACAACAGAAACTTGTGGACGAGCAGACATAGTTAACGATATGTATTAATGATGAAGAAGTAAGAATCTATTATAAAATTGATTTCAAGTTTTAAAAGTGAAAAATTTTTTTTGTACAGACGACTGGAAGAGGTGAAAAAATGAAAAGTCGTGTCCAAAGTTAAAATCACCAAAAAAGACAAAGTGAGAAAAAAATGAGAGTGTGTGTTACCCGGCCCCCTTTACTTGTATCCTGTATATAAATATATATATATCCATTGCATACATATATATATAACCATAAATATATACATACATATCAAACTAATTAACTTCTATAAAACTTAGAAAATGGGATGGGGGAATGAACATGAAATGAAAATGAATGAATGATGATGATGATAAATGAAACTTTGAAGGTAAACCGTTGCAACATGTACTACTAACAACAGCTGTTGGCTGCTGCGGCTTGTTGTCTTCTGGCTCTTGCCAAGTCAATTCCACCTTGTTGTCTTGAACCTGCTGGTCTACCTCTATTTGCAGCTGCATTGATAACTTCATCAACGGGTAATGCTCTACCTATGCTATTGAATATATCCAATACTCCATCTCCATTCTTGGCGGAACATTCTGATGTAATGATTTGATTACCATCATCCTCGGCTGATTGTTGAACAATATATTCTTCAACTTCTTGTTGATCAACTTCTCTATTTTCTTCTAAATCCAATTTATTTCCAACCAATGCAATCACTATCCCCTCAGTGGCTTGTCTCTTTAATTCTTTGATCCATTCTTGAGCTTTATTAAATGATGAACGACTAGTTATATCATAAACACAAAGAGCAGCATTAGCATTTCTATAATACATGGGAGCTAATGATTTATAACGTTCTTGACCAGCAGTATCCCAGATTTCAAATTTTATAGTGGTATTAGATTCAGGAAGATTGATTGATTGAGTTAAAAACGCAGCTCCAATGGTTGATTCTCTCATATCATCAAATGTATTCTTAACGAAACGATGCACTATTGATGATTTCCCAACCGCACTTTCTCCAAGAAGTACCAATTTAAACTGAGCAAATCTATTTGTGTTTGGGGTGGCGTCACTCATTATGATCTGTGGATGGTATTATGATATGATGGATTAGAATTTATAACGTTAATGTAAATAGATAGTTGTAGTTGGTAGATAAGCAATTCTGTTCTCAGTTTTAATTTTACTCCTCTCTGTTACAAATCCTCCTCCCTCTCATAAAAAGATAGATCTGTTATATGCAGGAAATTAATATCTTTAGCAAAGACTAGACTACTACAATTAGAAATGTTACCGTTTAATTGATATATTTAGTTAGTTAAACATATAAATAAGTATATATATGAACATATACACAAGGTATATATGAACATATATACAAGGTATATATGAAATGACTAAATCATAGTTTATGTACAAGGGATTTTTTAAACGATTAACCTAGGAATAGAATATATTCTTGCCAGTGAAAAATAAATGAATATTACTTTAATCCACTTAATTATCTTCAATCTTAGCTAAGATTTCTTTATCAGTATATAAAAGATATTCTTCTTCACCAACTTTGATTGGAGATCCACCGTATGATGGTAATAAAACTCTATCACCAGCTTTAAGAGCAGTTGGAATTAATTCACCAGTAGTAGGACTAGCAATACCTGGACCAGCAGCAACCACAGTACCTTGATTTAACTTTTCTTGATTCTTTTCTGGAATGAAAATACCAGAAGCGGTTTGAGTGGCTGGTTTTAATCTTTGAATTAAAACTCTGTCAAATAATGGTTTTAATGCTTGAGCACTTTTTAAGAATGAAGCCTAAAGGATATGTTGGTTAGTAATGGGGAACTTGTTTCAAATTGACTAACAATTCTTCCAATGACAATTCTTCCATTGGAAGAATTGTCTATATCATCATCTTATATATAACATACCATGATTATTGTAGTTTGATTATACTTTAAACCTTTGTAATAACTATATTGGTTAAATCAAATTGGGTGAAATTTTTTGTATTAGAAGTGCTCAGAACATTTTGGAACTTTCCATGATTTTGGTTCGAAGGACACGACTTAATCTTAATTCGTGTCGCTACCAAATTTGCAACTACGTTTTAAATATTACAAACAGTACTTTTATATTTTTATTGTTATTGTTATACACTATTCTAACCTAAATATCTATCTAATGGTTCACCCAAAACATTTTCAATGACACGTACAAGACCATTTCTAACTTCTAATTCCACGGTTTCATCATCATCTTCTAATAACTCAGCAATATATGGAATTAAAGTAGGTAAGTAAGATAACCATTGTTCACCCATCTTTTGGAAAATAGCCTTTAAGGATCTGATAGCCCAGATCTTAGTAGTGGATGAATTTTGACCAGTTTCATTCGAGACATATTTGATTAATCCATGCACTAATGTTTCATTATATTCATCGGATGCAACATTAGAAATGAAAGATGTAATGGTCTTGACAAGATATTTCCCAATTGAATCTTCAATATTAATCAATTGACCTAATAATGGATCACAAATACTTTCAAATCTACCTTGTTGAGTCCAATAATCATCTTGATCGAATTTAAATGATAAATTCAATGAAGTAAGTAATATTCTTCTTAAATTAACATCTTTAATCTTATCTTGAGAAAATTGATCCAAGATTGAAACAGTTGCATCCATCAAGTATGAATAATAAGTAGTCACTATACCCTTTAATTGATCTTGTAATTTATTAAAGAATTTGAAAAAAGCTAATAATCTTGAAAGTTTATCAGATTCAACATTAGCACCTTCACCATCAACTGCCCATCTTACTAAATTAGCAAATAATGGACGGAAACTCTTATCATTCAATTTCATAACAAAGGTAATAGCACAGGTATGGAATGAACCTTCTAATCTATAAATAGTATTATTATCGAATTTATTATCTCCATCATTTTCAATATAATGTCTGAACTCTAATGCTTGAATAAACCATTTCACAAAGATTGATGATTGAGAAATAGCTCCCTTCTTACTAATCTTATCAATAGTTGATTCTAATGCCTTCAAGTATAAACCAAGATTTCCAGCATGATCATTAGTATAGAATTGTTTAGCTGACCAAATATTAGTTAATGATTTTAAAACTTGAGATAATTCAACATGACCCACAATTAATTCTAATACAGTGGATCTAAGATTATTATCAACTAAATCACTAGTTAAAATAGCCATTAAGATAGAATCTAAACTTGAAGTCATAAACACAGGTAATTTTCTAATCAAACATGAAAGTAAAATAATAACTGAAGTTTGAATCAATTTAGCACTATCATCATCAAATTGAGAGTTTTCAATGGTGGTTTCTTGCCATATTTTCAAAGCAGGTGGTAAAATCTTTGGTAATAATCCAATAGTCTTGACACCTAAGATATTAACGATATTACCAATGGCACTAATAGATGAAATAATGACCTCTGTTTCAGATGATAATAAACATTGTTCAGAAGTTGAAGCTTGTAAAGCATCAATTAAAAGTTTGGAATTAGAAGTAGCTAATTCTGATCCGAATTTATTAATAATAATGGAGAAAGTATTTAAGAATGATTGTTGTAATTCAACATCAATATTACCTTTAATACCCTTGATTAAAATTGGTAATAATTTCTCAACCACACTTGATTTAATAGATTCAGTGATATTGGAAGTACTTAATTCAGTTTCAAATTTGGATCCAGCTAAAATAACATAATTTCTAGCCACTTTGATCGAAACAGAATCAGTTAAGTTTTCAATATCTAATAATTCAATAATGGAATCAATGAAATAATTCAATGGTAATAAGTCCATGAAAGTTGAAAGTAATTTATATAATCTAGTTAAGATAATTTGTGAATCATTAAAGGTATCTAAACTCATAATGATAAATGAAGTGACATTACCGAATTCTTTTAGTAAATCTGAAATTTCTAATTCTTGACTATCAGAATCTAATAACACAACAGCAATCTTAGTCTTTAAACTTGAAATACTATAACCAACATTATTAGCATCATCTTTCAAGATTAATTCAATGAAAGATAATAATCCTGCTGATAATTCAGTTAATCCATCTTCAGATAATGATAAGATTGAACCACCATAGATTGATCTGGTACTTAATTGTTTATATTCTTCTGATTTTGGATCAAGTGGAGTAGTTGGAATCAATTTCCATAATTGAGCGAAACCATTCAAAGCTGATAATTGATCTAAAGCTGAAAATCCTTTAAGGAATGAAATAGTGAATTCTAAACATTCTAGACTCTTGGCTTTGTTTGAACTATTAGCATATTGTTGACCCATTAAGAATAAAAGAATTGATAATGATTTTTCAGCCAGTAATGTCTTGGATAAAGTAGTGAATAATTTAACTCTACGATGTCTTGGAATATGATGGAAAGCAGTTACGAAACTAGTCAATAAGAATTCAATTTCATTAGGAATAGATGAAGTTCCATTGGTGGCTAAAGCAGGAATAACTTTGGCAATGGTTCTTTGTAAAGCTAAACTTGAAAATTCATCATCTTGTCTAATAGTATGAGCTCCCATAAAGGTGAAAATTGGCATGACGGAATGTAAAATGATTTCTGGAGCTAATGAAGCTAATTCGGCAACCACTAATAATAAACGATTTTGAACTTGAGGAGATTGAGATGCTCTGATAGAGTTAACAATCAAATCAGCTCTGATTGAATTAGAATCAAATTTAAATTGTTTATCACTTGATTTCATGTTGGAAATAGTTAAGGACATACAATTGGCTAAAGTTTCTTGAGCATATAAGACAGGTAAATTACCATCATTACCTAAGTAATCTAAATCAGTTAAGATTTTGAATAAAGCTTTTAATAAATCAGGATGACCTAAAACGCTTGCTTCCTTTCTTAAATTGTATTCTAAAATATCTAATACAATAGTTAATTTCTTTAAATGAACACTGGCAATATTGGAAATATCTTCTTTAACCATAGCTTGTTTAGTTGAGTTTGATGATCTTCTTCTACGTTTAGCTAAACCTTGTTCTGGGATTTGAGTACCGATTTGAACTAAACTTAAAGCAGATAAGAATAAATCATGATCAATAGATAATTTTTGTAAAGTATCTAATGGATCGATTTCAGTATTGGAGTTACCCACGAGTAATTCAATTAACTTACTAACCACTTTTAATTTCAAATCAGTGGATTTGAATTTATCAAATACTTTAATTGATCTTTCATTAATAGTGATTTGTAAATTTGGATAAGCACTTTCTAAACCATTATTAAACCATTCAACTTCTCTGATTGAATTCTTATCATTAGTACTGATACCACCAACTAAACCAACGATATCGGTTTCAACTTTAGTGAAATCAATCTTAGCTTGTTTGCATTGTTGGAGGATGGTTGGTCTATTTTGAAAATAGTTTTGTAAATCAGTATCGACGAAGAAATATCTATCATCCGTTCCAACCTCATTTTCTTGAGCTATGATTGACCAAATATTATATTTGAATACAATAGACCAAGATTCTAATGACCATTGATTTAAAATAAATGTTTTTAAGATCAATTGACCGAATTTTTTCAGATTATTTTTAGAACTTTTAAACACATGATTGAATAAAAGACCATTTAAAGCAGTTGGAGTTAAAATTACATCCTCGATGTTTTCAAAAATCAAATCACATAACAAAACAGCATCATTAGGTGGTAAGATAGCACGTTTACTAGCTTCAATATGATGATAAATTTCATTTTCCATAAATAAAGTTGATTTAACTTTCTTTTTACCTTCATGAGTTGATTTAGTAACATCTTTCACGATGGATAATAAATTAACAAAACCTTGTCTGATAGATGGTCTTGCATCACGTAATCCTAATAAAAGAATAGGAATCAATAAATAAAGATCTAATGGAGTGGTGGAAGCTTTAGAAGAAGTTAATTCTTTTAATTTCAATTTTAATACTCTGATAGTTGAAAGAGCAATTAAAGTTGAAGTGGATGGACTTAATGCTAATCTAAGTAAGAATGAAATAGATGAGTCTTGACTGGTGAATAATTTCTTAGTGAATGTAGCAATGATTGATTTTTGAGTTTTAATCTTATGATTAGCTTTAACTAATTGATTTAATAATATATTAACCAATTTATAAAATTGTTCATTATTTTCAGATAAAATGAATGATACAGATGTTGATTCAATGTTGTCAATGCTTTCTAAGACTTGTTCATCGACATCTTCTAAATCACCATTATCTTCTTCACTACCTTCGAAATCGACATCGTTAGTAATATCAATAACGATCTTGTTACCTAATGTAGTCATTAATTTCATTTCTAATTCTTGGACTTGTTCAGAAGTGAAACTTTCAACCAAGTTATCACCTGATTGTTCGATGATTTGAATCAAGTTATTTCTAATTTGTTCATCTTGGGATGAGTTAATATTAGCGAAGATTAAATTTGTGATTGCTGAAATTGAGATTTGAGAAGTTGGAATTAATCTGAATAATTTCAATGAATCTGTATTTGGGAAAGTATTAATGAAATAAGTAGTTAAGAATCTGGATAATTTATAATCATCGGCGATTAATTCATTGATTAATGATTCATGTTTTAATAAAGTTGGAATAGATAACTGTTTAAAACAATTAACGGTACTTCCACTTTCATTATTAAAATTCCATAATTGACCTAACACAATCAATGATTGTCTGGCTAAATTAGTATCGAACACATTTGAATTTTGTAAAATTGATTCAGTTAAGGATTCAGTTAATTTGGAAGACAATGGAACGATGGAAGTTAAGATTGAAATAATAGAATAAGCGGATAATCTAGTATCAATCTTCATGGAACTGGAATATTTTGAATCATTGGTTAATAATAAATGACCCACAACTTTTAAAATCAATGGTAAATACATTTCATTTAAAGTATCTGCTTTCTTTGATAATGATGCTAATAATTGAATAGTAATAGATAAATAAAACACTAATTGTTCTTTATAAACAGTACCATTGGCTAATTGTTGTAACAAGTATTCAGTATACATATTATACAAAGGATAATCATTATAGAATGCCTTTAAGATAGAGTTGGCAGGAGGAGCTTTCAATTGATCTTTGAAACCAATTAACCAACTGAAAATATTTGGGAATTGATTTTTAGGAACAATATTTAAGATTTTAACAAAGATTGAATCACGATGATATGGTAAAGCAGTTAAGATAAAATGTTCAGCATTATGAATATTAATATGGAATCTTCTTACTAACCATTCTAAAGTCTTGACGGTTGGATTTAAACCATAATAAGGAGAAACTAAATTCAAAAATGCATCGATGGATTTATTGATTTGAGTTAAAGTATCCTTAGTTTGAACGTTTCTATCAAAATTAATCGAAGTATCAGAGAATAAAGTTTGTCTGAAACGATTAAATCTCGAATCAATCTCACTTAATTCATCTAACCCTTCTAACCCTAGTTGAAATAAATAATCAAAATCCTGAGTTGATGCCACTTTGGGATCGAAAATAAGCGATCTGGAATGGATTTGAGATCTTGTTTTACGATCAAGAGCGACAGAAGCCGTCTTATCGTTGATACTCTTCAACTGCAGACTCAAACTAGACATGGTGGGATAGGTATGGGTCCTTTGTTGAATGATCCTTCTGATGGCTGTAAACGTCTAACTGAATAATTTTGATTTTTTTTTGATATTTTTTTTTTACAGCTGAGAAAAAAGAGATGGGCTATTTGGTTCTGGTTCTGTGCAACACAATTTTTTTTAACTACTGCGAACAAAATAAAATTGTTGCAAACTCTTAACGGTATAACGATAATTAGAGGGAATATATTTAGTATAGATCGACTATATTATAAAAGCAATGAATATATAAAACCTAAGCGAAGTAAACACATGAATATTTAATAGTAAAATAACGTAAAAATAAAGTAAAATAACACAACACAAGACAGAACTAGGCAATCCAAAACCATATTCTTTCTAAAGTATTCTTTGGAATTGGATCAGGTTCATTAGCATCTTCTTCTTCAATCAAATCTAATCCGGTAAGAACATCAACTTTTTCCATTGGATTGACCCAATATTTAACTCCATTGACATAATAATCATAAATTCTATGACCAACATATAAGACAACAATGATTGGTAAAGTAATATAAGCAGCTAAGAAATCAGCCACGTTGAAATCAAAGAATACACCATACCCATTAGTGATGGAGACTAATCCAATAAATCCAATCACATAATAAGCACCATAAGGTTGTAAGATGGTTTTATAAGTGACTCTATCTTCTAATTCATAATATTTGATAGCTTTTCTCCATCTTAAATAAGCAAAAGCAACCAATACCCAACTAATGAATCCACTAATGGTGGTAATATTAGCAAACCAATTGAAGACATTAGCAGAAGTAGATGAGACATTAAGATAAGCTAAACACCCAACAGCAATAGATGCCATAACACAATAGTATGGTACACCTAAACGATTAACTTTAGTAAAAATCTTTGGAGCTAAACCTCTACGAGCCATGGAATATAAAGCTCTTGAAGCAGAATAAGTAAATGAATTACCAGCTGAAGCAGCAGAGGTTAAGATAGCAGCATTAATAATATGATTTAATACTGGGATACCGGCATTTTGAATACCAATGACAAATGGAGATGCAGCAGCATTACCGGATCCACTTAATAAATCTGGATTATTTTTATCAACAATAACACTAATAACCAACGTACCAAGAATATAAAAGAAAGCTAATCTATAAATAAAACGATTAGCAGCCTTTGGAATATTTCTTCTTGGTTTTTTACATTCACCACCAGTAGTAGCAATTAATTCTGGTGAACAAATAAAGGCAAATCCAGATTTAACAATAGCAGTCCAAACAGCTAAGAAACGACCAGTTGATCCACCAACTAAATGTTCTGAGAATGGACTATGTTTCCAATATCTGAAACCTAATCTATCATGATGAGGACCACCACCAAAGAAAAGAACTATACCTAAGATAATTAAACCAGTTAAAGTAACTAATTTAATGGAAGCAAACCAAAATTCAGCTTCACCGAAATATTTAACTGAACTCATATTTAAAACAGTTAAGATAACTAAAAAGATAGTAATCCAAACGGCAATATTAACGCTGGTAATCCAATATTCAATCACAATAGCAGCAGCAGTAACTTCAGCTGCAATTAAGATGGAGAAAGCATACCAATAATTATACCCCACAGCAAACCCAAATGATGATGAAAGATAATCATTTACAAATGATTGAGCCCCATTACCAGGTAATGGTAAGAAGGCAGTCATTTCTCCCAACATATTCATAACAAAATAAACCACTGAACTCATAATCGTATAACTTAAAACTAAAGAAGCAGGACCACAAGTACTTAAAGCGGACCCACTACCAACGAAAAGACCAGTACCAATAGCACCACCTAAAGCTAATAATTGAGCTTGTCTTGATTTCAAACCCCTTTCTAATTCATGAGTTTCATCAAAAGTATCGAATGAATCGGAGTTTGAATTCTTAGGAGATAATAATTTCCCAGTTTTTTCATCAACATTAATGATTTTTGAATGGGATATACTAAGATCAGGATAACCTGAACCTGATCTATATATACTTGGTCTTGACCCAGCTGATTTAACTGTGGTAAGATCTTTCATTGTTTATTGAAGGAATAAAGTAAGGAAGAATAAGATAATTGAATAACTAAAACAAAATGTAATTATGAAATATGAATAGATAACGGTAAGATATTGGGGTTTATATATAAAATTTATAAAAAGTTATAGTTGTGAAAATTTTACAATTGAAAGACGATAAATAATAAAATAATAATAATAAGTAAAGTATAATAAAGATTATCTATGCAATGAGATTTTATTTTATCTATTCGGAGTGGGAAAGTTGGAGGTAAAGATAACCGTAAAAAAAATAATAATAAATAAAATAAGAATTAACATGAAAATGCCTAAAGCGGGCAAGACGCAAAGAGGGAAAGCGAAATTGAAACAACTGTTAAGAGAATAAAAAGAAAAGACTAGAGAAGAGAATCAGAGTACAAGATAATAGGTTAAGGAGAATACGATTTGGAAGTAGTAATTAGTGGGGAAATTGCATTACATCACAATCATAATCATAATCACAATCACAATACCAAGATAGAGTTAAGTACATTGAGCCTTACAACCAACAATCTGAGAAGATAACATTCACTATGTAAGAGTAAAGTATATCTCTATAAATCATATCATTTTGCAAGAGTCAAAATTAATTATCGGTATAACTTTTAAACCTAAGAAAAAAAAATAATTAAAAAATAAAAAATAATAAAAAAAAAAGTAACGCCGTGAACAATCAAGAAATAAAGTTTTCAATTTAAAACTGGTTTGTGTAGACCATTGTTTAGCTAGTTAGGTTAGTTAGTGGAATGTCTGGGTAGTAGTTAGTGATGATGATGTTTACAATTGGTTTGTTTGATATGGTTTAAACTAGATTAATAATTATACTGTTACTATGATGCAATCAATATAGGTAATTATAGTCAACTATACCGATAAAGCAGCAGCAGCAGCAGCAGCAGCAGCAGCACTCGAAGGAGAAGAATTGTAACTGCAACTGTAACCTGCATGTAAATGATTAACGGGAAATTCTTTAAAAAACGCCGAATAAAAAAAAAATATTTCTGTGTAATTTTTTAAATTGCTTTTTTTTTCACAGTTTTTAGTTTTGATGACTGTTAGCGAGGTCAATTTGTAAATTGGTATTGGTTAGCGATGGACAAGACTAAAGACGCAATTCAACCACCTTAAATCAGTTTTAACAGTTATGACTTAACTTTAGTCAATCTTTGAGTGATAACAACCAATTTGTCATAACTTTTCATGTCTCGTCATATCTATCTTACAGGCTACAATTACTTTATTAGTTTGCATTATCCTTTCACGTAACCTTTTTATTTGACTTCTCTACCTAATATATCGTTATCTAGCCGACACATTAATCTAATCAAATTATCATATCATATTAGACAAGACCACCTGGTCAATTTCAATCTTATCTCTTCAATTAAACCTATAATGAAAAGCAAACACTAACACCTTTTAGACCTCATCGTTTACGTTTACTCTAATTAATTTAATTTATTTATTTATAATTATAGCGATCTAAAAGTGGGAAATAAATCATCATCTCCACTTTAAATTAAATAGTGTATTTACCCCCACTCTTCATTTTCTATTGCCGTTCTATTTCTTCTAATATCATCAATAGTCATCATTATCATCATTCTCATCATTCTACCTCTTCTCATTTTACCCCATGTTTTCTTTTAATCACAATAAACCCATCATTTAATTAAACTTTCTCTGTAACATATTCGTATTTGTATGCTCATTGTTGAACGTCAATATCCAATTTTATTAACTCATTCAGGCAACCCCACATTATCACTGCAAGTCAATCAAATCTGAACTTTAAATATTTAATTTTTCATCATACCTCTGATTTTCTGATGATGCTTACTTACAAGGAATCATAACTCTGATACCTTCAAAAAGTAATTTTATTATCGATGATATCGTACCATAATATCATCGCATCGAATATACAAATCCAATTAACCCTATCAACTACACTCTACAGGTCTGTCAGACCAACATATATCCAAGTCCGTTAACAAACCATACCGTTCACAACTATAAGTCACACCTAAACAATCATTTTGACAATATGCAGATGCATATCATATACCAAGTACACTCCATGCGTTAGATTTAGACCAAGATATACAATCCAATCCATGATCGATCGTTCTTGATCTTTCTTCCCTTGTATAACGACAATATTTATATAATGGACCTGCAAATCCACCACAAACTGAAGTAACTAGGATATTTGTGGGATTGGAATGTTCAATTGTTAATTTCTCAACTGCATCATTACCAAATAATTCTTTAACTTCCTTTGTTAACCTTTGGTTTAGTTTTGTAATATCTAAATCTGGAATCACTGATACCTCATTTAAATAATCTATCCAGTCTAAAAATTGGCTTATCTCAGTTGGCCAAGGATATCCATATAAAGCATGTAACCATATCACAGTATCTTGTTCAATATTCCCACTTGATCGGTGATTTGACAATCGATTTAACTCATCAGCCTTTTCAATTGGTAAACTGAGATAAGTCACACACAATGGTTGTCTTTATCTTCCATAGTCAAATCAATGCCGACCATTTGTGTACTGTTGAAACAAATATTTAAATTGGGTATCTGAAGTATACTTTGATTATCCGTTTGAAGTTTATCAGGTGCATGTTCGTCTAGGAATGTCTGATTCCAAGTAATGAGGCTATCAGGTCCGAAGAAGATTCTTGGATCAGGAAGGTGTTTAAGTAGTTGTTGATAATCAATCGATAAGACACCATTTAATAAGGTGATTCTCAGAGTGATAATTATCAATATCGATTGTTTCATCTTATCTCATCTTATCCATTATAGATTTTTGAATTAATATTTCAAGATGTTTACAAAATAGTTTTCTTTAATCAGGATTCAATAATATATTTATTTCGCCATATTTACAAACACCGCAAAGATTATTTGCAACTCCTCGTCAAAAAAACTAGATTAAGTCATACGACTGTTTACCCCCAAAAAATCGTATTAATCTAATGCTAACAGAGTAGCCCAAATAACTCACCGCTAAAGATCCTTGAAACTACAGTCGTTGTACCTATCCAATAAAGAGGGATGGCTTTTCTTGGCTATTCTGTGGATTTGCGACAGGGTTTTTTGAATTTGGATGGTGCGTCAAAAGTTTAAACTGCTGCTATTGATAGGAAGTTCAACTGAGAATTATCGTGGATAGCTGATAATACTAATTTTAAGTAGTTACTTTAAACGTAAATTGAAATATCCCTGATACAAATACACTGTTTCACATAAATGTACAATATAAATTTATCTTATATTTCCTATATAATCAAAAAAGAAAAATCCAAAAAAAAAAAAGATAACTGTATATCACCAACTGTAAAGAATGGAGCGTAACATGCAATATATATAAATCATCATTATCATCAAGTGAAAAAGAACCTAATAATTAACTAATTAATTAATCAATAAACTTACTTTTTTCCAAATAATGGTTCACCAATATTCTTACCTCTTAACTTTACACCTAAAGCACGTTCCAACTTGGCTAATAATTGTTGACTTGGTACAGCTCTACCAGCTTCATAATCATTAATCACATTTGGTTTTTCATTCACTTTAGTAGCTAAATCCTTTTGAGTGAATTTCTTTTCTTGTCTAGCTTGTTGAATAGCTTTACCAACACTGGCATCAACTTTCTTAACAGCAACAACATCATCAATATCATCTAATTTGGTTAATCTTTGACCTTCAGGATTAGATCTAGTATTGGTACTACCATATTTCTTTTCAGTACCAATAACGGCTCCAGCTCTTCTAGCAGCATTTAATTGAGATGACGTCTTAGCAACTGTCTCTCTTGGTCCACCGCCACCAATTCTGGCTTTAGATCCAATGATAGTAACGGAATCCCAATCTGAATTTGACATGGTTTTTTATATTATAAAGTTATAGGTATATAGTTGTAGTAAAAGTTGAAATGATCAATCTAAATTTATAACCCTTATGACGTTCGTTTTGATGATTCATACACTTTTTTTTTTCCTTCCACAATTTGGTTTTTTATCCATCCGCACACGACTTAAACAAAAGAATATTCTAGATAGATGCTAAATTTCCTGTATATAATATAAGCATATAAATTATTGCAATTTATCATACAACTAGTACCAACTACAATTACAGTATTTATATAAATTTTTTAATTAAACCTTTCTATAACCATACCTATGAATTAAACCTGTTATTAGCTAAATTATTTTTGAATTAAACCTGTTGTTAGCGAAATTATTTTTAGAATTGAACCTATTATTAGCCAAATTATTAAATCCTAAATTTAATTGCGATTATTCGCTCTCAAACTTCTAGCCATATTGGTTTGAGCTTTAGCTATATCCATTTGAGTCTTAGAAATTTCATCAAGTTTAGCTAATATTCTATTATTAACTTTCTTTTGGCTCTTTGCAAAAGAACTAATTTCTGTAAGCGTGGATGACATTGTGGATGACATGGTTGTTAAAGTAGATGATATGGTTAATAAAGTGGATGACATTGTCGTTGAAATTGGATCTTGACCAGCAGTTGTTGATCTTGAGATTCTTCTTCTTCTAGTATTAGGATTTGGATTTGGATTTGGATTATTGATCATATTTGGTTGTTGTTCTTCTTCTTGTTGTTGTTGTTGTTCATTATTATTATTGATCATTGGTGGTTCCTCTTGCTGCAACTGTTGTGGTTGTGGTGGCACTTGAAATTGTTGGATTTCTCTTAGATCATTAATAATATTTCCTATACGAGTTTGTACGTCTAACTGGAATTGAATATATTGATCTAATACTTCTTGTGGATGAGGATGGTTAAATATTCTTAAAATTGTAGTTAATTTTTCCAGTAGCGCTGCTCTTTCAGCTCCTGTTATATTATCAAGGTTAATCCCGCTGTATGTTAACATAAACGCATCTAAATTCGTAAATGCAGAATCAAGTATGTTGGCATTTGGATTAGCCATGATTACCAATCAAACAATAACTAACGTTATAGATGTATTGCAGTAAGAAACAAAGTAAATTAATAAATACAAAATTTAATAAATGGTTGTAAATGTGACTTTTGTCAATTTTGATACCTCTACTAATAGGATCTTTAAAAATAAAAAGTAAACAGCGATATGAGAGGTAAAGACATAATTTTTATTGATTAATCCATTTTAGAGAGGATGAATGACCTCTAACAAATCAGTAACTTTCAGGATACTTTCTAAATACTGTAATGTTTGATTAGATCAATTTAAAATACAATCTTTAGATATATATCAATTTTAGTTGCTTAACCAGATAAATATAATCAAAGGTTTCGAATTGATTAAGAGATTTATAATCTGTTTACCCCTGACCTACTGAATTTTAAGATAATCTTAATATTATAAACTAAACTATTGATAAACACATTTTATATAACAAATAATGTTGCAAATAGACACCCAATTAAACAGCTTTTCCATACTACTTACAATCAGTTAGTTGTTAAATTTCTTCAATAAATTAATCATTTATTCGAATAAATCGGCATCAATATTCTTCACTAGGATATTTATATTTCGCAACAGTATATCTATATTCTTCAACAGAGTGTTCATAGACAATAACAGTGTGTTCATATTCACCGACAGTGTGTTCAATTTCTCTAACAGAGCGTTCAAAATCTTTGTCTGGTTCTGAATCTGGATGCTTAACTCTTTAATCAGACTCTCAAATATGGTTGACATATTTATTATCAGCTTGTTTGTTTGTTTTAACATCTCTTTCATTTGAAGTTGGTGTTTCTTTCTTCTTGTTCTTTGTTGATCCTTTATTTTTGATACTTTCTGAGCTGTTTCTGTTCTAGTCTTGTCAAATGCATTCACTTTAGCAGCATTTTCAGCATTCGGTTTTTGTAGAGGGTCTTGATGATTGTCTTTAAGATCACTACTTTTTCCAATATGTCCGGTTTCTTGAGCTAGATTTTGTTGTAATAAGCTTTGTTCATTTTGACCTTCCGGTTGTTCTGTTGATTGTACGCCTAATTTTATTGAGTCAGGGGATACTTTATGAGTGCATGGCATTGGATCCATGTTGTTATTATCGGTTTGGCAAAATGGTGTAAAATCTTGTTAGATAAGTTATATTCATAATTATAAATTCTGCTTTTGTTGGCTCTTTATACTTGCATTATTTCTAAATGCTTCATGATGCATCCTTATTTTAGAAACTTTCAGTGATTAAGTTATACAACTGGGACTAAGTGAACCTATTTAAAACTAAAATATACTACATAAATTCACTCTTTACAGCTTTGAATAGAATATTTAAATTAACATATATTATATTATTTAACTATACAATAGAGTTATATAATATCTATTGTGAATCATTTGGGTCAAAACTCTGATATTGCTTGTTTAACATATTGCCACAAATTTATTACATGACACATTCAACAGTCTTTCCACCCATCATCAGTTAGTTGCTAAAGTTCATCAATGAACTCATCAGTCAGACTCAGGTTGAACATATCATTATCATGGATATCTTCCAACTTGTAATCCGTATTGTTCAACCTCGAGTTCATAGTCTCCAACTTGTTGTTAATATCTTTCATCTGGGTTTGAAACAGGTCTATTATTTCCTTCGTTTGAGTCTTAAACAAGTTATTTATATGGTATAATTCGTCCAACAATTCTTCCATTTGAAGTTCTTTTCTTCTTCTTCGTTCATGTTTTCTTTTTGAACGTTTTTGAGATCTTTTTGAAGGTCTATCATTATAAATATTCAAATGGAAAGGAAGTTTTGCATTTTCTTCTCTCTGTTGGACCTTTAGTTCATCATTTTTTCTTATTTGATCTATTTCTTGTTCCTGTTTCTCTTTCATTTTTTTGAGTAACAATGCATTATCATGAAGTCTTTTTATGTTCAATGAGTTTTCTTGCACTAGTCTTTGTTTCAATAAGTCTTGTTGTGAAATTTTTTCTTTAAGACTGGGAAGGGCTGGTAGATTCGGAATTTTTTGTTGTGAAATTGATTGCAGGGAACTTGGTAATTGTGTAGCTAGTGGGTTGATGCCGACAGACAGATGAAGACCATTCGTATGTTGAAGCGGTTGTGTTGGATTGAAGCGTTGTTGTTGATTGAACAAACCATTGAGTGGCTTCAAGTTGTTACTATAACTATTATATGATGTATTCATTGTTGGATAGTTGTATTCATTAATTTTTCAAAATCTTACGCTTGATGATCTTTTTATAGTTTCTAAATCATGTTTTCCAGTGCATCCTAATGCATCTTTCATCTAAAATTTAGGAAACTTGAATGAAAAAGTTCACAACTTACTTTCCCTGACCTATCGAAGCAACTCCAACTATTATTATAAAAGATAGATAATAATAAACCACCAAATCCTTATTTTGCAGCCTTTTGGTGGTATAATTACCACGGTTTATATACCGGAAAATTAACTATGACCAACAAATTTTCTCCAGTTGCACCAACAAACAAACAAAGAGCAAGCAAACCAACCCGAGGCAAGAATAAATAAACGTTTTTTAAGGTACGTTACCATTTATTCCGATTTACTTCTTCTTTGTTCAACTAATTATCAACCATGGTTTCAATTGAAGTTAAATCTCGTTCAAGAAGCTTAAAGGGTCTTTCATCTGATGAATTAACCATTGACTCATATGTCAGTGAGTTGGTTGATTCAATTGCTAAATCAAATCATACTTACGCTAGTCGTATTAGAATCACTATTTTAGATCCAGCAACAGGTAAACATAGACCATTACTTGGCTATAAAACATTCGCTGAGAATGGAATTACTAAATCTGATTCAGAAACTATTCAATTGACTATTAAAGATTTAGGTCCTCAAATTTCATGGAGAACAGTGTTTAAAATTGAATACGTGGGTCCATTATTAATTCATCCTCCATTATATTATTATTTCAGTCAATATGGTCAATATAATCAAAATCAAATCCTTGCTTTTTACTTTGTTATATTTCATTTCCTTAAACGTGAATATGAATCGTTTTTCGTTCATAAATTCTCTAATGATACGATGCCAATCTTTAATATTTTTAAAAATTCAGGTCATTATTGGATTTTAAGTGGTTTCAATTTAGCTTATTTCATATATGGTGCTACTGCTGACCAACCAATTCCATTCATTACATTAAGTGAAACTGCTAGGAAATATATCTTTTACGTTAATGATTTCCCATCTTATATCAACTACGCTATTGTGGCATTATTTTTATTTGCTGAAGTATCAAATTTAATTTCACATTTAATCTTAAGTAATATTAGAAAGGGGGATGATACTAAGAAATATGTCATTCCATACGGTTATGCATTCAAGTTAGTTAGTTGTCCTCATTACTTCTTTGAATCAGTATCATGGTTTGCCTATAGTATTTTGGTGGGTAATTGGTCATCATGGTTATTTTTAGGTGTTGCTACTGTTCAAATGTTTATTTGGGCCGTTGCCAGACATAAGAGATATCTTAAAACCTTTGGTGATGAATATAAGAAATTAAGAAGAGCCATTTATGTTCCTTATCTTCTTTAATTATGGTATTATTTATTATGATTATTATTAATTATTCATTAGGTATATATAGTATATAGTTTGATTATTTTTCATTTTGGATTAAATTTAAGAGAAATACTATTAACACAATGTCTGGCATCAGTAGGAGTATCATATCCTTCACCTTTAAATATATGACCTAAATGTCCATTACAATTTGAACATCTCATTTCTTCTCTTACCATTCCATGACTAGTATCTCTATTAACAGTAATTGAACCTGGTATAGCTTCATAAAACGCAGGCCAACCACAATGAGCAATGAATTTAGACAGCGATTTATACAATGGTTGATGACATCCCACACATTCATAAACCCCTTGAGCTGTAGCTGGTGTCTTGGTATATTCACCACTATAAGGAGTTTCAGTACCTGATTCTCTTAACACACGAAATTGTTGTGGGGATAAGATGGCTCTCCATTCTTCTTCTGATTTAGACATGATGAAACGTTTGCTGATAGTAGTTCTATTGATGGACTGTACAATGGTTCGTCGTATGGTCTGGGATCTAATCATACAATTGAGTGGCAAACAGAAGAGTTAACTATGATATATATATAGTTCATATATTCACTGTGAATGATAATTTTGCTTCGCCATGAGAGATTTAAATTTTTTGATTAATGTGCGGGAAATTGAAATTGCAAAATTTCAATGACTACACTTTAGACAATGAACATGACCATATTGGATTGAAATGCTATATTAAATTTATATTCTACTTTCAAGACATATTAATACATAGTAAGAAGAAAAACATAATAAAAAGAAGAAGAAGTTGGAGAAAAGGAAGTATGAAGAAAGGAGAAAGCTAGAATATACTAAATGCCATATAATTTGTAAATGAATGAAGGAATGAATTGTATCTAACGCATGAAATAATTATATTTACCATTTACTTCTCTGGTTTTATCTTTACCAGTGGTTTTAACTCCCCATTCGATTTCAATGTCTAATTCTCTTGGATTGGTGGCATTTGGTCTGGAAGCAATACTACCTTCAATCTTATCCCCCTTTTTAAGATCTAACACTTGATCCATATAAAATACAGTTTGTTTCCAATGAGTATAATGATTCATTGGACCAGTTGGCAAGACAACTTTTTCTTTACCAGGGAAGATAGCATCCCAATAAACAACATAAGCATGACATAAATCAGTATCAATGGCTTCTAATTCGAATTTACTATGGAAAGCTAATTGTTCTTTAGTAACGGTATTAATATCAAATTCAAAAAATTTATGAGGAGTAGTAATTAAGGAATTATTATCAACAGTATCAACCAATGGTTCAACCATAGCAACATTAATGAATGGAGAATAATCAAATCCATAAACATCTTCCCAATAATGGATTTTTTCATCTTTATATTGACCATCTTCAATACCAGCAATATACATAGCACATTTATCAGGTAAGATTAACCCATCTTTAGCTAAATATTTATCTCTAGCATATAATACAGTATCTAACATTGATTCATATAAAAGGAAATAACCCATCCATTCTGAAACAATGATATCAACAGTATCAACCGGTAAAGTAATATCTTCTAATTTACCTTGAATTAAAGTAATTTTATCTTCAAATCCATTTAAATTAATAATTTCTTTAGCTTTATCAATAATATTAGACATATCAACAGAATAAACATGTTTGGCACCAGATTTGGCAGCAAACATAGAAAGAATACCAGTACCACAACCAACATCCAATACCACTTTGTTTTTAAATAATTCTTTATTCTTATACATAGCAGATCTATAACTTAAAGTACGAGTAGTATCCTTTAACATTTCTTCATGAATACCAAAATGATCATACGATGAAAAGTAATGTTGTTCGGTGAATGGTAAGGCAGCCTTATCGGTGGCTGAGTCTGATGCTGATGAAGATGCCATGATGATTGGAATGGTTAATATCTATATGATCTATAACTTAATTGATTATAGAAATAGTTTAAAGATGAAAAATTGAAAAAAAAAAATTATAGTGTGAGAAGAGACAGAGTGAGAAGGGAGAGATGGATTTTAATGGTCGTGCGAATTACGGTAAATTAAATTTATGTTACCAGTAAACAGTATACTTTAGTACAAGATATGGAAGATAGTTAGTTGTAATGAAGTGATTCAATTGATATGGTATCATCATAATGGTCTGGTCAGAGACAATGCAAATAATTACTTAATAATCTCATAATGTACGATCAAAGCTAATTACTCTACAATCAACTACAGTTTATTAATACTTTTGGATCTTTTATATTGTAAAGAAGAATAATAATAAGAATCATATATAAATGATAAATGATAAAGAATGAGTTATTGTACACTGGTATGCAAAATACAGAAATAAAATAATGGATTTGGTTTGGTTTGGTTTTGGTTTGAATATGTCATTAAAGGAAGAAACTGATTGGGAGAATCCCCATCTATGCTCTTTTTAGTTATCTTTCTTGATAATGAACAAGTGACAAAAGTTCTAAGCACTTACTTAGTTCTAATATGCTTTAATGGACCAGCTGAATGATAGAAATTAGCCGAATAATCCTTCTTTCTAAAATGTCTCTTTTTAGGTTCTTGAACATAATGATCCCAACCTTGACGTTCAGCAAAATTAATAGCAGCTTCTTTAGTATCAAAATGCATTATAGTACCTTGCATATAATCAGCACTACCTTGATAACCCATTAAATCATTTTCCCAACGATTACCTTGACCTAATACATCCCAATCTAATTTCCAATGGGATCCATTATGATGACCTGATTGAGTGGCAGCTTTGGCTTCTTGATAAATTCTAACCACACGAGATGTAATTAAATCTTTTGGAGCTCCACTTACAATTTCTGTTCCTGTGAATGATGGTGTAGTTGGAGTAACATCTGGTACTGAACTTTGGTAACGAATAGGAGTAACGGAAAGTAAACGTATACTTCCACGAGTAGCACCAACAGCTGGTAATGCCAATGCTCTTACCGATATTCTAGATAACATTGTCTGTGTAGCGTGTATGTGTATAGTGATATCTTAGAACTAACCTCTAACTATGTTATTCTTTTGATTAATTCCCCTAAGCAGCAATTGTACAAATTTGGTTGGCTCAATTTTTAAAATAGAAAAAAAAGTCAGATTTTTTTACCCGGAAAACAAATCATGTGATATGTCATGTGATTGAATTTTTCAAACAAATTTCTGTTTTGGGAACTATAATTAAATTGTTTAAGACGTGTATCAAGGAAGGAATATGATTAAACCTGAGTTGACTTAACATATCATATATCTTATAATTACTTAACTAAAGCTTTACGAACTACACTAGATGAGTTCTGTTCAATTCAAAAAATCAGTTCAAGATATAATCCCCACTTATCATGGACAATTCCCTGTTCAATTATTATCATATATAGAATCATTATATTTATCAAGTCTACATAAAAAACCTATACTACCAAATAATGCAGCTGTTGCCAGATATCATTTATGTGCTTATTTGGGAGTAGAACAACATCAACATAGATATGATTTACCGCAACCTGAAATGAAAAGAATCCCTTTAGAACCTAAAGTTGCCTCTAAATTATTAGATGATTTTAGAGTTAGTTTAGTAGTGAAATCGAATACTTCAAGTCCTAGGAATAGTCCAACTAAAACGAATAAAGTATTATTGACACCTTCATTATCTCCAAACCCATCAAGTACTACCACTCCTTCAAAATCAGGATCACCTTCGACCGGTGGATCACCATTAAAGAGATTAAGAGAAATCGAAGATAGTCCAAATACAAGTGAAGATATATCGACTCCTAATAAACTTAATGATTCCGAATCGATATTTAACCCAACTCCAAAGAATAAGAAAAAGATAAAATCATCCCCTGAAAAATCAGCTCCTAAATACAACTACGATAAAAAACATGTATCCATCATTGAATTTATAACGTTTTGTAATAATTTTTATATCCCAGCTGATGTTTCACCAAAAATGATTGAAACTTTCTTAATCCATAAACATAAATTCGCCAAGAAGAGTGAATGGTTATTAGCTTGTGGAATTATATTTGCTGCTTATGTTAGAATCAATCATATTTTATTAACTACTAAAATCGGAGCTCAACTGGAATTTTTAAATCTTTTATTCCAATATCAAAAGGGAGGATTATTAAAGATTAATATTCAATTATGGTGTAATATCGTTGGAACTTGGATCAAAGAAGAATCTTGGGTTAAAGATCTTGAACATAAGTATTTATATGGTAAAGATTCCGTTGATGAATTACAATCTTCCGTAGAAGATAAAGCTAGAATCGGGGCTGGTTGGAATATCCTCGAACAATTTGGAGTCATGATTCATGGTGAAGTACTATATGAATCAGATAATCAAGTGAAATACTATGAAACTTGGTCTAATAGAGTAAATCAGAAATAAATAGCATAATTAAGTAAATGTCACTAGACAGTTAATCGTTAAATCTTTAAATTTACCCGGATTTGTAGAAGATCGCAGTAATTTTTTTTTTCACCTTTTAGCATCTTGTTTTTGTAATGAAATCATATATAGAATCAGTATACCATCAAATTCAAGGTTCAAACATCTATTGTTATCACATAGATTCATAGTTCATTGCAGAAATATCGTGGTATAACTTTGCATTCATTCATTTATTTCATTATTTGCATTTTTTTTCCGTTTAATTATCTATTATTTTTCATACTTTTCATCCATTGCATTTAAGTAACCATAAAGGTACAATTTTACAGCTTATTTCAAAAATAACTTATTAACAAAACTCCTCCAACTATACCCTATCACATATATATAAATACTATCATGTCTAATATACCCAGTAAGAGGAGACTCTCCGACGTGTCTATGAACGGTTCAGCATATGGAAAGAAACCATACGCTGCTCATAGTGAAGATGATGATGAAGATTATTTATCAGATTCGCCACAACCTATTTTCGATTCCCCTTCCAATAATACCAGATGGCAAGAAGCTATCACCAAAGTTGTGAATGCAGTAGTATCGATTCAATTTACTCATGTAAGAAATTTCGATACTGAATCAGCTCTTGTCAGTGAAGCTACTGGATTTGTGGTTGATTCTGAAAGAGGTTTAATTTTAACTAATCGTCATGTGGTTGGACCAGGTCCATTCTGTGGATATGCTGTGTTTGATAATCATGAAGAGGTTACTGTCAAACCTATATATAGAGATCCTGTTCATGATTTTGGATTTTTAAAATTCGATCCTAAAGATGTGAAATATTTACAATTAAGTCACTTAAATTTAAAACCTGATTTAGCTAAAGTTGGTACTGAAATTAGAGTGGTTGGTAATGATGCAGGTGAAAAATTATCTATTTTATCAGGTTTCATCTCAAGATTAGATAGAAATGCTCCAGAATATGGTAGTTTGACTTATAATGATTTTAATACTGAATATATTCAAGCTGCTGCTTCTGCTTCTGGTGGTTCATCAGGTTCGCCAGTTGTGAATGAAGATGGTGATGTGGTGGCTTTACAAGCCGGTGGGTCTACTGAAGCATCTACAGATTTCTTCTTACCGGTTGATAGACCATTAAGAGCATTGAAATGTATTCAAGATAACCAACCTATAACTAGAGGTGATATTCAAGTTGAATGGCAATTAAAACCATTTGATGAATGTAGAAGATTAGGATTAACTCCAGAAGCTGAAGCTAAAGCTCGTGAATTATTTCCAAATAAAATCGGTTTATTAGTGGCAGAATTAGTATTACCTGAAGGACCAGCCGATCAATTAATTAAAGAAGGGGATACTTTAATTTCCATAAATGATGAATATATCTCCACCTTTATAAAAGTTGATGAAATTTTAGATAAGAGTGTTGGTAAGGAATTATCATTTGAATTACAAAGAGGAGGACAAATCATTAAACGTTCTATAACTATTGGTGATTTACATTCAATAACTCCTGATAGATATGTTGATGTCGGGGGTGCCTCATTTAATAATCTTTCTTATCAAATCGCTAGATGTTATTGTATACCAGTAAGAGGAGTATTTATCAATGATGCTTCTGGATCATTTGAATTTGCATCTAATGAAAGAATCGGTTGGTTATTAGAAACCGTTGATGATAAACCAACTCCAGATTTAGATACTTTTATTGAAGTTATGAAACAAATTCCTGATCGTCTGAGAGTTCCAATCACTTATCGTCATGTATCTGATCTTCATACTGAGAATTTCCAAACTATTTATGTCGAAAGACATTGGCAATCAACTTTTAGATTGGCGGTTAGAAATGATGAATCTGGATTATGGGATTTCACCGATATTCAAGAAAAACCTCTTGACCCTATTGAAATCAAACCTCGAAATGCTAAATATGTTGATATTCCATTCGGTAAAGCAGGTTGTTCATCATTAATAAGATCATTCGTTCAAGTTAGAACCATTGCTCCTGTCCCTGTTGATTCATATCCATATAGAAAGGAAATTTGTTATGGTGTGGTGGTTGATGCCAAGAATGGTTATGTATTAGTATCCAGAAGATTTGTCCCTCATGATATGTGTGATATTTTCGTTATATTTGCTGAATCAATCGATGTTCCTGCTAAAGTTGTTTTCCTTCATCCAAATCAAAATTATGCTATTGTTAAATATGATCCATCCCTTGTTTTAGCTGATGTTCAATCTCCAAAATTTAGTAATATTCCATTAAAGAGAGGGGATAATTCATTCTTTATTGGATATAATTATAATTTAAGAGTTATAACTGATGAAGTTAGAGTTAGTGCTGTTTCATCATTAAATGTTCCAGCTGCATCTTTATCACCCAGATATAGAGGTACTAATCTTGATTGTATTCTTTTAGATAGTAAAATCTGTCTTGAATGTGATACTGGAGTATTAACTGATGATGATGGTACTATTAGAGCCTTTTGGTTAACTTATTTAGGAGAAACCAATTGTGATCAAACTAATGATAGAATGTATAGAATGGGATTGGATGTAACTGATGTTTTACAAGTTATTGAATCATTAAAATCAAATCTTATTCCTCAAAACTTAAGAATTTTAGAAGCTGAATTTAAATCATTAACTATTTATCAAGCTAGAACTAGAGGAGTTCCTGATCTGTGGATTAAGAAATTTGAAGAACATTGTCAAGATGAAATTAAACTTTTACCGGTTGAAAGAGTCTCAGCTCCAAGATTAAATCAAGAAAAAAGTGCTTTAAAGACAGGTGATATTATATTATCAGTTAATGATCAAATTGTTACTAATATGAGAGATTTTAAACCAATGTATACCGAAGAGAAATTAAATTTAAAGATTATAAGACAAAAGAAAGAAATGGAAATTGAAGTTCTGACTGTGGATACTAATACTTTACATACTGATCATGTTGTATTCTGGTGTGGAGCTATCTTACAAGCTCCTCATGGTGGAGTACGTCAATTAATGGTGGAAATCCCTTCTGAAGTATATGTTACCAGAAAGAGTGCTGGAGGTCCAGCTCATCAATATGGCATTGCTACCAATAGTTTCATTACTCATGTTAATGATCAAGAAACTAAGGATCTTACATCGTTTATGGAAGTAGTTAAAACTATACCTGATGGAAATTATATTAAATTAAGATTAATGTCATTTGATAATGTTCCATTGGCTATATCGTTAAAGACTAATTATCATTATTTCCCTACTTCTGAATTAAAGAAAGTTGGTGATGAATGGAAGGAATTTGAAATTAACAATTAAATGAATGTATATGTATATATATTATAATAAAACTATGTACAAAATTGGATAAATTAAATTAATATTTAACACTCTGGAAACCCTATATAACCTCTGAAATCTTTTTAAGATGTTTACCTTTATTATTAAGTGAAACGAATGAATCTAAACTTTGTAATGAACTAGTACTGAATCCACCATTACCATGATTTCTACCTGCTTGTTTTCTTTTGATTCCAGTACCTGTCTTTATGAATCTCTTAGCTGCTGATTTATTGGTCTTCATTTTGGTTCTGGTTTGAAGTAACATTGTCACTGGACTTATTTTGATATTGAATACCGCCCTCTTGGCTGGTGTGAACAATGACTTAAGCATTATATCTATATATATCTGATCTTATACCTATCTATCGTTGAATCAGTTCTACAGTTACAACTTCAATTTGGTTCATGATAATTTTTTTTTTTCACTCTTCCAATTTTGTTCGTGTGTTGCCAAAAATATTTATTTACAGTCAAACAACTTCTATCTGGGGAAGCCAAAGCAAAGGCAACAACAACAATAATCAACAATCAAAGGATGTCACAGATCAATCTTAGAGTGGTGGTGTGTGGTGATGATTCAGTGGGTAAGTCATCATTAATAGCAGCCCTTATTAAGGAATCTTTCATACCGACTATTCAAGATGTATTGCCTCCCATAACCATATCAGGCGATGATTATGATAGTAGTTTTCAAGAATATCCTATTGATACTAAGATAGTTAAGAAATCAAGACGTAATTCATCTAAGAAAGAACGATTTAATGAATCTTCCACTAAAGTAGTACTGAAATATATCCCTAATAAGACGGTGATTATCGATACTAATGCTAGTGATAAACCTAATTTACAAAAGGAATTGAAAAGAGCAGATGTGATATGGCTAGTATATTCAGATCATTATACTTATGAAAGAATCTCATTACATTGGATGCCAATGTTTAGATCCATGGGAGTTAATTTACCTATTGTATTATGTGCTAATAAATCAGATTTAATTGAAAAATCAGATTTAAAAACTCAAAATTCAGATGAATTTATTCCATTGATTAAGGAATTTAAAGAAATTGAAGCTTGTATACGAAGTAGTGCAAAGACGAATCATAATGTGGTGGAAGCGTTTTATTTATGTCAACGATCTATAACTCATCCTATATCACCTATATTTGATTCCAAAGAAGGAAATTTAAAACCAGCTGCCATATCTGCTTTAAAGAGAGTATTCTTCCTATGTGATAAAGATCAAGATGGATACCTTAATTTCCAAGAATTATCTGATTTACATAAAAAATGTTTTAATAAAGAAGCTACTGAAGAAGAATATAAAAATATTTTGAATGCTATCGATAAAAAACTTTATTCTGATGGTGATAATGGTGTTTCAGAAGATGGATTTATCTTACTTAATAAAATGTATGCTGAAGCAGGAAGACATGAGACTATATGGGGGATCTTACGAGCATTTCATTATACTAACTCATTATCATTAAGTGATAAATTTTTATTCCCCAAATTAGATGTTAATCCAAATTCAAGTATTGAATTAAGTCCAGCAGGATATCGATTTTTTGTGGATTTATTTATAAAATTCGATAAAGATAATGATGGGGGATTAAATGAAGAAGAATTAAATAATTTATTTCGTCCAACTCCAGGTATGCCTAAGATTTGGCAAGAATCTCAATTCCCATCTACCGTAGTTTGTAATGAAGAAGGGTATGTTACATTACAAGGATGGTTAGCACAATGGAATTTAACTACGTTTTTAGATTATAAATCAACCCTTGTTTATTTGGCCTATTTGGGTTTTGATGAAGATATGTCAGTTAAAGCTTTGAAAGTTACTAAACCACGAAAGAGTAGACAACGACAAGGGAAATTTTATCGTCAAAACGTAAATGATAGAAATGTGTTCAATTGTTTTGTATTGGGAGCACCCCAATCGGGTAAAAGTTCATTATTAGAACTGTTTTTACATGGTTCATATAGTGAATCATATTCTCCTACTATTCAGCCTCGATTATGTATAAAAGATATTGAATTAAGAGGAGGGAAACAATGTTATTTGATATTGGAAGAGTTGGGGGAATTAGAACCTGCTATACTTGAGAATAAAATGCGATTGGATCAATGTGATGTGATTTGTTATTGTTATGATTCATCTGATCCTGAATCATTTCAATATTTAGTGGAATTAAGAGAGAAATATGCTACTTTATTAAATACTATTCCATGTGTATTTGTGGCATTAAAGGCTGATTTGGATAAACAACAACAAAGATCAGATGTTCAACCGGAGAACTATACTCGAGATTTATATTTAAGTCCTCCAGTTCATATATCATCAGCATGGTCATCATCAGTTCATGAACTTTTTATTCAATTAGTTGATGCAGCAAAGTTTCCTAGTTCTGCCACACCTGGTTTGGAAAAGGAACCTGAAACGGCAGATTATGAAAACTTTAAACATATTTTCATGGCTGGTGGTGCTATAACAGTTATGACATTAGCATGTATGTGGATTTGGAGAAGTTCTATCCAAAGTTCGAAAGTGTAAATAGATATAGACTGCAAAATGTATAATATAGGCACGACACGACATTAACGGTTGACGACATTTTAGATGTCGCATGATTTTAAAGATTTTTTTTTTCTTTCATACATCTCATCACACAAATTTATTTTTATTTCAATTTGTTTATTACTGCTACTGCTTTAGTTGAAATAGATTACCAAATAAAGGAGATTAATAGAAGAGATGTCAACCGAAAAAGAATATAAACCAGTTACTGTGGATAAACTTATACCCAATACCTTTGATTTAGGTAATTTGGCTACATTTGATCCAAATCCATTAGATAATAGTAAATTAAATAATGATAATGAAAGAGAAGAATATTTAACTTCAGTTACAAGAGATAATGTTCAATTATTAATAAATCAAATATTATCCTTACCAGTGAAGACTACTACTGATAGTCAAGTTACATCTACTGGACAAAATAGTACTATGACATTAATACAATTACCTGAACCAACTACATTATTACCAAGAGAAAAATCAGTACCAAAGGCTAAGGCACCAACCAAATGGGAACAATTTGCTGCTAGAAAGGGTATTAAGGCTAAGGCTAAGGATGGTAAATTAATATATGATGAAGCTAGTGGAGAATGGGTTCCAAAATGGGGTTATAAAGGTAAGAATAAAGAACTTGATAGTCAATGGTTGGTTGAAGTTGAAGATAAAGTGAAGAATACTGATAAAGAATTAATAGATCCAAGAACTTTGAAACGTGCTGAAAGAAAGAAATTAGTTAAAAAGAATGAATTACAACATAAGAGAAATCTTAAAAATCAATCAACTTAGTTAGGTAGGTTGACTGAAATATATTTAATTTTGCATAGATAGTGTATATATACGATCCATTTTTTTAACCTTAAACGGGCAACCAACGATGTAGATCATATCATATCATATCATATCATACTGTGTAATCATAATACATTTTCTTGTCATATTTATAATGTTCATAATGGTTGCATTATGTTTTGACGATACTAAAATTACCATTTCCTGTATATAACTGGGGTGGTGCTCTCACCCTTTAACCATCAAAAAGAACAATGAACCCTTTTTAAGAACACATTCAACACTTGATAGATGATAGATTAATTATAGATTATTCAAGATATGACGGACGATTATAATCCTGACCAGTATCTACCAACCATAGATGTATGTGTGAACACTATAATTATACTATTCAATGGGAAATCTTTACTAACATTCATTATAAATAGGCTATTCTAAGTGTAGCAGATTTAGAACAGATAACGGTAAAACGAATTAGAAATGCATTACAAGAACTCTTTGGAGTAAACTTACAATCTCATAAAGTATGTATTAGTCAATCAGGTATGATATATTATGACATGGTTATACTAACAAATTCTTCATTTTAGAAAGAAATTAATGAGGTTATTCTAACTCAATATTATGATTTAATTAATAAACGAGAAGAAGAAGCCAAATCAGAAAAGGAAAGAAGAGCTGAAATCGAACGGAAAGATGCTATAATGGCAGCCAAACTACTGAGAGCAGAAATAAGTGGTCCTATAGTAAGATCAACTCGAAAAAGAGTTAGTGATAAACCTGTTAAAGAAGTTAAAAAGAGAAGAGTTAATAATGAAAATAATGTATTCATGAGAGAAATGTTACTTTCCCCTGATTTACAAGCCATTGTAGGATCAGCAAAGTTACCAAGACCTCATGTTGTCAAACATTTATGGGCTTATATTAAAGATAATGATATGCAAGATCCAAAAGATAAACGATTTATTATATGTGATGAAAAATTTCAAAAATTATTTAAAAAGAGTATGTATCTTGAGTTGTTTTTTTTTTTGTTTTTATTGATTTATAAGACTTTATACTAACTATAATTATAGAAAATGTCGGTGCTTTTGAAATGAACAAGTTACTTTCAGCGCATATCTTTAAACCAGATGAAGTTAATGGTGAATCTTCCAAAATAAAAGTTAAAAAGGAACTTCATTCGAAATCGAAAGAAGTCATTGATAGTGAAGAAGAAGATGATGATGAAGGAGATGATAACAACGGTGATGATGAAGAAGAAGAAGAAGAAGAAGAAAGTACTGAAGAGTAATCTCTCTTCTCCTACCCTCCCTTACCTTGAATTTAGATACTGTATTAATAGTGTAATATATGTAAATGTGATGTGAATAAATGTCCTGCATGTAAGGTTTGTTATGATTTTTATGAATTTGATCTGGTACTCCAAAAGGTTGTAATTATCCAACAGCAAGTGGTTTGATTACAGGATAGACCAAGATAGATAACATTCCAGTATACAGTTCAACCCCTCAAATGAAAAATTAGTAGGATGAGTAATGGAATTGATACAAGAAGTCTGTCTATAAAGACATCAACTTCATCAATCAATAATGCAGAAGTTGATGTCCAAAGGTTATATGAATCGATATTAAAAGTGATCATATTAGAGTATTCCAATGAAGTACGATTCAGAATGCCCATTTACAAACCAGCCACCGCAGTGGCTGATGTTTCATTACCTTCAAATCTATTAAGACATCTTAAATCAGAATTGAAATCAATTGCTTTAAATAAAAGCAAAACTAGTTATGATACCTTAACCAAGAACTCATTATTACGGTTCTATAGTGAGATCTCAGCTCCTGGTTTCCAAATCGATATGAAACCTCTGTCATTAGTAGGTAAATTTGCTCAATGTTCTACCAAAATCATCACCACCAGTAATATCACCGATAGTAAAGAAATCAATAAATTAGTATCATCTCAAACCATCACTTTCGTCAAGATTGTCATTGATTTATTAAAGAATGATAGGAATAAAGACGCCATCATAGCCAAGTTTGAAGAAAGTAAACGAATGCTTAATCCTCGTCAATCATGGCAAGTGGATGCTAGTGTCGAATATCTTGAACCATCTTATAATATAAATGATATGGATCCAAGTATGATCTTACTCCTTCATAAGTTATTCTCCCATACGGTTATGACCATACAGTTGGATATAAATCGATTGAAAGGATCTGTACTGTCTAAAGCTTATCATAAAGATATCTTATCAATCTTAAATAATGAAAATATGACAGTATCAAAATTCACTACGAATGAAGGGTATGAAAGATATAATGAAAATCTTAATAAAGAAGGTAATCGATTGATTGATAAATATAAGATCCCTGACAAGGCAAGATTAATACCATTACCAAAATTAACCCCTGGTGAAGAATTTTATTTTTTACCCCCTTCTTCCCAAACATTTGCATATTATATTAAATTGATCCGTCTAAGTTTAGACGTTTCCCAAGAAGAAGCTGAATCAAGGACACTCTTGTTTTCAACAGAGAATACGGCATTGTTAAGACTTATCCATACTTCTTGGCTTATAGATATACCGACAAGAGCAGTAGCATTATACACGGCGATGAATACATCGAATGAGAAATTAAATGATGAATATGTCTTTGATCTTGAAAATGGATTGAAGATATTTGATATAGTGAAGAAGATCTTACAAGAAGGACAACTTGATACCAATGATAGATCAAAATGGACCAGTCGTGATCAAAACGAATGGACAAAGAATTTGACCTTGACTTATAATAAAGTAGCATTATCGATTAAGAATTCGATTTTTGATATTTATGAAAAGGGTCAATCTAGTTGTATACCATATTTCCATTTCTTACATGAATTTATTGAAAATGATCCGTTATTTCCTAGAGTAGAAGCAACTGGATTAACCAAGAAATGGCATCAAAGATTGAATAATGCATTATTGAATTTATCTATAGCAAGATATAAATTCTTATTTAAGAAATTACCCAGAGATCGAAAATTAGAAATTAAAGATTTACAAAAGTTGATCAGAAAGATTCAAGATGATAGTGAAAATCTTTCTGGGAAATTTCCTACTTCATTGGTTGGTGATATCAACGTGGCGAAAATATCGACCGTTATAACACTTGCATTCTTTTCATATGATTCTCTTCGTGTATTAAAGAATGTTAGCCATTATGATACAGACATACTATATGAGTTATTATTTGATAAGCTCTCCATTTATAAAACAATGAAAGAAATGTTTACATTATTACAAAGAATAATTGGAGAGATTGATATCAAATTCTTGACAGATTATTTTAAAATCCAAATTGCCAAAGATAATAATAAAGCATATTTCCTTGAACTTTACAGATCACTTCAAAATCCATCGATTGTGATTGATCGGTTGGAATCGATCTTATTTCCTGTAGTGTCCGAGTATACAGAAGGTATGGACACTACAGTAAGAGATATCGTGTCCAGCTCTATTGAAATAGATGACTTTTTACCCGATAAAGACCAAAAATATAGTACATCTCCTAAAGATATCTTTAAATTCATAACTGATTTACGAAGTAATATAAATGAACTTGGATGGGTCAATAAAACACATAACGCTAGTTTTTATTCTTCATTCTTAAAAGCAGTTTCTAATGGTGCTTTGCAATATTCAGATACTATCATGAATAAAATATCAGATGATTTAGATAATCAAGATCATGATCAAAATTTCAAATTACGTCAAGAATTATGTGTGGCTTTGAATGATTTATCTAAAGTTATGGAATATCTTATTCTTCTCGATACAGGGAATACAATTGATTTATCTATTCTTAAATCAGAAGAGGATACTAATGCTCTCAAAAGCCATGTATTCACTATCAGAGTCATCAGAGCTGAGAATTTAATGCATTTAGATGCATCGGGTAAGAAATCAATTCTTAAATACCCTTATGTACAATTAACTGATATGGAATCAGCTAAAGTAGTTGGAAAAACAAGAGCTTGGGCCAGCACGTCAAATCCAGAATGGGATGAAGAATTCGAAGTCACCTTATTAGGAAATATGAGTTTAAAGCTTGCCTTAAGTGTTTGGGATGATAAATCGAAACAAGCAATCTTATGTGGAAGAGCTAATAAAGAAATTGATCCTCGAAAATTTACAGGTGATGGTACACCTCAAGAATTTCTGTTGGAAATCGGTACTCAAGGTACAGTTATAATTGAAGTATCGGTTGAAGATGAAACTGGTGATGCTATGTTTTTAATGGGTAAAGCAGTTAGATCATTAAAGAGGAGTGAAACTAGATCAGTGAAATTGATTGTCGATAAATTCTTAAACTCGATTCAAGAATGTATTTCAACTGTTAATTTAAATCTTGTTTGTGGTACAACTGGTAAGAAAGAACCTACTGAAGATGAAATGGAGTCAGTGTTGGAACCACTTAAACATTACTTCAATTCTAATTTAGAAGTATTGGCTCAAAATTTAACTAGTGAATCATTACGATTAATAATTGAAGCTACTTGGAACTTAGTAGTAGGATGTATTGATGAGTTAGTACTACCAAAGTTAACTAGTTCATTTTCACTTCAAGTTTTATTAAGAGGTTCAGCAACGTTAGGCTTACAAGGTACCATATCTTCCGCTATGGCTATGGCTTCATTAAGTAGAAATGGAAAATTGGTTACCAGAAATGAGTTAACCACCGTGTTTTATTGGCTTGAAAGTATGAAAGGATTCTTTGAAAGTGATGTAGTTGATGTGGCACTGAATGAAAAATATAAATCACTCTTGCTATTTCCCGAAATATTTTATAAGGATACTCATTCATTAATGCTGGAAATAGAAGGTATATCAGCAGAATCATTATATTATGATAATGATGGTCGTGATAATAATCTACATAGAACACCATCGGCCATTGGAAGAATATTTCGAAGTAGAACTATCGTGGCACATGCTACAAGATCAAATAGAAAGGAGGCAGCTACTTTATTAAAGAATTCTAAAAAGGATCCAAATTTCTTAAGAAAAACTAGAGAAGATATGATTTTAAGATTATTAATTGCTAGAAATGAAAAGAATTTCGTAGTCAGACGATTACAAGCTAGAGAAAAATCAGCTCAAAAAGCTGCTATAACGAATTTAGCTTTAATGATTACTCAAACAAATATTCATAAGTAAATTTAATAAACACAAAATTATACATTTTTTTAAAAAAATACTAAAAAACTAAAATTACATTTGATAATAATCCTATATAAAAAATTTTATCTATTTTTCAGTTATTGAAGAATCAGCTTGCTCTCCAACCAGGAAAGAAGTTTCATCATGATTAACTGTGGTTTCATCAGAAGTTGCATCGTTGGCGTCTTGTTGAATTGTAGTATCATTGTTCTCTATGACGGTGGCTTCAGCATCATTTACTTTAGCCTTAGAAGTCGAATCCAGTTCGACAACTTCAGCAGTTGTAGTTTCAGTGGTAGCTTCTGCTGCTACTGGTTTTTCTTCAGGTTTTTCGCTGGCAATTACAGGTTCAGGAGCTACTGAGAAATCTTTATAAGCTTTAATACCAGATTCAAATAATGCAGCGACTTTTTGATCTAATTTAGTAGCATCATCAGTTTCAGACAAGTTTCTCTTCCAACCAACTTCTTCATCATTAACAAAGTTCTTTAAAACATCAACCTTGTCAACAACTTTCTTTGCGTCTTCTGGTTTTTTATTGTAAACAGAATCAGCAACGAATTCATCATGAGTATTTGGATCAAAGAATAATCTGTAAGAATTTTCACATACTGAAACTTTAAGACCCGAATAAGATCTACCCACACATTGTTCTTCGTCGACACTTTCAATAAATGTTCTGGAAAATGGCATGTTGATCTTTGATGCTGGTACACCTTCAGTTGGGTGTGACATTATATAACTTGTGACATAATAATTGTATCTTTCTTCAGCATTCTCATGATCATTGATAGTTAAATCATCCAATCCAACAAATTGAATGTTTACACTACGGTCTGATTCCTTAAACACGATTTTAAACATGTGTTCATCACTTGCCATTAGTGATCTTACTTGCATACGATTTAAAATTTGATCTTTAGCAGTTGAAGTTGGATTAGTTCTGTCAGTTTCAAACAAAACCATGATTTCAGAAGTTTTTGAATCAGTTATCATAGTATGCATATGTTTAACCATAGCTTGAACCACTTTATCAACAGTATATAATTTATAGGCTTTATTTCTATAACCTTGACGTAAAGTTTCTTCAAACCATTGATGATCAAGTTCATTATCAATTAACTTTTCAGATAATTCTAACACTTGTTTATAACAATTCTTAGTACCAACAATTTCAATTCCCATATCTTCAAGTTGATGAGGAAGTAAATTCAAATCTTTAGCAAATTGAGGATGTTTTCTAGTTTTAATTTCTTTACTAACTGTATCATTCATTTTCTTAACATCTAATAATCTTTCATATAAAGTTCTTAAATGACGGAAAAACACATAAACAGTAGTATTACAGAAGAAATTATATTTATCACGTTTAGTTTCATTGGCACCATCTTCCTTTAAGGAAAATTTAGTATTGGCAGTTTTAATCCATAATTCACTTGATTTTTCAACTTCTTCTAAAGATTCATGTTCATCGTTATCTTGGACTTGAGGAGTTGGAGAATCAGCACGATCATCCTTTTTAGATTTAGATTGTTTCTTTAATACATTACGTAATAAATCTGATTCACGACCTCTCTTTTTAGAACTAACATTTTCATTAGTAGCCTCAACAGCATCAATTTTGGAAGGTTCATGAGTTTCTTCCGTTTCCTTTTCGGTCTTACCTCTTGAAGCTAAACCTTCTTCTACGGTTTCAGTAGAAATACCAAAGAATAATGAAATGAAAAATTGGAAAAATTGAGTTAATTTTTCTCTATCATTTGATGAATAATTAGATGAACGATTAATAAACACATCAGCTAATTTCAAAATATCAAAAAGGACTTCGATATCATCAAATGAATATTGTAATTGTTCTTGAGGCTTTGGAGTTAATGGATGTAATCTTTTATTTTGTTGTTCAACTTTAACAGTACTAATTTCACTAACCAATTGTTTAGCAGTTAATAATTTTTTATCAGCTTGTTTAAATGATAAACCTAAATGATCTAAAGATTTAAAGAAAACCTTTTGTTCCATTTCTCTCCAGACTTTATTCCATTCTCTTTGAGCTCTTTTCCATTCTTCATCTTTTTGCTTTAATCTTTTTAAAACAATTGGAACTGCAATAGATGGATTTTCATGTAAAGCATCAATAACTTCAAATCCTCTATCTCTATCATAAACTTTTCGAAGAACTTTTTTATAAATAGTTATAGAATTATGACCTAACCCAGGTGGTAATTTAAAATTAGCCTTTTGTTCTGGAGTCATATTAGCAATTCTATTAGCAATAGTTTCTAAAGTTTGAATAGTTCTTAAATTTGATTCCATATAATAATCAAATTCTAATCTTTCTTCTTCAATCTTGAAAAGAATATCTTCATATTGATTTTTACGATGCGCTATGAAACCAGAATCTTCTGATGCCCAAGTTGGATGTCCAACCCATTCATCATTTAAGACTTCCCAACACATTTCATCTCTACCTGAACATGGCATATAAGTTTCAGCTTTTGGTAATTGTCTATATGATGGACCATAGGCCTTACATAAAGATAATTCTAATTGATGTTTCTTAAAAGTAATATTTTCAATATGAAGCGGTTTTTCTTCAAATCCAACAAACATTTTAAACCAATTTAATAATTCAGGATGAGTATCACCAAAGAATCCATCAACTCTTTCAATTAAAGTATTTTTATCAATAATATCTTGAGAAAATAAATTCAAAATCTTTAAGAAATCATTATAAGTTTGTTTATTACCAATGGCCTTTTTAACTTTATCAAAGAATGAGATTTCTTCCAGAAGTGATGAAACACTAACATTAGCGGAAGGAGGTATTGGTTCTGGAATACCAGGAACCAAAGTTGGATTAACTGTAGCAGCAACAGATCCATTTTTAGTAGCCACTGGAGTCTTGGAAGATGCTTTTTGAGAAGTACCACGTACACCAGAAAGCTGAGCTTCTTCATTATAGTTATTTTCATAAGCATAACTTTCCGACACGGATTTCTTTTTCTTTATATCATTAACATCGGTATTAGTAACATGAGGTTCTGGACTACCACTTGAATGTTGATAATTAACTTGATTATATTGTTGAGCATTATTATAAGGACCTGCTGAAGTTGGAGCAGTAGTAGGTTGTTGGAAATTACCCACTGGAGGTAATTGTGAAGCACCACCATAAAATCCACCTTCTTGTCGTTGTTGCTGTTGTTGCTGAGTTTGTTGTTGTTGAAGTTGTTGATGTTGGAGTTGTTGTTGTTGAGCTTGTTGTTGCTGTTGATAAGATTGACTGCTGGTATCAGGTAAGAATTGCTTGAAATCATCTAATAAATCAGGAGAATTGGCAAATAACACAGTGACTTGTTCATAAACTTCACTTATAGGTTTTTGTTCTCTTTGATAAGTTTGAAGAATTTCCAAAAATTGTTTATAGATATCTGGTTGATTAGCAAATCTTGTTTTAATTTTATTGACATATGAAATAGCATGATTAAATTCAATTTGTCCACCACCTTGACCTTGCTCTTCTTGTAACAATTGTGGTTCTTGTTGATAATGAGCTTGTACTTGTAATTGTTGTTGTTGTTGTTGATGTTGATTGGGTGCATCTGAACCCCACAATTGAGAATTATCCATGTTTGGTCTTGTAGTAGTACCAGTTGGAGTGGTAACTCTAATTGGATTTGGATCAGAAGGATCTAAAGAACATTCAATTCTATAACCTGGAGGTAAGAAAGTATTGAAACCTTGAATTAAATTTGGATGACCTCTAAATAAATTTGAAACACGATCAATTACCCCTGGAGTATCAATACTTTGAGATTTGAAATCTTTCATAATATCTAAGAATTTATTATAAACTTCAGCTTGATTATAAAATTGGATTTTAACTTGATCTAAATAAGATAAAGCATCCTTAACATTCAAAGGTCTATAGACATTAGTAGTGGTTGAACGATTTGGAATTCCGGCAATAGATTGAACATCTGGAACTGCCGTACCAGTGACTTGAGCTATAGTTGAAGGAGGAGGTAATTGATTTGATTGATTAGTAGTTGATGTGGTAGCTACGGTATTAGCCGATGTAGGTACTGAATTTATATTAACAATAGAAGGTCTTCTCAATTCTTGATTTTGTCTATTTGGATCATTTTGAATTTGATTGATTTGATTATTATCACCAGTGGAATTAATGGATGGGATACTGAACCCATGACCTGGTTGAGGATGATTTCCTCCATTTCCTAAACTGGCTAAACTTGGTAAAGGGTAGAAATTTTGATTACCACCTATAATGAAAGTGTTAGTATACAAGGTTGAATCCATCGATAATGAGATAAAGGGATACTTACCCGTCTCTAAAGTTGCTGGAGGGGGCAAAACAGGTGGATGTTGACGACTAAAAGGTTGATTGATGTTAGTAAATTGATGTTGTGAAATATAGGTGTAAGCCTATCAAAAAAAGGGATGGAGGAGATGAAGAAATCTAAAATGAATCAATCTCCGATAAACCAAAGATACATACTTGAAAGGTTGACCTAATGGACGCTGTTGGCTATTCCAAGGGTCTTGTTGATTCGCCATTATTGATTAATGATGCAACTGATTTAAAGATTAATACCTTTTCCACTAGTTAAAAACTTCCCACAAATTGAAAAATAACAAAAAAAAAACAAAGATTATCAAAGATGATATGAAATCCTTGATAAGTAGTAGTAGTAATACAGGATTCACTTGATATTGATTCAATCAAGATAGATTCAATGTAGTGATGAAATAAGTGGAAGTGAATAATCAAGTTTAATATGGACAGTGGCAGTAAATTCTGATTGTACTTCCAATCAAAGCCAGAAAAACATAAATCCCATTTCGTTACGGTTAATTGAAAGTGAACTGGCCGGGTAACTTTATATATACAGGACGTGCCATTTCCCCCCTCCGACCGTGTTACCCGCCCGCATTTAGATCACATGACTGATTTGTTTTCTCATTTTGAACCAACCAACCTCAAACTGACAGTCAAAAAATTTACTGCCAATTCAGAAATGGATGGTGTATGATAGGTATTTAAACTGTAATAGCATCATCTAATCTATCATAAATCCATATCACAATGAATGCTCCAGATAGATTTGAGTTATTCATTTTACCTGATGGGGTTGAAAAGTAAGTATTTCCATCAAACTTTGATTGATTAATCTGATTGACAATCGTTTTGGTTGACAAATCAAAAAAAGACCAACCAATCGGTTGGTTACATTATTTGATTAATCAATAAATCAATAAGTATATGGATTAGAACTAACAATCAATCTAGGATAAAAATCATCCCAGATACTAAGGTCCCCAACGCAGCTATTGTTAAAATTGAAAGAGAAGATCATACTTTAGCTAATTTATTAAGAGCTCAATTATTAAAAGATAATAAAGTCTTATTCGCAGCTTATAAAGTTGAACATCCATTATTTGCCAATTTCGTATTAAGAGTTCAAACTGAAGATGATTATAGTCCAAAGAAAGCTTTAATGAGAGCTTGTTCTGCTATCATTAGTGAATTAGATGAAATTAAAGATAAATTCAGAAAAGAATGGCAAATTCAAAGTTTGGCTGTTGAAGATGAATATTAATTCATCCATCCTTCAAACTTAAATCACATCAAATCAATACATTCAGTTCATCTCATTCATAATGTCCCTTAAAATCATTATATTGTATTATAGTATATATCACTTTCATCAGTGTGTGTTTAATGGTATCCGTTTTCCCTTTTTTTAGACTTTTTATAATTTTTTTTCATGATGTTTTTTTTAGAACAAAAAAACTCCTTCTTACTACTACCAATTATGTATAATAGTATACTTCTTGTATTATAGATCAAACCCTCATACACTCCTCTCTCTCTGTGTGTGTATGTGTGTGTGTTAATTACTAACCTTAATAAAAGTTGAAAATTAAAAAATAATTAATAAATTTACGGTGCGGGAGGAAAGCGTAGATAAATAATGTACATTTATAACAATTATGAAAAGGGGGTAATAATAATAATAATACTAAAGAGAATAAGAATAAGAAATGATAAGAATAAAGGATAAGGAGGTCTTTTTTTAAAATGGGAAGTAAAAACGATAAAAATAGATTGAAATGATAATGATAAATCATAAATGACAATATGAAAAAGAGAAGAGATAAGTTCATGAATATTCTTTCTATTATGGTGGTTGTATTATTTTAATTCAAAATCAAATCAAATCTCTTCTGGAGTTAAAATAAAATGCAAGATATTTAAAGTATAATGCTGGTATGAGTTGAATAAGATGGATGCATAGTTACTAATTAAATAAAAAATGTTATTATTAGATTATTATTTTCATACATCATCTTTAAGTGCCTTCTTTTTAATGGCTTCTTTAATAATTGAAATCTTTTCTAAACAATCAGGTACTTCAATAGTTGGGAAATTACCTTCTTTTAAAATTAATATTAATGGATGAGTTTGAGTAACTCTATTTGGTGAAATATGAGTTATTGCTAATCCTGACTTTGATACACAAATCTTATGATGATCTTTAAAATTAAATTGGAAATTACCATTGGTCATTTCAAACATTATAAATTCTGATGTTCTAGTATAACGTCTTAAAAATACTGTTTCTTTTCTTTCTTCATTTTCACTAACTTTTGAAAGATTACTATTCATATATTTTGCAAAAAAATCAACAATTTCTAATTGTCTTTTAGCTTGTGATGGTGGATGACTTGTTGAATTTTCAATACATGACCAACCTTCATTTTCATGATAAATTAATTCTAAAAATCTATCAGAATTATGAAGTTTTAAAAATGTATTATCATCATTAAATAATACTCCAATATCATCATTATTTAATTGATATGAAAATCCATATTTATTTGAATAATCAACCCATTTACTTATAAGAGTTGGATTTTCACATCTTGGTAATTCTAAAGTATCAATTGATTCATGAACTGAATATTCTAATCTTCTCATATTTTGATAAGTTTCAAAACAAATTTGATTAAGATGTTTTATAGAAGTTGAATAAAGACTATTAAAATTAACTTTTCTTGGTTTACCTAATTGATTTGGATCAACTTCTTGATATTTATTTTTAGTATCATTTGGTGATAATGATTGTGGTAACATTGATTTTGGTTGTTCAGAATGTAAATCAGATCTTAAAATTTCAACTGGATTTTTATTCTTTGGAGTATAAATTCCAGCATTTGCTTTTGTGTTAGTGAAATTGACAGCTGATTCTTGTTTTGGAATATTTTGAAGTCCAATTGGAGTAGTATGTAAACTTAATTCATGAGTTTTATCAGGGAAAGGACCTTTAAACCATTCATAATTTAAAATATCATTTATGGTTGGTCTATTTAAAGGATTTAAACTTAATAAATCTTTAATTAAATCTTTAGCTGAATCACTTATAACTTTATCTTCTGGGAAATAATATTCAGTCTTTTTAATTCTTTCATAAATAACTTGAACATCTTTAGCTTGAAATGGAGGTTTACCAATTAATAAAGCATACATCATAATACCAATAGCCCAAATATCAACTTCAAAACTATGACCAGTATTTTTACCACCTAAAACTTCAGGTGCAATATAATTTGGAGTACCACAAATAGTATATTTTCTTGAATCAGTTGAAGGTAAAACTGAAGCTAGACCAAAATCACCAATTTTAAGATTCATTTCTGGATCAAAAAAGATATTACCTAATTTTAAATCTCTATGAATAACTCTTCTTGAATGTAAATATTTAATAGCTCCAACAATTTGAACCATAAAGAATCTAACTTCAGGTTCAGAAATTCTTTTTCTAGTTTTTAATAATTCCATTAATGATTGATTTGGACAAATCTCTAATAATATATAAACATTAATATCATCTTCAAAACAATCTATAAAATTAACAATATTAGCATGTTTTAAAGATTTATGAATTTTAATTTCAGATAATAATTTAGTCTTTGTCTTTTCATTTTTAATAGAAGCTTTGGCAACTGTTTTAGCAGCATAAATTTGACCTGAATCATCTTTCATTTGGAAACATCTTGCAAATCCACCTTCACCAAGGAAATTTCCACGGCGGTAATCTCTACCAGTTCTAGTTCTAACGATAGATGGAGGAGTTTTACATAATGCTGATAATTTTTCCTTTTTCTTCTTTGGTTTAGCGGCTTCTGCACCTTGTTGATGTTGTGATGGTTGTTGTTGTTGTTGATGAGGTTGGGGTACATCTTTTGTACGTCTGATGGGTTTTATGGGGGTTATATTATTGGCCCTTACATTCAATTGATCATTGTTTAAAGGTTGTAAAGGTTGAGTACGCACACTGGACATGACTATGATGATGATAAGATACTATGAAGGGAAGGAACTATGATGTAGTTGGAAGAAGAAAGCAGTTGTAAGTTGAAATTTTTTTGAAATCTTAAACTTAAATCGTCGGCTAAATTCAATTTTTCTGTATACCAAAAATTAGCAGCTTCTCGAAATTTTTCGTTTTGAGGGTGATAATGATGAGCTATTCTAACTGCTTCAATACCAGCTTGATCTTCTAATTTAATGGCCAATTAGTACAAGAGAAGAGAAGGATGTCAAGAAGTCAAAGCAAAATCAAAAAGTAAACTATATTGATTTGAATAGACCAGAACTTACAACATATATAAAGATTTTACCAACTCAGCTTAACTCAGACAAAGATCAATATTTTCAAAATTACTGTTTTGGGATCAGTCTGTGTTTTTTTCATCAGTTTATGACTAGACATCCTCTATGAAAACTATTTAGTGTATGTAAACTATTATGGAAAATGTCTTATTTATTTATTATTGTTTTTAATTTGCCTAATTGGGATGATTCCTAAACAAAAAGCAACAACAAATGTCGCACAACTAAAAATGTCTTTCTTCTTTATTTGGGTGCTAAACGGATAAATGTCGCATATCTTCAAGTCACGTGAATTTCATTAAAAAAAGAAATTCTGTTATATGCAGGTGAGTATTTTCAATTTGACCTAATTGGGATAAATGTCAATTTTTCAATTATAGATAATCAGTTCTCTCCCCTTCAGTTATATGTCTTTGATTTACAAATGCTTCTAATTATTGACGTAAAAAGATTAGTTGTTACATATTTTTGTTTATGGTTGGTCAGTTTTAAGTAACAATTTCACTTATTTATCGTCATCATCTTATGAAACATATATTATTCACAACTAAATTACCTAATTGGGAATTGTTATTATTTGGATATTTCAATTACCTTACCCTTTACTTGTTTGATTTGAAAATTGGTCTTGGATCAGGTCCAGGAACTCTTATCAACCCTGATCCTATCAATCCCTCCTTTCATATTTAATTACTAAATTAATTGACTTAATTATTAATAGTACAGAATTTATATAAGACTTATGATCTATATATAATACAAATGATAAAAGTACTCCTATAGTACTTCATTCTAATTCAAATATCCTTTACAACCAGGAGCTCCACAAAGACATCTAATACGTTCAGCATCATTGGTCTCTCTCTCAAACTTATAATCATAAGTTAATTCTTCATTAGCTTCAATATCTCTTAATGCATAAATAACAATTCTTTTACTACCTTCAACCTTAATAATCTTGGCTGTACAACTTGGACTACAACAATGATTAATGAATCGAGCAATTCCTCCCTTTTTAGTGGCATCTATAACGGTATTCTCATCAATTCTAAATAAATATGACGATCCAATCCCTGTCTTTAAATAACTCTTTTCTCTATTCTCGGCAACTTGTTGTCTAATACTCTCCCCAACATATTCAATAATCATTTCTTTAGCTGCAATCGGTTCCAAAGCATATAATCCCCAATTATGAATAGCAGATCTTGCAAAAGAAACTGGCTTCTTTCTCTTGGTTAACGCATTCAAACTTAACACTTCTGTTTCGTTACCTAATTGAGCAGTGATATCAGCAGCAAATCTTCTATTATTGGCACGATTCACACGAGAACTTTGAATGGCATTATTATTGTTGTTATTGGCTGAACTGTTGTTGTTGTTATTATTATTATTGTTATTAGTGTTAGCATTTCCACCATTAGTATTCACATTATTGTTGACATTACCATTATTAACATTATCGCTATTTTTATTAGTATTGTTATTATTGTTGTTATTATTAAAATCATCATCATAATCATCTTCATGAAGAATGGTCTTTAATGGTTGATTCAATTTTCTACGATGAGGTAAATATTCAGCCTTATCTTCATCAGCAATCTTTTTAAATCCTTCACTCTTGAAACTACCACTCTTAGATTCAAATTTAGAATCTAATTTTTCAATATCAATCTCTCCCAATACTTCATTAGAAGATCTCTTTAAATCTTGTTCCTTCCAAGCCCAATAATCAATGTTATTAAAAGAGAAATTATTGCTCTTCTCATCAACATCGGCTAATACTTCCTTGGCATATTTTAAATCTTCATCATCTTTGATAAATTGCTGTAAAACTTCTAAATCAAATGGTTCTTTAGATGAATATGGATATTCTTCATAAACTGTAACTGGACCAACTTCTGTTGGATGGTATTTGAATTCAACATTGGTATAATCTTCTTCTTGAGTAATGTCCATTTTTTCGTCTTTAACTTCATCCTTGACATCCACTTCCACTTCTTCTTTAACCTCTTGTAATGATACTTCTTCCTCCTCTTCGTCTTCTTCTTCTGACGATGATGAATCATAAAATGCTAATGCAGCAGTCTTGGCTTTCTTCTTTGTACCTTCTTCGTTATCATCACTAATGACAGTATCCTCTGTTAAACTTCTTTCTCTCTTCAAACTACGAGCAACTGGAGTTAAAGATCTACTTAAATCATCTTCAATTTCATCTTCATCATCTGAATCATGATCGAAATTAAGAGCATGTTGCATAGGAATTAAACTATTCTTCTTACCTGGTTTGGATTGTGATAATCTTCTTCCACCACCTTCTTCTTTCTTCTTGAAAGATGGAAGTGATTGATGGTGTTGTTGAGATTGTTGTTCTGTTCTCTTTTTAGTTAATAATGTAAGAGCATCCTTTTTCAATTGGGAATTTAAATTGATTGGCTCTGGAATAACTTTCTTAGATTGAAGTTCTTTAGATTTTAATTCTTCCATTAGTTTTGGATATTTATCATGATTTAATAAATCTAAAATAGCAGGAGCTATAATTCTTTCTCGAATATCCTTGGATAAAAAACTTTGGAACTCTTTAACTAACATATTGGTAGCTTCATCTATAACATCATTTTGTTTAGTAGCAGATTCAAAGAAATCCTCGTCGTCGGATTCATTCTTATTAATATCATAACCTTCAGGAACAGAAAGTTCCATAAACAAATTATATTCAAAATATTTTCTACCATCTTCATTAACGAAACATCTTTCACATTCCTTCAATGAATTAAATACAATATAAAAACCTGTTCTATCAGATAAAACTCTGGTCCAATCATATTTGCTAAGCACTCGTTTAATATCCAGTGATGAAACCTTTTTAGTTGACACAAACTTATCAGGAATTAAAATATAAGGTCTATCTTTAACGTATTTCTTTAAGTCTTTAGGTAAGAAGATGCCTTCAACGACTCTATGATGATGACGAATGGAAAGGGTGGTTGTGGAAGGCTTGAATTTGGTGATTGATAATGATTCAGCGGCACTTTTTGCATTTGTTGACTTGTTTGAATCACTTGCCGCCATTTCAGCAGCAGCGGCAGCATCAGCTTTCTCTTTCTCTTTCTTAGCTTGTTCTTCTTTTTTCTTTAATAATTCTGCTTTCTTAAGCATCTCTTGTTGTTCATTTTGACGTTTGATTCTTTCTTCTCTTCCTAATTTTATTTTTAATGATTTTAATTTATCACTGGCAGTCTTCACTCTTTTATTTAATAAAGTTCCATCATGATCATTCAATCCAATGTTTAAACTTTCACCATCAATCTTAATACGATCAGTGGCAACTTTTTTGATGAGCGTTTTAGCCAAACGCTGAGATTTTTCAGGATTACCTTGAAATTTAAATGTAGCAACTCCTAAAGGAACTGCGAATTCAGGATCATTTATGAATTTAACTTCTTTTATAGGGTCTCCAAACCCTTTGATAAAATTTGAAAGATAGACTTCAGTAATAGATGATGGTAAATCCCATACTACTAATTCAGTTTGTGGGGCTGGACCTAAAGAATCTTTATCAAATATAAATTTAGGTTGAGGTAAATGTTTATAAGGGAATTTTTTGGATTTCTTATTTGGTTTTTGGAAATATTGGACAATGTTGGATAATCTTGGATCATTCAATTCATTATCATTAACTGATTCACCATTAAATCTTGTCTTCTTCGAACGCGTTTTCTTTTCTTCCTTTGTAGTTAAGGATTTATCAAATTCAGGATCATATATCACTTTATAATTCTTTCTTGGATCAGAATCACTATGAAATTTGATTTTACGAGTGAAATCAACATGATGCAGTAATCTAGCAAAGTCCGAATCCTTATCATTCTTACCAGTCTTTGGATCTGAGCCTCTACTGACATCAGCATTGACACTTTCAGCTCGACTAGAATTAGGCAAAGGTGAATTGACTTCAGAATTTAATCCTTTTGGTCCTGTTGGAGGTTTCGAGATTGGAGTAGTTGATTCAGATTCAACCAGTGAATTTGACGGCACATATCGATTATCATTGTTAGATTGATAATGATGATGGCTTCTACTACCACCACCATTCTGATATCCACTTCCTCCATTGCTACCACCATACTGGTAATCTGATCCATTCCCTTGTCTATTATAACCACCTCGTTTATACGTATCTCGATACCCATTGTTGTATCCCCGATACCCATAGTTATTATTGTATGACATGATGATGATAGATAGATATGACAGATAATATTTTTGAGGGGGATAGCCTGAAACTGAATACAACGAGCTAACTTCCTCTAAATAATCCTAATCTGGTATCTTCTAGTCTATATATACACTTAACCAGTGATTCCTTTGTACGAACCCCCCGTTATATATCAAGATCAAGTTATGGTTGTAAATAATCCTGTTGCACGTATCTTCTGAGGATTTTTAGAAGCGTTAAAAAAAATAAAAATATTCAAAATAGTCTCACACGCACAAAACTGAAAAAAAATTGGAGTGGTCGTGTGGTGATACCAAATATCAGAAGGAAGTATAACTACAAAGGGGATGATAGTGTATAAGATTGATTCGTTGAATTAAAGTAAGTAATTGTTTTACAAATAATAATAATAATAAGAATAGTTATTTAAAATAGGATACGGAGAATTAGAATTAACATTAATTTTTTAAACTATAGTGAGTGAAACAAGGGGAAAATGGGTAGAGATTTCTAAGCTCTAATCTTTTCTTCAGTGATTTCAGCTTCTTGGACAAAGGCTTTGATGTTTTCTTCACCAAATCTTTCCATTAATTTACCAGCATTAAACACATCAACTTCGGTAGATTTGAATTTTCTGGCTTTGATACCTTCTTCGAATAATAAATCCAATTCAGCAAAGGTTCTACCTTTAGTTTCTGGTAAATCAAAGTAACACCAGATAGCAGCAGTAATGGAGAATCCAGCCCAGAAGAAACCAGTCTTAGCTTTCCAATTCCATTGAGTTGGGTTTAACATATATGGAGTAACAATACCAACAATAATGTTAGAAACATTATATAAGTTTCTAGCAAGCATAACAGTCTTGGTTCTTAATCTTGAATTTGGAATTTCGGCCACAATACAGTAACACATTGGACCAACAGTTAAATCATAAACAAAGGTATAGATTAAAAGTAATGAACCAACACCCCATTTGGCACTAGTTGAAGAAGAACAACCTAAACCACCAACAATGATTAACACAATGGATTGGAAACATAAACCAAAGAAATACATATTAAATCTACCAACTTTTTTAGAAACAAACCATGAACCAACAGTACCGATAATACCAATGATATATTGAATAATGGAGAAAGTAAATGACATACTAGTAGATAAACCAGCTTGAATGTAGAAATAAGTTGAATAACCCATTAAGGTTGAACCAGTACAAGATTGGAACATCCAAGTGAAAGCAGCAATTCTAGTTCTTCTAAAATTGGAACCTCTGAAACAATCACGGAAAGTAATACCAGTTGAAACAGCTTCTTCTTCTTTAACAGTCATTTGGATCTTTTTTAACATAGCAGTAGCTAAAACTTCTTTATCAGGTAAATGAGAATTTTCAGTCAATAATCTTTTAAGAGATTGTTTTGCTTCAGCATCTCTACCCTTTTTAACTAAATACCATGGAGATTCAGGAGCAAAGAAAACACCAATGAAGATTGGAATTGGCCAAATCCATTGAATAGCAAATGGAATACGATAAGCATTTGGACTTTTTGAACCAGTCATAGCTTTCAAAATACCTGAAGAAAGTAATTGCCCAAACACCCAACAAAGATTAACATATGTCGTTAAATAAACACGCAAGGTTGTCGGAGCCACTTCCGAAGCATAAGTAACAGTTAAAGTTTGATAACTACCCCAATTAATACCTAATAAGACATAAGCTAATAATAAAACTTCTCTATTTGGAGAAAAGAATTGAAGGAAAATTAAAGCAACAGAAGTAGCCAAAGCACTCATCATAGTTTTTCTATAACCAATAACATCAGCAACATAACCAGCAATAGCAAGACCAACGATACAACCACAATTATAACCCATATTAAGACCAGTTTGCCATCTTGCAGGAACTTGATATTCACCTAATTCAGGGTAATAATTACCGAACTTTTTATTAAAAGCAGGGAAACCAAAGAAAGAATTTAATAAATTTGTGTCATAACCTTCCATAATTAAAGCAGAAGAAAGAATAAGAGACCACATGACAGCTTTTGGGAAAGTTTTAATACCTTCTCTTAATTTCATAGTTTTTTCTTTATGATCATTATCTTTAGCTTCATTTGACATATCTAAAAATTTAGAAACATAATCATCAACAGCATAAGAATTAAGTGATGAAGAATCAGTACCTTTCTTACCTAAAGGTTCGATCTGAACCTTTTCATTAGGATTCTTTACGTCTTCAACGTATTGAGCCGACATTTTTAAGTTTTTGCTAAGTTTAGTTTATATCTATATCAATATACCTGATATTATTATGGATACAATACAGATCTATGATTTGTAATAAGTCTCTCGCTAAGATACAAGAGAGATATGGAAAACAATAAGACTTGATTTATAAAAAAAATCCAAACTGATAAGATTTGATGATGAACAAAGGAAATATTTCGAGGTTTATATAATGATATTGAAACAAGGAAGGAAAGAATGAATCTTAAAAAAAAAAGTACGAATTATACGGGTATCAGATATTAAACCTGGTATTTGGAAAATGAAATGAGGAGGTATATGGAGTAAAACAATTTAGGCAATAATTAAAAAGAAAAAAAACGTACTCCATATTATTATTCTGCAATATTTTTTAAGTTTAATTAAGAAGAGTACCTTATAGTAGACCCAACTGCATCATACATCATAGTTGACATTATAAATGGAGTCTACAACCACGTCTGGAAATGTGTTAAATGGCTCTTAAAAAACGACACTATATGCTGAAAAAAAAATAGTTAAAAATAAAACAACATTAAAAAAAAAAAAAAAAAGAAATTAAAAAATTTTGACCCCGCGTTTAAGCTTAAAAAATAATTTTGATTTTGGATTTTAAGCACAAAATTTAAATCTTTGCGTATTTTTGAACAAAGAGCAGTTCTCCACTATGATGAGTGATAGAAGATGGGGATCAAAAATAACAGGAACAGATAGATCTTTTAAGGTGTTCGAGAGATTGAGATGGGGGAGAGACAGAGATTTACCCCAAAGATAAGGAGAAAAAGGCAACCTTCAAAATAAAAAAGAAACTAATCATGGATATCTGACTTGAGTTGTTTCATTCTACGTTGCTTCAGATCAGCCTAAATTAGGAAAACTCCAGCGCAAGCAACAAAATTGAATCTACATCTAAAAAGTTATTTAACAATCATTCTTGTAATGTAATGTAATAATAATATTTCTTAACTTGTTGTTGTGGTTGTTGCCCACTTTGGTTTGTGATTGTTTCGTCTGTCCTTCTCCAGAACACCCACATTATGAGTGCATCCCCCTCATTTAGTCATTCTGCGCTAAGTTTTAGGGAAAGCAAAGAATTTATTTTTGTCAGTAAAAATCAAAACTTGAATTTTGCGAGGTTCCGCCGCATTATTTCAAAAGAGGGGCGGAAAATTATGCAAAATATGAAATTTATGTACAAAATGGAAACAACCACATAAAAATATTTTTAAGTTTTGAAGTGTAATAATTATAGTTTTAAGGATTGAATGGGGCGGTTATTCTAGGTGGTTTTTAATCATACCAGATGCATGTAGAGTATAATAGAATAGAGAAGAGAAGAATTTTTAAATTTGGGTGAGTCGACGTTTATACTAGCCTCAACCAGTGTAATTTGGTGGGTTAAGCGATAACGGAGGAATTAATCGATACGGCGATGGAAAGTTGAGGTGAACTTTTTCAATTAGAAATAGATCTACTGTTTGAATATCTCTAAGTTTGTGAGAGGTTACGAAAACTTGAGTTGGTTAAGCTATGGTATAGAAATTTGATTTACCCCAATCCTGGAGCTGTTTGGTGTATAGAATAGCCTCGTTTAGAAGCCTCGTTACGGAGGAATATAACAAGAAATTCTCATGGCATGTTTGTAGTTACTAAAGTAACACGACAAATAAAATAGAATGTATTATCCAAAATTAAAGGATATGACGGAAAGATAAGTGAAGTGAACAAATGTCAACATAATTAGACAGATAGATATATTCATTCTTACTTTCTTTCTTTCTTTATTCCCCCAACAGGAACTAAAATCCAATCGATGATCGAAAGAAAGAAATAAAAACTGTTTCTTTGATCTTTAAATTTTAACTTTAAAGTTTTTAATTATTCCAGAGGGACAAAACCTATTTGTAACGAAATATATTAATACTTAGTTTTATTAGCAATGTTAGGCGATATCTAAATAGTTTGAATAACCAACCTAGTAAGTAAATAGACATCTAATTAAACGAAACACTATAGTATAATAACGATATAATTAGACATCAAACCGTATATCACACCATCATATCGAGGCATTTGTTATGAACAAGAATATGAAAAACTGAAACTCATACTACGGCAACGCTTCTTTACATTTTCGAGTAAATATTATTTTTTGCAATTTGTCAAGTGGGGTAGAGTAAACCATAATGTATTAATATTATTATTTTTGGGTTATGGGGCTTCTTGCTGTTAAAAAAGTGACCTGTCCCACTGTATACTCGTCTTTAATTGCTATATAATTTTTTAATTTCTATTTCTTTTATTGATGGATGAGGGTCAACAAATTTGTTGAATTGTTGTCGTCGAGATAACTAAAGTTTCTTTTTTTGATTTCCTTTGTCCTTTATTTGGAGTTGGGTTGTCAAAATTAATTTAATCGATGGGGGTAGATAATATTACCCATACTCCTTTTTGTAATTCGAAATAAACTTTTCATCATTAAGTGGTAAATTTTTCCGAATGTAGAAATTGGGTTTAAACTTTACACAAATATGATAGTTATTGCGAGGCTATATTTCCGAATTCTTTGCGAAGACCCTCCTCCAACTTTGCGAACTAGATTAATGACAACGAAAAGGAATTTAGTGACAATAGTGGCTGATATGTGATTTCCCATTGTCCTCTGTTGTCCTCGAAGATTTGCTCTTAATGCCCTAAATCTTTTAAACTTTGCGATATTGCGGTACGTCTATACCCGCCAAAAATATACTGTCCCACTTCTGTATGTCATCCATCCCATTGCACGGTATTTTTTGATTTAACTTGTTTTGGTCTTGTCTCGTCTGTCGTCTTGCTTGTATCAATTAGGCTTAGAATACATACACTTTTGTATCTTCCCGACGTATACGTCTACTTGTCTTTGAAGTTACGGTATGAGTTAAAAATAACCGTACCTGTTGCTGCACCCCAATTTAAGCAATTTTCCTCGAACCTCTTCCTACTCCACAAATCGGAAATTTTCATGGAAAGATGAGTTTTTCGATTTTCCTTCAGTTTATACCTTTATTTCAAATTTCTAGTTTCGGACTAATAATCTCTGCCAAATATCTTGAAGCTATGGAAAGTCCGCCGCTTCGACTTCTGTCTCTGTCCCTCCAAATCTCCATCTCTAACTCTCACTCTCACTCTCAGTATTAGGTTAAATCTTGATCTATGTCCCCCAACTTTATAAAATGCCCTCTGGTTGCATTTACCTTCACCGATAATTATCCCCAGTTTATAACTCAAATATCATCTGTGGAGGATTGTATATGAAATTTTTCAAACTATAAATTGAATTAAATCTCCAATATTATAACTTCATTTCTGATATTTTTATCTAAACTAAATTAAACTAAGTTACATATATAACATTTTCTTATTTAAATTTATCAAAAAATGACAATTTCTTATACTTGGTGGAAAGATGCCACCATTTATCAAATCTGGCCTGCTTCTTATAAAGATTCCAATGGTGATGGTATTGGGGATATTCAAGGGATCATCTCTACTTTAGATTATCTTAAAGATTTAGGAGTTGATATTATTTGGTTAAGTCCAATGTATGATTCTCCTCAAGATGATATGGGATATGATATTAGTGATTATGAATCTGTTTATCCAAAATATGGTACTTTAGATGATATGCAAACTTTAATTGATGGTTTACATTCTAGAGGTATGAGATTAGTATTAGATTTAGTTATTAATCATACTTCAAGTGAACATGCTTGGTTTAAAGAATCAAGAAGTTCTAAAACTAATCCAAAGAGAGATTGGTATGTTTGGAAACCACCAAAGATTGATGAACATGGTAATAAACAACCACCAAATAATTGGGGATCTCATTTCTCCGGTTCAGCTTGGAAATATGATGAATTAACTGAAGAATATTATTTAAGATTATTTGCTCCAACTCAACCTGATTTAAATTGGGAAAATCCAAAAGTTAGAGATGCTCTTTATGATTCAGCTTTAAAATTCTGGTTTGATAGAGGTGTTGATGGTTTTAGAATTGATACTGCTGGTTTATATTCTAAAGATCAAAGATTTCAAGATGTTCCTGTTATTTTCCCTGATAAGACTTACCAACCATCTGATTTATATACTCAAACTGGTCCTAGAATTCATGAATTCCACAAGGAAATGTATTCTAAAGTTACTTCCAATTATGATGTTATGACTGTTGGTGAAGTTGGTCATTGTTCAAGAGAAGCAGCATTAAAATATGTTAGTGCTAAAGAAGGTGAAATGAATATGATTTTCTTATTTAATGTGGTTGAAGTTGGATCAGTTAGAGGTGATAGATTTAAATATAATGGTTTCAATTTAATTGATTTCAAAAAAGCGGTGGAAAGTCAAGGTGCTTTTATTGAAGGTACTGATGCTTGGTCAACTGTTTTCATTGAAAATCATGATCAACCAAGATCTGTTACAAGATTTGGTAATGGTAAATATAAAGATACATCAGCTAAATTAATTTCATTATTACAAACTACTCTTACTGGTACTTTATTCATTTACCAAGGTCAAGAAATCGCTATGACAAATCTTCCAAGATCATGGTCTATTGAAGAATATAAAGATATTAATACCGTCAATTATTATCATGAATTCAAAGAAAAATATGGTAAAGATGCAGACTTTGCTGAAAAGGAAAAGAAATTAATGGATGTGATTAATCTTGTGGCCAGAGATCATTCCAGATCTCCTGTTCAATGGGATAGCTCTGCTTATGGTGGTTTCTCAACTGTTGAACCTTGGAGTAGAGTTAATGATAACTATAAAGAAATCAATGTTGCTTCCCAAATTGAAGATTCCAATTCCGTATTAAACTTCTGGAGAAAATCATTAAAAGTTAGAAAACAATTCAAAGATTTATTAATCTATGGATCATTCAAAGTTTTAGATTATGAAAATGAAAAGACTTTCACTTACTTAAAGTATCAATCTGATCCAGAATCTTCATCACCAAAAGCTTATGTTGTGTTAAATTTCTCCACTGATCCAGTTAAATTTGAAAAACATATCGAAGGTGAGTTCAAATTGGTTCATTCCAATGTTTCTGATGTTGATGAAGAAACATTATCTCCTTATGAAGGTCGTATCTACATAGTTTCATAGATTAGATATCTAGATTAGAACTGTAATTGTGTACGTGATTTTTTTATATTTTTGGTTTAATGGATACAGTCTTTAAAAATAAATTTCTGATAGCGCTTTGCTTTTTGTAAACATCGCGAAAATAAATATCAATTTTGCATTTTAACTATGGGGGAATTCCTTTGGGTAAAGACAGTCATGTCCAACACGGTAGATGGGAATGGTAATACTGAAGATGATGAAAGTACGGAGAGGAAGACTTTGCATCAGCAATTGAAAGAAAATAGAGGTATGTACAAGATTGAACATCAAAGTAAAATAGACTATGAAAGAAATACTAACAACCAACTAAAGAAAGGAAACATCAAGAATATCGACAACAGATGGAATCTCAAAACTCATCATATAAATTGGACGACAAATCAAGGCAGTTTTATGAAAGTTTACGAGAGAAGGAATTAAAAGAAGAACAGGATCAAAAACTTGAGGACATTAAACAGTTGGAGAAATTTAGAAGAATACGACAAACTAATGAAAAACCAATCGAAAACCTTAAAATATCAAGTAAAGTGACTAAACCAATTATTAAAGTCCCCTTAAAGAAACTCAATCATAAACAAGAGGAAAAAATCAAACAAATCTCATCCAAGGAATCAAGTCCAAGTCCAATAGTATCTGGCTATTCATCTTCTGAAGATGAAGATGATGACTGATTAAATCTACTATAATTACTTTATACCATAAATTTTTTCATTAATATCATAATACAGAAGGCTAAGTCTAAGTAAATAAAAGCAGATATACAGAACAAACTGACAAAAATTTAAAATTAACACAACTAAATTTCTAAAGATGCAACAATATCTTTTAAATCACTAACATATACATCATCGATCGTATCACCTTTTCCAGCTGCTACTCGAAGGACTAATTCATTCAATTCAGCACTACCTAGTATATCAACATGATCAGCTGTCTTGGCACCACCACGAATATCAAATCTATCTGGTTCATGCTTGATTTCAACAATGGTTACAGGTGAACCACCAGGATTAAATCTTGATACTTGACCTTTTTTCCATTCATGACACATACTATGAGTTAATAATGATACAGTTCCATCACCATCACCTATAAGGACGGGATTTTCCAGTTCAGTATCGATTGTCATTGGTAATCTTACAGATGGATCAGCTTCGACATAATGATAAGCTCTTTCAGTTGGTTTACCAACTCCATAGAAACAATAAACTTTCATATTTGGTGCAACTGGGAGGGCAACTTCTAAAGGATTGGACCATTTCAGATGATCTTTTTTATTTTTATCTAATTCTTCCACTGTATTAGCTATACCAAATGAATATTGATCTCTTATTCTTTTTGAATACCATTCTGGAGCATCATTCAATAGGTTTTCTATACTATGATGAATAGTGAAATTTTGTTCTTGAGTTTCATTTATTGATTTATATCTAATAAACGAACCAAAACTATCCTTTTTAGATCCTTCAATTTCAAAAGAAGGATTCTCTTCATGTAAAGTATTTGTAGGATCATCGGGTGCATGAGTTAAATTCCCCCAGATTAAATCTCCACCTTTAGGAATCATACTTGCAATGCCTCCAAAAGATCTTAACATCTCAACTCTTTCTCTTCGACTGAAAAATTGTTCTAATCCATATACTGCCAAAGCATTTAATTGAACTGTATCTCTCATTTCACCTGAAATTAAAGCAGGGATTGCTTTGGGGGTACCTAAAGTAGATCCACTAATATCAACATAAGCTTCAATATGATCATTTACCCAAGTTGAACCACCATTACCGTAATATTTACCTTCAGCTTCAACCCATTGCATGAAATAATAAATGATTTGAGATCCCATAGAATGACCTACTAAGATTGATTTTTCCCCATTTAAAGTTTTGGTTAATTCAACTTGTGATTTTAATTTTGAGAAATATCCATCTCTCTTTTCCAAATCTAAATAAGCTAATCTCCAATCATAAGAAGCACTTATCATATTATTTGGTCCATATCCTATCACAGCTAAATTTTGTAAGATTTTATTCCAGATCCAATACCCTGCTAAGAAGAAATCGGCAGCTTCAAACCCTTGAGCAGCTCTTAATTTGATATTAGGTGGATCTAACCCAGTTTCAAAATCTAACATGATATGTTTTAACCAACAAGTCTTATCCATGATCATGGTTCTTAACATATAGAATGAACCCCATAATCTTTTTCTGAAATGATTTATAGAAGGACAATCACCTGAAGTTGATACACCCCAAGATTCAATTCCAGTAGATATAACTCCAGGAACAAGGACCACGTTATATTTATCAGTTAAATTCTGTTGAGCAGCCAACCTTCTCCCCACAGAGAATGATTCAGCGGATCCATGTAATGAATCATCTTTTTGTTCCATTTCAGCTTCACTTAACATTGATTGTAAACTTAGAGGTAAGATATCCGTCCAATCTTTCCAATTATTATCATAAAAGAAATTATTAACTGAACTCATATCAAAGCTTACGATTCTATCCAATTCACTTCTAATATGAGGACTTTGCCATGTAGTTAATAAAATCGTTAATAATAATCCAAGACCGGTACCTAAGATGAAGAATAATCTCCTGGTTTCCAATAATGATCGTTTTAATTTTTTAGTTTCATTGGATGATGTAGGAGTTATACGAAGATGATGAGAATTGTGAATGTGATGACCTTCCTTTATCGATCGAATTGATTCAATTGATGGTGTAGGTGATGATGGAGTTTTAAGATTGGTGGGGTTGTTTATACCGGATGATATTCCAATGTCTGGAATCGATGGATCATCATGAGAAGTCACTCCTTCTTTTCTTTTCTTTAATGAACTCATCTTGAAGCTAGACCTTCTGCTTCCTCCTCTTTAAATTGACTCAATTGATGGGAAGTGAAAGATGTAAGCTGAAATGGAAATTGATTCTGGAATTTACAGCAAACAAACAAATCTAAGGGCAAACTCAGCCAAGACAGAAAAACACGCAGTTTCATATGCAAAGTTTAATTATAATTAAGCATTTAGTTTAGAGACGATGATCATCATATGGTATTATAAACCTATAGGAATGATAAGGTATATATAAAATAAATATATTAAATGAATAAATGAAAGCAATCACATGTGTACATACGTACTTACATACATAAACAATCTAAATTTGAATAAGCAATAAATCTAAACTAACTAGAAACAACAAAAACAAAATGAATGAATGAAAATAACCTAATCCTACCCCTTTTCCAACTTGCAACTAATGATATCAAATCATATAGATCCCCTTTATAAGGCATCAGTTGTGAAATCATATTCAATACCAGGTATGACACTTGACATGAATTTTAGAAACGTGGTAAGATATTGATCCACTCTGATCCCATCTTCATCATCATCAGCAGTAGTTGTGGTTGAATTAGAACCAGATTTCTCATCAGATATACCCATATCCAGTAACTTTTGAGCTAATTGAGCCTCCTTCTTTTGTTTATTTGATTTCGAATGTTTCATAAATACTTTCATAACAGATGCATGACGACAAGGATGAATCATTACAGAAGTGGTATTATAAGCTACTGGTAAACTTTCAATAGTGGCTGTTTTATCCTTATAATCACCTGAAATATCTTCTAACATTTGTTTTGGTAATAATGGTATACCATTTGAATTGAAACCAACTAAATATAATTTTGGTACACGATAAGATGTAGAATAAGTTATGTATATATCATATCTTCTTAAATTATCGTTGGCATTACTTATGAATTCAAGATCATCAAAATCATCTTCAGCTCCAATATCTTCTTGTTGATTTTCATCATCTAAAAGGTCAACTATATCATCAATATCAGGTGTTGCATTTGTGGTTGTACCTGCACCAGCAGATTTTTGATTGATTTTATGATTAATGTTTCTTGTCTTCGTCCAGCCATCTTCGTCATCTTCGTCTTTAATCAATTCTTCTCCATTATCACCCTCTTCATCGTCATCATCAAAGTCTAAACCGCCACTTAAATAATTATTAGCTCTAATGGGACTCGGTACATGTTTTGTAATTAAAAATTGTTTATCAGGAGGTAAGAAACTTTTACGTAAGTTTTCAGGACATGAACCCCATGACCAAGTTCTAAATTTATCAATTAAATAATCTCCAGCTTCAACAAATTCTTGAGGACTTATTTGTCCTGTTGTGGAGAAATTGGATGATGTATTGACGGGAGTTATATATTCTCTTAATGATGATAATCTTGATCTTAACAGCATTTTCGTAAGTTACATCAATCTATTAGGCGTGATTAATCTTCGTTTATTGGTCTATTACACCTTCTATGATTGATTCGTTTACTATGTGATTCCATTCGATATGATATGACTGATGTGTGGGATAACGCATTTTCTCAAACCAGTGATAAGATAAAAAAAATATTAGTCACGTTCTTCAAGTCACGTTCTTCGAACTGGACTGGGTCGTGTATATTGGTTCAAAAAAGAAGAAAAAGATTGAAGGGTTCGTATAGTCCCTTAATAAATGATCACTTGATTGTCGTTTTAAGATATAATAGATCATAATATGATATTACAATGAAGTATACCGAAAGTTGGATGTTCAATTTATAGGTCTGAAAGGTTCAAATATTACATAACTAGAGTGAAATTGCAGATAATTCTGGATAGACATTAAAAAGTCTAATTTTATAAGGGTTCCTTCGCAATTTACAATAAATGACTGCTAAAATTTTGCAAAATTTATTAAAATTTACATTAGTCTTACATTTTACTAGTTAAACACCATCTAATCGATTAAAAAAGCATTTACTACTGCCAATGGCTTATAAAATGCGATCAATTGACTGTAACCAAATAGACCCAATATAGATCTAGCCCTAGATTCAAACGATGTAAAAATGATTTACCCTAGCCTTAGCCCCTTATGAGATAATCATACTTGAAGAAGCCAAGCCAATTCAATCCAAACTAAAAAGAAAAGAACATACAATTGATTAGCCGAAATATGGTAGTAAATGAGGTACGTACTGTAATAGTTAAATCGTAATATTTAAAAAGAATGGGCGTATATTTTAGATTTTGAAGTATTGTTTATAGTATATTGTAAATTTGGCGTTTTGGCGTATTCGACGTAGAGGTCATTCAATTATGGGGATGAATGATGATGGTTAAACAGTTTATGGTAGTGATTGTTACTACTTTTACGAGACATTAGACCTACTGACATACATACATATATAATAAGTAACGTAAAGTAGCGTAAACTATATCATATTTTGGCGTATTCTATGAATGGTACCAGTTTTATTGTTAGTCGTGTACCCTTTCCCAAAATGTAAATAAAAACAACACGCTTTTTTTTTTACAGTCAAATTGATCGAATTGAGTAATACCAAAACAAACAACATTTACACTAAACTTAGATGGTCTATATAGTAGCAGAAGATTTTAGTTGCAAGTGAAAAAGGGCAATTGAGATGTTTACGTGTTACGTGTATGTAGATGATCTACTATGAGGAATTGCCCACTGTAAAATGTTTATTTGTTTATTATTTATTTACAAATGGTTTATTTACCTTTCAAAGAGGGACTTTGTGGTTCGAGTAAATCCCTCTTCCTCTTCTTTAGCGTCTTTAACACTGTTTTTTTGAATAGGGTGTTGGGCTCTACTCTAGTGAATAGTGTGTACCTAACTTTGTCTCCATTCCTTTCCCAGTCCCTGTAAGTTTTAGTTTTAGTCTAATTGCCTAATTGGTACACACATACAGCTTTTATCTTAACTGTATGATTATTATTATTTAGTCTTCTCTATTTAGTCATTTAGTCAATTTGAGTTGTTCTTCTTTCATAGCACATTTATTTTTCAAACGCGATCAATTCAATACTTTACTTTACTTTGCTTTACTGTTTGTTTTGTTTTGTTTTGATTTGATTTGAATAGTTTATATTTCAGATATATATATACATTTGTATACTTCTTTCTTCTTTTTATATACTATCAACCCATCACTTGTTCAGCTTCCATCTCCTACTACCATCCATTCATCCACCTTTACATCCCTCCCACCTTCATCAATCACGTCTTTCCTTTAAAAACAATCAAAACAACACGCGAACTAATACCAATACCAATCCCAATCACGTATTTTTACAACCAATCCAATCCAGAGTCTTATGTCAATCACATCCAATAATAGAATGGCTCTAGAACCAATCAAAGGATCAATCTTAAACTCGAACTCAGAATCTTCTACTTCTATCAATGGTGGTGGTATCAAAAAGAGAAAACTCTCTCCAAGATCAAGAATTAGATTGGTTACCGTCTCTCCTTCCTTAGCTTTAACGCCAGATAATAAAGCTTCCAGATCTTTATCATTCACATCAACATCATCATCAACATCAACTTCTACTCATCTTAACTCAAGAAGATTCCCTACCGCCAGTAAAATGGCAAGTTTCTCCGACTTTAGATCAACTTCTTCAACTAATAATTCTCCTGGTGTTGTAAGAACTTCATCCTCATTATCATCATCTACAACAACAACAACAACAACCATTTTTAAAAATGATACCGCTGGATTGGCTGCTACAAAACTTAAATTGAAATTACAACTTGCATTATATAAACTTCAACAACGTGATGAATTGATTACAAAAAGAAAACATCCAAATTTATCATCATCATCCATCACTACTAATTCTACATCTTCAACTAATTCAATCATTCCACCTGATTTTTCAATCTTATCATCAACTTCCATCAAACCTTTATCACCTCTGTTTGCTAGCTTTGATAGTCCATCCCCCACTCCAGTCTCAAGACAATCAAGTTATTTACCAACCCCACCCGAAACTTCCTCTTATCATCATTCATCCATTAATGTTAATTTAAATAACTTGTCTACCACCAACACTAATAATAAATCAAATTTAAATGCAAAACAAAAACAACAACTTACCTTATCGAACATAGCATATAAGAAACAATTCAACTCAAACCATAAGAAGATTCAAAAATTAAAATTGTTTCAAATTAAAAAGAATTCAATCTTTTATACTAAATCAAAATCTTCTCAATTAGATAATAATCAAAAATTATTACCAAAATTGAAACCAAATGATAATGATGATGAAGATGATGATGAACAAGAAAGTGATCATTTAAAACCTCACATTAAAGATCCTTCTGCTTCATTTCTTAAATCATTTTCTCAAAACTCATTTATACTTCCCTTTGCTGCATCAATCATTCCTTCTATTCAAGTGAGTACTTATGATGCTCCAACTGCTACCACTACTACTACCAATACCATCCCACCTTCATCCTCACACGCTACCACTTTGCCTTCTATAAGTAAAATTTTAAAGACTCCTTTAAGAAAAGCAAATTCCACCCGTTACAATAATAACTCCACTTCCAATAATTTCATCTATAATGATGATACGACTATAGATGAAGATAATGAAACTATTCTTAATACTACAAGTAATACGATCATGTCTAATTCTAAAAATCCAGCTGATGGAAGTCTTCTTTCAGCTAATAATACTACTGCTAATACATCCACTAATACTTCAAATATGAAGTCATCTAATAAAAACATTCTTACTTCTTCCCCAATTGCTAATAATTTTGCAACTCCAAATAGTTTTAGCGTGGCTAAATCCTTATTACAATTAGGTGGTTATGTATAACTGACCCACACAAAAAAAAAGTTTCTTATGTTTTGATTTCCAATTAATATAGATCATCATTGGAATCATTCATATTTTGATTGATTTTATTTTATTTTGCTTTTTAAATAGCATATCGTGAATGCATCAAAATTGCTTCTTTTCTTCCTTCCTTCCTTCATTCTTCCCTTCCTTATGTTAATGTTTTTCCTTTTATCTGTCATTTTTACATCTACTTTTTGTTCTTCTTTATTTTTATCCAATTATATTCTAACAATATTATTAATTAATGTAACAATAAATATACATATCTATACACATATATCTTTCTATTAAGATAGCTTTTATTTTGTTGTTTTGTTTTTAGTCTTTTTCATAAATCTAAAACTTACCGTTTAAGAGATTTCTAATCATATCTTTACCAGTAAAATATGCAGTTCTACCAAAAGTTTGGAAATCTAAAGTTGAAGTTAAAGTATCTAAGAATCCGAATGGTAACATGGCAGGAATCCAACCTTGAGCCAATTCCAATGCAAATGATCCTCTAGGCATAGCGTATTGTTTATATTTACCCTTTGGTAAATGATGTTGATCACCAGGATAATAGATTTCTGGAGTTAATGCACCTGGATAAGCAGCTGATTGTTCACCAGTTAAGATTGTGAAATAATCATCAGCGAAATGAACACCAGTATGACCTTCAGTCCCCACGGCAGTGCCGAAGAAGATCAAGTATTCTGAGATTGAAGCATGAAGAATAAACATTGATCCCATGGCTCCACCGGCATTATTATAGACCCAATCTTCAAAATTGAAATCATTGATTAAGTGAGGGTATGCGTTTTTTAATTTAGGAGCGAGTTCGATTAAGATGGCAGTAGCATTACCATCTGGATGGTTGTTGATTACTTCTTGGGATAATTCGGCAAGCAATTGTTTATCAAATTGATAATTGATAGGCAACCAAGTATAAAAAAGATAATCGAAGACAAGAAATGCAGCGACAGGGAAAATTGCCCAACTAATAAGTCTCATCTTGATGATATAGGAAAAGAATAAGTGAAAGAGTGTATGGAGTGAACGAACGAGTGAAAGTGGTGATTTACCAAGGGTTATGGAGATTTTTTTATTTTTCAATATTATATATAGTTTTGGTGTGGTCTCGATGGTTGCGGTAATCTTTTACGATCGTATAAAATTTTCTTCTTGCGAATCTTAAACGACGGGCACTGACACACATTTTTTTGCAACGGTGTAGTTTTTTTCTTATGTGAGATCCGTTTTATATTTAACTGCAAAAGTATAGAAATAAGTATAAAATGAGTATTGATCTATTAATCTATCTATCAAAAGTATCAAATCTAATATGGAATGACAGTATGATCATAATTAAGGAATTTTCCATGATCTTCTTCACTTAAAGTTTCAGCAACCTTACCAACTGCAGTACCACTTTCTTCTGGAGTTATAGTTAAACTAGAGAGAATAGGAGCAAATTCAGGTAATTTAACATTGAATTTAGTTTGTGCATATGCACCCATATCAGTTGAAACTACTCCTGGAGAAATAGCAGCAATGGTGAAACCTTCTGATTTTAATTCAGCACTTAATTCAATGACAGAGAAATTAAGAGCTGCTTTTGATTGAGCATAGGCACTGACTGGACTTGGGATATATCTTGTAAGTGATCCAATACCAGATGAAACGAAGATTGCCTTTTTTATAGATGATTTAGATAATGCTTTGTAAACCTGTTGGAAGATTAAAATTGGAGCTAAAGCATTGATTTCATAATGTTCTAACCAAGTTTCCTTTGAACATTCAAGTACAGTATAATAAGAATCAGAAATACCAGCATTGGAAATAAAAACATCGATAGTATCAATATTGATCTTTTCTAATTCAGATGGAATAGCATCAATGGTTTTTTGATCACCTAAGTCAAGTGGGAATACGATAACGTTCTTACTTAAGGCCTTCAAGGCAGTTGCTTTTGAAGCATCACGAGCGGTAGCAATGATTTTATGATCAGGATTGGAAGCGAGTAAGTACTTAGTAATTTCGAAACCGATACCACGATTGGCACCAGTAATAAAGTAAGTTTGACCGGACATGTTAGTTGTTATTGGAATTGATTGAATATATTGATTCTTTCAATATTTCAGAAAAAATTATCACCAACATGGACTGTTACCTTTATATATTAAATGAATGGCGTTGTTAAATAAAATGGTTATACAGCTTTGACTATGTGGGGAAGCGGGATGCTCTATAAAAAAACTGTGATTCACCAAGACAAATAGGTCAGAAATAGGATTATATACAGTCCAAATAAATTTGATTTCAAATGTGAATCACCAAATTTAAAGAGAAAAGTTCCAGAGTTGCAACTTTTTGAGTCAAAACACACGACGAATTAACTGGTTATCAATAATGTATCTTCATGGGCCTGAAAACGTCTATATGAATAGTCATAGGACCAAATTTCTCGAAATCTATACTATGTATTTGTTACAATTTTAGAAAGAAACTTTCAACAGCAATTTTTATTAAAGGATAAGAATAAGTGCTAAAACTATAAAAAAATTTTATTTAATAAGGATTTTCATTCTTATCAAAGTTAATGAATTTACCATTATCTTCTTCAGTTAAACTTTCAATAATTTCACCAACTGCAGTACCACTTTGTTCAGGGGTTAAACTCAAAGTAGAAAGAGATTCAACTAAATGTGGAGAGTTAACCTTGATAATTCCAAAACCATGAGATCCCATATCAGTTGATACAATACCTGGAGCAATAGAAACAACAGTGAAACCTTCTGATTTTAATTCAGTACTCAATTCAATAACAGAGAAGTTAAGAGCTGCTTTTGATTGTCCATAAGCACTCATAGGTGTTGGAATATAAGCAGTAAGAGTACCTGCTCCTGAAGAAATGAATACAGCTTTCTTAGTTGTTGATTTAGCAACTGCCTTATAAACCTTTTGGAAAATCAAGATTTGTGCTAAGACATTAATCTTATAATGTTCTAACCATTTATCTTTTGGACATTCAAGAACAGTAATATAGGAGTCAGCAATAGCAGCATTTGAAACAAAGACATCAATAGTATCAACACCAATCTTTTCTAATTCAGAAGGAATAGCATCAATTGATTTTTGACTTCCTAAGTCAAGAGGGAAAAGAACAATGTTCTTACTTAAAGCTTTCAAAGCAGTTGCTTTTGAAATATCACGAACGGTAGCAATGATCTTATTATCTGGATTTAAAGCAACTAAGTATTTAGTAAGTTCGAAACCAATACCACGATTGGCACCGGTAATAAAGTAAGTTTGTCCTGACATTTTAGTAGATGTTATTAAAATAGTTATAATTGAAGTTGTTGCAATTGAATTGAATTTTTCAATGATTCAAAAATATTAAATAAGATAAGAAATACATCAAATTTGATCCTATTTATCTTATTTGATTGCATGTGGCTGCGATACTAGAGATGATGTAATAGTATGGGAATTCCGAAGATTCAAGAGAAGAAGATAAGTCAGCCAGACATGCTAATTCACATCCAACTTCATTTTTCATACCATTCTAAACCATTGATTCTATTACTACTCTGATCATTACAACATAATTACCGAGTGTTTTTCACTATATGTTTAACCATATAGTTTTTCCCCCATAAATAACTCGCTCTAATATACGAAAAAAAAAGTGGGTTTTTAAACCGGATAATCTCCGAAACCGAATAAAAGTTGATTTCAAATGTGAATCACCTGTTGCTATCTTTTTATTTGTAGACCAACTTTTCAATTTCCCAATTTGGACAATTTCGTGTCAAAATTTGACATTTGGTGTTTAGATTAGATTAGATTGCTTCTATATAATATCCAATCAATTAATAAGCTTACTAAGGACAATAGATTTCTTATTTTGGTGTGGATTCTGGAGAAGCACCATTCTCACATAAACTTAGCGAATTAGGCTTAACAAATATCGATAGTGTAAGCATAGTTTCTTAAAGTATAGTGTAGTGATTAATAAAGTATTTTGGTGAATAACACCGAGGAGGATTGCTAAAGAAATCGTTTAATGATTTAAATTATTGCTACGAACACTTTTTGTAACTATAGTAGCTGTAATACCTTATCAAATGATAATCTATATTTTATAAATCTAAAATAATATGAACATACTTAATCTAATAAGGAGTTTCAGTATGATCGAAGTTAAGGAATTTACCATTATCCTCTTCACTTAAGGTTTCAATAACTTTACCAACAGCAGTACCACTTTGTTCGGGAGTTAATGATAAACCAGAAAGAGCTTCAACTAAATGTGGAGAGTTAGCACTGATTTTGGTAAAACCATAAGATCCCATATCAGTTGAGACAATACCAGGTGAAATAGCAGCAACAGTGAAACCTTCAGGTTTTAATTCAGCACTCAATTCAATAACAGAGAAGTTAAGAGCTGCTTTTGATTGACCATAGGCACTGACTGGAGTTGGAACATAACCAGTGAGTGAACCAGCTCCAGATGAGATAAAAACAACTTTCTTAGTGGTTGATTTAGTTAAAGCTTTATAAACTTTTTGGAAGATTAAAATTGGAGCCAATACATTAATTTCATAATGTTCTAACCAAGTTTTCTTTGGGCAATCTAAAACAGTAAGATAAGAATCAGCAATAGCAGCATTTGAAACAAAGACATCAATAGCATCAACTTTGATTTTTTCTAATTCAGAAGGAATAGCATCAATTGATTGCTGATTTCCTAAATCAAGAGAGAATACGATAACATTCTTGCTTAATTCCTTTAAGGCAGTTGCTTTTGAAATATCACGAACGGTAGCGATAATCTTATTCTCTGGGTTTGAAGCAACTAAATACTTGGTGATTTCGAAACCGATACCACGATTGGCACCGGTGATAAAGTAAGTTTGTCCTGACATTTTGGTAGTTGTTAATGATGGTATTGAAATTGAGTTGAGTTATTCAATGATTCAAAGATTAAATAAAAGTAAATCACATTGCAAATTTAATCCTATTTATCCTACTTGTTTTAATATGGTATTGATGTTAATAGCGTTACAGCTTGTGAAATAGGTGAATCACCGAGTATAACAAAAGTTTGATTTCAAATGTGATTCACACAGATTTGCAGACAATTTTTCGGCTTTCCCAATTTGGAATTTAACGTGTCAAAATTTGACAGTAGAAGTGTTATTGATGTTAAACCTTCATAATATTTGGTCAATTAATCATCTTAGTAAGGGATTATATTTTGATATTCTAATATAGGATATGGAGAAGCACCATTATCAGATCAAATAGCCGTAACCAAAATCGATAATGTAAGCACGGGTCTTCAATAAAGAGTGGCGTTCAATGGTGAATAAAGTTGACTGAAAATTGTGAAATGGCGACGTTAGCCTCAAATCCAAACGAATTATTGATATAACTCTTACAAACAGAACTGTAATAACAGTAGTCTTTTATTACACTCTTAAATCTAAATCTAAAAATTCTATCTACACTAGTAAGGAACACTAGTATGATCAAATTCAAGGAATTTACCATTATCCTCTTCACTTAAGGTTTCAATAACTTTACCAACGGCGATACCACTTTGTTCAGGAGTTAAGATATAATCTTTAACTGCTTCGATTAATTCAGGAGAATTAACTTTGATTTTTTCACCTCCATAATTACCCATATCAGTGGAAACAATACCTGGTGAAATAGCAGCAATAGTGAAACCCTCAGATTTTAATTCGGCACTCAACTCAATAACTGAAAAATTAAGCGCAGCCTTAGATTGACCATAAGCACTCATAGGGGTTGGGACGTATCTAGTAAGAGAACCAACTGTGGATGAAATGAATACAGCCTTCTTAGTAGTTGAATTAGCTACTGCTTTATAAACCTTTTGGAAGATTGAAATCGGAGCTAATACGTTGATTTCATAATGTTCTAACCATTTATCTTTTGGACAATCAAGTACAGTAAGATAAGCATCTGCAATAGCGGCATTTGAAACAAAGACATCAATAGTATCAATCTTAATCTTTTCTAATTCAGAAGGAATTGCATCAATTGATTTTTGACTACCTAAATCAAGAGAGAATACGATAACATTCTTACTTAATTCCTTTAAGGCAGTTGCTTTTGAAACATCACGAACGGTAGCGATAATCTTATTCTCTGGATTGGAAGCGAGTAAGTACTTCGTAATTTCTAAGCCAATACCACGATTTGCACCAGTGATAAAATAAGTTTGACCAGTCATCTGAGTAATTTAAGATTTTGTCACTATAGAAATGAATTATTCAATAGGTCGAAGACAAATATATTCAATTCACAAGGAAGGTTTGGTGGATGTAGGGCTGATATAGGCTTGTTATGCCCTACTAAAACCATAATATAAAGGAGTGAATCACCAACGAAATTTAAATGTTCGGCCCTACCCAAATAGGAAATTAACATGCAAAGAAGGTAGAATTGCTGACATAACGATTTTTTAATCAGATTGTTTGCTTGAAATATTTTAAAGTATTAATCATCTTAGTAAAGTATTACATAAATGAATGGCTTGATTGCTCTGATATTGTGATATATAGGGTAGCGCCTTGTGTTCTGTGGATGGATTTAAACGATTTTAACTGATATATAAAATCTGTATATTGTTTATAGAAATCTTACCATAAGTCTTTATGCATCACCATATATGTTTAATGAAGACTTGTGATCAATTAACTCTTATTGTGAATAACAATGATCCAGTCAATCAGAGTAGTACCATTTGGATGAAATTCTTCAGAAATGAGCCAGATAATCCCTACAAATACTGGTGGGGAAAATAGTATCAGTCAATATGTATTAAATTTTAATATCTAAATCTAAGAAAATGCTTGCAATTAACTAATAAGGAATAGTGGTATGATCAAAATTAAGGAATTTTCCATGGTCTTCTTCACTTAAAGTTTCAATAATTTTACCAACAGCAGTACCACTTTGTTCAGGAGTTATGACAAAATCTTTAAGTGCTTCGATTACTGCAGGGGAACTAGCATTAATTTTTTCATATCCATAATTACCCATATCAGTGGAAACAAAACCAGGTGAAATAGCAGCAATGGTGAAACCTTCAGGTTTCAACTCAGCACTTAATTCAATAACTGAGTAGTTAAGTGCAGCCTTAGATTGACCATAAGCACTCATTGGGACTGGAAAATAGCCTGTAAGTGATCCACCTCCGGATGAAATGAATAAAACCTTCTTAGTGGTGGATTTAGTTAGAGCTTTATAAACCTTTTGAAAGATTAAAATTGGAGCTAAGGCATTGATTTCATAATGTTCTAACCATTTTTCTTTTGAGCAATCTAAAACAGTAAGGTAAGAATCAGCAATAGCAGCATTTGAAACAAAGACATCAATGGTATCAACCTTAATCTTTTCTAATTCAGAAGGAATAGCATCAATTGATTGCTGATTTCCTAAATCAAGAGAGAATACGATAACATTCTTGCTTAATTCCTTTAAGGCAGTTGCTTTTGAAACATCACGAACGGTAGCGATAATCTTATTCTCTGGGTTGGAAGCGAGTAAGTACTTCGTAATTTCGAAACCGATACCACGATTGGCACCGGTAATAAAGTAAGTTTGTCCTGACATTTTACAAAATTCAGCGAGTGATATAATTGAGTTGATTAATTCAATGAATCTGAATTAAATAACCAATTCAGAACGAAGTCTTGGTGGATACAGGGTCGTAATATATTGCTTTGAATCACCTTCGGTCAAAAATTTTTTTTCTACCTAAATAGGAAACTAGGTTAGAATAAGCCATAAAATCCTGACAAATATAAAAAGTTTAGTAAAAGGTGTTACTTAAATGTAGAGGGCATTGTTATCACGTTAGGATATAGGAGGAAATAAGATCTAAAGATTAGACGGCTTTAATTATGAATTGATATATGATAGCATATATCATTTGACACATACTTTTTCGTTGCCATTATATTGTAGCTCCTACAGATGAATTTGGTAAACCCAAAAAATTTAAAGGACTCAATACTACCTGTTAAAATATTAAATACAGTAAACCATTATCCCTTCAATTCAAATCTTAATTCATAGAGTGAAAAATTTAGTGGCGCTGTCCATTAACTGATTGGAGGTAGATGGATTTGTATTATGTCCGAGTATGGATGCTAAATTGTAAAATAAAGACCGAGATACTGCATATAACGACACGAACATTTTTGAACTATTTTTAAAATCAGGCCCGCAGAGATGGTAACCATTTACCTGTAAGAGATACAGATATATATACAACTATTATGGTAACTTTGTTAGTGACAACAGGTGCTACTGTCACCTTTAAAGAATTAGTAAGAAATGTGCTTCAAATTGAATTCATACGGGGTATTATAGACTTAGGATTCAATGAAGTGTTTGTTCAATACGGTAATGAAATCAAAGATAATGTTCATCAAAGTGACATCTTTGTACAACAAGTTTTAAAAGAGCTTAATTCATCAGATCAATTGAATTTTAACTCTTATTCAGATTCAAAAGCAAGTATAGTAGGGTTCCCTGATACTGATAAGTTACAACTTTTTACATCATCAAAATTAGATTTGAAATTATATTTATTCCCATTTTCAACTAATGTAAATGCATACATAAATCGGGCAAATTTAGTTATATCTCATGCTGGGACTGGATCCATTATTGATTCATTAAAATTGCATAAAAAGCTCATTGTGGTGATAAATGATCAATTAATGGATAATCATCAGGCTGAAGTTGCAGAAGAATTTTGCAAACAAGGATATTGTAGTAGCTTAACTACCAAGGATATTAAAGATGGTGCTCTGTTCGTAAAGGCTGTGAGAGAAAGACTAGCAGTAGAGTCCAAACCTTTCACAACCAGTAAGTCTAACGTCATTGAGGCTATAATTTATGAAGAGTTAGCCGCTTAGATATATTCTGATTTGACTCTATAGAAACTATTTAAAATTAATGAATAATGAACGTTCTAAAATAATTCAACGCTGAGATATCGAGCTAATTACTTAAGTAATCCTGGAATAGTATTGATGTAGAGTTGATCGATTTCAATTCCTTTGTAAGAGTATACTATTGGTGACGCACCATACTTAAATTTACATCTATATGGGGAAAAATAAGAGAGGATCAAAATTCTGTGGATTTACAACCAATTTATTCTACTTCTTTGTCTACCAACCATAGAGCAATGACTACATCTTCAATCACATCTATCGAAAGCATACTATCAAGTGATACACATGATCAAGTGAAAATCAATGAGTTACAATCATCTGTCGATTACAGCTCAATTGATGAGGAAATCATAAATAGCAGTACCATCAATGATTCATTCAAAATTATCATCTTATTATTCAAACTTGAATACATCATCAATAACCAAGACATATCCAATCTGTTGAAACAAATAGAATCCATATTCACAATCATTCAGTCGATAACTGGTTTAAAGAGAATTGTCAATAGTGGATACAATACAAACAATAATCATATTGAATTGTATATTAAAATCAAATATAATGATTTATTAACTGATTATCAATTTTTAATAGATCATCCTAATTATGCTAAATTCATTGAATTGATTAATAAAAAAGTATTAATTATAAATAATATTCCTAAAGTTGTATATCCTAAATTGATTGAATTGATTCAATTTAAGATAGTTCAACTTTATCTTATATCAGATTACGACAATAGAAAACCTTCAATATTAAGTTATTTAAATGATCAATTAGGGGGGCTGAATGATCAAAATATCGTAGATGTGTTGGATTTTCTTCAATCAGATAGAATAATTCTGATTGAAACATATCAGAAGATAGTTTCTATTGATTGTAAAAATAATTATCATAATTTAATCACAAATTATCTTGACTCATCAATGATTTTACGCAATTTAATTGAAAATAATATCATTTTATTACCCAATTATTATAATTCAATCAAATTGGCTAAAGTGTATAAAATTTTAAATATTGATACCAGTATAAATATTGAAGATATCATATTTAATATGATTCAATTGAAAAAATTCTCAGCTGGGGTTAAGATTGATCAAATTAATGAATTAGTCATGTTTAATACTATTAATCATCAAGATCAAATATTGAATAATCATATACAAGAAGTGGGTACTTTAGTTAATAATATTTGTGTTCAATTACCATAGCTAAATAAATATATAAATTACACAGCTAGTTTAATCATATTTAGAATATTCTTTAGAGAATTGTCTAACAACTTTCTTTGAACCAGCATCAGAGATTTCCTTAACTTCTTCTGGAGTTAATTCAAAATCAAAAATTTCTAAGAATGATTTAATTCTTTCTTCTTTACCTGAAGTTGTAATTGGTAAAACACCAGTTTCTAAAACCCATCTTAATAAAATTTGACCATCGGTTTTACCATATTTCTTAGATAATGATTCAATAATTGGATCTAATGGACCACCTTTACCTTTAGTGATTGGACCTAATGGACCATAAGCTTCAATTAAAATACCATTTTCTTTAGCAAACTTAACAATATTTGGAGTTTGATTTTGTAAATAAGCAGAATATTCAATTTGATTAACAACTGGGTTATGTTTTGGATTTGATTTTAAAATAGTTTCAATATCAGAAATTGAAAAATTTGAAACCCCAATACTTTTAGTTAAACCTTCATCAACCAATTGTTCAAGATATTTCCAAGCTTCGACTAAATCAAAACCATGAGATTCTTTAGAAATGTATGGAGTATGTAACAAATATAAATCAACATAATCTAATTTGAATCTCTTTAATGATGCCTTTAAGGCTTCATATGGATTAGCTTCTTTAGAATGTTTACCCTTAGTAAAAGTTGAATCACCAGCAAAATATTTATCAGTAACATAAAGATCTTCTCTTTTAATTCCTGATTTTTTAATGGCTTCACCAATTTCAAGATCAGTATTATAAATTTCAGCACCATCAATATGAGTGAAACCTAAATCAATAGCTTTAACTAAAGTATCAACTAAAGTAGTATCAATTTCATTTTGACCAAACTTAAACCATTTGGTACCAGTACCATAACTTACAGCAGGAATGGTAAGACCATTACTTAATTTAAAGACTTTTCCAGATAATGACATGATGTGTGTTGATGTAATCGATTCGATGTGATTCAATTGACTGATTTGAATAAGTTATAATTGAATCAATGAAGCAAGAATATCAACTATTTATATATGATAAATCATCATATAAAAAACTGTGGATCCCCCTATTTGAAAAATCACGGTATGAATTTTACCGTGGTGGACTCCCCATACTTTTTTTTTAACCGGGAATTTAAAATTTTTTTGGGGGACTCCAGTTGTGTGGAGTCTTTCAGGCAAACAGAGTGACAGTGGTTTAAAGCATGAGTTATAGTTACCTATAATCATTTAAAGTTGAACCACTGTGGTGGTAGTGGTTGTGGATGTTACTGTTTTTGTTGTTGATATATGTTGTTTTTCTTGAACTTGTGGTGAATGTGACTGAGATTGTGGTTGTGGTGGTGGTGGTGGGTCTAATGGTGAAAGCTAACTGTAACTGTATTGTTGCAATTTTTATTTATGACATAAAAAAATGAGACACACAGAAACAGCAAGAAATTTTATGACATGGCAAACTCTAGACATGAACTTAACTACAAGCATAATTCGGTTATACATGGGTAATTACATGATATGGCTTGGGTAAGTGAATTATAAGTATCCGATTTTAACTAACCACTCGAAACTTGACATGATCACAAGACACCTATTGCATCATTTGCATAGTTGTTGTCCTTTACATACACAGTATTTCTACAAATTATAAATTAACCTAATTAGAGTTAAATATTAACATGACATTTGATACTTTATATACCTAACTATCTATTCAAACCACTTCTATTACTGTTTAATTATAGATTGTTTTCTGATTTAAGGTACAAAAGTGCGGTCCCTTACTGTTTATTTTTATTAGTGCTTGTTTTTGTTATCGCTAATTTTTCCGCAATTAGGTAATTATAAGATCAAAAATTATTTACTATGATGAGGGTTCCATTATCAGAGATTAAACTATAGATAGTGGAAATTAATTGATTTAATTGAAAAATTTTCAGCAATTATAGATAAAAAACATAGATAGTAAGTGATTTTTCAATTCATTGACTTCATACGAATATAACTAGTCATTATACCCATTTTATCTGTTAACTTCACTTATCTTCTCCCACCCCACGTTCATTAAGTTATGTCAACTACTGTTGATGAATCAACTCCGTTTTTAAGTCCAAGAACCACAACATCTTCGATAAGTAGTAGTATAGATGAAAGTGAAATCATCAACTATGTTCAACAAAGAAGAGTTTCCATTGCTTCAGTAGGTAATACTAGAATCCCTGCTCCTTTCAATTTAAGAACAGTTCAATCCAATGAAAGATTAACTTCAACAACTTCAAATAATTCATTCTTACATAGAAATAGTATTAATGAATTACTTTCCAATAACAACTTAAATATTGAACCTGAACCTGAAACTGATTTAAAAACAGAAATTCAAGTGTTGTTATATTATTCTGTACCATTAATTATAACTTTTCTTTTACAATATTCTTTAACAGTGGCATCAGTATTTTCAGTTGGTAGATTAGGTTCAAGTGAATTAGCAGCTGTAAGTTTAAGTTCCATGACAGCCAATATTTCAGGTTATGCTATTATTCAAGGAGTTTCAACTTGTCTTGATACTTTATGTGCTCAAGCTTATGGTAGAAAAGATTTTAATACAGTTGGATTACATTTTATAAGATGTAATTATTTATTATTATTGTTATTTATTCCAATGTTTGTATTATGGATGTTTGGAGCTGAACCAATCTTAATTGCTATAATTGGTGATGATGAAGTTGAATTATGTAAATTAGCTGCTAATTATCTTCGAATTTTAAGTTTAGGATTACCTGGGTTTATCTTATTTGAAAATGGTAAACATTTCTTACAAAGTCAAGGTATTTTCCATGCTTCAACTTATGTATTATGTGTTTGTGCTCCTTTAAATGCTGTTTTAAATTATGTTTTAGTATGGGATAAATCTATTGGATTAGGATTTATTGGTGCTCCTTTATCAGTAGTTATTACAAATTGGTTAATGTGTATTTCATTATTTTGTTATATCTTTTTCGTTAAAGGATATGAATGTTGGCCAAAACAACCATTATTTGATCCTATTTATTTCAGAAATTGGAATAGAATGATCAATCTTTCCATTCCAGGTGTTTTAATGGTTGAAGCTGAATGGTTAGCATTTGAAATTATAACGTTTAGTGCATCAAAATTTGGTACTCAAGTTTTAGCCGCTCAATCTATTGTTAGTACTACTTGTGTTTTAATGTATCAAATTCCATTTGCATTATCAATTGCAGCATCAACTAGAATTGCATGGTATATTGGAGCTGCATCTATTAAAGCTGCTAAAACTGCCACCAATGCTGCTATTGTAACATCTTTAACTTTAGGAATATTTAATGCATCTATCTTATTTACATTTAGAAAATGGTTGGCATCATTATATACCAATGATGAAACTGTTATTCAATTAGCATCAAAAGTTTTAATTATTGGAGCTATATATCAAATCAATGATTTCTTATCATGTTCAACTGGTGGTGTCTTAAGAGGTCAAGGTAGACAAAAGATTGGTGGTATTTTAAATCTTGTAAGTTATTATCTTATTGCATTACCTTGTGCCTTTTTATTTGCATTTTATTTTAAATTAGAATTAGTTGGGTTATGGTTGGGTATGATTATTGCTTTATTTTTCATTTCATTATCACAATATTATTTCGTGGTTATAAGTAATTGGGATAAAATTGTTGATGATAGTATTAATGAAGGTATATTAGAAGATGGTAACGTTAATGTTGAATCTCATACTACACTTCCAAGTATGAGTAGTTCAACCTATGTATAGTACGCGTGAAAACGGTCATTCCATGAATTCTATAACTTACACATGGTCCGTTTAGTTCGCCTAAACATATATAATAAATGAAGGAAAGTATACGCAAAAGACAATTGAAAATGTGTAAATTCTAGTTTAATAATATTTAAGTATTTTCGTAAAATAATAAATAATAATTGTAATAAGTGTAACAATAAAGAAAAAAAAAGCAAAGTTAAATTAAAGAAACTATACTAAGTTAAAATGGTAAGTAACATGCTCATCTCAAGTAGTAAGCTCGAAGACTTGCTACATCGAATGATTGCGCTTTACAATGAGGTTTTCACAGCTTTACAAGCAAGATAAAGTTTCTCCATAATTATAAAAGTTGGCTGATAAGGAATTCTTTTGTTTCTCACAGGGAAGATCAGACAGACACAGACTCAGACAGACAGAAAAATAAAAAAGTGTCTGAATTAGGTTGGTTCACTGCCGGATTAGGAAAGTGTGAGATCCTCAATAGATAAACCATAATAACAATTCCTAAAATTGCAATGAAATTACACACATATTCCTTTAAACTCACACACTTTTTAATGATATGCGTTATGGATATTTTTTTTGAAGATTATGCCCCTTTAGATAGAAAAAACCATTGTATCCTTAATAATTCCAGTTTCATTATTTGGTTTAAAAGTGCCTTAATTCAAAATTTATAGCAACTAATTTTCTCTTTAGGGGGCTAAATAAAGCCTCAGCAAGACTAATTTGATCAAATATTTATCATTTCTTACCTTATTTTATAACAATAAATTCTAATTCTTATCCTTTACATAAGGTTAATCGACATCATCTCATATTTAAAAGGTACTGACTTACTTATCTTCTCTTATAAATAGTAGAATTTCCCTCTTATAAGTTTTTTGCCTCTTTTTAATCCCTCCCTTTTCTTTCTTTTTTTTTTTTTTGGTATCTGCCTTAATTGAATTTTTACAGCTATTTGATAGTATTTAACTAATCTCCAAAGCTCACTTCACTCGCTAATTCATTCGCTACAACCACTTCATTAGAATTCATAATGTTAGGTAAATTATTATCCGTCTCCGCTTTATTAGTTGGTCAAACTTTAGCTGGTAACGTCTCCAATGAAACCAATGTCACCGTTACTACTTACGTTGCTCAAGGTGTTGCTTTACAAAGCTCTGGTGTCATCTTAGGTGCCATCGCCGTTGCTATTGCCGTCTTTGGTGTTTAGATTAAAAAATTAGGCTACGTTTTTACTGTTTTTAGATAAATAACGACGTATAATACCATATATCTTTACATTTCCAAAAGCTTTTGTGGTTTAAAATGGGCTATTTTAATTTTTAGGTTATACACATCATACTTGTTTTCTTCATTTCCTTTCTATTCCGTTACTTATTTATTTATTGTTTTGTTGTTTGAAGTCATTCTTCCTTCTATACTATATCCTTTAGTTATTATTTAATATTAGTTAAAATTTTTTGCGTTTTAATGTATGTTTGTTACTTTAAAAAAGACTTTTTTTCAAGTGTATTCCATCGTATCTACATTTGGGTAACCATTCGATAAAAGGGGAATATATATAATTGTATGACTGACGATCTGTAGTAACTAGCAACTGAAACTAGAAAAGAAGATGAAACCTTAAAAAAATAAATGCAAGGAGAAAATATAATACATAATTTGGAAATGACTATTCAACCCCAGGAGAATTGAAAAAAGATCGGAATTCAATGCTCATCTATTTTTGATTATTGTCTTCAGCTGCTAGTTTTTCTAATCGTTGAATCTTTAAATTAGCTTCTTCTAGTTTCCTATTTAATTCTTCAATAATCCTATCTTTATCATCTAACTTATCTAATTCACTTAAGATATTAGCACAAGTTAATTTTATCTTACTCTCCTTAGTTAATGATCGTATTAAATTAACCTTTTCTCGTATAGTGAAAGCTGATTTAGATTTTGTAATGTTCGTGTGAATTTTATTTTTCAAACTAGTATCTTTTTTTAATTGTCTATATTTGTTTAGTAATTTGTAGTAGGACTGATAAAATATTTGACTATTTTTTAATTCTTTTATATAATCTAACCGTAAATTGTTAAACTCATCTAATAAATTATTCGGTATACCCGGTTTATCTTCATTTAATTGAATTATATCATTCAATTCTTCTAGGAATTCATTCTGACTTTTTATTTTAATGATAATTGAATTTAATTGGATATCTTGTGATGATGAATTTGAAACCTTAGATGACTTTTGTATAAACTCTTGATCAACTTCATGTTGTAATTTTTGAATTTGTTTATCTATATCCATTTGAGTATCACTTTTGACATAGATATTATTAGTGACATCTTGGTATAAGGCTGAAGGTCTAGTAAATGAATGATCGGATTGATAATCTTTTTCATTCTCATTTCTATCATTCCTATGTCTTTGAACAAACTTGCCTGGATAGTTATCAGGCAATGAATAGTTTGTATTATTGTTAATTATATTATTTTTGATTTTTGAGTCTAATTTATCAGAACTATTGTAAAGATTATTATAATGATTTTCCCAATCAAATTTCAACTTATTATTTGTCCTTGTATAATTCTCACGTATCAAATGGTAGTCTCTCTGCAATTCAAGATCAATTTCATGATCAATTGAGTCTAAATCATCATCCGAATAATCAATTATATTATAATCAGTACGTGGTATGGTTGACACTGGCGGTTGATATGAAACCCGTTCACCATTTCTACCACTGTTAAATACTTTTGAAGAAGGCCGTACTGTATTGAAAGAATGAATTGTATTATTATAATCTATAGTAGGTTCATTTTTTAAGGATGCTGTATCATCATCACCAAAGAAATATTTGAACATTCTCTAACCTAATTTGAAAAATATAACCTTGTTAAAAAGTAGGATTTCGAAATTGACCACCACGCTCACTTCAGATTTGGCGGGAGATCGATATGACCTTATCGTATTTTTGATTGCAACCAATTCAGTTTGATCTAGTAACACAAGCTTTCAATGTTTATTTATGTTTGGGGTTTTTAACAATTTTACACGATACTCGAGTGATTCTACAGTTTAAGACACGCTTGCAAATTACATTTTAACATTTTTTTACAGGTTATCAAAACTTATTGTGTGCAGGAGAATTTTTCAAAGAACTATAATGTGGTGTTCATTATAAAACATTTTCAAGAAAGTAAGGAAGATGCATTATTTAACAAAATTAAAACAAATGCAGCTCCATAATGTATACTCTAATTTTGAACTGAAAATATGGCTCGATGCTTCGTCTTGTAAAGTTTTCGAGATACATATGGACCATGGGTCGAGTATTTCCTAAATTAAGTAAAATCAAAACATTGCTCATTTAACAATAGGCTGCTAACGGTTTAAAAAACAGACCAACATGTCAATCTTACTAGAAATTATAACGAAAGGAAACCCTATTGTTTAAATGAGAAGCAAATATTGTTTAAATGAGAAGCAAATTAAACAATAACCAATTATATAAATATAAATACTGGTATTTGAAAATAAGCTACCAGCCGAGTATTCAAAATTAAAAAAAGAATACAAAACGTTAATTAATCATGCATAAGCTTCCATAACAAAAAATCTCATTAGACGAAATAAGCTATGTTTACAATTAAGTTTAATTGAGGCTCCAAATACAATCTCTCATGAAAGAAGAGGCACGAGAGCGACAATGACAAAACAGAAAAAGAAAACGACCATAACGAAGCCGAAACAGAAAAGGAGAGAAATCTCATTAAAGTCTTATTTAGGCGATCATACTATTGTTTTACTCCTGATCCTGGATTATTAACCAATAAAACAGTCTAGTCTTTTTAAGTTAAGTTTAACCAACGTAAGTGCTTCCTTCATTCATGTCAGTCTATATGCCAGTTAATGTACTTACAGGTTTTGGTGCCGCAATATTAAAAAGTGGTCTTTTGAATGTAAACTCGTTCCTGATAATAAAGGGGTTGGAACCCTTTCTGATCTTCTTTTTTTTTTTCTCTCTCTCGTACGCCGTTTTTTTTTAAAACCGTTGTCGTCAAGAAATACTCTGAATAAAAATGGAAAGCTTGCACGCTTGCAACGGCAAGAAATCCGATTATCGAATCTACAAGATGTAGTAGTCTATTTTGTTTCTTCGACTGTTTGGGGTCAAAGACTTTCTTATCATTGACTGCTATTTTTAACATCGATCTAATGGTATCTCAACCGCAATTGATATAACCAAGAAGAAAAAAAATATCAAAAAGATCTACCTTTACTTTATAGAATTGGCAGAAATAGAAAATTGAAAAGATTTTCTTCAATGAGTTTGAAATGGGTATCATTTTTTTTTATTTTATTGCGAGCAGTTACAAAATTAGTGTACCATATCCCAAAGAACAATAGAATATGTGCATTATTATATTGATTTCAGATCCCGTCTTTGATCTCAGTCTGTCTCCAGCATTTTATGTTAACTTATCACTATATTTTTCCTCGATTACAAATCGTACTTGTTATTACATTGTTCTTATGCCTACCGTATAAGTTATTGTTTCAAATAAAAAAGTTGCAACTTTTGCAATTCTTTTTTCAAATTAGATAAGATCGAGTGCTGGATAGATTAACTGATGGGAATTAGATTAATCCGAGTTGTTTTTAAAACAATAACTTTAAAATTACTCGAGTTTAATATTGACATTTTGAATAAAACTTAATCGATCCTCTGACCATACGGACAAGAATGTTACATTTAAAATACAAAACATTCAATTCTTACATTCATAATTTGCGCTTAATTATTTTGCGTGAAATACCCTTGCTTACTTCAATCAACCAAGAGATATCGTATCCCAATGTCATGTAGCCTGGTTGAGGGTAATAGACGAGTAGTAATTCAAAGTTTAAACATAACATGGATCGTGGTAACAAACGCCAAATATTCTCGAATTCTGGAGGCTATGGTTTCATAGTTCAGGCGATTCCATACTTTGGTTCTAAAACTAGTTAAAATGGTACAACTTTGTTAAGGCTTTATATGTAGCTTTTAATTCTTGGTCTTTCATAGTTGATCAAGGTGTCAATTAAAGGGTACTAAATCAATTCGAAAGTAAGTGAAGGAATCATTTGTAATAAACCCTTGTCCGTAAAGTTCAACTACTTTGAGCATTGAAAACATTCTTCTCGCCTCGATCAGGTTAAACTTAAGGATCTTTTTTTTTAGTTTCTGATTTTCTTGATTTTCTATAAGTCACTTTACCGGCTAATAATAGAATGTGTAAATCAGAAAAAGTTTAAATCATGAATTGACAGTATAGTCAACAAGTTTAACGATGACGATGATGATTGATAAATAGTTAAGGATCGTATAGACCCAAGACTATTATTGAAAGGTTGGATTATTATCAAAAAAAAACTACATGACAATAGCTATCCACGCTACGTAACATTTTGATAATCGTTGAATATTATAGTCCAATTAGTGTATCTCACTACTTCCAAATATAACCCACTAAGATGATCGACTTCTTTTTCCCACTCGTATGTACAAGTTATGGTTATACATAATGATTTGATCTAGTTCATGGTATGACAGGTTTTTGAAAGTTTAACCGCCACAAAAGAATAACAAAATAATTCTTTTCCCAGAAAAATATAATACCAATTAGGAAATATTAGTGTTTTATTTTTAAGGGGAATTTAAAATATTAGACGAAAAAAACCAACAGTTTTTATGCACAAGCGACTTACTGTAGGTGCTGTTGTTTCTCACTGGAAAATATTTTTTTTTCTTTCTTACAGGGCACAGAAAATTAAGGAGGCAATTTAATTTATTTTTCTGACCTATCAAAACAAGATTATAAGGGTATATTCTACAGATCGTCGCCTTAATAGGGCAATTAAAAAAAACATTCCTCACTTTCAAAACATCACTATTATCCAAGGAATAGAAGTTCAAAGGGAAGAAATCTTTACTTTTCACAAAAAGTTTTTGTATTGTGTTGTTGTATCTCTCTGTAGGCTTCTGAATTATTTAGGTTTTTTTTTTTTTATTTTATTTTTCTAATTTTTTTTTTTTCATTCGTGGGCCGTAGTTTGATAGTCCTCCACATTTTGGAGTTTTGCATACCAAACCTTAAGTTGTAATTATAAACAACAACAATCACTTGATAAACCATTATTCAAGGTGGCATGGCGTCTGGTTTGAGGACCTCCTCGATTTACATTAAATTGTTTGAGCATTGAATTGTGTAAATAGATTAATTTTTTATTTTTAGCCCTTAACAAGAAAATGAAAACATTTTATCGGTCGCTAAATAATAAATTGTCCTAAGAAAAATGAAAAGTCAAATTTTTGAAAATGATGAAGTTTCCACCACGATTGGCCCACCGTGAATGGTTCCATTTTCATCGGTGCTAGATTATTGATTTTGAATTATATTAAGAACACTTGTTCACTAACTTAATTGTTAATCTATCCTCGATGTCACATTAAGTACTCTGATGCAGTGCCCATTATTCACAACCAAAATAAACAAACAATCAACCATAATTGACCTTTATTCAATTCAGTCCATTGACACTAAGACTGCTAGTTTTTTCATAACATTATTATTATTATTATTATTATCGTTTTTTTTGTTTTGATATATTTTAAACAATATCCATCTAAACCCAAAAAAAGGAGGCTAAAAGTTTAAACCAACCCATAATAAAACCCACTATGCGTCTCATGTAAATTGTTGTCTTTATTGTTTACAAAATAAAAAATATTTTTTAGCATTTTTTATTTTTTATTTTTTATTTTTTATTTTTTATTTTAAAAATTTTTTTTTTTTAATTTTTGGCCCTCACAGTTTTGTGAATCAAGCGAAGATAATATAATCGAGGAGAGCATTTTCTTTCATATAATGCTTGTGTGTCAATCAATATGTATATAAAGATCACAAATTGGCTTTAGATTAAATTTGGATTTTTTGATAGACTGTTTGTTAGATATATATATATATATAGAAGATCAATATTCCTTTTTAAAGCTTTCTTCATTATTTTATAATCTGTTAGTTACTGAGGTCAGGGATTATTTAGTAACCTACTACAGAAAAATAAAATAGCGAAACCGTTGAAGTTTGCAACCATAACATACACTTCAAGTTGTAATTTAAGACTTTCACTTTACAACCATATATATAATAGTCCAACTCAAAACACTCATTTACTTATTTGCCTATTCAATCGTTGGTTTTTTTTTCTTTCACTTATACATCTAGTTTTTCATTGTCTTTTGAATAACTACAACTTTTTTAATCTATTCCTTTATTTCTACTGATTTATTCTTTCATTCATTTTTTATCTAAATTTTATTTTCAATTCCTATCTGCATTTATTAAAACAAAAGGTTTTATTCATCATATTATACCATCAATTCAATTCATTTTATATATATATAATTTATCATCATTAAACATGTATCCAATTACTACTACTTATGGCAATCCATTAACACCGTTATCAGCTAAAATTTCAATTTCAAACCATAAACAAGAAATGATGGATCAACTTCGTCAACAACAGAAACAACCTCAATTCACCCCATTCGTTCAAATCGATTATCCTATTGAAATTTATACCCATGAAATCTTAACTCAAAATCAAACTCTTGAAGAATATCATCAAGAAATTTCCGATTTCTTATTGGAATTAAATGAAGTTTCAAAACCAAACATGGAATTATATAAACAACAACCATATCTTACATTCTCAATCAGATTAAAATTAATTGATTTCTTATTAAAAATGTCAATTAGATTAAAAATCTTACCATTTGTGTTCTTTAGAGCCGTTAAATTATTCGATAGATATTGTTCCAAAAGAATTGTATTATTAGATCAATCACAATTAATCATAGTAACTTGTCTTTGGATTGCATCCAAGATTCAAGGAGGTAATAATCATTTTGTTAATTTATCAAATAATACTACTAATATAAAAACTATTAATGATATTGGTTATGGAAGTGGAGGTAAATTTTTAGGTCCAACTGAAAGATTTAGATTACCAAAATTACATGAATTAGTTAAATTATGTGGTAACAAATGTAAATATGATGCTAGTATGTTCAAACAAATGGAATTACATGTATTGAATACATTAGAATGGTCATTAAATGAACCATATGTGGAAGATTATATTGTTCAAAGTTTTGAATTTAATGTATTTCGTAATGTTGAAAATGAATTCTTTAAAGTTAAAGAATATTTAAGTTATTTATCATTATATTCTCATGATTTAATTGATATAACTTCTAATGAATTAAGTCAAGTTATAATAGATTTAATTAATGAAATTTTTAAACTTTCACCTCATGATAAATATTATCAAATTATAAATGAAGAACATGAATTAATTAAATTAGATTTAATGAAATATAAATTCATTAAGAAAAATTTAATCAAATCAATTTTAAATTCTTCAGATTATATGTTAAAATTATTTAATTCAAAGGGTCCCCAATATTTATTTAATCAAATTCATATCATGTATAAGATTCCTAATAAGATTCCAACCCCACCAGGATCAATTGGATCCGTATCCCCAACCAATATTAATTCACCAACAACTCCTTGTTCATATAAAAGAAATAGAGTAGAATCCAATTCAAGTATTGTGGAAGCTCCTCCATCTAAAGTTAATAACGTTAATACTATCAATAATAACAATAGATCTGATTCTCCAATTAGAAGTTATACTACAAATACTATTACTGCTACAATTATGGCCAATACAAATACGGCTACTCCTGATAATCGACCATCCCCTTATTCAAAAATCCAACATCATATACCCTTCCCTTCATATTCATTTAATTCACCTATATCACAACCACCTAATGCTCCATTACCAATCATAGCTAATAAAATTAGACAAACCAGTAATGGAAGTAGTAATAATAGAGGTTATAGATTACCTGCGATTAATACTAATGGTCATCATCATAATAATTCGCTGGTAAGTATCAATTCCTCTGCTAGTTGTGGTACAAGAGAAGATATCAGTATGTTGGATATATTTGAACTCGATTATTATCGGAAACATAATGGTACACCTGCTAGTGATAATGATTCACCATTATTTCAAACTATGAAACCAACCCCTATAACTTGAAATTTAAATTCAAGTTTGTTTGCATTTTATACCATTTTTTATCTATTACATTTACAGAGAATAGTTATCCTTGTATATTAGTTTTACGTTACAATTCTTCATCTCCTACTGAAGTTTTCATATAAAAAAGTTTATAATAATACTCATAATAACAATAATATAAGTAACACTTTTTTTACACAATATTTGATCCATTGTAGTATGTTCAATTGAACAAATCATAGATGGTGATGTTGTTGCACCACAAAAATTTTTCATTTTATAGCAACCATCGTCAAAAGAATGGGCCTTAAATATTATTGTGCTATTTGCCAAATTCCCAAATTTCTATTTATAACAATACGCACGTGACTTTCTAAACGCGATCTAAAAAAAAAATTTCTTTTTTTATTTGAGTCTTCAATTTTTTTTTTCTTGCAAGGGATAATAAACACAAATGGCTGTGTTGTATCAGCAGTAAATTTACAACCATCTTCAAGGGGAATCATCTGGTCTAATCAAGTGTTAGGCACCATCATATAACTATACGTCATCAAGAGTATCTTTGATCATAGATTTCATTCGAAGGGCAGATCTCATTTTCCATCATTTCTCTTACGTTGTTTGATTGTCTTTAGTGATATAGACATCAATTCAAGCTTTACATATTTATTATACCTTTCCTCCTTATACATTCGTTTAAGATCAATTACCACGATACCATTGCATCATAAATCTTATAAATCATACATATATACATACTATTCAATATGAGATTATCCCAAATAAATTCATTATGCCTTACAAGTATATGGTATTTAAGTTCATTAATCTTAGCTGATCCAAATATGGCTGAATTAGAAGGTACTTGGACTTCTAAATCAAATACAGTATTCACAGGACCAGGATTTTATGATCCTGTTGATGAATTATTGATTGAACCTGATTTACCTGGTATATCATATTCATTTACTTCTGATGGTCATTATGAAGAAGCTTTATATAGAGTGGTTCCAAATGCCCAAAATCATAGTTGTCCAGTAGCATCTGTCACTTATCAACATGGTACTTATGAAATCTTAAGTAATGGATCTGTGGTCTTAACTCCAATTGCAGTTGATGGTAGACAATTATTAAGTGATCCATGTAATGGACCAGCCGATGAATCAACTTATACAAGATATGTTCAACCAACTTGGTTTAGAGATTATCAAGTCTATGTTGATTCTTATAATGGTAGATATGCCTTACAAATCTATCAATTCGATGGATCTATGATGCAACCATTATATTTGGCTTATAAACCACCTTTAATGTTACCAACTTATGCATTAAATCCAACTGATAAAGCATCTGAAACTTCTTCATCATTAACCAGAAGAGTCAAGAGATCACTTGAAAATCAATATAGAACTAATGCTATTAGAGAATTGTCTATTGATAATTATGATGTTTTCTGGTGGGTTTCAGTAGGTTGTTTGGCTTCAGCTTCTGCTTATATGTTTTTAAAGTAAGCCTTAAGCTAATTGTACGGTTCCTTTTCTTTTTTATTTTCTTTTCTTTCTTTTGTATATGTTAAATAAAATGCTTACTAAAACGTGCTTACTGGCAATGATTACTAACTTGAAATTGTAGATGGATATATTCGTCATATGCTTTTATGTTAATATATATTAGAAGAGTCATATATTGCAGTAATTTTGTCTGTACCAATAACAAATCCTGAAAATTGGCTTACGCTAACACATACCGTATTAGGATAAATTATGTGTCAACCGCTAAATATATCTCTTATCAAATTTTTTAATTTTTGATCCTGTCTCCACGCCTGAATTGAATATTGTTATTATCATTGTGGGTGTATATAACTAAGTATAGATAACTTTAAATCAGCCGTTTAAGAGACATAGGGGGATTATTAACCGAAATATCTGATATACCACTAGCACAATGTATATTCCAACTAAATATTTAGAAGAAGATTGGGAAGAAGTAGCATATCTTATTAAAAATTATCCATTAGCCACAGTAGTTACTTCATTTGGTGATGAAGGGATTATAGCTAATCATTTCCCATTCTTCTTTAAAGAAGATAAAGAAACCGGTAAGAAGTATCTTATTGCTCATATTGCTAAAGCCAATCATCAAATTCCATCCTTAAAAGAAAATGATGATGTTTTAATCATTTTTCAATCTCATAATACTTATATTTCACCAAATTATTATCCAACTAAACAAGAGACTCATAAGTTTGTCCCAACTTGGGATTTCGCTAGTGTTCATATTAAGGGTAAATCAAAGTTACTTGATGATTTTGATTTTGTTAGAAGTCAAATTAGTGCTTTAACAGATCAACAAGAAGCTGATAGAGATGATCCATGGAAAGTTACTGATGCTCCAGAAGGTTATTTAAAAGTTATGCAAAAGGCAATCATTGGTTTAGAAATTGAAATTGAAAGTTTCCAATGTAAATATAAGTTTGAACAAGGTATGAAAAGAAAAGAAGTTGATGGAGTTATTAAAGGTCTTGCTGATGATAATTTACCTGAAGTTTCAAATTTAACTGTAACTGCCAATGCTAGAGCTGAAATTAAAAATGCCGAGAAGCAATAATGAAAGCTATAATATTAATAATTATTCTAGAATACACTTTTTTTTTATATATAAATAGATATATATACAATATATATAATACATGAGAAACAATCAAGCAAGCAGATTTAATAGTAATTAGTATGGAGTAAATCTATTACCTCTGAAGGCTCCTCTACCACCTCTTCCTCCTCTACCACCACGAGCACCTCTGAAGGCACCTCTACCACCTCTACCGCCTCTTGCACCACCTCTGAAAGATCCACCTCTATTTGTGGTACTTAAACCTGGAATATTAGTTCTTTTAGCACTAACTTTTAATTCTCTATCTCTGAAAGTTGATCCATCTAAAGTAGCAACTGCTTTATTAACTCCATCCATATCAGAGAATTCTAAATATGCAAACCCTTTTGGTTGACCTGTGAATTTGTTCATTAAAATAGTAACTCTATTAACTATACCAGCATTTGAAAAATGTTGTTGCAATTCTAATGGAGTTGATCCATAATCAACATTACCAATATAAATCGATCTTGAATCAATATCTCTTTTCTCTTCATCAGTTTGTGGAGCCCCATCAGTGCTATCACTGTTTAATTGTGAATGTAGATCTCTTAATCTTTGAGCTTCCTTTTCCATTTCTTCAAGTCTACTGGATTCAATCAATCCAACATCGGTATTGGTTGTTTCTGAAGTACCAGTGATACTTTCAGCACTATCAAAGATGACATCTTGATTATCTACTGGAATCTGATCAGACATTTTGATGATTTATATACTGTTGACGTCTGTTTGGTGATATATACACTTTTCACAACTCTGTTTACATCAATTTTTTTTTCACACAGAAATTTGCTACTGGTAATTGTTACAGAATCGTAAAGAAATACACATATTTTTTATATGCAGAATTTTAAAATTGAAAGGACTATAATAAATAAATAACTAAAATAATACATAACTTCTATGGACCAAAACCAGGTATATTTCTTTCTCTACCTAATGTATGGGATATGCTCTTATTATGGATGTTACGAGGAGCAGATACATGTCCTGTGATGTTGATAGGACCACTGGGTGATGTTGCTTCCCCGTTTGCAGTTGAACCATAATCTCTCTTCTTTCCTCTTTTCTTTCTTTTACCATGTAATGGAAGTAACAGTTCTGTTTCTGTTCTTAACATATCCAAGTCTGTTTCATAACCAATGTCAAAACCTCTATCGAAATCTTCACTATCATCGTCAGTTAATACTGGCATAAATGTAGATTCGCTTCTAGGGAACATAGAATCATTATCATATTGGGATAAAGGTTCACCAAATTTCCTTCTATTATTACCTAAACAATAGATAGCACCAAGCATTACCATGCCAAACATGGCCAAACCAAGGATTATACCAACTCCGACACTAATAAATCCAAGATGAATATGAAGGAAATTATCATCATCAGGATCTTCAATCCATTTTAAGTTCAATGGCTTTTCAATCAAAAATACACATGAAGCTGATGATTGGTTTAATGAAGTACAACCATGATTTAATAATCTAACTTCATGATCTTTGTTATATGAAAGAGCATTGAAATCTGACGAATTATGATTGTTGAGCTTATGTAATTGTAAATAAACTTTATCATTTTTATGATCTCGGATACATACCATGGTAGCATTAGTGAGATTTGTATTCACAACATAACCAGTGGAATTAAGTTGAGGAGAATTATCGTTGATACAATCAATCAAGTTTCCGATTTCTTTATTTGGAATCAAATGCAATTCAAGGAAATCATATAACTTGGTGAAACTAGTAGTGATATTAAAATCCTTCAAGGACTCTGGACTCGGGATAAGTAAGGAGTATTGATTTGTACTATGCGCTTCCCCATGGAAACCCAACGCTTTACTTAATTTTGGAAACATTTCAATAAGATTCACAATCGAGTAATCAGGATAATTCATATCCATGGTTGTTTTAGCCAAATCTGCAAATGGAATCGAAAAACTTTCAGGTAATAAAACTTCATTGATGATATGAATCACCCCTTGATTGAATAAGATATCGGAATTTATAGGCAAGGATACTTTGGTATTATTTAATCTAATCATATGATTGAAACCTCCGTCATATTGATAGTTTTCAATATTGACTAGATCACCATTTAGATTTGATGAATGGACCATTTGTCGATCTTTATGATTGAGTCCAAAATTAGAATAAATAGTATCTTCAATGAACATCCCTTTCAATAAATCTTTGAATAATAAAGGATTAGCTTCTAAATAATTCAAGATCAATCCAAGATCTTTCCATGATCCTTTTGAATTTTTTATGTTTCTACCACATGGTAAAAATACGGAATAACCTTTACCATTTTCATTTAATGAATACATATCAAAATCATTGAGATATTGTAATGTGGTAAGACAAGTCTTTTGATCAATTTTAATGTGTTCTAAATGTCTATGTATAGCACCATCTGACATTAAATCACCTACAGAGTGTTTGAAAGATACTGGGGATGTGATTTCTGAATCTGTCACGTAAACAAAACTATTATTACCAAGAGGCATTGGAATATCTATAACGCCGATATCATCATTTAAGGTTGTAACATTTTCACCTTTGATATTGGATACTGATAATTTCAATTTAAAACAACCTCCGACTCTCTTTTTTGAGCAAAGTTTCGAATTTAATAATTGATGATTCCCATCTGATTCAGCTTCAACCGTAGTTAAATCAACTGGTTCATCAGCAAATTGATAAAGTAAATTCTGTTTTGAACTGAAGGAATATACGTTGACACTTTCTCCATCATCATTGTCATCATCTTCTTCAATATCATCTTTTTGATCACGTTCTATGAATAATGTTTGATTAGCGACAGAGCCATCAATTAAATAATCCAATGATCTGAAATTTAATTCCTTCACAAAATTGGAAAAATGTAAAGCATAAAGTGCTTTTCTAGGGATAATATCAACAGTTGGGATATTCAAAGCTTGAAAGAATTTGGAATTGTCTTTTGATACTTTTGTGGTTGCTTCATTATTAAATATATGTACTACTCCATCCGAAGCAAGGTATGAAGTACTACTCGTAAGTTTGTCATTAATTATTATTGATGTTTGATTTAAATGGATTTTATACTTTGAATCTTCAGCAAGAGATTCATGCAGTTTTTTTGTGGCGGTACCGTTGGTACCATATACCAAGTCTTTCAACATGATATGACGAAGGAGGGAGAAAATATCTGTTTTGACTTCGAGGAAGGCTTCATCAGTAGTTGAGAATTTGGTACTATTAAGGGAATGAAATGATGAAAGATAGTATCTTCTTTCAATCTCAGTTAATGAATCATTGATGAATTCATCACTAGGGATTAATAAGGATCTAGTATTAGAAAAGAAGCTTTCACAAGTATCAGGAAAGACTTCCTTTGGAGGTTTATATTCCTTCTTCTTTTTCTTCTTTTTACCTTCAATAAAGAATTCTTCTTCATCTAAAAAGATCAGTTGAAATAATTGTTTTATAAAAGATATATTTTGTCCATCCAATTGATAAGTCGAATCATCAAGTAATATATCACATATAGTTGATTTTTGGGGAAGTAAATGTTCGATACCTTGAATAAAAGAATGTTGATGTTTGGCGTAAATATCCGGATCTATGATGGCAGATACATTATCAACCACGTATTCAAATGTTTCAAAATCAGGTATGATACTAATAGAATAGTTCTTTTCAGCCAGCATCCTATATAATGTATTGAAATAGACTTCATTATCATCTAGATAACCGACTCTGAACTTTTGATTTACAATATATCTTAATAATTGATTATTGTCTAGTTGTTTAATGGCTTCTAATGATGAAAATGCCAGATTCACAGGAGCCAACAACGTTATATCATGTAAGCTATTGATGATGGGTACCATACCATTTCGTTGAAGATGTCGTAAAAAGTATGAATATTGTGCTTGTGATGATAGTATATCGATAATGGTTGATGGTGTTTCTGTGGGGTCTAATGACGTGGTGGTAGGAGTTTCCACCTTCGTCGTACTAGTTGTTGTTTTCGCTAGAACTCGCACTATACATAGAAGTATAGCCACAAGCGTACGCAAGTACATAGTATCTACTTATTCACCTATCTGAAGCAATAATTATGGGTTGGTTGCAAGTGGATTTCTCCAAGACTGTCTGAGTCCTGGTTAAAGAGAAAAAAAAAACAATCATCATTTTTCTTTTTTTGGTTTCCTTGTTTACGACACAAACAAAAAAAAAATGCGTGAGTGTAAATATGTCAAAAAGACCATCATCATGACTTACTTTGTCATAGTGCTGGTTATCAACGTTTGACTATATCAGATGGAAACAACTCAAATAGATAATGCAGAAGAAATCCAGAATGAGTGATACAATGGAACATGTCGCTGCCGATATGGAGCAGTTTAACGAGGGTCTGTCCGATACTTCTACCACTTTGAATCGGAGGAGAACCGTTGAAGATGAGCTTCAGGAATTGGAAGCAGAGTCACTTCAACAATCATTACCTGAGGGATTTAACGTTGACGAGAAACCCATAAGATCAGAGCCTATTCGATATCATCGTGTAGCGCTTGAAAAGGGTCATAAGTATTATTCTGTACTACTTAATATCGTTAATGGTGCTATATGGGGTGTATTAGCTCGTAAGGGAATTATGGTTTTAACTACTTATGATGGTTCTTATTTAAGTGGAGTTCTTTGGGCTAATTTTGGAGCTTGTATTGTCATGGGTATAGCTGTCAATAGTTCAAGGACTTGGGATATTCTATTAGAAGTTCATGGATCAGAGTATCCTAATAAAGCTTCCATTCCATTTTATACGGGGTTAACCACCGGATTCTGTGGTACATTTTCATCATTCTCAACTGCAATGTTGGAAGCATTTAATAAAGCTGCTAACACTGAAATTGGAGTTTATTATAATTATCCTAATGCAGCATATGGAATTATGGAATTTCTTGCTGTTATTTGTATTCAATTTGGATTATCTGGTGCTGGTTTTCATATTGGAAGACATCTTGTCGAAGTATTTGATGAATATGTTCCGACCTTGACCAGAGCTCAATATAAAATCCTTGAAAAGCTGTCGATTATAATTGGAATCATAGCTTTTATTGTTGATTGTGTTTTAATTGGTGTTAAAAAAGAATGGCGGTCATGGACTTTTGCTGTACTTTTTGCTCCATTTGGAGCTTTACTTCGATTTTATTTATCAAAATATTTAAATTCAAAAGTAAAGAATTTCCCATTGGGAACATTTACCGCAAATTTCGGCGGTACTTTGCTACTTACTATCTTTACCTTATTGGCTAGAGGTAAAGGCATAACGGTTAATCTTATAACTTGCCATGTTTTAATTGGCTTAGATGATGGATTTTGTGGTGCATTGACTACGGTGAGTACATTCGTAGTTGAATTATTTGGTTTGAGAACTTTACATTCCTATAGATATGGAATGTTCTCAATCTTGGGGAGTTTTGCTGTTATTGTATTGATCTTAGGATCATATAATTGGACAATTGGTTTAACTTCACCTATCTGTTCTTAGATGAGTTGTACTTTTACAGCAGTTTTTATAGAGAATCTTATTCTTTAAGGCTCATAAAACAACTCACAATTGACTGTATTTGTAGTCAATCACTGAGGGGTTTTAAGCTTATGGTATTTTTTTATGTACTTGTAACGCATAACATTCAGATAGAGTTATGCGGTTAATATATATATGATTTATTCCAAATTATCGATCTCCTGTATTATCCGTAAAAGAGAGCAAATTAAACCCTAGCATTGATTAAAAATGAGCAATATATATAACCAAGATCTGGTTAATCATTCCTCATACGCCTTTTAAAATGAGTCAATTTGATTTACTTATTAATAATATAATTAGATTGCAAATATATGAGCAAATATCTTCTATTTGGGGTTTTTAACTCTCACTGTTTTATGAGTGAGCAAATTGCCATGTCCCAAAGCGGTAATTGCAAGTTGCTCGTGCGAAAAAAACGAAAAAAAATTATCAGATCTCAGTTCAAGCTATATATATATAAATATAAGGTTGAGTTTAGATCTAGCTTGATGATAATTTGAAGAGTGTTGATTGGATTTATTAGAGTAGGTTGAATTTTTTTTCTTGGTCTCTAAAGGTCGTAAACCATGTTTAAAAGAGGTGTTGAATATGAAGGCATGGACTGTCTTAAGGACATGACTTCAGCTGAATACACTGCTGCTGGAACAGTACTGCAGACAGAAGTAGCATGGATGGCTCAAGGTAAGTATGGTTATTATACGGTCTATTTCGGAGCTGCTGTGATCGGTTGTGCTTTAGTCAAGCATTTATGGTACTTGTACAGAGACTTCAGTTATAAAAGGAATAGAGTCAATGTAATAAGTCCGTTTATTGATGTATTTGTGGCTTATTCAAGATACTTAGGTTATAAACAGATACCAGCTAGAATAAGTTATTTCACATCATTACCTCCATCTTTGGGATCAACTTTGTTCATGTTTTTATCTTCGGTATATTTATTTTGTTATTCTTTAGTTCCTCATTTTTGGTATAGAGGTTGTTTTGGGTTTGGATCTCCACCATTGGCAGTTAGATCTGGTATCATGGCAGGTGCTTTAACTCCTTTTATTTATATATTAGCTGGTAAAGCTAATATGATTACATTTTTAACTGGTATCAGTTATGAAAAATTAAATCAATATCATCAATTCGTTGGAGTTGCTTGTTTTGTATTATCAGTTATTCATACTATTCCATTCATTTATCAACCATTAGTTGAAGGTGGTACTAGTAATTTAAGATATCAATTTACTACCGATTTCCAATTCTATAGTGGTATTCCACCTCTCATTATCTTGGGATGGTTGGTCATAGCATCAAAAGCTTGGTTTAGAAAAATTTGTTATGAATTTTTCTTACATGCCCATTGGTTATTTGGTATTGCATATTTTGGTACTTTGATTTGGCACATTAATAAAACTTTAAATTATGATGATTATATGTGGGGAGCTTTAGGTTTCTGGGCGAGTCAACTTATTTATAGAGCTCTTGTCAAGACTGCATTTAAGCCAAATACTTTATTCTTAAGACCAAGAATTGCTAAACTTTTAAAATTATCCGATAATGCTTATCAAATCTCAATCGCTAATACAAAAGGTTATAAATGGAAACCAGGTCAACATTGTTTCTTAAGGTTTGTGGGATCCAGAATCTTAGATAATCATCCATTTTCAATAGCTTCTATGATTGATAATGATCTGAAAGAAATGAAGTTCTTAATTGTTCCTAAAAAGGGTTTAACTAAAAAGATTTATGATGAATTAGATGAGTTTGTGGTCAAGGAAAAGAAAGTCTATATTGATGGTCCATATGGTGGAACTACAAGAGATCCAACAGCTTTCGACAGAATCATCTTATTAGCATCTGGAAGTGGTGTTACTGCTACTCTTCCTTTCTTGTTATTCATGGCTAATGAGATCAAAGAGAGTCAAACATCAAATAAAAGAGTTGTCACTCAATTGATTGACTTTGTTTGGATTGTGAGACATAAAGATAATATTAATTGGATTAAAGATGAATTAACCAAGTGTAAAAATATTGCTGGTGATAAAATCAGAATAACAATTTATATATCAAGGGATGGGGACGAAAACTTAAGTGGTAAGGATGTAAAAGATGGTATTGAATTATCTAACATCGATGATGTTGAACAATACATTGAAAATTCCGAATCTGATTCTGATATTCCAGATCTTGATATTAATATTCTTCCTTTCAAACCTTCCATTACAAGATTAGTAGAAGATCTTAAAGGAAGTTTACTGAGAAGAAATTTCATTGTCTCCTCAGGAAGTGAATCCATGAAAGCTCAAGTAAGTGCTGCTGTTTCAAACTTACAAGCATTAATTTTTAATAATGATTATAATCATTCGTACATAGAAGAGATCTACTTACATACTGAATCATTCGGTTGGTAGGTCAAAAAATAAACATATATTCATAATAATTTAGGAAATAGTGTGAACTCGTAGGCTAAAACAAACATCTCTTCCTCCTAATCATGTTTAAGGATGTAATCAATATCGTCATCAATCGAATCAAAGAATTCCTTTCTCGAAGTAAACTTTGGTGTCCAACCAAATTTTACCCCATTATCACCTCTACTTCTTGAATTTGTACCCCAATAAAAAGGAGCAAATTCTTCATCAGTCAAATCGATGATTTTACTTGGTTCTAACTCCTCAACTTCTGGAGACGAAATAAGCTTTCTTTCGTACAATTTTTGGCCAATGGCTTCAGAAATTTGTCTCCAAGTATGCTCAATATCAGTTGGCTTGGCATTACCTGGAACATCCTTAGTTGTTAGTGAACCAAAGTAATACCCCTCTTTGTTAATAGGAACATGTTTATTAGTAAGAATGGACACTAATAGCAATTGGTATAGCTCACCTAAATCCTTAATATGGATACGACTCCAAATATAATTACCATCGTAAACTGAAAATGCCTTCTTGTATTTAAGAATTGAACGTATTAAGAATGGGATCTGAATGGAGATTATATTATCATAACCTTTACTAATTCCATAAATGGTTGAAGGACAAATAATAACAGTTTGGATCTTGGGATTTTTATCATGAATATCAAGGACAATTTCATCAACTGGACGATGTGGTTGTTTAGAATCAAGAGCATTGATTTCATCAATATTTTCAGAATCAGAATAAATCTTGATAGCAGGAGGTTTCTTTGCAGCTAGCCCATCTCCAAGAATTGACGTACCTGAAGTGTGTATCAAAATTTTAGGAGTAATGGAAGCAACTAAAGCATCAGAAATTGCTTGAGCGCTTGGAACGTTATCAACATCTGCTGTATTAATAATGATGTCACTTCTAGCTGCTTGATCCTTAATTAAATCGATATCATCTAAAGTTCCAATCACTGTTTTAACTTTATTTTTGGTCTTAGATTTTAAATTAGCAGCTTTCTTGTCTGACCTAACTAGCGCAGTAATCTCAAAATTTGCAGTATCTTTATTATTCAATAATTGATATAATACTTCACCACCAATGTAACCGGTAGCACCTGTAATGAAAACTTTCTTGGTCATCTTGTGTATATGTATTGGCCAATTAATTGAGTCACTTGCAGTGTAAACATGTCAACTGATTAGCCTTAAATATCCTTTCAAATCTGTATAGCGCAATTATATTTCTTACTAATACAAAGTTGCGGACCTACAAAAATGTGCGCGTGAGGGGAGGTGGGGGACGAGTGGAGGAAATTTAAGAATTGCTGCTCATTACGAATGGCTGCACAACTAAGATCCTTCAACCATTGTTCTCTCAGGAATGTTAGATAAATCATCATTTGATACTTTACGTAATATGACTGACTACAACATATTAATAGATTTGAAGAATCTTAAAATACGCTGGATTAGCTTAAAATCGGTTCCTTGATATGAAAAAAAAATAATGGAAACAGGGCTTCATCTTGAACCATAATAAGATACCCAATCTCGTAAGATTACTTGAAGGGGAAATACAATAATGTCAGAGCTATTACGTAACTCTGGTCGAATATTTTCTCGACTCTAATTGTATTGTTTTGTTAGTTATGACATAATTAATTGGACTCAATACTTGACTTCATACCAAAAAACTAACTTGGTTGTGTAACCTAGATCCTTTTCATATTAGGTTAAACTTGGTTTATCAAATTGGAAAGATTTGTAGCAGCTCTATGACATCAAAACTTTACCAACGGATAATCCTCTTTATTCATGACATTTCACGGACAAATTGAAACAAGACGAAATTCCTAGAATCACGTCATAAGTGTGAATTCAACTAAAAGTTATTTATTAAAACCATAGTAATTCCATCGCTGGCATTATAATTTAATACCACCACAAACTAAGAAATTTCAGTTAAAGGGTAAATCTCGAATTCGGATTAACGTTGGAAAAATTTCTGGAATAATTCCCATTACCCCACACACAAAACGGAATTTCTTAGAATATATGTTTTCTTGATTTGCATTCCCATTAGAAAATAATTTTCTTGGCTATAGCTATTTATACCGAGCTAAGTTTAGAAACAAAACAAACAAAATTTATTGGAATAATTATAGTTAGTTTACTATGAATCACGAGTTGAAACCTAGCTCGTGACAAAATGTAGTAAAAATTCATAACACTTTAACAGGTTATAATTTCAATTATTGCTTAAAGAAAAACCTTAAAAATCTAGCTGTAAAAGGGAGCCAAGCAAATAATTGCAAAAACGGACAAATTGTAAATTAATAAATATATTTTTGGATTAAACTGATTAATTAATTATTAAAGTATGTGGGGGATGCCTTAATAATATTAACGTATACGGGCTTTGTACGGTTCTGTCTGTCTAGGTACTGGCACTATATTCGAACCTTGTCATTATTATGATCTTCGAAAGGTTAACAAAAATACTTGGTATGGAGTGACTTACGTGTTCTTCCGTTCGTAACTGAACTATAGGAAGAATCAAGACGTTTTAACAAGATTTCCAAGCCATAATGTGGGGAGATTATCCTTTATACACGAGTAGAATAATTCTTAGTTTTAACTTTTAATAATAAATAATCCTGAATCGAATAACAACCCCGCGAAAAACCTTATTTTGTGAGGCTGTACTGCGTTGCCGTACTAATTTGGTATGGTACGGCTTTGATGATCGTTATTTTTTTTGCTTCCCTGATTCTTTTTTTTTTCACTGTAATTCGCAGCTCATCTGAATTTGGCTGGCCCTTAAATTGATCGTCATAACTTTACATAGTAGATACCAGACTACATAGATAATCCAGAAACTGAATCGACATGAGATGAAATTCCTTATATTAATATGCGTAAAATTTAAAAAATCGTGATAAAAAAAATTCTAATCAAGAAAACATCACCTGTAGAGCTATTGTTTGAACTTTATTATTTACCCTTTCCCCAGGTCTTAGCTCCAAACCAATATTTTTTTTCTTGGATGCTAATTGTCACTTTACAGAGACTACGAAGACTTGAAGTTTGTTTCGTAGACGAAATCTATAAATTGACTCGGTTTCGCTGTATATTATCCAGACCTTATATTCTTTTGTTCATTAATTAAAACTATAAAGTTCAATTTATATAAAAGTTAAAAATGGGTTTAGAAGATAATAAACTCGTTCAAAGATTCGTTAATGTTGGTGAAAAGAAGGCTGGATCTACCTCTATGGGGATCTTTGTTGGTATGTTTGCTGCTTTTGGTGGTATCCTTTTCGGGTATGATACTGGTACCATCTCCGGTATAATGGCTATGAAATACGTCAAAGAAAGATTTCCTGCTAATAAACAAGAGTTTACTTCATCAGAAAGTTCTTTGATTGTCTCAATCTTATCTGCTGGTACTTTCTTTGGTTCCCTTACCGCCCCAATTTTATCAGATAGACTTGGTCGTCGTTGGTCATTGATCATTTCATCTTTAGTTATTTTCAATATTGGTATTATTTTACAAACTATTGCTACTGCCATCCCATTATTATGCGTGGGAAGAGTCATTGCTGGTTTTGGTGTTGGTTTAATTTCTGCTGTTATTCCATTATATCAAGCCGAAACTGTTCCAAAATGGATTAGAGGTGCTGTTATCTCATGTTATCAATGGGCCATTACTCTTGGTTTATTATTAGCTGCTGTTGTTAACCAAGCCTGTCATGCTAGAACTGATTCTGGATCTTATAGAATTCCAATTGCTATTCAATTCTTATGGGCACTTATCTTAGGTGGAGGTTTACTTTTATTACCAGAAACTCCAAGATTCTGGGTTTCAAAATCTCAAGAAGATAAAGCTAAAAAGTCTCTTTCTACTTTAAGAAAATTGCCACTTGATCACCCTGATTTAATTGAAGAATATGAAGAAATCAAAGCTAATTTTGATTATGAAAGTAGAGTTGCTGATTCATCCTGGAAATCTGTTTTCGCCAATAAGAACAGTCAAAGAAAGAGATTAGCCATGGGTGTTTTCATTCAAGCTTTACAACAATTAACTGGTGTTAACTTTATTTTCTACTATGGAACTAATTTCTTCCAAAGAGCTGGTATTGAAAACAGTTTTGTTATTCAATTAGCTACTAATATTGTTAACTTCGGTTCCACTATTCCAGGTATTATTTTAGTTGAAATTGTTGGTAGAAGAAAGTTATTGTTAGGAGGTTCCATTGTGATGTCAGTTTCTCAATTAATCGTTGCTATCGTTGGTGTTGCTGCAGGTGAACATTCTCAAGCTGCTAATAAATGTTTGATTGCCTTTGTTTGTACTTTTATTTCTGCCTTTGCCGCCACCTGGGGTCCTGGTGCTTGGATTGTTATTGCTGAATCATTCGCTTTACCTGTCAGACAACCTTCTATTGCTCTTTCCACCGCTTCTAACTGGTTATGGAATTTCGCTATCGCTTATGCCACACCTTACATGGTTGATTCAGGTCCAGGTAATGCTGACTTAGGAAGTAAAGTTTTCTTCATTTGGGCTGGTTGTAACATTCTTGGTTTCTTATTCATTTACACCATGGTCTACGAAACTAAAGGGTTATCCTTGGAAGATGTCGATGAAATGTATGAAAAATGTAAACACGCTTGGAACTCTCCATCCTTTATCCCAACTCAACATGCATTCCAAAGTGCTCTTGACTCAAACTCTGTTAATGACGAAAGTAAAGCTGAAGTCGAAGAAGCTTCAGTCTAATAAAGTTTTGTCATTCAGCTATCTAATTTCTTTATGATATTACGAAACTTATTTATAATAATGATTAGATTTTATACATCTGCTCTCAAAACCACTTAATGTCATATAATAAAATACATTTAAATTTTTTAAAAATGATTGTTGTAGCATTAAAATTAGAAATTCATCAATACCGTTAGAATGACTTCGCAGTCAAAAATAAATTTTTGAAAGGCCCAGCAAAAATTTGTATGTCATCCACAAAAATAATAAGGTTTTAAAATCACGTTAAAGAAGACTTGAAGTTCGGTGTCGGACAGCTCACGACGGATTATCATCATACCTTAATGCACCTTACCATTTCGTCATATTAAATATGACCTCGTCTAAAAAAGGGTTTACTCTAATCGAATTATATTTTAAACTTTAGATTGAAGTACAGAAGAAGAATGTGCCAAATAAAGAACAAGAAAGAGCTATAGAAGTAGAAGCTTCACTAGTAGACACTACAGAATAAGTAGATGAAAGTAATATAATTATTTATAATCTAGACAATTGCTAGTTAGTAATATATCTCTTTTCAGCTTCAGACCAATTAATCACATTCCAAATAGCCTTGAAATAGTCAACTTTAACATTTTGATATTGTAAATAATAGGCATGTTCCCAAGCATCAATTGCCACTAAAGGAACCAATGGTTCAAGAATAGTATCTTGGTTGTAAGTAGTAACAACATCTAAAGTATTTCCGTTTTGTTTATTGTAAACAATAAACGCCCAACCTGAACCTTGAATACTAGCTAATTTTGCATTGGTAATTTCAATTAACTTTTCAATACTTCCATACTGTTCAATAATCTGTTTACCTAATGGAGAATCCTTCGCTGGAACTTTACCACCATGTTGACTAACAGGGGATAAACTTTTCCAAAATAAAACATGATTGGTATGACCACCACCATGGAATTTGATGTTTTGTTGAATTTGAATAGCAGCTTTAACATCACCAGCTTCATTAGCCTTTACTAAATCATCTAAAGCAGCATTGAATCCATTAACATAAGTTTGATGATGCTTTTTGTGATGAATTTCATTGATAGCACCAGAAATATGTGGTTCTAATTCATTATAACCCCAATCAAGTTGAGGTAAACTAATTTTTACAATATTTGGCATTTGATTTGAAGATTTATTACTATTATCAAAGTAGTAATACGCTAACAACAAGGTCAAACATATGAAACTTGGGAAAATCATCATTTAAATACCATTTGTAATATCCCTTACTACTATATGAGCACTTTTCTATACCGTAATAGTTATACACACTTTTTTTTTGTATGAGCCACCACAGCGTTATAAAATCAAAATTTACCTTCACCAAGTTAGCTTCCATTTATTCATCCACACAGTCTACTAGAAGTTGATTACACTATTTAACTTTACGATTGCAAATTGAAAGTAAACTTTTCAAAAAAAGTGGTAAACCTCAGTTGTTTATATTTTAATCGACGTGTGGTGCCACATAATTGCAACCAAGTAAAAATATCATTAAGGTGGTAAAAAAGAATAACCCTCATATACGCATACAAAACGTATTCCCTTTCAGAGTTTGAAAAATATCATCAGCAACCATAGTTGATATGTTGTAGAACTATATTATGAAAAGATATACATAATTGAAAACTTTAATTTAATATCTTGTACCACTATTTTCGGACAAATATTTTGAAAAATTTAAGAATTAGATATCGCTTACTTTTGCTTTTTTATATCCAATGGAAATTTTATCAATTTGATCTATAACCATTAATAGCATAGATGTTTTTGACAGATATTGACCAAATGCTATTTGTGGATGTCAGTTAGGTACACTCGGCTTATCTTCTCCGTACCTACATTTTGTTTGAATAAAGTGGTCTTATTTTGATTGACTGCCATGGCTAAACAGTAATGCTAAGTTTTATTTTAAGCAAATCTCGTGTTGGTTCTGTAACTTCCAATCAAAACTATACAGAACTGACTTGAATGTTTCCCAGTTTTCCCTCTAAACGGTTGGAAATAAGTAGTTACCAAGAAATTAAGAAAAATGGAAAAGCTCTTACTACTGCGATAGTGCCGAAGCGGACCAGTTGATTTCGATATGTCCGTTGATCCTGAGAAAAAAAAATTAAGGTTGCAAACTTTTCTTGAGCACTTTTTCTCATAGGCATAAAATATAGGGCATTAAAATATATATCGAGCTAAGACAAAGTTAAATAATTAATTTGTACACAATGAGCTGCTAAATCGCTTTTTACGGCAAATTTTCTCAAAACTGCATGAATAGACCCTAAAATGATAATAATTAGTTTCTTGACACAACAGATTTTCTATTTTAATTGACCGTCTTGTTTGAAGAAAGAGAGAAACTGTTACAAGGAATTATAAGCTAAATCCAAACCAAAAGGCCATTTAATTTATCATTGGCTATAATTAAACCTTTAATTAACGTCTAATCTAAATATTAGAGCTTTCAATATGCAGTAGTTCTTTAAAATTTAGCGAGTTTGGAGGTTACTGTTTACTGTTTGAGAACTTCGTATATAATACCAAGAAATTTATTTAAAGTATACAACAGTTAAGAAATTTTTTTTATCAATTTCATCACCGAGCTGGACCTTACCATTGGGGGTAATATGCTGTGATTGGACATTTAAGCTATTAACCGGCGGCTCGTATTAGATCTATGATCTGATAAAAATGTTGAAGAAAACTTATTTAAAAGCAAATATTTCACCATGTAATTAGATAATTATATAGTCATTTTTTTTGATTGAAATCTTCAATCAAGAACAATTACAATGAAAGTTCAACTACTCGTGCTTCTTGCCATTCTTGGTGTATCTTTAGCTGACGAGACTATAACTGATGCTCCAGATCCAACCACTGAAGAAGATAATCCATGGGCTACTTATCCATCAGTAGCTAAAACTGCTTCTATTAACGGTTTTGCTGATAGAATTTACGATGATATGCCAGAATGTGCTAAACCATGTATGTTCGCTGATACTGGTAAGACTCCATGTCCGTATTGGGATACTGGATGTTTATGTATAATGCCAATGTTTGCTGGTGAAATTGGTGAATGTGTGGCCGATGCTTGTAAAGGTGGCGATGTCCTCACCATGAGAAGTTTAGCTACTTCTATTTGTTCTAGTGCTGGTGTTTGGGATCCTTATTGGATGCCACCTCAAGCAGTTTCCGATGCTTTAGATTCAGCTGCATCTGCCACTGATGCAGAAGAAACTCCAGAACCAACTCCAGAAACTACTGAACCAGAACCAGAACCTGAACCAAACACTGAAGAAACCACTGCTGAACCAACTCAACCAGCAACTACTGATGCTCCAACAACCACATCAACATCAACTACCTCTGTTATTAGAACTGCTTCTATTAATGGTTTCGCTGATAGAATTTATGATGAATTACCTGAATGTGCCAAACCATGTATGTTTGCTGATACCGGTATAACTCCATGTCCATATTGGGATACTGGATGTTTATGTGTCATGCCAATGTTTGCTGGTGAAATCGGTGAATGTGTAGCTGATGCTTGTAGAGGAAATGATGTCCTTGAAATGAGAAGCTTAGCCACCTCAGCTTGTTCAGTTGCTGGTGTTGGTGATCCATTCTGGAGACCACCTGCTTCGGTCTCTGAACTTTTGGAATCTGCTGCTTCCGCCACTGATGTTGAAGAAACTGCTGATCCAACCACCGAAGAAACTACCGAAGAACCAACTCAACCACCAACTACTGATGCTCCAACAACCACATCAACATCAACTACTTCTATCATCAGAACTGCTTCTATTAATGGTTTCGCTGATAGAATTTATGATGAACTACCTGAATGTGCCAAACCATGTATGTTTGCTGATACCGGTATAACTCCATGTCCATATTGGGATACTGGATGTTTATGTGTCATGCCAATGTTTGCTGGTGAAATCGGTGAATGTGTAGCTGATGCTTGTAGAGGAAATGATGTCCTTGAAATGAGAAGCTTAGCCACCTCAGCTTGTTCAGTTGCTGGTGTCGGTGATCCATTCTGGAGACCACCTGCATCTGTTTCCGAACTTTTGGAATCTGCTGCATCTGCTACTGATGTTGAAGAAACTGCTGATCCAACTTCTGAAGCTCCATCTTCAAGTGTTCCAGAAGCTACTAGTGAAACTCAACCACCAACCACTGAAGCTCCAGAAGAATCCGATAATCCATGGGCTACTTATCCACCTGTTGATAAGACCGCTTCCATTAATGGTTTTGCTGATAAGATTTATGATGATATGCCAGAATGTGCTAAACCATGTATGTTTGCTGATACTGGTAAGACTCCATGCCCATATTGGGATACTGGATGTTTATGTATTATGCCAATGTTTGCTGGTGATATCGGTGAATGTGTCGCTGAAGCTTGTAAAGGTGCTGACGTTCTTACCATGAGAAGTTTAGCTACTTCTATTTGTTCTAGTGCTGGTGTTTGGGATCCATTCTGGATGCCACCTGATTATGTTTCTGATGCTTTAGATCATGCCGCTGCTGCTACTGATGTTGAAGAAACTTCATCCAACTCAGAACCAACTTCAAGTGCTGACCCAAGCGAAGAAGACTCATCTTCAGATCCAGCTCCAACCGAAAGTGTTGATCCAAGTGATGAATCTAGTTCAGTGATTGCATCTACTGAATCATCTATTGAATCATCTGTTGACCCAGCTGACCCAGCTGAATCCAGCGAAGATCCAACTCTTGTTGATCCAGAAACTTCAATTATTCTTACTACCACCACCAATGTTGTTACTGAAACTTCCACTACTTGTGAAGAAAGTTTCACTTACACCAATCAAACATCAACTAAACAAAGTTCAAATGTAACTACCAAGAAACCAATTGAAACTGATATTGAGACTGAAACCATTGATGTGATTATTACTAAGACCAAGACCTTATGTACCAAATGTAAGACAGTGACTAAGACTGAAAATGGAGTTCCAACTACTGTTCTTGAAGATGAAGAAGAAATCACCAAGGAAACTGAATCACCAAAGAGTAAACAACAAACAGAAGGTGGTGAAGTTAAACCAACCAAATCTGGAGAAGTTGAAGCTCCTGCTAAATCCAAATCGGGAGAAGCTGCTGGAGTTCCAGAAAAAGAAACCAAACCAGAGGCTGAAGTTGCACCAACTGCAGCTGTGAGTAGTAGTAGCGCTGGTGTTGCTGCTCCACAAGAAACTGGTATCATAGATCAAATCAATTCAGGATCAAGCTTGATGCCGCTGATTGTTAATTTTGTAATTATTGCTATGTCATTAGTTTACTTCCTTTAGAGAGGTCCAATCATATAAATTAAATTAAATTAAACTAAACTAAAAAAAACATATATACAAAACCTAGATTTTTCGGTTCCAAGCTTATGATACTAGTGTATTAGCTTGGGTATTCTTTTTACATAGTTCTTCCTATTGATTATAATAAATTTTTTTTTAATATTCTGTGTTTACTCTTTGTTATAAATTGTGTTAATATAAAACTCATCTCTTTATATATCATCATACTTTTTGTATTAATATATATATTTATCGATCTAATTATAGCAATTGAGTTGTACAATTGAAGACAAAGAAAGGTCTAGAACCAAAAAAAAAAAGACGAGAGATCACCAAACATCCAGACCGCAAGATGATTTGGTTTTGTGGCCATTTAATCTATAAATAATTTTTTTTTCTGATTTTTTCTTAAAATAGACATTATTTCCTAATTGGTATAAATTAAAATAATTTTATGACCCAGTAGTGATTGACGATCAAACTTTAGTTGATAGGGGAGAGGAAGAGGGTTACATGGTTTTAAGAATCTAGATAATAAGAAAAAACTCTGAATTAAGAATTAGGGGGTTAAAATTGATGTTTGTAAGTGTAAAAAAGGATTTAAACAAAGGAATCAAGTATTTATAAAATTATTTAACGAAAGATGCATAATAATGAGAGGAAGAGATGAATGAAGGCAAAGGAAGGAAGAAATGATTTGAATCGAGAACGCAACTAATTAACAATGACATACATAATTGTTTACAATAAATACCAACATAACTGAAACAATATATGTTATAAAATGTTGTAGGGAGGATAAACAAATAAAGAGATTTAAAAATAGAAGTATCAACAATTATAATAATCAGATTACATCAGTGTGTAAGATAACCCGCCGCAGCGTCTATCTAGCTATCTCTATCTACCTAAATGTTAGCTTAATGTACAGCAATTTTACTCAGCATTTCTAAATTTCAATTGAAATGAAAGGGTCATTCTTCCGCCATCTTCCCTTCTTTTTTATTCTATTCTGTTAACACATCTCCCTAAATTCTCCCCTTTATCAATCTACATCATCATCTTCATCATCTCGTAAGTTGTCAACGTTATTTATATAAGTATCTGTTCGTTCCTGTAAGTAATTTAACAGTAAATTTTTGTCTGTTTCTTTCTTGTATACAGGAACAAGGCCGTTTCTAAAAATAATTTTGTCAGACATTTTACCCACACGTCTTAAAATAAAATAAAAAGACAAAAAAAAATTTACAAAGTGCGACTGAACCAAAGTGAGATAAAAAAAAAAAAAAATTACTTCACAATTACAATCATTCAATTTTTATACTTTGTTCGTCAAAAATACCTTTATAGAGATTTATACATGACAACAGTCAGAAGAGTGGAAAGATAGTTGACTACTTCAATCATTACTACACCCCCCAGTTACCCTCAGCCTCCCTGCCAACCCGCTTGTTGCCTTGTTTTGAACCATGAGTCATTCCCTGTCTCCCAATATTAGTGGATCAATTATAGGTTGGGTCAAGAATTTAAAGAAAGGTAATCTATTATCAAACGATAGCGTCAACGAAGTGACTAGTGATAACGATCTAAATAGTCAATCAGAATCAAAATCACCTTCAAAATCAATGCCTATAACTATCTTATTACCTCAATTATCGCAACTGCAATCATCAGTTCATACGAATAATAATAATAATACTAATAATAATAATCATATAAATCAATCATCAACTTCACCTCCTCATCAAGATTTTTTAAGACCTCTCTTACATCATAAATCAAGATCAACCAATAATGTTAATAGAGTACGTTCAAATTCTTTAAATCATCTGGAAAAATCTTCAAGTTTAAGACAACATCGAGATTCATTTTTGCAACAAAATCCTCTTGTTGATCAAAATAGTAAATATTTTGGTGTACCTTTAGAAATCGCCAATACTATTGCTTCTACAAGTGTTTTAAATGATTCTGAATATGGTCAAATTCCTAGAATTGTGGCTAAATGTGGGGTTTATCTTAAAAAAAATGGTTTAGGTGTTGAAGGTATATTTAGAGTTGGAGGTTCATCAAAAAGAGTTAAAGAATTACAATTAATTTTTAATACTCCACCTGATTTTGGTAAAAATTTAAGTTGGGATGGTTATAATGTTCATGATGCTGCTTCAATCTTTAGAAGATATTTAAATGCTTTACCAGAACCAATAATACCTCTTGATATGTATGAATCATTTCGAGATCCTTTAAGAAAACGTCATAGAATAAGTAATTATTTTAAACATCTTTCTCAAAAACCAACTTCATATACATCTATAACATCAAAGAATATTGTTGAATCTTCTTCAAATGAAAATGATTCTCAACCTTTAACAGAAGCAAATATTGGAAGATTAAATAATTCAAGTAATCCTCAAATTTTAAATCCTCCAAAGATTATAACTACTGATACCCAAGGATCTCTGGATAATTCTCCATCTGGTCTTTCACAACCAAAGTTTGAACAACCTGAACTTCAATCTCAACCTCAACCCCCAATAACTCAAAGTGAAGGAAATATTGAATCAAGTACAGAACATTTAGCTATAGATAAAAAATTAAAACATACTAAACAAAAAAGAAAATATGAAAAAGTTAAAAATGATGTACTTTCAGCCATTGAAGAATATAAACAATTAATAGATGAATTACCTCCTGCTTCAAAACAATTATTATTATATATTCTTGATCTTTTATCAATGGTTAGATTAGAAGTTGAAGTAAATTTAATGTCATCAAGAAATTTAGCAGCTATTTTTCAACCATCAATTTTATCTCATCCAAGTCATGATATGAATCCTGAAGAATATGCTTTATCTCAAACTGTGGTTGAATTTTTAATTCAATATTTTCATTATTTTTTAGCTGATTCATCATTTAGTTTAGAAACTGGAGTTCAAGATTATATTAATAATAATCATAATGAAAATATTACAACTGAAACAAAAAAAGAAAATGGAACTAGTCCTGAAAATGAACAAGATTTATTAGAAGTACCAAATTCACAATCACAACAAAAAGTGAAGAAAAGACATCATAGTAAATCATTATCTTCAACTCCATTTGAAGTTGATTTAGTTGGGTATCAAAATAAACTGTCAAAAGAACCTATTGTAATTTCTAAAAAAGAGTTTGAAATATCTGATGATGATAATGAAATTGATACCACTGGTGGTGAAGATAATGATCAACATTGAATAAAATAAATCAAATCAAATCATATCATATCAAATCACATACATATATATATACCCCATTACTCTCACTTCCTCACTCTCCTTCATTATTTCCTGTCAATTTAATTCCCATTCGCTCATTCAAAGTGCATATAGTATTATTTATAATTTAAAAGAGTTAGCAAACTCTTTTCTCTTCTCTTCTGTCCTTGTATTTATAATTAAGTTATATAATATATACAATTTCCATATATTATGGAATATCACTATACAAAAAAAATATCTGTAATATTTGTCGTGCGAAAGTTCAAATAATCAAAAGTTCAATTTTTCAACACACCCAAATAAAGAAGACAAAGGGCTACGATTGTACTACCGTTTAAGATAATCAAATCTAAACTTAATCAAAATATAAATAACAAACAATGTCAGATTCCGAAAGAGAGGCATTGAGTGGGGGTGAAGTAGAAGAGGCAGAAGAAGAAGATTTATTTGGGGAACAAGAAGAAGAGGAAGAAGAACAAGAAGTTAATGATGAAGATAATGAACCAGCAAAAGGTAGTGATGACGATGAAGATGAGGATGATGAAGACGAAGTGGATGTCAGAGATAAGAATTACATCGATATATCTTTACCTCGTCATGCTGAGGCAGCACCTACTGAAGAAGATACTTATTCCCTTAAAGTTCCAATTTTTTTAAATGTTGAAGCTCGTCCTTTTGATCCTGCCCTTTTTAAAAGTAAAGTTGAAGAAAGTGCTCTTGAAAGATCTAAAGAAAGTTTAACTGAAAAGGAACTTAGAAATCAAGCTCTTAATGAAAAATTACGTAATGAAAACACCATTAGATGGAGATATTCTAATAGTGGTAATGATGAAATTATAAAACAATCAAATGCTCATTTTGTGCAATGGGATGATGGATCTGTATCATTAAAGATTGGGAATGAATTATTTGATGTAAGACAAATCCCCGCTATAGATAGTTATTTAGTGAAGACTCATGATTCACTTGAAATTTTACAATTTGATTCCACCCTTAATAAAACTATTAATCTTTTACCAGCATCAACATTTACATCCACTCATAGAAAGTTAACTGCTGCAGTTAAAGATAGACAAAAGAAAGAAAAGATTCTTAGTACTATAACTCATGATGATCCAATGTTGAAACAAAGATTGGCTGATGAAAATGAAAGAAAAACATTGAAAATGAGAAGACAACTTGAATCAAAACGTAGAATGCAAGAAGAAAGACTTGAAAGAGGCAATAGTCCTGCTGTTCGTTCTCAATATAGTCGTGAAAATGCTTATGAAACCTTTGAAGATCAATATGCTGAAGATGAAGATGAATATGATGATGAAGATGATTTCATAGCTAGAGATGAAGAAGAGGAAGAAGGGGAAGAAGAAGAAGAAGATGCCGAAGAAGAAGAAGAAAGATTCGAAAGAGGAGCTGAACGTTTGAAACAATTGAAAGAAGCTGGAGCTTCGAGATATAAAGAAGCCTCTGAAGAAGCTAATGATAGTCTGGATGGAAATAGAAAGAGAAGACGAATAATCGATTCAGAAGATGAAGAGTAAATTAATTTAGTTATTATCTCCCTTGTATATTATAAATAATAAATCAAATCACTAAATGAACCGATAAAACCTGTATTGTAATGTTTACGAATCAAATATTCTCTAATTAAATAAATAAATTAACTAATTTAGTGAACCGTTTCACCTCAAATATTTTTTTTGATACCGCGGGTCTGATTCGTAAATAAATTTAAAATATCATAATTTAGATATGATAAATTGGATATTTGTTTCTTTATTGTGTATTGATCAATTACATGTCTCTAGTGAAACCATTACGTTTATTGTTACTAGGGGCACCAGGGGCTGGTAAGGGAACATTAACTTCTCGTCTTTTAAAGCAATTTCCATCCATTTCATCTATTTCTTCAGGAGATATCTTGAGATCACAGATATCCGGTGGTAGCGAATTAGGCAATGAAATTCAATCATATATAAAGCAAGGTAAACTTTTGCCGGATGATTTAATGGTTAAATTGATCACAGGTGAACTCAATGATAGGAATTGGCTTCATAAAGATGCCACCTGGTTATTAGATGGATTTCCAAGAACTGTGGGGCAAGCTTCAACTTTAGAACAAGTCTTACGAGCTAAAACTTCAAGTTTAAATTTAGTGGTTGAATTAGATGTGGATCAAAAAGTTATCATTGATAGAATTGAAGCTCGTTGGATTCATGCTCCAAGTGGAAGGGTGTACAACTTAGATTATAATCCTCCTAAAGTTCCCTTTAAAGATGATATAACTGGTGAACCACTTTCTAAAAGAGATGATGATAATGCTGAAGTGGTGACAAAGAGACTTGAGCTCTATAACCAACTGCTTGCCCCATTAAAGGAGTACTATCAGAAGTCTAATGTTCTTCACACTGTTAGTGGGAATACTTCTGATATCATCTACCCCAAGTTAGCTGATTTAGTATTAAGTAAATTTGGTAATTAATGTGTAAGTAGTAGTAGTAGTCATAGCTCATAATGTATATTTATTAGACAGACAGACACTGATTTTTTTGTATGGTGCGATCTCTCTATAACTAACTGAAAAAAAATAATTGAAGGGTAAAATATGTTTAGTAATTGAAGCAGCAGCGGTTGAAGAAAGATCACCATTGGCTGACAGGAATAACAAAAGATGAAGTTCTTTATAGATGACTTGCCAGTCCTATTTCCTTATCCTAAAATATATCCTGAGCAATATGCTTATATGTGTGATATTAAAAAGACATTGGATGTGGGTGGGAATGCCGTACTAGAAATGCCTTCAGGAACAGGTAAGACTGTTTCATTATTATCACTTACTATAGCTTATCAAATGCATTATCCTGAACATAGGAAGATTGTGTATTGTTCCCGTACTATGTCGGAAATTGAAAAAGCATTGATCGAATTGCAGAATTTAATGGATTTTAGATCTGAAGAATTAGGTTATGTTGAAGATTTTAGAGGGATAGGTTTGACAAGTAGAAAGAATTTATGTTTACATCCAACCATTTCAAAGGAAAGGAAAGGGATTGTGGTGGATGAAAAATGTAGAAGAGTTACCAATGGTCAATTGAAAGAGAAAATTCAAAAGGGTACCGTTGATGAACTGGATGAGTTAAATTCCCTTTGTACATATCATGAAAAATTAAATGAATTAGATCAACATGATCTTATACCGACAGGAGTTTATTCATTCGAATCATTATTGAAGTATTGTAAAGAACAAGGAACATGTCCCTATTTCACAGTCAGAAGAATGATTCCATTTTGTAATATTATCATTTATTCATATCATTATTTATTGGATCCAAAGATTGCAGAAAGAGTTTCTAAGGAATTATCAAAGGAAAGTATCATTATATTCGATGAGGCGCATAATATCGATAACGTCTGTATTGAATCATTATCACTAGATTTGACAGATGATACGTTAAAGAGAGCTACAAGAGGTGCTAATAAATTAGCAGACGCGGTAGATGAAATGAAAGCTCAAGATAGTGAAAAATTACAGAATGAATATGAAAAGTTGGTTGAGGGTCTAAGACAAGCAGAAATTGACAGAGAAGAAGAATTATTTATGAGTAATCCCATATTACCTCAAGATTTATTGGATGAAGCTATTCCAGGAAATATACGGAAGGCAGAACATTTCATTTCATTTTTGAAAAGATTCATTGAATATTTAAAAACAAGAATGAAAGTATTGCATGTTATTAGTGAAACTCCAGTAAGTTTCCTTCAACATTTGAAAGAGTTAACATTTATAGATCGAAAACCATTACGATTCTGTTCTGAAAGATTATCCTTATTAGTAAGAACATTGGAATTATCGGAAATTGAAGATTTTACAGCGTTAAAAGATATAGCCACATTTGCTACTTTGGTGTCAACATATGAAACTGGATTCCAATTGATTCTTGAACCATTTGAAGCAGAAGGTTCCACTGTTCCTAATCCTATATTACATTTTACATGTTTGGATGCTTCTATAGCAATCAAACCTGTGTTTGAGAGATTCTCATCAGTTATTATCACATCAGGTACGATTTCACCATTAGAAATGTATCCTAAAATGTTAAATTTCGAAACTGTTGTCCTGGAGTCGTACGCTATGACATTAGCAAGAAGATCATTTCTTCCAATGATTGTAACCAAAGGTTCTGATCAAGTTTCTATATCTTCAAAGTTTGAAATTAGAAATGATCCTTCAGTGGTTAGAAATTATGGATCTTTATTAATTGAATTTGCCAAAATTACTCCTGATGGAATGGTAGTTTTCTTTCCATCATATTTATATATGGAATCTATTATTTCAATGTGGCAAAATATGGGTGTATTAGATGAAGTTTGGAAATATAAACTTATCTTAGTTGAAACTCCTGATGCTCAAGAAACGTCATTGGCTTTGGAAACTTATAGAAAAGCATGCTCAAGTGGCAGAGGAGCTGTTTTACTTTCTGTTGCTCGTGGGAAAGTATCAGAAGGTATTGATTTTGATCATCATTATGGTAGAACCGTACTAATGATTGGTATTCCATTCCAATATACTGAATCTAGAATCTTAAAGGCAAGATTGGAATTCATGAGGGATCATTTTCAAATTCGGGAAAATGATTTCTTATCTTTCGATGCTATGAGACATGCAGCTCAATGTTTGGGTAGAGTCTTAAGAGGGAAAGATGATTACGGGGTAATGGTATTAGCCGATAGAAGATTCTTAGGTAAGAAAAAGCAATTACCTAAATGGATTTTCCAGGCTTTAAATGATTCAGATACAAATTTATCAACTGATATGGCATTAGCAACTGCTAAGAAATTTTTACGTAGTTTAGCACAACCTACTAATCCAAAAGATCTGGAAGGGGTATCAGTTTGGAATATGGAACAACTTCTTGAGTATCAAGAAAAACATAAACCTAAGACTGTTCAATTTGATCCTGAAGCATCAGCTCAACCAGATGAAATGTTTATGGATATTGATGATGATGATTTTGATAATTTATAGAGGGTTCACATTTCTTTTTTTGTAGCCAGTATTTACATATATATAGCGCGTCACTATAATAAAATTTAATTAGAACTAACTAATATAGACAATCATCTAATGGTAAAGAAAACTACAGCAACATCAGAGACGTATGTTGTGATATCCATAGGTAGTCGATTTCTCAGAGTGGGTCTAAGTAATGGGACTGAACCAATTATTCATCATTATCCTACGAGAGGAACATCTGATAATGTGATTGAATCTCATATGTTTGATCTTAATAATAATGTGGGATTAACTATAAGTCAGAAACGTCAATTGCAAAGTAATTTAATAATTAATGAAAATAAATATAAGAAATTTCATAAGTTGAATCAAAAACAGAATTATAAATACGTTTGTGTTGATTCATTTGGTGGGTTAAGTATATCTGATGAGAATACGATTCATCAATTATTGTTCGATATATTCAGTGTTGAATTAATGATAAACCCGAAACGTTATAAAGTCCTAGTGGTAGATAATCGATTATCTGCTGTTCATAAACTTCAAATATCGAAGATACTCCTAGAGAAATTCCAATTCAAGTCGTTGGTATTTGTTCCAGAACCACAAATGAGTGTGATATCATCAGGACAACGAAATGGACTTGTGATAGATTTTGGATGGAATAGTGTTAAAGTTCATCCAATATATGATTTCAGAAGTGTGATGAAATCTGAATCATGGGAAGATAAACTTATCAGTGGGAGATCGTTGCATTTGAAAATGACAGAGTATTTAAGTGGGTTAAATGATCCACAGATAGACCAGTTACTTCAAGGGCCAGATAGTTTTGAATTCATAGAGAATCTAATCATGAAGTATTGTTATGTAAGGAGGAAAGAAACTATATCAGATGATTCAAGTCAATTTGAAATAATGGAAGGTGTGTCGATTCCTAATTCATTCAGATATGAAATCATTGAATCATTATATATTAATGAAATTCTTTTTGATGCCGTATCTCAAATCATAAATAATCTCGATATACATATACGACGAGAAGTTATAGAGAATTTGATATTGGTAGGAGGGATATCGAACATACCTGGATTTAAATTGAGAATGATTGAAGAATTTGATACTAAATCTAATGAATATAAGGTTGCATCTAATAGTTGTTTAGGTTCATGGACTGGTGCCAGTATATATTCGAATCTCTTACAACAACAACAACAACAAACTACTAAATTGGAAATTACAAAGCATGATCTCAACTCTATAACTTCATCTACAGGGTTTAAATTATTTTCATTTTCAAATCATTTCAAGTCATAACATTATATACGAATCTATAAATATATATCTAACCATATAATAAACATCTAACTTGTTCAATATCATCATCAGAATCATAATCAAATAAGCTCTCTTGTTCATCTTCTGATTCTTTATCACCTATAATATTCCATGCCAGATCTTGATTAAGTTGCTTATAAAATAATAATTTTTTAATATATTCAAATACAGGAGATTTTTGAACATTTATATCAAGTAAATCAATTTCTTCCTTTAATATATTCATCAATTTAACTTCATTTAATTGTTCATTTGTATAACATGGATCACAAAATGGGAAAGCATTAATAGTTCCATCACTAGTTGATTTAATACTGGCTAAAGATAATTTATCTTTACTATTACTTAATGGTTCACTCATATGAGGTTTATGATCAACTTCCACAATTTGAGGATATGATTCAGTTAAAAGAGATGGAAAATATTTAACTTCACTTGTATTATCATCAATAATCTTATTATTTTGAATAAGGGGATTATCTAATGATGGACTAATTGGAAGAACTGGGGAAGCTTCAAAGAATAAATCCTCAGTAGTTGAAGTATAATTTGATGGTTCTCTTCTAAATATAGCATTTTGAATCACAGATGAAGAAACTAATCTTTGACGAGCTAATATAGCAGGTTTAATTGGTTTTAAAGTTGACAAGGGTAAATTTTCATAAGATTGAGCATTCAATTTCTTTAAAGTATCAATAGTAGAACCTTTATAAAATTCAATTGATGATTTTGGCTTCATTCTTTTCATTGGGATTGATTGATTAATTTTAGCCGCTGCTGAAGAAGATGATGATGTAAAAACAGGAGTTTTAGATGAAGTACCATAAAAATAATGGATATTTTCATTTTCATCATGAGATGTGAAAGATCTATCCTTAAGTAATGATGAATCAGTCATGATTGGTGTGATTAGACTGGAAATGGGGATAGATTGATGAAGAAGGAAGAAAGTGTAGTTTTTTTAAAAAAGGCAGCCAAAAAAATCTAAGTTTTTTGCAGTAGTAAGAATTTAAGCCCATTAAAAAAAACTCAGAATCCACTAATCACTAATCATATTGAGTGATGATATCATTAATTGATCATAACATGATCTAGATGGATCAATTGAATCAATCCATATAAGATGATCAAGATTTGTTCAAATCAAATCAAATCATAGTATAATAACATGATCAATTAATTCTTATTCTTCAAATCTTCACTTTGCATCAAAGTACCAATATATTCTTGAAGGTATTGAATTTCATTTTCATATTTCAGACATACAGTTTTAGAATCTCTTATAGTATTTATAATATTTGCTATATTTGATTTTAATTCCATTATTTCATCAATCATTTCTTGATTACCTAAATGTTTATTATTGTTATTGTCGGTGTTGATGCTGTGATGGGATACATTGGTGTCAACAGACGATGGATTTGATTCCACATGAGCTTGTTCTGTAATGTCTTCACTGCTCATTATACAAGTTGGTATTGATTAATGAATCAATATCAATCAAATAGAGTGCATTCATTATAACTTTTTGTCAATTAAGCAGTAAATAAAATGTGACCAATTCACACGACCTTTGTCACCACCACTCAAAATTTTGAATGATCTATTTTTATAACAGAGAAGATGGAAGGAGGGAAAGAATAAGGGAGATTGCGGATTACAAATTTTTAATTCAACTTCACCATTTAATACAACATCAATTGACATTGATAATCATAGAATTTATAATCAATCATCATAGATAGACATGTCTTGGGAAGGGTTTAAAAAAGCTGTCAATCGTGCCGGTGGTTCCGTTCTTGTTAAGGATGTTGATAAGACTATGGATAAAGATTTTGATGTAGAAGAAAGAAGATATAATACTTTAAAGACAGCAGGGAATAATTTACAAAAGTCATCGAAGGGATATTTAGATTCCTTAAGAGCAGTTACTGCATCACAAGTTACCATTGCTGAAATTGTATCTAATTTATATGAAGAAGCAAAACAAGGCCCATCATTATATTCCAATGTTGGTACATTATATTTACAATGTGTTAGAGAATTTGATGAAGAAACCGTAAAACAAATGGATGGACCATTTAGAGAAACTATTTTAGATCCTATAACCAAATTTGCGGGATATTTTAATGAAATTGATGAAGCTATTAAGAAAAGAATTCATAAAAAGACTGATTATGATCAATGTAAATCTAAAGTTAGAAGATTAATAGATAAACCTGCTAAAGATGCTGGAAAATTACCTAGAGCTGAAAAGGAATTACAAGTTGCTAAAGAGATTTATGATGATTTAAATGAACAATTAAAAGCTGAATTACCTCAATTAATTGCATTAAGAGTTCCATTTTATGATCCATCATTTGAAGCATTAGTTAAAATTCAATTAAAATTTTGTACTGAAGGTTATTCAAGATTAGCTCAAATCCAACAATATTTAGATCAAAGTTCTCGTGATGATTATGCAAATGGATTATTAGATGGTAAAATTGATGATTTACTTGTACAAATGAATGGATTAAATATAAGTAGTCTTGGTGCCAAGTAGGATACACCCACAACCCCAGATATTAGTTGTTGTTGTTGTTGTTGTTGTTATGTATATTTATTTCTTTTTTTCTTTTTCTTTTTTTTTTTGTTTTCTTTTTCTATTAATATGTTACTACTACTGTAATAAGAAGTATCATTAATTGATAATGAATGAATTGATATGATGTAGAGTGGATAGGGTTTATCTGTATGTACATCAAATTTAAGATGTTGATGGATGGGATCTCCTTTAAAAAGTTAAAATGTAGTCGCACCAACCAGACAGACACTAAATTAAAATCAGACAGACAGACACAAAATAAAATTAAAAATGAAACATCTGACAGTCAGACAGACAGTCAGACAAAAAAAAATTGTCGGAGAGAGATTAAACATTTTATTGGATAACGTGATATAATTTTTAGTTTGTACTGTAATTCAGCTGTCATTCTATTCTCCATATAAATCATATCATCAAATCATTCCATTCCCATTCCATCATCCCATCAATCCATCCATCCCATCCATCCCATCAATCACCTGGTATATAGACAGAACAAGCCTCATCACTTCTTATAGACACTTTAAAAGAGGATTCATCCCCAACAATATCAACATCAACAACCATCCCCCTCACTTCAACTTGCCCTTCCTTTCATTTTCTATCAGTGTTTGTTTTTCCCTTTTTTACAGCAAAAGCGTTATCCATGGTTAATCGTTATTAAGAGTATATCAACTGTACATTGGATAAATACTATCATCAACTTCAACTGCATTCATATTAATCCAATCCAATCAACTATGATCATAACTTATACTCAAAACAAAGTACTACGGAGTTTGAAATCCCAATATTTTTCAAACGTTATAAGGTTTGTATCATTTGTACTATCAAGTCCAAGAAGAGTAATCTTGATTCCTTCTTTACTTATCTTCATTCTATCATATGGCGTAGTATATGACTTCACCATCAAACAAATCAATTCTCAATTAGCTTATCAATTTGGTGGTGCTAATTCTTTTCAATTCAATCATGATAAATCTTATACCATAATTCATAATTTATTAGATGATTTAAATCATTATTCATCCCTTCAAAATGATCAAACTTTATCATGTTTCATACTCTCCCGAAAAAGTGATACCATATCTCAAGATGCCACTACTGTTCTTGATTATTCATTCTTTCATAATCTTGATCATTTACAATCAAATTTAACCCAGCAATTCCAATCGGATAATATAACCCTAATATCCCCTCTTTCAGGTTGTCCTTTAATATTTGAATCGAAATATGTTGGAGATGCAAAAATAAATCGAAATTTTAAAAGTTATATCATAAGATATTTAAATTATGAATTAAATAATTTATTAACTTTTTTATTTGTTGATGATATCCGAAAATCAAATCATTTAATTAAATATGCTAAAACTTTAAGAATTTTTATCATTCATCCAACTAAAATAAAGATAGAAAATCATATTACTGATTATTTACAACATGATAATTCTATTCAATTAGATAATGTTATTCATACTGATCATAATTCAAGTTTAAAAGGTTTTATTCAATATTATCTTATTCAAAATAATGCTGCCTTTTGGATAAGATTATTCATAAGGAGTAGTAATTGGTTGATTTATTCTTCAATGATTGCTTTCATATTCTATATCTATTTATCATTAGCAAATGCTCATAAAATAAGATCAGTAATAGGTTTATTAATAGGATGGTTAGTGGCGATATTAATCTCAAGTTGTGCCGCTATAAATGTGGTTACCACTTTACATGGTTATAAATCTTGGAGATTAATATTTGAACCTCTGACTCCATTTACAAAAGGTTCTTATATCTTTACTATAATGATATTTTCAACCAAAAATTTATTCACTACTGTGAAAGTTCTTTCTGATTCAACGACAGAATCAGAACCTCATAAAAGATTATACAAACTTTATACTGGATTTTATGGTACTCCTATAATATCAAAAAATCTTTTATTTAATTTAATTTGTTTATTTGGAGTTTATATGGTGGGTTCAACTATATTATTTAATTATATTGATGGTTATTTTTATACATATATTAGTCATAGATTATCCCTGTTAAATCAATCTATTGTCATAAGTCTTATATTTGAATATTTATTAGAATTAGCTTATTTATCCGGAATTATCATCATTGATTTAAAAAGATTTGATTTAACTGATATAATCAATTATCATCAACAAAGTAATAATTCAAACCTTGAATTCTTAGCTGAAGAAGACGAAGAAGATATAGATAAAAAAGCATTGGATTCTGAAGGAGGGAATTTAATTTCATCATATTTATTACATTCAAAAAGAGATCCTACATTTAATGTTGATAGAAATAGTTTAAGATATAAATTAGGTCAATTTTTCTTAAGAATTAATTATTCAGAAGAATATAATACACCAGCAGTATTTTTAACCTCAATTGGGTTAATTCAATTGTTAGGTATATTCATGCATTGGGTTATAATCATTCCTTATAGTACTTTAAATAATTCAAAAGATATGATAAGATTAGGTGAAAATAAAATTTGGAGTAATAATAATAATTTTATTTATTATTTAGAATTATTATCAATTTTATTATTCATAGTGGCTCTGAGTTCAATTGCATTTAATCTTACTGTTAATAATAATCTGACTAGTACAAATGGATCTAAACCATTGGAAAAAGCTGATTTTGAACAAGTTAATCGATATTTCAATGCAGTTGAATTAAAGAAAGATACAACTCATGGCCATTCTTTAGATGTCCTTAAAATAGCCACCAATTCCAAAACTTCATTTGTAATTACTGTTGGTCTTGATAGAAAGATTTTAATTTGGTCACCCTTAAATGGATCTTCACTTTCTGAACCTATAAATATCTCATCAAAAGTTGAATCAGGTCCATTTGAAGGTAAAGAATTTTGGCCTATAAATCATGTATCAATTAGTGATGATGGAAGTTATGTGATGTTGATTTGTTTCAAATATGGATTAATTAAATGTTATGAAAGAAGAGAATTAAATTTTAAATGGGAATTAGAATTACCTACTGAAGTTATTGAACTTATTAAATTAAAGAAATTTAAAATATCTGAATATTTCTTCAGAAGAAAAACTGTACCAGGGGTGTTAGCAAGAAAAATGCTTCTTAAAAAGGGCCAAAAGAAAAAGGGATCATCAACAGCATTAGAAAGAAGAGATAGTAATGCATCAATTGCATCAATGAATTCCCAAATCAATGGAAATTTCCCTCCTCCACCTATAAGTATGAAATCGTTTAGTGAACAACAAAGGGAAAGAAATAGAAATGAACCAACTTATGAACAAATGGAAAGAGAACTAATTAAAGTTGAATTTATTCTTGTATTAGAATCAGGACATCTTGTTACATTTTCTTGTGTTGATGGAGGTTCAAAGATATTGAATTTAATGGCTGGTATCCATGGACTCAATGAAGAGAATTTAACTGTAACTTCAGCTAAGAAAGTTACAACTCCAAGAATTAATGATAGAATTGTTTGTCAATTAAGTAATTCTGATGTTATAGTTGCTACAGTAGTAAATAATACTTGGAGATTAAGAAAATTACCCATTGTGGAAGGTCATTATAATCAAGGACCTAATTTTGTTCAACCTGTTAATCCAATGTCATCCATGAATAATAAATATTCTCAAAATTCGAATGATTTTCGATCAGTTTATAATCTGAAATTAAGTACTATTGGATCTGAAGTTTCGTTAAATGTGGTTCAAGAACCTATAATAACCAATAAAGATTCTAAATATTCGATAAATAAAGCAACAGTTATGAATGTTGATTTTGTGGGGATGATAGTTGTGGTTAAAGATCAAGTTGCTGAATTAGTTGATGTTCAAAGTGGAATTGTATTAAAGAAATTTAATGTGGGAAGATTTAAACCTAATACGTTTAGAGTATCTCATCTGGAACCTACACATTGTAAATTTTGTGGTTGTGCATCAATTCAATCATTTTCAATTGCATATGAAGATTATGATACACCAACTTTAATTGTTCATACTTATAAAATTGAATTAAAACGGTCTAAAAATAATATTTGTTTAAGAGTGGAAAGAGATCCAAGAGAAATTAGATGTCTTGGATTCAATGCTGTTACTGAGCATCAATATTGGTTCAATGGATTAGTTGGTTGGGAGCTTACTGATGTTAATATGATTATTGGATTGAAACGTAAAGATCAAACTGATGATGATACTCCTACAATTGATGAAGAAATTATTAATGAATCTGATATTAAAATGAGGAATCAAAATATTGATAAACTAATTCAAAATAGTGGATTAATGTCATTAAGATCACGACATTCCAAAAATATAAGAGCATATAATAAACTGGATAAATCCAATTCTCAACTTAAACCAATTACGGTTGAAGATGTATGGGAAGGATTTATAATAACTTTAATTGATGGGAAATTAATTAATTATCAAATTCCATTATCAAATTCACTTCGGGATACAGAATTAATTATGTCAAAAATCAATTCGGTGGAAAAATATGGATATAAATCAATAATTTTTAGTGTGGGTAGAATAACTGATATATTTTATTTGGGAAATGATACATTAATAGAAGATGATTTATATTATTCAGGTACTAATGCCACTATTGCATCAGTATTAGAAGAAGATGCACAACAAAATAATAAATCAAGGACAGGAAATAACGTTAATACGAAGTCTAATCCACCGGTTAATAGTGAATTATTATTTATTAATAAGAGACGGAAAATGAGAGATAAACATTTAGGTGGAAGTAGTAATCAAAGTCAAAGTACGAGTCCGAGTCATAGTCCTAGTCCTAGTCCTAATCCTAATCCTAATCCTAGTCCAATTCCCTCAACGGGGTAAGAAATTCCATACATATGGTTTATGAATGTTCTTTTTCGCCTTAAATTGAATTAAACTTTTGAAAGTACTGTGTATAGTTAAACTCTTATCACAAATACAATCAAACCCAATGCATAATAATAGTAAATAAATAATAGTTTATTAAAAATATCAGATCATGTCTCAACTGTTATCCGGTAACTGTAGAGGGAGAGAGGGACTTTGATAAATGGCGCACTAAAAACATTTCTTTTTTTTGGCCACGACACTTCCGCTTTTCTTTTTACAGTGACGAGATGGAAATACAAACCCCGTTCTAAACAAAACCCGCGGAATATAATCAACCATTGATATAAATAGCTGCTAAATTTCCTATTCTTATTAGGTATGTAATTACAATTGTAAATCATCACTACTTGTGAACAATTAATTACATTAACTTATTCAAATAAAACATATTACAACATGAAGATCATTTCCGAAGAAGAAAAAGCTGCTCATAGTAGATTCGTGCTTATTCAAGGATTAAAAGGATGTGCTGTTGGTGCTGGGATTGCTTTTGGTCTTACTAGATATTTGAAATTCAAACAACCCCTTAGATATTCTCAATTCAATGCTTCCATTAAAACTGCATTATGGGCCATGCCAACTGTTACTATGGGTGCTTTCTTTGCTGATGATGGTTCTGTTGAATTTGATAATTCAACTTATAGATCAGATTACTTTAAAAAGCAAGAAGAAGAAAAATTATTAAGATATAATAACTTGAGTGTATCTGAAAAGATGCTTCATCAATTGAATGAAAAGAAATATGAAACTGTGGTGGTTGCTTGGGCTGCTTCATTATATGGATCTTGGAAATTAGTTAATAGAGATCAATATATGACTAGAGCTCAAAAATTAGTGCAAGCCAGAGTTTATGCTCAAGCTTTTACAGTGTTATTATTATTAGGTACTTTACTTCTTAGTGTTCATGAAGCTGAATTACAAAAGAAAGAACCAGCTCCTGTACCTGAATGGAAGAAATATTTAGAAGAACATGAAAAGGATGCTAATACTACTCCACAACCCCATATTAATTTAAAACATTAGACTTGACTTAATTTGATTTGATTTGATTCGTTAACTTTCTTATTTATAAACTGTTTGTTTTTTACCCTCTTTAATGATACACGATTGCATAGATGATACAATATAATATATGAAATAATATTTACTTTAAATCTAACTCATCGTAGATGACTCTTGAGATATATAAATTGAATCATTTCATTTCTCTATTGTCTCTGATAAGACAATTTTATGACACAAAAATGACCCCATTTTTTTTCCTTTCTTTTTTTCAATTTTTTCAAACCCCATACCATTATAACCAATTCATAATTAAACTATTATATTAAATTAACTATTATTATTATGTTATATTTACTAAAACTCATAAAATCTATAAACCAATTCATTTACATATATATGCGTGTATAAAAGAAAAGCTTCAATCAAAGACCAACCCAGTTGAATGTCTTACTAGTAGTGAATTCACCTTCAACACTAATATCACTTGAACTATTACCCACCAAGACTTTATAAACATCTTTATCTGATTGCCAAGCATGCTTGAAACCATTATAATAAGAAGTAGCTTCTTTAATACTAATGTTCAATTCAACCACTTTGGTTTCTCCAACTTCTAATTCAACCTTGTTGAAATCTTTTAATTCTTTAACTGGTCTACTAACTTGAGGATTAGATGGTTGAATATATACTTGAACAACTTCAGCTCCTTTAACTTTACCAGTATTAGTAACTTCGACTTTAATATTAACAGTATCATGATTCACTTTAACAGCTAAATCACTGAATTTGAAACTAGTATATGATAAACCATAACCAAATGGATATAATGGTTCTACATCAACTTTTTCATAATATCTATATCCCACAAATACATCTTCACCATACCAAACTTGTCCATTAGTTGAACCAAAGTTAATATAAGATGGATTATCTTGTAATCTCTTTGGGAAAGTCATGGATAATTTACCAGATGGATTATAATCTCCAAATAAAACATCAGCAATAGTATTACCTAATTCATTACCACCATACCAAGCATGAACTAAAGCTGGAACTTTTTCTAACCATGGGAAAGTAACTGGTGAACCAGATTGATTAACCACAATAACATTAGGATTGACTTTAACAATTTCTTCAATTAATTGATTGGTATAACCTGGGATTTCCATATCAGCTCTATCAAACCCTTCAGATTCCCATTCTTTGGAAAGACCAGCTACAATAACAACTTTATCAACAGTTTGAGCTAAAGCAACAGCTTTTTTGATTTCAGCTTCTGGAGTAGATTTAATTCTAATACCAAAATAAACACCACCTGCTTCAACTGGTCCATCTGGTAAAGTATAGGTTGGAGATGAACCAAATTCACATCTAACATTATATGATTTACCCTTTTCTAATTGAATTGAACCTCTTTCTTCTCTAGTACCCATACCTAAGAAGAAAGCATCTCCTGAAGTTTGTTTAGTCTTGTTATCAGCTATTAAAACATCATCAACGAAAACTTGAGCAGTACCTAAACATGAAGCACCAAATTCATATTCAGCAGTTTCATCAGGAATAAAAGTACCAGTGAAATCAGCATAAAATAAAATATCATTTGGTTCTAATCTATCACTCTTAAAATCAGAAAGGAAAACTTTGGAAGTAGTTAATTTATAAGTTTCAAGTAAAAGTCTATCACCTTTATAACCTGGTGCATGTTTATAAAATCTAGCATCAATACCTTTTTCACCATTTTCATCAATTAAAACATCACCAACATCAGGTAAATTTCTATCTAAGAAAGCACCTAAAGCGTATTCTAATGAAACAGTATTACCCCCTTCTTCAATTTTGTTTTGAATACCTTCCCATGGAGTAACTTTATAACGAGCAGATAATGAAGCTGAACCACCACCAGAATCTTGAGCAGCTTTAACATTTGGTCCAATAACAGCGATTCTTTCTTGACCTCTGAAAGCAGTCTTGGATAATGGTAAAATATTATTTTCATTCTTTAATAAGACAATCGATTCATCACCAACTTTTCTTAATAATTCACCAGCGGCTGGATCTTCGTTAGCAGATTCAATAACATCATCTGGAATTTGAGCTTTTAACCCTTCATTAACTAATTTTAAAACATAACGAACATTTTCATCAATGACAGCTTCACTAATTTGATTAGCTTGAACAGCATGAAGAGTTTGAATAGCTTGTCTAAATCTAGTTGGACCTGGCATTTCTAAATTCAATCCTGCATCCAAGGCTTCTTTAGTTGAATAAGTACCAAACCAATCAGACATTAAAGTACCATCATAATTAAATTCTTTTCTTAAAATATCTTGAATAATAGGTTTACTTTGAGAAACATGTTCACCATTAACTTTATTATAAGAAGTCATTAAACCATGTGGATTAACATCTCTAATAGCAATTTGGAAAGGTTTTAAATAAATTTCTCTGAAAGCTCTATCAGTTAATAAAGTATCAACCGCTTTTCTATCATCTTCTTGATCATTACAAACAAAATGTTTAAGACAAGCAACCACTTTTTCATTTTGAATACCTTTAACAATACTGGCAGCAGCATGACCTGATAATAATGGATCTTCAGAATAACTTTCAAAAGATCTACCTCCTAATGGAGATCTAACAATATTACAAGTTGGACCTAAAATAACAGAAGCACCTTTCATTTTGGCTTCTTTACCCATTAATTCACCAGCTTCCACTAATAATTCTTTATTGAAAGTAGCAGCTAACCCAGTTCCACATGGGAAACAATTGGATGGAATACTATTGAAAAATTTAGTACCTCTAATACCATTTGGACCATCAGAAACTCTAATTGAAGGTAACCCTAATCTTGGAATTGGAACAGTATGCCAGAAATCTTTACCAGCTAATAAGGAGATTTTTTCTGGTAAAGTTAATTCTTGAATTAAATAATCAATATCCAATTCTTGATAACTTGTAGTTTTAATTGGACTCATTTTGTCTAGTTATTTACTAATTGATTGATATATGCAAACAGCTAACAAATAGATAAATAAATAAATTCGACTGATTAACTATAAAAGAGATGAAAAAATGATTTTAAAAACTAGATCCGGAAAAATATTGATTTATATATTCCCAATACTTATCGCTATAATAATTTAAATTTAATCTGTGAGAGATTCTCGGAAAAATTTACAGTGAAAGGAGGGGGATTCCCAGGGAAAAAAGGACGACGTCAGATTTTGTAACCTCAAAAAAAATAGTGAGGTTCAACTATGCTATCAGACGAAGCAATGATCACGAAACAATGAATGGTTCAACCAAAGTTTAACGTTTCAAAGTAACATGAGCTCTATAGTCTTAACGTGATATTTAAGGTCATATGAGGTCATTTTATAACATGTTTATATTTATGATATTCATTATAATACAGAATAACAAATTTGAAACCACCACCAGATATGATAGGGAAAAAAACCACGTCGAACTGACCCCTCCCCCTCCCCCACTGAACAATTAATTAGCAGGAGATTATATTATTAATAACGTCAAAACGTCAAAAGTATAATTAATTTTCCTGATTGCAGAATGACTGGAATAATTCAAGGATTGATTACTTTATTTGGAAATGAACCATGAAAACAGGTCAGTACTCTAGGGGGGCCTTTCCTAAAGGAGGAATTCATCCTTTAATTTATGCAAGGATGGGGTGAGTGGGGTAGGATCATGGGGAAAAGTGACTTTTTTTCCGGATGAGGAAGGAAAAATTTTTAAAAAAAAGTTTTTACGAGAATTATCCATCATGAAATATGGGGGATACAAGCAAGCATATTTGTTATTACGAACTTATTTGGTTAGCAACAGGTCTTTATCAAAATACTTAACTACGAACATGTACCCCACCCCCATTCTGCAAATTCCCCTCAATATTAATCAAGGAATGAATGAATGAATGATGGGGGAACATACCTAATAAATGAAATCCTCGTTATGATTGTTTCAGTTAAGCCATGCCTTACAAATGAATACGTAAAGTAACCTGTAAAAGTTCCAGTAAATCACAACACAGTATTTTATTGTTTTCGTAGTGAAAATTTTAAGTACCGGTAAATAATTTTGAACTGCTGACATTTTTGTGTGAATTCTACATACAATGGAAAAAAATAAATGCAAAATCATAAGTCCTTTTTCGTGTTTCATAGTGAGACCTGGCTATTTTTATTTTTTCTAGTGTGGTTTTGTCGCTGCGAACATATGATTTTTTACAGTATTAATTAGCGCGAATTTTTTTTTAATTGCAATCTGTACTAGCTAAATTAGTTAGATTAACCTTATCTTTAAAAGGTAGTATCAGCTTCACGATCATCAATGCTTTGACGCGCCTAAACTTGAAGTCGAACTATCCAACCATCCGTCGCTTGGGTTTCTCGATCCGGTCCCTTGGGGAGATTTCCCCAAACGGAAGCCTTCGATAGTTGCAAACAAGATTTCGTATTCTAAGATCTGGGGGAGACGTTAGAGAAACATTTAAGCATCTTTCCTTCGTAATTGTAAAAGCTTGTTGCTGTATAACATCATTGGTAGCTGGTATATATTGTTCGATCATAGTATAGAATTGTTTAAGAGTTTAGTTTGTTGATACCGGAGTCACCATAGGAATAACCTCTATAGTATAAACGAATGACGGTTTAAAAAGGCTGCTGGTCCTCAAAACAATACCATACATTAACAATATGGATTCAACCGTGATCATCATTTACAGTAAGGATCGAGTGCCTAAAGTAGTAGTGCTATAAGAAACGGCTGATGATAACGCCGGACACGTTGCCTAAAACTGAAACCTTAACGTATGAATCTCTCCGAATTCAAAGTTTAACCTAAACTAAAATAAAAAAAATAGTAGGATTAATTATTAATTTTGGTTTACCCCACTTTACTTACACAAAAGCCACTTTGTTAGTATGTCTCAAAAAATAAAAAATTTTAAAATCTCCTGTCGGATCATTTTTTTTTTTTTTTGTGTGTGTTTGATACAGTTTTTCCCAATTCGCATAAACTTTTAGGTGTAAACTGTAATCATCAAAATTTTATTGACATATGGTGAAAAATAATTAAATTAGAAATTAAATAATAAATAATAATTCGCCCTGACCCCGGTCGCCTCCCCACTCCCTTCTCTTTGTCTCTACATATCTAGATCTGTGGGTAGTATTTCATTCATTCTTATGATATGCACCCCATGAGTATATGGCATAAATTTTATTATAAATACACTTCGATATCCTATTCAATATTTAGGTTTATGATATAGTTTCTTTTTTTTTTATTAGTAAGTATAGACAACTACATCTTATAAAATATTATACACACACAATCATAATGTCATCTGATAAAGAGGTTGACGCTGCCCTTCACCATGGTGAATCGGTTTCTATTTCAAGTAAAGGTGCTGATGATCATCTTAATGTTCATACTGAAGATATTAATGATTATCTTTATCTTCCAAACTCATGGTGGACTTATAAACATTTCTGGGTTTTACATTTCTTTATTTTCTTAGCTACTTTAACTTCTACTAATAATGGTTATGATGGTTCTATGTTAAATGGTTTACAATCTTTATCGATTTGGAAAAATTCCATGGGTAATCCAACTGGTTCTGTTTTAGGTGCTCTTTCTAATGGTAATACTTTTGGTGTTATTTTATGTTTCCCATTTGCTTCTTATTTCTCTGATAGATTCGGTAGAAAATATACTATTATGGTTTCTGCTTTTGTTACTGTTATTGGTGCTGTCTTACAAGGTGCTTCTTATAATTATGCTTTCTTCTTATGTTCCAGACTTATTATTGGTTTCGGTTTCGGTGTCTCCGCTGTTTCTGCTCCATCTTTAATTGCTGAATTAGCTTATCCAAAATATAGAGAAACGAGTACTGCTGTTTATAATAGTTTCTATTATTTCGGTGCTATTATTGCCGCTTGGGTTACTTATGGTACTAGAAATGTCGATGGTGCTTATTGTTGGAAAATTCCTTCATATTTACAAGCTTTCTTACCATTTGTCCAACTTCTTTTCTTCTTCTTAGTTCCAGAATCCCCAAGATACTTAGTTGCCAAAGGTAGAATTGAAGAAGCTAAAAAGGTTTTCCATTACTATCATTGTGGTAATGATGAAGATGAACGTGCTTATAAATTAGTTGACTATGAAGTTAAAGAAATTCAAACTGCTTTAGAAATGGAAAAGCTTTATTCTACTGCTAGATATACTGATTTCTTCAAGATCCCATCATTTAGAAGAAGATTATTCTATTGTTTCTTCACTGCTTGGTTAATGCAACTTTCTGGTAATGGTTTAGTCTCTTACTATTTGAATAAGGTTTTAGATTCCATTGGTATAACCGGAACTAAAGAACAATTAGAAATTAATGGTGTTTTAATGATCTATAACTTGATTATTTCTTGGGGTACTGCTTTACTTGTTAACAAATTCAAGAGAAGACATTTATTATTAACTTCTATTGCTGGTATGTTAGTCACTTATATTATTTGGACTGTTCTTTCTGCTATCAATCAAGAAAGAAATTTCGAACAAAAATCATTAGCTAACGGTGTTCTTGCTATGATTTTCCTTTATTATTTATGTTATGATCTTGGTCTTAATGGTTTACCTTATGTTTATATTACTGAAATCTTACCATATTCTCACAGAGCCAAAGGTCTTAATATTTTCCAATTATCTCAACAAGTTATTGTTGTCTATAACGGTTTCGTTAACCCCGTTGCTATGGAAGCCATTGAATGGAAATACTATATTGTCTACTGTTGTATTCTTGCTTGTGAATTCGTCATTGTCTATTTCTTCTATATCGAAACTTTTGGTTACTCATTAGAAGATGTTGCTATTGTTTTCGGTGATGAAGAAAAAGCTAACTTAAGAGGTTTTGGTGATATTCCATCTGAAAAGTTAACTTCTGCTCATATTGAAGATCACAGTGATAATTCTTCTAAACAAATACTTAAAGTCTAAGTATTTAATATGCTAAATAAAACATAGTCTTTAATAATTTTTTGTCTTTATATTGACTATCTCTAACGCTGAATATTTGTTTTAATATTTAATTTACGAATATATAATGTTTTAAAAGAAATTTATGTACATATAATTAATTGTAAGTGAATGAGATTAATTCAACTGGATTGGAACTTAAATTAATCTAAATATAAAATATAAATATCTAATAAAAATTTTGATTACAAATTATGTTAATGTAGAGATTCGTATATAAAAAATGATTTTTTTACTATACAACGGATTGTTTGATAGCGTTTGTTACGTCTTTTAATAGTTGTCTACCTTGATCTATAACAGCATCCATAACCATGACAGGGTGTGGAACACCTTTATAAACATTGATTTCGGTCTTGACTCCATTCTTTTCCAATTTTTTGCCATATTCAATACCTTCAGTCTTCAAAACATCACATTCTGCCACAGCCACAAGACAAGGAGGATTTTTAGAAAAACTTTCATCTGAATAAAATAAAGGAGATGCTTCTGGATTGGTTAAGTCTGATTCATTGGGCAAGTATAAAGCACGATACCATAACATCTTTTCAGCTGGTAACTGGGGAGTGAATTCAAATTCCTTCCATGATTCGGTGGTTTTAGGTGTAGTAGTACAATCTGTCACTGGTACAATTAACACTTGTAATTTGATGGGAGGTAATTTGGTAGTTTTTGGATCATTTACAAACTTTTGGCATACTACAGCTGCTAAATTACCACCAGCTGACGAACCTCCAATGGTGATTTTATTAATATCTATGCCTATACCCGATCCTGATTCATATACCCATAATAACGAAGCATAAGCATCTTCCGGAGCAGCAGGGAATGGATGTTCTGGAGCTAATCTATAATCAACTGAGATAACTATAGTTTTGGACATATCAGCCACATGGGTACAAAATGAATTTTCAGTGTTGATATTACCTAGCACATGACCACCACCATGAAACCATATGAAACAAGGGAATCCTGCCTTTGGAGGTTCACCTTTGGGAACAAATACTCTAGCTGGGATTATATCATTAATTTTGATATCAAAAGTCTTTTCCATTTCAACTAATGGGGTTTGACCTGGTATAACATTACCACTTTCTCTAATTTCTTTCAAAGGAACCCTATGAGTATAAAGTATATTTGGATTATTTGATAATGCAGTCTTATAAAATTCTACATAGACAGGATCTAACTTATCAATTACTGATTTGTCTATGGAATAAGGAGCAGAAGGAACACCTCCAGCAAAACTGTAATCTTCTTGAATAGTATACATTGATTAAATGATCTGATAATAATGTGGTAAGTGAAAATCATTATGGATCAATTTGCCATATACAATCTAACCTATTTATAACCCTGCTGCCCCCATGAAAATATTCAAGCTTTTATCAGATTCCGCACTTCCTAATTTGGAGGCACAAACCGATTAGGATTAGCCTTTTTAAAAATAACCGATTTTGCTGGAGGGCACCGAACGGATAATTTTCTGGTGGAGGGCAACTTTCCCTTTCATTTTTTTTTATTTTTTTTCATTTATGTGATCGTTCTTTATCGTACATATCATAACCATTCGTTATTGGTCAATTATATCTATGAGGTGATTATAATTATCATTATCAAAATTATTATTTAGATATTTATTTATTAGGTCCAACGTGAGACAAACGGCTTATCGGTGACTGATTTGCCGCATGCATAACTTTAAGGTGTATACAGCAAAATATTTCAGTGGGCAGTGTCCAGTGGAGGGCTTAAGCATGTTGAATTTTCAACTAAACTATTTAATTCAGTTAATAATTTGAAGATAAGCATCTAGTTTATTTGATTTCAAGGATCACTACAGAAAATAAACTAGCACCAATGAGTTCATATCCATATCAGTTAACAACTACGTCTAACAAAGATGAATTACTTCAACGTTATAAGGGGAAACCTCTTAGAGATTTACCAACTCCATCTATTGTTATCAACAAGGCCAAATTCGAACTGAATTGCAACAAAATGCTTGTGAATGCAAAAAAGCTTGATGCTAATTTCAGAGCCCATATTAAAACCCATAAGACTTTAGAAGGTACTTTGTTGCAATTAGGCACTGTTCCATTCAAAACTGAAAAGATAGTTGTGTCTACTATGATGGAAGCTTGGAATATCTTACCATTGGTGAAATCAGGACTTATAATAGATGTTCACTTTAGTTTACCAGTGGTTAAGTCGAGATTATCTGAATTGGCTGAATTCAGTAATGTTGTTCCTCATTTAAGAATCATGTTGGATGATATTGAACAGTTGGATGTGTTGGCTAACTTCAACAAAACTAATCCAGGGACTAACAAGTGGTCAGTGTTCATTAAGATAGATATGGGTACTCATAGAGCTGGTTTAATTGCCGATACCGAAAGATTGAATCAAACTTTAGCCAAGGTATTGACGGAAGATTCCATTAAAGAAGCTGTTGAAGTATATGGATTTTATTGTCATGCTGGTCATTCTTACGCCTCAACATCATCAAATACTGCTAAAACATACTTGATTGAAGAAATAAAGAATGCCAATATTGCTGCTATTACTGC